TAGGGCGAACAATTTTGAGTAAATTCTTAACTTAAGTCTGAGAATGCCTTGTGAACTCGGGGTCTGCTTTCCCTTTGTTAGTGATGCAGGATCCAGAAACACAAAACATTGCACAAAGTTTTTCAAAGGGTTATATTTTAGTTAAAATAGGGCGAACAATTTTGAGTAAATTCTTAACTTAAGTCTGAGAATGCTTTGTGAACTCGGGGTCTGCTTTCCCTTTGTTAGTGGTGCAGGATGGAGGTGCCATGTACACACTGACAGGCATGTATATGTCTGCAGTTCATTATATATTTGTAAGCATTGAAAGGAACTGGACCAATTCTTGTAATTCTTTTTGAAATTCAACTTCCACAACATTGTAGTTTGGAATAACAACGGAAAAGGACTTACTGTGGACACAAATTAGGTGATTTTGGGACTAACATATGACTCTATTTTATTTCAATAATTTGCTTCCTCATAAGGGTCTTTCAGCAGTGGGAGGAAACCGGAGGATTCAGAGAAAACCCATGAGGATGGACAGGCAACTCTACTCCTTGTCACGTACAAGTGGGGAATTAAAAGTACGGTCTACTTACCATCTCGTACGTTAACAGTGTATATCTCCTGTGGTATTCTGGGGGGTTTATTATTAGCGTCTGTTACCGTAATGGTGACAGTGGTAGTACCAGTCCTTGGTGGACCTCCTTTATCAATGGCATATACCTGATAATAAACATTGTTATTAATTACAATTATTAACTATCATATCGAGCATGCACCCTATATACACTATCGAGTACACATCTTAACTCTATTGAGTGCACAATTTCTATAATCTTTTGAGTGCACACCCTCTATACCCTATTGAGTGCATACCCTTTATACCTTTTGGAGTACACACATTCTATACCCTATCAAGTGCACACCGTCTATATCCTATTGAGTGTACATTTTCTATACCCTATTAAGTGCACATTTTCTATAATCGATTGAGTGCACATCCTCTATACCCTATTGAGTGCACACATTCAATACCTTATTGAGTACTCACATTCTATACCCTATCAAGTGCGCACCTTCTATACTCTATTGAGTGTACATTTTCTTTACTCTATTTATCACACATTTTCTATACCCTATTGAGTGCACATCCTCTATACTCTATTAAGTGCACATATTCTCTACCCCATTGAGTATACATGTTCTATAATCTATGGAGTGCACATCCTCTAAAGCTTACTGAGCCTCTATACCCTATAGAGCACACATCCTCTATACCCTATAGAGCACACATTCTCTATACCCTATTGAGCACACATCCTCTATACCCTATTGAGTACATATCCTCTCTGCCCTATTGAGCACACAACCTCTCTACCCCTCAATACTCTATAGAGCACACATCCTCCTCTAGACCCTATTGAGCACACATCCTCTAGATCCTATTGAGCACACATCATCTATATTGAACACACATTCTCAATACCCTATTGAGCACACATTCTCAATACCCTATTGAGCACACATCCTTAATACCCTCTATACTCGTGTCCGTACAGAAGAGCAGGATGCTAAACGCCATTTCATTGCCCATATCTTTAGAATTTTAAAACTACTGAGCAATAATGGTACTTACGACTAATTCATAGCGAGGAAAAGCATCAAAATCGAGTTGAGCTCTTTGACTGATGGTAACCATACCAGAGTCCTCGTTTATCTCAAAATTATCCAATCCTCCTCGATCAATAGTATATCTTATCAAGCCATTCTCACCATTATCACTATCCCTAGCTGTAACCGTGACGATCTCAGAACCTTTATAAATGGGAAAATCACACAGAAATTTAATTATAGTCTGTTTCAACAATTCAATGACAGGAAAAGGTCATGGGTTAACGGTGGTATTCACCAGGTGGTAAAGGATTAACTATATTTACATGTACAGTGCACTTTGTCACATCCGACATCGTACGGGATCGTTACAATATGGCGGATTACGCAGAGTGTCGGAATACCCAGTTTTCTCAAAACATGAAAAATTGTAACTTCGAAAACCGGAAGTATTATTTTAATGTAGCTTCGAAAATAGAACTTCGAATCACCAGAATGTTATTCCCTCTAAAAATGATAAACTTTTCTGTACATTCAAAATTTTATTACATTACTTTTTATTTCATTTAAGATGCGTAGGCATTTTCAATAGGTCAAGTCTGTCGTTAATTTATCTTCTTCGCTGTCTTCAGTTGATCGCACTCTTGTCTTTGCTATCACGTGTTCATTGATAATGGGCGTACTCGATTGAACGTTCCGGAATTGAATTTTCTCAATCACAAAAATATTGACAATCGAGTGAAAATAGGTGCTTCGGGCTACAACGCATGCGTCGACTGGATATATAAATATCTCATCCAACCATGCAGCCGGAACCTGTTCGTCGTGTCGTCAGGACTGACAGAACTGTGACAGGACGGAATTCCGCGTCACTCGATTGCAATTCTGTCAATTTGGGACGTTCCGGACTGTGAATCGAGCATCGTCACACGGTTCGAAGAGATCCGTAGGGTGACCAAACTTATTGGTTATTCAGGTTCAATCGGCATGCGCAACGAATGTTTCCAAAGGGTGCGAGGAATATTTTTACGACTGTGAATTTTGGGGAAAATTTGTGGATATTCTTGAGTATTTGTCAAAACTGTCTTACAACTTACAAGAGACCAAACTTATAGGTTATTCAGGTTCAATCGGCATGCGCAACGAATGTTTCCAACAGGTGCTAGGAATATTTTGACGACTGTGAATTCGGGGGAAAATTCGTGGATATTCTTGAGTATTTGTCACAACTGTCGTACAAGAGATTAAAATTATCAAAGTAATCAACAAAGACCCATGTTAGCGAGTTTTAATCTAACAGATAATTGATTGATGATTGCTTGTTAATCTTTTGTGGCTTCACACCCATCCAGTTTTAATCTCACGGATAATTGATCGGTAAGTGTTTGCTTCACACCCACCGATTGAAGGCCGGATTGTACGGTGTCGATTCAATGGAAATCGTATTGATGTCGTAATCCGGAACGTACAGAGGTCGAATTACCCAGAGATTTTTTGGCTGAAGTAATAAGGAAATAAATCGGGACATGAAAATGGTGTCGGATGTAACAAAGTGCTGGAGTGATCAGAGGTCGGATGTCACAGAGTGCACTGTAGTAGGTACTAAAGGGTTAACTAGGGGTAGTCTATATTTACATGTACCAGGATCTAAAGGGTTAACTAGGGGTAGTCTATATTTACATGTACTAGGTGCTAGAGGGTTAACTAGGGGTAGTCTATATTTACATGTACCAGGTGATAAAGGGTTAACTGGGGGTAGTCTATATTTACATGTACCAGGATCTAAAGGGTTAACTAGGGGTAGTCTATATTTACATGTACCAGGATCTAAAGGGTTAACTAGGGGTAGTCTATATGTACATGAACCGGGGGATAAAGGGTTAACTGGGGGTAGTCTATATACATGTACCAGGTGATAAAGGGTTAACTGGGTGTAGTCTATATTTACATGTTCTGGGTGCTAGAGGGTTAACTGGGTGTAGTCTATATTTACATGTACCAGGATCTAAAGGGTTAGCTGGGGGTAGTCTATATGTACATTTACCAGGTGATGAAGGGTTAACTGGGGGTAGTCTATATTTACATGTACTAGGATCTAAAGGGTTAACTGGGGGTAGTTTATATTTACATGTAGCAGGTGATAAAGGGTTAACTGGGGGTAGTCTATATTTACATGTACCAGGTACTAGAGGGTTAACTAGGGGTAGTCTATATTTACATGTACCAGGTGATAAAGGGTTAACTGGGGGTAGTCTATATTTATGTGTACCAGGATCTAAAGGGTAAAATGGGGGTAGTCTATATGTACATTTACCAGGTGATACATATTGGCATGCACGTAAAAGATCCCTTGACAGTTGGAATTCGATATAAGAGTAGGTCGTAGTGCTGCTGTCTGGGCAAAATTTGCCTCATAGCACACTGTATGGCGTATGCCCGTTTTCATTAGCCCAGTTTGGAGCAGAACAGTAGGACGTTAAACCCCATTTCATTTTATGTGATTTCATTTCTCTTGCTAAAGAAGTGTAATATTTTGTGTATTACCTGAAAGGGCGACTTCTGATATGGTTTTACTATAAGATGGTGGGTTGAATATGGGGCTATTATTGTTTTCATCCTGTAAAAATAAAAACAAACAAATTAAGTTAAATGACAGGCAAGCAGGGCTGTCTTACTGCATGGGTACACTAAGCATTTGCCCGGGGGGGGGGGGGGGGGCAGGTTTTCAACTTATGTCTGGTCAATAGTTCGATTAACAAGTTAATACGAGCATCGCAAAAACAAACTTCCTCTTTATATCAGACAAATCGTATCAGTTTCTGTTTTTAAATCACAAGTCAAGAAGTACCATCTTATTTATAATTCCTGGTATTTATCAATATCTTTAAAATTATTGTTTTATATTTTACTCTGTCATGTTGTTATATCATGCACGTTAATTGTCTGCGTTATGTGCAAAATGCGGGATCCACGGTGACTAAATGTCTAAGACGCTGGCTCGCTAGTCTGGGGGTCGGGTGTTCAATCCCTGTATTGGCCGAGAAAGTTCATCAGGACTTTTCGACGTGGTTTCCCTTTGTCAGTGGTGCAGGACTAAGGGCCTGACAAGGACAGCTGTCTAGTCGTTTGGATGGGACGAAAATCAAGGTCCCGTTTATACATTGGCGAGCATGTAAAAGATCCCTTGGCAGTTGGAATTTGATATAAAGTAGGCCATAGTGCCACTGCCCAGGCAAAATGTCCCCCATAGCACACTGTATGGCGTATGCCCTTCCTCATCTCTGAAAGTTATCTCAATTAACTCTGAATGTCATTTGAGGGATTATCATCATTTGATACTTTTTTAAGGGCGTATTACTGTACCCGACCCCAACTCCTGACCATCTTTTTTATAAGAATCATAATTAACTTACCTGTACATTGACGGTTACAGTAGTATTAGTCTGTAATCCAGCTTCACCATTCAAACCTCGATCACTAGCTTCGACAATCAACTCAATTCTGATTTAAAAAATAATTTATTCTTTATAAATAGTCTGAGAGAGTGAGACAGAGAGCAAGAGAGAGAGTGAGAGAGAGAGAAGATAGTTTATTGTCCACTTGACACAAACCAGGTCATTTCGGGACTAACATATGGTTTAATTTTAGTTCAATAATTCACTTGCGCGTACGGGTCTTTAGCAATGGGAGGAAACCGGAGGACTCGGAGAAAACTCACGAGGCTGGACAGGCGATCCTACTCCTTGTCACGTACAACCGGGGAATCGAAACCACGCCAGTTGACTCAATGACAGGCCTTATGATACAGCGTGCACATGCCAACCATTCGGCCATTCAACCCCACTGATTTGAAATGAAATGGAATTAAATGGACTTTAACGTCCTGCTGTTCTACTCTGACTGGGCTAATGAAGATGGGCATTTACCTGGACAGCGGCACTACGGTCTACTCTTATATCGAATTCCAACTGCCAAGGGATCTTTTATGTGCACGTCAATGTGTACATAAGACTTCGGTTTTTCATCACATCATCAGAACGACTAGACAGCTGTCCTTGTCAGGCCCTCCATCCTGCATCACTGACAAGGGGGAGATGACGTCAGAAAATCCCAATGAATATTCTTGGCCAATGCCAGGAGTGAACCCACAACCTTCGGCGAGCCAGTGTCTTACCTGCTTAAAATGATGATCTACTTACTTGCCCGATTGACCAGGTGTGTCATCGTAATCAATATTTTTAGTTAGAGTTAACACCCCTGAATTGGGATCAATACTAAATGCATTGTTTATGTTGCCAGCAATAATTCGATACGTTACCACACCAGTTGGATCTTCAGGATCAGTTGCCTGGAATACAATAAATAAAACAAGTGAGTAAGATGCTGGCTCAATAAATGAATCAGTTTGGAAATATTACAGAGGTTTCGCAACTTTACATTTATATTAACACTTACATTTACACTTAAAACGTAATCAATTTTTGTGACGTGAAGCGCAAATCATACAAGTGTGTCTGCTGGATAGCAACACTTAGCTAAATCTTGTTTAATTTCTATAATCCTGTCCATATTTTTTCTCTGAATCGTGGTTTTTACGAACTAAATCCACAGAGAGGCCCTTCTCCTTCATGTAGACAAAATAAGAGGCTGAGACAAAACATGCATGCTTTTAGTAATCTCATCTTCAAGAATCTATCGGTGATAACGGCCGATCAAGATCATGGACCAGTTTTGTGCTGCCACCTTCTAGGTGTAACTGTAAGTGTGAATTAAGTGAAACGTCATAATGTACAGTTAGACTTATCTTAATGTAAACGTAAGTGTAACTGGACAGTTGCGATACCTCTCTATTAATGAGGGGGTGGGGTGGGTGGATGGCCGAATGGTTAGCACTTGCGCGCTGTATCATAAGGTCTGTCATTGAGTCAACTGGCGGGATTTTGATTCCCCGGTTGTACGTGGAAGGAGTAGGGTCACTTGTCCAACCTCGTGGGTTTTCTCCCACTGCTAACTAAAGACTCCTACGTGCAAGTGAGTTATTGAAATAAAATTGAACCATAGGTTAGTCCCAAAATGACCTAGTTTGTGTTGAGTGGAGGTTAAACCTCATTTTTCTGCTCAGTCATTACAACTGATATACTGCCACGATGAATTCCGTGTAAAACACATGCTTTTCATTTTAGATGAAATGTCTGATGACATTATTTCTACATAAGGCTCTCTCATGACTCCAATTTTCAAGTATTGGGTCAGTGAATTGAGAGTCATGGTTCAAATTTATCCTAATAATTTGATTTTGCAGTTGGAGGAAACCAGAGGACAATGAGAAAACCCACATACAAGTGGGGAATGAAAACTGACTCAATGACAAGATCTTATGATCTAAAGTGCAAATGTTTAACCATTTGGGCCACCTGCATCCTAGACTCCAAAGAGAGAGGGAGAAATGGGGTTTAACATCCACTCGACACAAACTAGGTCATTTTGGGACTAACATATGGTTTAATTTTATTTCAATAATTCGTTTGCGTGTAGGGGTCTTAGCAGTGGGAGTAAACCAGAGGACCCGAAGAAAACCCACGAGGTTGGACAGGCGACCCTATTCCTTGTCACGTACAACCGGGGATTTGAAACCACGTCAGTTGACTCAATGACAGGCTTCATGATACAGCGCGCACGTGCTAACCATTTGGGCCACCTGCACCCTAGACTCCAAAGAACTAATGAGTAAATTTATTTGGCCTCGACACTGAGACTGTTTTTACCACTTACCTGAACTGTTACTGCTGGTTGCAACTGTAGACTGGTTTCAAATACATATGTTTGATACGAATCTTGTATGAACTGTGGTCCCAGATCATTGAAGTCAGAAACTTTTAGTGTAAAAGTTTTGGTTGATTCTCTTGGTGGTAGCCCATTATCACGAGCTACCAGAATAACTGGATATTCGGTTTGTGTTTCATAATCCAAAGTCTGTCTGAGCCGGATTTCACCTGTAGCACTGTTCAGGTTAAACCTGTTTTAAAAAAAAAATAATGTTAAATATCTCAGAGACGCCATTTAGCATACGGCCACCGTCAAAGCCTGTCACATTATTTGTATTGTGTCTTTCTTGTAATATTGCTAAAAGAAAATTTTTAAAATTTATTTTGTGTTTTTGTCGTTTTCCCTTCTGTTTTATTGTAAGTTTGTCTTTCATTTTGCATAATGTCTGTCATTAAGTCAATTGGCCTGGTTTCGATTCCCTGGTTGTATGTGACAAGGAGTAGGGTTGCCTGTCCAATCTCATGGGTTTTCTCTGGGTCCTCTAAAGACCCCTACGTGCAAGCGAATTATTCAAATAAAATTGAACCATATGTTAGTCATGAAATGACCTAGTTTGTGTTGAGTGGAGTTACTTCATTTAAGAGATTCAACTTTGTAGTTTTCAAGATCTGAAATCTCTCTCTGTCTCTCTCTCTCTGTCTCTCTCTCCCTCTGAGATTCTACTTTGTAGTTTTCAAGGCCTGAAAAATGCCTCTGATCTAAGACTTACTTAAATTGATTTTTTACGCCGGTTATTTATTTTTTGGGGGGGTTCAAATCCGAGTAAAGCTTATTTATACTCACACTTCTAGATCCGTTCCTCGTAAGCTGTACGTAATTCTTCCATTTTCACCCTCATCTTTATCTGTAGCCTTTAGCAAAGTAAAACAATTTTACAATTTAAAGATACATTATGGCAGATTAGATAAAGAGCTGGCAGTTCTCACTATAATAGTTAAAAACTAGATAATGTAAAGGGAATTTGCTAAAAAATTTAAGTCAAATTGATCCGCTCTAAACCAAGAATTTAGCGTTTGAATTTTAGGCCTAGCCTTGATCATCATTACTAAAGTCAGTACAATAAAAAACATAGTCTCGATTATCCATTTCATGATTTAATCATGAATGGAAGTTGAGCAGCAAATCAGATCCTAATCCTGTAAATATCGCAAGCTAACGATGCCATCGAGAGTTGATTATAGTCTGCATAAGTTAATTAATGTCAAATTAATAATTTAGATAACATTTTAGGCCTAAAGAAAGACCTGCAATAGGCAGATTTAGCTCTTGCACATGTTTAATGATTTTAGCCAGTCTGTTTAACCTGATAAAAATGGTAGTATCCTAAAAACTAGATTTTGTTTTTTCTTACACATGTAATTTGCAATTATTTGGCGTCTCATGAAGGACGACCATAAAACCACATAACACATGTATTTGTTAAAGAAATCTAAAACTTAAGTTGTATTTACTTAAAGGTCTCACTCAGCCAAAAGAGAATATTTCATTAATAAATAACTATCATAAGCCTTAATAATATTTTAATTTTAAGTCCAATATATAATTTTTTGTGTACACCATGCTGACAAAGTGGTATAGACATGTGACTAAAAAACATGAAATATGAATTTATTTTGTAAAGTTTTCATGCGTTATCAAAAATGACCGACAGTAAAAATTTTGAAGTGAAAGCCCTGGTCTGATGTCTGCTAATGATATGGTAGACAAGAACTACACTGTGACCTAGGTATCATTTAATCTTGTGTATTTAGCACTAATTTCTTTCACATTCGTTTAATATCAAATCTTTAATTAGAAATTCATAAATAATCACCAAAAATTAACTAATTTGTACTTGTGTACAGTTTAAAACTGACCATTTATTGTTGATAATAAGTGGCCAATTTCGGGTATTTAATTTCTTGACCACTGTTCAAAAATTAATCATTATACATTAAATAATAATAATAATAATAATAATAAATACCGTTATAGTGATTATAGGTGTATTAATAGCTGAATCCTCTCGTAATGTTCGTTCATATTGCGCCTGTGCAAAAATAGGTGAATTGTCGTTCAAATCCAGTAAATTAATGGTAACTGTTGCACTTGATGTTTTTGGGGTTGACTGAGAAGAAGTCAGTTCCCTCGCTTCAATCTAAAATAATAAATACATATACAAGACATGAATCTAAGGCTAAATCTATTTTGTTCTTGAGGGTTTTGATTAATAAACAACCACAGGATTCTTATTGGAAGCCACGGTGCATAAGTGGGTAAGACGCTGGCTCGCTAGCCTGGAGGTCACGTGTTCGATCCCTGCATTGGCTGAGAAAGTTCATCGTAATTTTCCAAGGTGGTTTCGACTTGTCAGTGGTGCAGGACGGAGGGTCCTTCAAGGACAGCTGTCTAGTCGTTCGGATGGGGCGAAGAACAGTGTATACATTGGCGTGCCCTGGATCATCACATCTGGTTACGTTATTTGCGGAAACGGCTCACACCAGTGACCTCTACTGCAGTATCAATTCCTGGATGGCGTAGGATCTCAGACCAGACAGTCCATAGACGCCTACATGAAACCGTATTACGAGACAGACGTCCTCTTAGAGCTGTCGTTTTGAAATACATGGACATCATCAAATCCGACTTCAATGGGTTCAGACACACAGAGTATGGCCACAGCAACGCTGGAGAACAGTATGGTTCAGCGAAGAGTTGCGGTTCCTGTTGAAATGAGGCGATGGTATATATGTAACTGTAACACTGGTACTTACCACCACAATTTGTCGTCTGTAATTTGGATTATCAAAATCCAGAAAGTCGGAATTCAAAATCAGCATGTTAACGGCCGTTGTTCCTGTAGAATTGTCGCTAGGTGAGACACGGAAGGCACCAGGATAGGTCTGCCTACCAATCGTTACATAGTAATTAGCATTACTGGACTGAAAGTTACAAAAAACATCATCTTAAAAACAATAATAAAAGTTAAAGAACAACAAAATAATGCAATTATCTGAACTCACCTAAACTACTCCTGAACTCACCTAAAATACTTCTGAACTCACCTAAAATACTCCTGAAGCCACCTAAAATACTCCTGAAACTGAACTGATGTAATAATCCACACTTCCCCCACTGACCCACGTTATTGTGAGTTATATTTTTGTGTAATGATGAATAATAATTAAGCCTGCAGCGCCCAAAACTGCCTAAACTATCGCTTCCTTTGCCACTTCAAACATCCTTAGTCATGTGACTAGCTGTGATCTATTCAAGAACAGTATACTAGTACTGTGAACTATTCAAGAACAGTATACTAGTACTGTGAACTATTCAAGAACGGTATACTAGTACTGTGAAGCGGACTCGTGTTAACCCTTTAGACCTAGTGACTGTTTGAAGCAGTCCTAGTTAGGCCTCTTTAAAACTCCTTGAACCTGCTAAAGATCCCTGTGTGCATGTGAATTATTGAAATATAATTAAATCACAATGATCAAGTTTGTGTCACACGGACTTAAACCACAAATCAAACTCTCTCTCTCTCTCTCTCTCTCTCTCTCTCTCTCTCTCTGTAAATAGGGAAGAGAGAGAGAGAAATTGGGTTTAATGTCCACTCGACACAAACTAGGTCATTTCGGGACTAACATATGGTTCAATTTTATTTCAATAATTCGCTTGCACGTAGGGGTCTTTAATAGTGGGAGGAAACCGGAGAACCCGGAGAAAACCCACGAGGTTGGACAGGCAACCCTACTCCTTGTCATGTACAACCGGGGATTCGAAACCACGCCAGTTGACTCAATCAATGACAGGCTTTATGATACAGTCCGCACGTGCTAACCATTCGGCCAAAAAATTGAACCATATATTAGTCCCGAAATGACCTAGTTTGTGTTGAGTGGAGTTAACTCTCTCTCTCTCTCTCTCTCTCTCTCTCTCTCTCTCAAAAAATATTTAAACTTAACTTACATCATCCTTATCAGTGACTTGAATATTCAAATTAGGTACTTGACTGTTCGTCTGAGTTCCATTTGAATCCATTTCGGTTAAATTGACATTATAATTTGTGTTCTGGAAGGTAGGCTGGTTATCATTCTCATCCAGTATGTTGACAGTGACATCAGAATCCTCGAAAATTCCGCTTTTAGTTCCATTGGGATATAACTCTTCTGCCTGGAAATATCACAAGAATTATAAAAGATGTTTAAATTGATGTGCTGTGAGAAATGGAGGGCATCGTGGATCCGTGGAGGAGACTGACTCAGCATGGTTTCCATTTCTCTGTGGCGTAGGATGCGGGGTGGGGGGGCCCGCAATCTGATTACAGAACAGATCCTATTTCGTTTCGTTTTTTATAGTTCAAAATTTTGTTTTATATGTCTTTACTACACTAGGATCTGGAAGAGTTGTTATATTACTGGTGTTCTGGTTGAAGTGAGAGATTAGCCAATGGAACGGTCTGATATACGGCAAGTTCTTGGTGTGCAATGCACGGAACTGTGTGTAAACCACTAGAAACGTCAGAAGCCGCTCCTACAACCCCTGACACAACCTTCCAGTACAACCGGTCAGATCTTCATGTAATGTAGACCATCGAAAGTATAAAAATGAAACAATATATAGATCTGTATTTTAATCAGATTGGGGGCCCCCGGCAACAATCGTCTATTTATTCGTAAAATAATCCTTCACAGTGTTGACGATGTCCAAGCATCAGTGCCCACTGCATGGTGTTTGCCTGTCCTCACTAACCCGGTTTCAAAAATGACCCGCATCGATGTTTCGAATGGCAACCTCTAGCGTTTGATTATTCCAGTCTACACCGATAGTATTTATAGGGCATGCTCTCCAGATAAGAATATGGCGTCAGTGTTTGACAAGACTTGTGGAATATGTCTAGCCTCTTTCTTTGAGTTCCTTGTTACAAATGGCAATTCGTGTACCAATGGTAAAATGTTTATTTTGTCTTAAATATTAGATATCAGAAGCCCATCTTTTCCCGGTTAGATCACAACATCAATGTTGATTTAAATTGACAAATATTTTGTGTTTTCAATATCGAAGACTCTGAATGATATTGAGTTAGAGACTTAGCTACTTTAAGTTGAAGAACGAAAAGCATGTAACTAAAAAAGTGATATACCCGGACTTGGAAAATATATCTTCCTTGTAGTTCTTCTCTGTCTATAGGTTGTCTGGTTAAAACTGATGCTTGATAAGCTTTATTTGTCACATCAATAGGTGTTGATGGTCCCATCCGAAACAGGCCCTTAGTATCTGAAAACGAAAATAAGTATTATTTGTTTTGTTTTTTTTCGCTATTAAAAATTCAAGCACTAAAAATGTCCATATTATTGGATAAAAGTTCCTGTTTCACAATGAGAGAGAGAGAGAGAGAGAGAGAGAGAGAGAGAGAGAGAGAGAGAGAGATGTGGTTTAACATCCACTCGACACAAACTAGGTCATTTCGGGACTAACACATAGTTCAATTTTATTTCAATAAATCGCTTGCGCATCTGGGTCTTTGGTACTAGGAGGAAGTCGGAGGACCCAGAGAAAACCCATGAGGTTGGACAGGCAACCCTACTCCTTGTCGCGTACAATTGGGGCATCGAAACCATGCCAGTTGATTCAATGACAGACCTTATGATACAACGCGCACATGCTAACCATTCGGCCATACACCCCCCCTCAACTTCACACAAAGTAGTCAGACTGTCAAGTGTGGGACCTCAATACAGACCTTATGATACAACCCGCACATGCTAACCATTCGGCCATCCAACCCCCCTTGTAGATTAATAGATTTCCATGACAACATATTATAAATAACATCAGGTACCATACAGCAAAAGGTACCACGCATACTTATCGTTACGGATAGAGATATCTATAGCTCTCGGAGCACCTTGATCAAGAGGTTCCACGCATACTTACCATTAACGATAGAGATATCTACAGCTCTTGGAGCACCTTGATCTTGATCCTGTGCTGATATTGACGGAGTTAAAGAGGTTCCCTAAATAATAAAATAAATTAATACATTGATTCACAAAAAGTTTCCCATTAATAAACGTGGACGAAATTACTGGTTCGATTTCAAAATAAAAATAAAAATTTGGAAACTGTTCTTTCTGAACCATAAACAAATATTCCTACTAAATCTTTTAAGTTTTTCCTAAATCGTGTTCACAAGTCTTAATGGTCAGAACTAGAATGGAATGATTCAAACATTTTGATGTTCCAATTACTAAATGCCATTCAAAGAATATCTCTGAGGTTCTATGTATATATTAGCGTGCACGTAAAAGATCCATAGGCAGTTGGAATTCAATAAAAGAGTAGGCCATAGTGCTGCAACCCGGGCAAAATTTCCCTCATAGCACACTGTATGGCGTATGCCGGTTTTCATTAGCCCAGTTGGAGTGGAACAGTAGGACGTTAAACCCATTTCATTTCATTGCATTTTTTTCTCCTAGGATTTGCCCATTATATCTTTCAGTGGATTCAAAGATGAATTTGATTTCATTTATCAAACATACATTATACAAGAGCTCGCCTTAAAAAACAATGACTGTTCTAAATACTTACAATAGCAATGTTTTCCTGTACGTAAATTGTCAGAGGAACATTGAGAAATTCTGGCGGCGAATCCTGGGTATCTTGGACTTCTATTAAAACATTGGCTGTTGAATTAAAACGTTTTTCTCCTGCTACACCTCGATCCTACAAACATAGCATTTAAAACATTCTAGTTGTTTGGTAAGGACAATAAACATAGCAATCAAAACATTCTAGTTGTTTGGATAGGACAATAAACATAGCAATCAAAACATTGAAGTCATCAGCAATTCTAGTTGTTTGGATAGGACGAAAAACAGAGGTCCTTTGGCATGCACGTAAATGATCATTGGGATTTTCTGACATGGTTTCCCCTTGTCAGTGGTGCAGGAAGGAGAGCCTGACAAGGACAGCTGTCTAGTTGTTCGGATGGGATCAAAAACTGAGGTCCTTTGGCAGTTGAAATTCCATATAAGAGTAGGCCATAGTGCCGCTGCCCGGGCCAAATTTCCCTCATAACACACTGCATGGCATATACCCATTTTCATTAGACCAGTAGGATGTTAAACCCCATTTTATTTCACTTCATTTCCGTTAGCAGTTAGAATTCAATTTAAGAGTAGACAATAGCGCCGTTGTCTGCACAAAATTTCCTCATTAAATTTTGTATAGTATATATGTATACACGTATTCATTAGCCCAATTGAAGCAGAACTGTAGGACGTTAAACCCCATTTCATTGCATTGCATTTCATTTCAATTCATCCGCAATTCTCGGGAAACAATATCAAATTTTCCATGGCATAATTCATGTTAAAATGTACCAAAATTATATTGTAAAATTTAATTTAAAGGGACAATAACACTCTGGCTGGCTTGACAGCTCCAGAAAATAAATAATAGCCTTATTCTAAGTACTAGATGTGTTAGTGTCTTACCTGTTGTGTAAATTATCCATTAAATCCTATTTTACTTGTCCAGAGGGTTCAAAAATATTTTTAAATCCAAATCACATTTGAAAAGCTTTACGTCAGGCTTTTCAAATCATTTAGTTGAATTTTTCCAATTTTTTTAAATTAGGTGTGTTAAGATGAAATTTGTATCATCAATTAATTTTGGAATATTGTAAAATAGTGCAATTTGTTGACCAGAATAAAGATTGGGACATATTGTTCAGTTACAACAAGAGTGGTATTGAGCCTTTAAAAACACATAATCTAAATGTCTTTTGTAAATAATCTTCCGACTTGGATGTAACCGGATTAAAAAGATGCTCATTAAAAGATTGCAGCAAAGATTAACCTTAAACCTAACCCTAACCCTTGGGGCTGTCCTCGGTATCCCCAGTGTTTTCATTCTGTTCTACTTCACTATACCCTGGGTTAATCCATGGGGTTTTCTCGATTTCAAATTATCTACCCTGGCCTTGATCATAGCTCGAGTCTGACAAGTTGTAGTGGAAGATTGCATCAGAGGTCATACGAGCGGCTTTTGACCCTATGACGTCAGACATTTGATTAACCAATCAACAATGATGTTTGTAATGGGTCACCCACAGTTCCTTGCACCTCACGCCAAAAATGTGCCGTAACAGACCGTTTCATTGGCTAATCCCTCACATCATCCAGAACGCGTCAATAACAACAAGTCTTCCAGATCCTAGTAAAACGAAATTTTGAACTATAAAAAAAAAAAAAAAACGAAATAGGATCTGTGTTTTAATCAGATTGAAAGAGTTACTTACCTTAGCTAAGAGAGTCATCGTATAACCTCTTTGAGTTTCATAATCAACTTGTTTTTTTAGATAGATTGTAGAGTTGTATCTACCTTCCCCCGTTTGTATCGAGGTCACACCAAAGTAATCACAAGCTTCTTCAGCCTGAATAAAAATACAAGTACATAACAAGGTCAAATTAGAGAGAGAGAGAGAGAGAGAAATGGGGTTTAACGTCCACTTGACACAAACTAGGTCATTTCGGGACTAACATATGGTTTAATTTTATTAACATAATTCGCTTGCGCGTAGGGGTCTTTAGCAGTGGGAAGAAACCGGAGGACACAGAGAAAACCCACGAGGTTGGACAGGCGACCCTACTCAATACCACACCAGTCGACTCAATGACAGACTTTATGATACAGCGCGCGCACTCTAACCATTCAGCCACCCAACCCCCCCGGTCAAATTAGAAACGGTAGCCTTTATTTTGTATTGAAGATACATTATGGGAGATTCGATAAAGAGTTGGCAGTTCTTACTATAATAGTTAAAAACTAGATAATGTAAACGCCATTTGCTGAAAATTTCATTCAAATTGATCCACTATGAACCGAAAACTAAGCGATTGAAATTTCAACCTAGCCTCGACCATCATTACTAAAGTCACAACGATAAACAGCATAGTCTCGATTATCCATTTAATTGTTAAATTGTGAAGGAAAGTTATCCAGTAAATCGGCTCATAATCCACTAAAGATCGCAGGCTAGCGATGCCATCTAGAGTTGATTAAGGTCTAGATAGGTTAATAAATGCCTAATTAATAATTTAGATAACATTTCAGGCCTAAAGGAAGACCTGCAATAGACAGATTTAGCTTTTGCATAATGTATGTTTAAGGGGCATGCCTCTAAAATTATTTTTCAGATTTTGCTAAAAACAAACAGGAATCCTTGTCTTGTCATAATACAAGTTTTCTGAGAGTTTTTTGAGAAGAAACTAACGACAGAGGAAAATTGTTTCACAATATACATCCACGATCCACATCATATGCCCAGTATTTCCAAATAAGGAGCCATGGTGGCAAAATAAGACGCTTTTTCGCTAGTCTGGAGGTCGCGGTATCATTCCCGGTGTTGGACAAGAAAGTTCATCAGGATTTTCTGGGGTAGTTTTCCCTTGTCAGTGGTGCAGGACGGAGGGCCTGATAAGGATAGCTGTCTAGTTGTTCGTGTACCATGTAAAGATTAGCGTACACACAAAAGATCCTTTGGCAGTTGGAATTTGATATAGGAGTAGGCCGTAGCGCCACTGTCCAGGTAAAATTTCCCGTCTTCGTAAGAACAGTAGGACATTAAATCTGTTTCATTTCTTTTCATTATATTTCCATGTCTCAAAGAGGCAATTTCAGTGAGAAAGACATGAGTGTAGGATGGAGGATTTCCCCTTGTCATTAGTGTAGGATGGAGGATTTCCCCTTGTCATTAGTGTAGGATGGAGGATTTCCCCTTGTCATTAGTGTAGGATGGAGGATTTCCCCTTGTCATTAGTGTAGGATGGAGGATTTCCCCTTGTCATTAGTGTAGGATGGAGGATTTCCCCTTGTCATTAGTGTAGGATGGAGGACTTCCCCTTGTCATTAATGTAGGATGGAGGATTTTCCCTTGTCATTAGTGTAGGAAGGAGGACTTCCCCTTGTCATAAGTGTAGGATGAAGGATTTCCCCTTGTCATTAGTGTAGGATGAAGGATTTCCCCTTGTCATTAGTGTAGGATGGAGGATTTCCCCTTGTCATTAGTGTAGGATGGAGGATTTCCCCTTGTCATTAGTGTAGGATGGAGGATTTCCCCTTGTCATTAGTGTAGGATGGAGGATTTCCCCTTGTCATTAGTGTAGGATGGAGGATTTCCCCTTGTCATTGGTGTCGGATGGAGGATTTCCCCTTGTCATTAATGTAGGATTTATTTCATTTAACTTTTATCTCTGGACAATTAATTAAAGGAATTAGATATACCTGTACATCATCTGCAAAACAGGAAATATCAACGACAGCATTTAAACCACGATCTGTATCCACTACCTGTATGACCAACCCTGGTAGAAGTGTTGTTATTCCTGGTACAGCATCCTAAAATAGCCAAAAAATACATACATGTAGTGTTTAACTAATCTACATAAATACCTCAATCAGATTAAAATACAGATCTGGCGTGGTTTCGATTCCCCGGTTGAACGTGACAAGGATTTAGGGGCGTATTCAGGATTTTTTAACGGGGGGTGTCAGGAGTTTAGACAACTTTAAGTTTGCCGTGAGGTCTGGGGATTTAAAAGAGAATTTGATTAAATCAAACACGCGCCTTATATTCATTTTCTTATATTCTTTGGCTAAGTGGGTGTTCGATCCCTGCATTGGCTGAGAAAGTTCATATGTATGGCGTATGCCCGTCTTCATTAGCCCAGTCGGAGCAGAACAGTTGGACGTTAAACCACTTTTCATTTCATTTGGTGTGGTTTCGATTCCCCGGTTGTACGTGACAAGGATTAGGGTCGCCTGTCCAACTTTGTGGGTTTTCTCCGGGTCCTCCGGTTTCCTCCCACTGCTATTGAAATAAAATTAAACCATATGTTAGTCCCGAAATGACCTAGTTTGTGTCCACCCCATTTCTCTCTCTCTCTCTCTCTCTCTCTCTCTCTGTATAGAACTATTGGTATATATCAATATATATACATGTATAACACTTACTTCCCGTATTCTACCAGAATAAGCTGTAGAGCTAAGAAAGGTTGGAGCATTGTCATTTTTATCTGTTATTGTTATCTCTATGTCTGCTGTCGCCTGAGGGAGAAAAAAAACAGTTTAGTTTATAACAAAATGATGTAGAACATATGTCATATTTATAACAGAACAGGGTGTATATGACAGAAGAACCTATGTCACATCTATAATAGAACAAGGTGTACATGACAATAGAACATATTTCACATCTATAATAGAATAAGGTGTATATGACAATAGAACATATGTCATATAATAGAACATGTCACATCTATATTAGAACAAGGTGTACATGACAAAAGAACAATTATGTCAAATCTATAATAGAACATATTTCACATCTATAATAGAACAAGGTGTATATGACAATAAAACATATGTCATATAATAGAAAATGTCACATCTATAATAGAGCACATGTCACATCTATAATAGAACAGAGTGTATATGACAATAGAACATATGTCACATCTATAATACAACAGGGTGTATATGACAGAAGAACATATGTCACATCTATAATAGAACAGGGTGTATATGACAGAAAAACATATGTCAGTCAAATAAACACCAACAAATTATAACAGAACATGACGTACATTGTATTTCACTTTCACAGACCAAAACCGTCATCATGAAAATGAAAACTCAGGAATTTACCTTTAAATGAAAACTTAGGAAAGTATCTCATAATGAAAACTTAGGAATGTATCTCTAAATAAAAACTAAGTTCAACTTACCGTTAATTGGTTGTCCATACAGGAGAATTTATGAACTAAAATTCGGGCTCCAGTATTGGATACGGAATTAGCTGGCGAGTTCTGAAAAACAGAATCAGAAAAACAGGATTAAACTTTAGATATGGAGAGCGAGAGAGAGAGAGAGAGAGAGAGAGAGAGAGAGAGAAATAGAGTTGGGTAACATCCACTGGACACAAACTAGGTCATTTCAGGACCAACACATGGTTCACTTTTATTTCAATAATTCACTTGCGGGTAGCGGTCTTTAGCAGTGGGAGGAAACCAGAAGACACGGAGAAAACCCACGAGGTTGGACAGGCGACCCTACTCCTTGTCACGTACAACTGGGAAATCGAAATTCCACCAGTTGACTCAATGACAGACCGTATGATACAGCACGCCCGTGCTAACCATTGGGCCATCATCCACCCCCTCCTTTAGATCTGGCCATATGTATTACAAAAATCCCAAATTGAGAAAATCAATCATCAGAGATCAAAATCTGAAACAGTCCATATTTTCAAACATCTTTTATGAACTCAAATTTTTCGCCCAGGTTTTTAAGGAAATGGGATCTGTGCTTTAATCAGATTGTTGGGGAGCCACAGGGGTTTATTTAGCCAGAAGGTCTTGGGTTTGTTCCCTGTGTTAGCCGAGAAAATTCCTCAGGAGTTTCTCGTGTCGTTTCCCCCTGTTGGCCTTTCTGTCCTGCACCACCCGGGAAACCATGTGGGAAATCTTGAGGAGCTTTCTCAGCCAACACGAGAAACAAACCCAAGACTTCCTGCTTAACTAATCCCTTGTGGCTCCCCAACTATCTGATTAAAGGACAGATCCTATTTCGTTTCGTTTTTTATAGTTTAAAATTTCATTTTACTTGTCTTCACAACACTAGGATCTGGAAGGGTTGTTATATAACCCGCGTTCTGGATGATGTGAGGGATTATCCACTCGAAGGGTCTGTTACGGCAAGTTTTTGGCGTGACCTTCACGGAACTGTGGGTAACCCACTAGAAACATAGACGCTGATTGGTTAATCAAATGTCTAATGTCATAGGGTCAAAAGACGCTCGTATGACCTCTAACGGGACCTTCCACAAGGACTGGTCACATATTCATGTAGTGCAGGCCATTGAAAGTATAAAAAAACGAAAGGAAATATAGATCTGTATTTTAATCCGATTTATGTTAAATTTAACATTGACGTCAATGTTAAACATACATTATGGGAGATTAGATAAAGAGCTGGCAGTTCTCACTACAATAGTTAAAAACTAGATAATGTAAAGGTAATTTGCTGAAAATTTCAGTCAAATTGATCCACTCTGAACCGAGATTTTAGCGATTGAATTTTGGGTCTAGCCTCGATCATCATTACTAAAGTCGGTACATAAAAAACATAGTCTTGATTATCCATTTTTGGATTTAATTATCAATGAGGGTTAAGCAGCAGATAGGATTCTAATCCAGAAAATATCGCAGACTAGCGATGCCATCGTGAGTTGATTATGGTCTGGATAAGTTGATCAATGTCTAATTAATAATTTATATAACATTTCAGGTCTAAAGAAAGACCTGCAATTGGCAGATTTAGCTCTTGTATAATGTATGTTTAAGAGTCCATTAGTGTGTCATACCTCTCGATCTAACAGCCGATTCATAAAAACGGTACCAGTCGCGTTGACAAGTAACGTTTGTCCTTCACCCTGGTATGTTATTGCATCTCCGTCTGCATCGGTACAGCTGAGTTTACCAAGAACACTACCTGGAATATAATAAAAATAGAAATAAAAAACACAATAAGAGAGAGAGAGAGAGAGAGAGAGAGAGAGAGAGAGAGAGAGAGAGAGAGAGAGAGAGAGAGAGAGAGAGAGAGAGAGACAGACAGAGAGAGAGACAGACAGACAGAGAGAGAGAGAGAGAGAGAGAGAGAGAGAGAGAGAGAGAGAGAGAGAGAGAGACAGACAGAGAGATAGAGAGAGAGAGAGAGAAGAGGAGAGAGAGAGAGAGAGAGAGAGAGAGAGAGAGAGAGAGAGAGAGAGAGAGAGTTAACTCCACTCAATACAAACTAGGTCATTTCGGGACAAATATATGGTTCAATTTTTTGGCCGGATGGTTAGCATGTGCGAACTCTATCATAAAGCCTGTCATTGAGTCAACTGGTGTGGTTTCGAATCCCCGGTTGTACATGACAAGGAGTAGGGTCGCCTGTCCAACCTCGTGGGTTTTCTCCGGGTCCTCCGGTTTCCTCCCACTGCTAAAGACCCCTACGCGCAAGCGAATTAGTGAAATAAAATTGAACCATATGTTAGTCCCAAAATGACCTAGTTTGTGTCGAGTGGACATTAAACCCCATTTCTCTCTCCCTCTCTCTCTTCTATTTACACAGTGCATTCTATTGGAGTTTCATCTTTTTCCAACCAGACATAATTTAGGGTAAAGATATCTCCTACAGTTTATACAAAGAAATAATGTAGCTAACCCTAACCCTAACTTACCAATAGGAAGGTTTTCTTCGATTCCCTTGACAGTGAGGCGATCATACAGGTTTCCATCTATACCATCTCTAGCTAACGTCCGAAATTGTGGAGCGGCTACAAAAAAAAATTAAAAATATCAAAATAATTTTCATCTCATTACGATCCATAAACGTTTAGCCTGCCTTAAAGGGGGTATAGCTCTATTCTTTGGAACCTTGAAACAGGCAACAAGCGCATCGGTACCGCTGCAATATACATCCACATTCCTGGGCGCGTCAAGGCATGCACCAAAATAAATAATTGCTTTCTTTACCGTATAAATGAAATGAAATGGGGTTTAACGTCCTACTGTTCTGCTCCTAAACTGAGCTAATGAAGACGGGTTCTTTACCGTATAAGGAATTTATATACAAAGTTCCAAGATAATCTATTCAGAATTGCAGCCTGTAGATGATTAGCAGAAAAATTGGGCGTGGCTCAGCCCCGGGGGGTTGGATATGGAACAATACAAGAAGGTCCATGTACAATGTTATGACGGATCATGCCAAATTGGATCCAAATCTGTTAATAATTGCAACCTGTAGATTATTTAAAGACAAAATATTAACAAAAAGTGGGTGTGGCACTGCCCAAGGGGCGGGGGGGGGGGGGCTGATCATGCACCAAAATCAATAGTTGCCGTCTTTAGGGTGTAAGGAATAAGTTCCAAGATAATCCATTTAGAATTCTGGCCTTAAGACACTTAACACAAAAAATGGGCGTGGTTCAATCAATAGTTGCCATCCTTAGGCGATAAGGAATACATACACATGCATGCCAAGCTCCAAGATGATCCATTCAGAATTGCGGACTGTATACGATGATAAACACAAAAACTGGGCGTGGCTCTGCACCTGGGGGTCGGAACATGCACCAAAATTAATAGTTGTCATCCTTAGGTTATAAGGAATACATATGCCAAGTTCCAAGACGATCCATTAAAGCGAGAATTTCATATTTTCTAAGAAAGTCAAAACATAATTATTTCTATGTCTTTTGCTCAATAGGTTGTCAACTCACTATTATACGATTATAGGTATTATTCTCACACTTAAAAATCATTCACCCCGGAAATAATAACACAATTACCTCCCTTGTTTTTCTATTCCCCGCATGGAATAGCTATCTTCAAACGTTTGAATTTAAAGTTGAAAATGATATTTTTGCCACTTTCTCAACTGGCAATAGTGAATTATAGGATTAATAGGATTATTCTTTAACAAGGTAGGACTGTTTATACATACCATCTATTTAAAGGCTTTATTTTAATACATTTTAAAAATATAACTTAAAAATATGAAATTCTCGCTTTAAGAATTATCCATTTTATTGCTAAAGTTTTAAATCTTTAGGTGTTCAAATCAATTTAAATCTCGGCCATCCGACTTTCTAGAGAGCTCATTAAAGGCTTCTGTGAAACAGATTTAAAAGCTATACTCACCGTTTTGACAAGATGAAAGGGATAATGATCCTGTAAAAAAATAATATCAAAATTGTATGAGATGGATTCATTTAGCTCTTTAAAACCCTACGACAGACAACTAATGTGAATTTCAGAAAGAAAGTTTTAGAATTGCAGCCTATAAAATGCCACACTGATCAGCAGTGAATATTCGCTACAGTCACTGATAAGGATGACATCGATGCGACTTAATGAGCGCCAAATATTAACGTTTATCCTTCTGCAAATTGAATTCTAGAACATTTTTTTTAAGCATTTCAAATATATGTAGAAAAATATGTTAAAATATTGGTATGTAAAATGAGTAAAAGCCACCATTTTGCCCGGGTTAGTATCATTTTATGTAAACATTGCACGTACCATTAAGCCAATGTTAATGGTGCGTGAAGTCACATGATACGGCAGTCATCTTTAACAGAGTTATTAGTCTTCGCGATACCTCTGTAAAACCGATTGATAAAATGCTAACAAGATTTCATAACAAAGGGGCATAATTTTGGAAGTTGATTGAAAATTGAAAATCAATTGGATGAATTTTTTCTACAGGAAATAGACAACCAATTTAAATTTCAGAGAGAGAGAAATGGGGTTTGAATGGCCAAATGGTTAGCGCATGCGCGTTGTATCATAAGGTCTGTCATTGAGTCAACTGGCATGGTTTCCATTCCCCGGTTGTATGTGATAAGGAGTAGGGTCGTCTGTCCAACATCGTTGGTTTTCTCCAGGTCTTCCGGTTTCCTCCCCCTGCTAAAGACCCCTACGAGCAAGCAAACTGTTGAAGTAAAATTGAACCATATGTCAGTCCCAAAATGACCTAGTTTTTTAAACCCCATTTCTCTCTCTCTCTCTCTCTCTCTCTCTCTCGCTCAATTGACAAGGGGGTTAACTACGCCAGAAAATCCAGATGAACTTGCTTGTGTCGAGTGGATGTTAAACCCCATTTCTCTCTCTCTCTATTATAAGATGATAAGACCTACCTATTAAAAAAAACAAACACAGGAGCTTGTGCTCCATCTTCAAGCACATTTAACGAAAAATCTAGAAAAAAAACAAAAAAACATTGATCAAATTAAATTTCTCTTGACAAAAACATAGTATTTTGTATTTTAAGTCATTTCTTGATGAAAGAGCATTATATTAAAAAAGAAAAATCTTGGTGTAGTATTTTAAAAGCCGTTTCTTGATGAAAATACATATACATGTATAATGTCTTATTAATTTGAACTCATGACAAGCCATGAGCACTTAATTGGAATTTCTTTTCAAAGGAAATATTCTGGGAGCTTAATTAGAATAATACACCATTTAATTTAATCAGGTAATAATCAGGTGTCCATAATGATATAATCAGTGTCGTCATTAAGTCATTACCTTTCGTAATGGACAGGTGTGTATCAATCAAGATCAATCGCATTATAATTGTCAATTATCAACAATACCAACAAAGTCTTTAACTTCTGATCTGACAAGCTAGCTACATGTAGGAGCACTTGGTTTTAATTTTACAACTTTGTATTTATTAAAATTAATTTCACATGTTAAATGTAGGCTATCACTCTAATGAATGATGTTAGCAATTTTGTATTTAAAATCAAACTGATGGTGGAAAGTGTGAATCTTGCTGTACTTGCTAAGATATTGTCAATTATTATCATAATATATATAGCCTAAATAAAACCACAATTAATAAAAGTAAAATAAATTTTTAATAAGTATTACTATTAAATTATCATTCATTTAATTATAAATTAGCAGCTCCCCCCAAAAAAGAAATATTCAACAAATTTATAATGATCGAAGATTCTACCTGATCTGTTGTGTGTTATAACTCCATACAGAACGTGATCATACCTGGCCCGTGCACACCCAATACAATTTACACTATAACTGTACATTGTTATCAAGGACCGGTTTTACAGGTATAAAAATAGATCTATTGTCGCTTCACAATCATAACATTTCAATCCCCGCCCACTTTTTGTAAGCTGCCGAACCCAAAGATGTAAATATAGCGTCGGAGAATAAACGAAACAAAATAACGCCTAAATATGAATATTTCTACATTTATTTTCCCGTAAATAAAAGTGGTAATTTATAATTTCTATATTTTAGTAATACAAATTATGTAATAACTTTTTTGACGTATGGAACGTTTTCTTTATCATAAATACGAATGTTGTCACTAATTCGTATTTCGTTTAAGTAGAGTTGGGAATGCGTTATTTTTAGTATCCAAGACTTCAATGGCGGTTATTGTAAACAAGATTCGCATGAATGGTTCGATAAAGGTTTGAATAGACTCGTCAGACCGGTTTGCTGAACTAAATATAGCCATGCACAGGTAGTATAGAATTGTTAGCTTGACAATACGGTATAGAAATTATTATAGGGTTGGATAAACTGGGTGTGAATAAGGGCTGGTATAACGGTGGTTGGACGGTAAGGAAAAGATTTTCGGTAATTTCTCAATAAAAACTAAAGTAAAATAGCCCGGGCAGGTAGATTATCATTGATCTGTTGTTTTTTAAAGTATTTTTATGATAATTAATTTATGGGGAAAATAAATTTATGTTTTTGTATGAAGTTAAGCTTATCTCTCATTGTTATTAGGAATAGGATTAATGTTGAAACAGGAAAAAGGCATGAATTATGCCTCTAGGCCTACTCTATCTAGATTATAGATATATATTCTACCTGGTAGGCCTAATTTAATAGTTAAACTATAGTAATACACAGCACAGATAGCCTACATGGCATATATAAGTTTAAACTATTATTTTTTTACTGAATAAAGTTAAGTTTAGCCTGGATTCTTATATTGAATGTAGAGTAAATGTTATGTAACAGAAAAAAGGCATTATTTTATAATGGTCGTGCTAGGCCTACCTTAGTGTATTGGTTTTAATTTTGAAATATCATGATAATGATTTTGTGGCGACACCTGTCTAATTTATTGAATAAAGTTAAAGTTTATTTGTTGGTTATTACTATTTATATTAGTATTGTATGGTGGTTCACGGCAGATACATGCATAATATAAATTAATAAGATATTGTTTTTATTTTTATAATCAATCATTTTATTTACATTCAATTCTTCTGTCTAAATCTGATTTTTATTTTTATAATATTGTCTTAGGGTCTATCATATTATATATGATTGTATTAAGTATAATAACTCCACCTTCAAGGAGAGCGACAAATGGTGTTTCACATTTTGATTTCACTCCACCCTAATCCAATACACTGTACATTACATGCATATAAATACTAAATATGGGGGGAGCCACGCTGGCTAGGTGGTTAAGAGGTTGGCTCGCTAGCCTGGAGGTCGGGTGTTCGATCCCTGCATTGGCCGAGAAAGTTCATCCAGATTTTCCGACGTGGTTTCCCCTTGTCAGTGGTGCAGAATGGAGGGCCTGACAACGACAGCTGTCTAGTCTATCGGATGATACGAAAAACGGAGGTCCCGTGTACACATTGGCATGCACAAAAAAGATTCCTCGACAGCTAGAATTCGATATAAGAGTAAGCCGTAGTGCCGCTGACCGGACAAAATTCCCTCTTAGCACACTGTATGGCGTATGCCCATCTTTATTAGCCCAGTTCGGAGCAAAACAGTACGATGTTAAACCCCATTTCATTTCTATATTTCAGGGATCAAGAAGAAGATCTCTTTAATTCATCATGGCCACCATGATGATAAATATATTGCTTGCCTTGTGCTTCTATCAAGGTAAGGATTGGATTTTATATGTGTAACAATGATATCATTTACTTATGAACAAAAACTGTTTATAAAGGAAACTAAATAACACAAACATATCTTAGTTGTAATGTTATATATATAATGTTTATTACTCAGTTATCTGCCTACATGTATTACAGGGGTGGAGGGGTGTCACGGTGGCTAAGTTGGTAAGACGCTTGTTCGCTAGCCTAGAGGTCAAGTGTTCTATCCCTGCATTGGCTGCGAAAGTTCATCTAGGCGAAAAACCAAGGACCTGTGTACACATTGGCGTGCACGTAAAAAATCCATTGACAATTGGTATTCGATATAAGAGTAGGCTGTAGTGGCGCTGTCCGGGCAAAATTTCCCTCATAGCACACTGTATGGTTTATGCCCGTCTTCGTTAACCCAGTTCGGAGCAGAACAGTAGGACGTTAAACTCCATTTCATTTCATTTGCCTATTTTAGGTCTTTCTTTAGGCCTGAAATGTTTTATAAACTATTAATTAGACATTAACTTATCCAAACCATAATCACCTCTCGATGGCATCAGATTTCTCTGATATTAAATAGATTAAAACGATTCAGCCATATTTTGATTTAATTTAAAAATGGAGGAGCAAGACTTAGCTTCGAACAACCAGTATGGTGGTTGAAATTATTGGACATGTCTTGTCAACCCTTCAAAATCTAATATCTTCGCCTGCAGTAAAGTAATTTGAATGGAATTTTCAAATTATTCATTTTACATTATATCTGTTTTCAAACTATTATACTATAATATACAATGTAGGCCTACTATAATATTATGCTATAATTTATAGCAAGAATGGCTAGATCGTTACCTAAATCTTACATAATGTTTCTTTACGTGTAAGTATGCATTGTGTTAGATATAGATAAAGATCTGACAGTCTTCACTGTAACCCAGGTATCATTTAATCTTGTGTATCTAGTACTAATTTCTTTCACATTCTTTTAATATCCAATGATTGTTTAAAAATTCGTAAAAACTGTTTAAAATCACCATAAATCGTTTAATTTGTACTTCTGTCCAGTTTAAAGCTGACCATTCAATTTTGATTATGAGTGTCCAATTTACAAGTGTTTAATTTCTCAATCACTGTTAAAAAATAAACAACCCAATTGATTAATGATGTATAATGATTAATTTTTGAACAGTGGTTAGGAAATTAATTGGACACTCATTATCAAAATGAATCAGTCAGATTTAAACTGGACACAAGTACAAATTAGATGATTTTTGGTGATTTTAAACGATTTTTACAGATTTTTAAACAAAGATTTGATATTAAATGAATGTTAAAGAAATTAGCATAATGCACCTCTAAAATTGTTTGTAATCATACAGTAGTCATTAACACTATGGACCGGGTATCATTCAGATTTGATGAAAAATGGAAATAAACTGAGCTTATCATCTATAATCTAATACACATATTCAGTTAATAGATGCAGAAAGTGTTAAATACCATCAAGATTCATCAAAAACTGCCCAGTTTGTGCTACCGTTTAGTTTGACATTGGTTGTCTAGTTTATGAAACTAAATGGTCATAAACTGGATGACCAATATCAAAACTAAACTAAATGGTCATAAACTAGATGACCGATGTCAAAACTAAATGGTGTTTCTTGAACTAAAAGGTAGCACAAACTGGGCGTTATTTGATGAATCTTGATGGTATTTAATACTTTCTGCATGGCAATCTATTAACAGAATATGTGTATTAGATTATAGATGGTAAGCTCAGTTTCTTTCCTTTTTTCATCAAATCTGAATAATACCCGGTCCCTAGTGTAAGTAGGTGTTATGTCACTAAGGCCTTAAAACATTGACTATTGAATGATATACGATACTATTTGATGTGTTTGTCTATTCAATAGAATTGGGTATAAGAACTAATGATGCTTTAACATTAGAAGTGAGATCTTTTACAGCTAGTACTTGTACTTGTAAATTAATGACTATTGTACGTGTATTCTACAAGTAAAGTATTACATGTAGTTTAGCGTACGGTAATGAAATGGGGTGGCTATATCCATTGACTCGGTTGGATTAAAACAGTAGTACGTTAAACCCCATTTCATTTCATACATGTACATGTTTAGGCGGTCTGATTAGGCACAGATCCTATTTCATTTCGTTTTTTTATAAACCCACAATATACCTTACTCTAGATATTGTAATTTGTGTATGCATTACTCTAGCTACTAGATATTGTAATTGGTATATTCTCAAGCTACTAGATATTGTAATTGGTATACATTACTCTAGCTACTAGATATTGTAATTTGTGTATGCATTACTCTAGCTACTAGATATTGTAATTGGTATATTCTCAAGCTACTAGATATTGTAATTGGTATATACATTACTCTGTAGCTACTAGATATTGTAATTAGTATATACATTACTCTAGCTACTAGATATTGTAATTAGTGTATAAAAACTTGTTGTTTCTTGGACAATGCACGTTTAGAGGGCCAATCTTGATTATATTTCGGGTTGAGCAACTGACACAATATACGTGATACGTTTTTAAACAACTTAAACCCGTCAGTCTTCATCTGGAAATGGAGACCAGACTTGTATTTTATAAAAATAACGTGTAGGTGAAATTTACCTTTCATTATCAAGTACAGCACGTGGGTCATGCACTGTATAAACTTCTAAAGGAACGGCAATAGATTATCAGGTCAACTAACGAAAAAATTTGCCCGAAATCTTAAAAGGGTTACGGTCTGGATAAGCGGTTTTGACGTTCTCGTCCAAACAACTCACTATTTTGAGCTGAAATTTTAAGACAAGGTAAATACACCACTCCTCTATATTTTAGCGCTTAAATTTCATACGTACACAGACTTTTATTTCTGAGACTCTGGTAAAATCGGGATGGACACTTTAATTGTTGTGTTTTTTATATTTTGAAGCCGTAGACGGGAGAAAGAGGTACATGTATCTGATGACGGTCGATTAAAGACCGAAACATTATCATTAAATCGGTATTTAGTGTTTTTCCAGTGTTTTCCGGTATTCAGTGTAACATGGTGTTTTCCGGTGTTTTCCAGTGTTTTTTGGTATATAGTATTGCCGGATCTACACTAGCCTCTGTTCTTCTTGGGTATGGGGATCCTTTATTTACTTATTTTTTCTATTTTTTTCAACAGGTTTAGTAGAGGCAGCTAGACCAATATTTGTTGATAATATGAACCTATTATATATAGAGGAAGATGAAGTAATTGGTAAGTAAATGCTTCCATTTAGTAATGATATTGAGAAATAAAATGTGCAAGACAATTAAATGCGGGTTGGATGGCCGAAGGTCTGTCATTGAGTCAACTGACGTAGGTTTCAATTCCCCGGTTGTACATGACAAGGAGTAGGGTCACCTGTCCAACCTCATGGGTTTTCTCTGGGTCCTCCGGTTTCCTCCCAAACAAATTTTTGAAATAAAATTGAACCATATGTTAGTCCCGAAATGACCTAGTTTTTGTCGAGTGGACGTTAAACCCCATTTCTCTCTCACTCTGTCTTTAATATTAAAATCTAATGTTTTTCTGTGTCTATGCCTTGCTCACACTTTTACCTACTCAGGGTTTTTCATTATGAATATCATACATGAAGATTTATCGTATATTTCCATACAAAAAGTTTTGAAGTGTAAAAGTAAAATTTTTATTCGTTACTTTAGGTAAAAGTGTATACACGCTGTATGCTCGGGACCCTGCTGGCGGTAAAGTAACGTATGGTATAGTAGCTGACATGTTTAAAGTTGATGAGAATACAGGGGATGTGACTCTTACTCGATTACTGGATTACGAAGCGGGTGAAATTGCTTTGAATATCCGTGTTATTGCTAGAGATGCTAATCAACTAGAGGTGAGTGATTAGTAGATTATTCCCAGTGCATGCTGAATGTAATTAATAGATTATTTCCCGTGTATTCTAATTTAATTAATAGATTATACCCCAGACAGACTGAATGTAATTAATAGATTATTTCCCGTGTACGCTGAACGTACATGAAATTAATAGATTATTCCCCATGCATGTTGAACGTAATTAATAGATTATTCCCCCCGCTCGCTGAACGTTATTAATAGATTATTCCCCATGCACGCTCAGCGTAATTAATAGACTATACCCCAATGCACTCTGAACGTGTTTAATAGATTAATCCCCAGGCACGCTGAACGTAATTAATAGATTATACCCCACACACGCTGAACGTAATTAATAGATTGTTCCCTGTGCACGCTGAACGCAATTCATAGATTATATTCCCTGTGAACGCTGAATGCAATTAATAGATTATACCCCAGATAGACTGAACGTAATTAATAGATTATTCCCCAGACAGACTGAATGTAATTAATAGATTATTCTCCACGTACGCTGAGCGTAGTAGATTTCCGGCCCGGCACACTGAACGAACTTAATTATTCCCCAGGCACGCTGAACGAACTTGATTATTCGCCAGGCATGCTGAACGAACTTTATAGATTATTTCACTGGCACGTTAAACATAATAAATAGATTATCTCCCATGCTCGCTGGACGAAATTAGGTAAAGAATTGATTAATGATGTATAATGATTAATGTTTGGACAGTGGTCAGGAAATTAAATACTTGTAAATTGGACACTCATAATCAAAATTAATCAGTCAGCTTTAAACTGAACACAAGTACAAATTAGATGATTTATGGTGATTTTAAACGTTTTTTACAAATTTTTAAACAAAGATTGGATATTAAATGAATGTGAAAGAAATTAGTGATACATACACAGGATTAAATGATACCTAGGTCACAGTGTAGTTCTTGTCTACCATATCATTAGCAGACATCAGACCAGGACTTTCACTTCAAAATTTTTACTGTCGGTCATTTTTGATAACGCATGAAAACTTTACAAAATAAATTCATATTTCATGTTTTTTAGTCACATGTCTATACCACTTTGTCAGCATGGTGTACACAAAAAATTATATATTGGACTTAAAATTAAAATATTATTAAGGCTTATGATAGTTATTTATTAATGAAATATTCACTGGGTTACAGTGTTGATGATGACCATATGGTTTAAAGTGCTACTTTAAGGATGTTTCACACTTAGGATATCCCTTGACAGCTGTGTACAGTATGCTGTAGCTGTCTGGGCAAAATTTCCTTCATAGCAAACTGTATGTTCCATCATCTTTTACTTTTGTGATAATAAAATCAACAATTGGATATTTTATTATTTTATTATTCCAGACATCTCAAGAGGTATCGGTCAATGTTGTGGATGCTAACGATAATGACGCTGTGTTTACTGAAAATCATTATGATATTCGGGTTGCCGAGGTATTTATCATTTCCTGTTTTTTGTCCCCCATCTTTTTTTTTTTATTTGTAAAATATATTTGTATTCATATCTGAATTTGGATTGGGGGACAGGCTGTTCCTATGTATAACCCCTTGTCTCTACTTAAAAGCAGCATTATGGAAGATTAGATATAGATAATGTAAGGGGAATATACTGAAAATTTCAGTTGAATTACTTCACTCTAAGCCGAGAAGGGGGATCACATGGCTAAGTGGGTAAGACGCTGACTCGCTAGCCTGGAGGTCGGGTGTTTGATCCCTGCATTGGCCGAGAAAGTTCATCCAGATTTTCCGGGGTGGTTTCCCCTTGTCAGTGATGCAGGACGGAGGGCCTGACAAGGACAGCTGTGTAGTCGTTCGGATGGGACAAGAAACCGAGGTCCCGTGTACACATTGGCGTGCACGTAAAAGATCCCTTGGCAGTTGGAATTCGATATAAGAGTAGGCCGTAGCGCCGCTGCCCGGGCAAAATTTCCTTCATAGCACACTGTATGGCGTATGTCGGTCTTCATTAGCCCAGTTTAGGAGCAAAACAGTAGGACGTTAAACCCCATTTCATTTCATTTCATCTCACTAAGCTGAGAAATCCTCATTTTAATAACGCTGTAGTCATCAAGGGCAAATAATTTGAATACGGAGAGTAGAATAGAATGAGACCACTAGGGATAACGAGGATGTAGTCGAAGCAGCACAGTCATGTATGTTAAACCCTATTTCTTTTCATTTTTAAAAAGCATTTATCTTAGCTTAAACATTCATTATGCAAGAGCTAAATCTGTCTATTGCAGGTCTTTCTTTAGGCCTGAAATGTTATCTAAATTATTAATTAGACTTAACTTTTCCAGACCATAATCAACTCTCGGTGGCATCGCTAGCCTGTGATCTTATGTGGATTGTGAGCCGATTTACTGCATAACTTTCCTTCTCGATTAAACGATTAAATAGATAATCGAGACTATGCTGTTTATCGTACTGACTTTAGTAATGATGACCGAGGCTAGGCAGAAATTTCATTCGCTTAGTTTTCGGTTCATAGTGGACCAATTTGAATGAAATTTTCATCAAATTGCCTTTACGTTATCTAGTTTTTAACTAATATAGTGAGAACTGCCAACTCGTTATCGAATCTTCCATAATGTATGTTTAATACAACTATTACATACATTTTCACAGAACTACCAACACTGAGTTGACAGATGGATTTGCAGACAAGCTTACCGACTTACTGTTTGTTTGTGGCCCAGTAACTCGATCCTGTTGAGAATGTACTAAACCATTTATTTGTCCTGGGGGTGAATGGCCGTATAGTTAGTGAGTGCACACTGTATCATAAGGTCTGTCATTGAGTCAACTGGCATGGTTTTGATTCCCAGGTTGTACATGACAAGGAGTACAGTCGCCTGTCCAACCTCGTGGGTTTTCTCCGGGTCCTCTGGTTTCCTCCCACTGCTAAAGACCCCTACGAGCAAGCAAATTATTGATATAAAATTGAACCATATGTTTGTATGAGTTGAATCCCATTTCTCTCTCTCTCCCATTTGTTTGTCCATGCAAATTTTTTTTATTCATTTTATTTGTAGACTACTCCCATTAATTCAGTTATATTTCCAAATTTAACGGTAACCGATAAAGATTACGTAAACAGTGATTTGACAGTAAGGTGTGATACCAGTCTAGTTGATGTTGTGGTAAGTTATGTTGAATTTTAACCACTTTTATCCAAAACTTATAGGGAGCCACGGTGGCTAGGTGGTTAAGACGCTGGCTGACTAGCCTGGAGGTCGGGTGTTCGATCCCTGCATTGGCCGAGAAAGTTCATCCAGATTTTCCGACATGGTTTCCCCTTGTCAGTGGTGCAGAACGGAGGGCCTGACAAGGACAGCTATCTAGTTCTTTGGATGAGACGAAAAACCGAGGTCCTGTGTATATATTGGAATGCACGTAAAAGATCCCCTGGCAGTTGGAATTCGATATAAGAGTAGGCGATAGTGCCGCTGCCCGGGCAAAATTTCCCTCATAGCACACTGTATGGCGTATGTCCGTCTTCATAAGCCCAGTATAGGAGCAGAACAGTAGGACGTTAAACCCCATTTCATTTCATTTTCATTTCCAAAACTTATAGTTGGCTCGATGGTGTGGTTTTGATTCCCCAGTCGTACTTGACAAGGAGTAGGGTTGTCTGTCCTACCTCGTGGGTTTTCTCCGGGTCCTCTGATTTCCCCCAAGTGATAAAGACCCCTACATGCAAGCGAATTATTGAAATAAGATTGAACCAATGTTAGTCCCGAAATAACCTAGTTTGTGTTGATTGGACGTTAAACCACATCCCTCTCTCTCTCTCTCTTCTCTCTCTCTTCTCTCTCTCTCCCCTCTCTCTCTCTCTCTCCCCTCCCTCTTCTCTCTCTCTCTCTCTCTCTCTCTCCCCCCCCTCTCTCTCTCCCCTCTCTCTCTCTCTCTCCCTCTCTCTCTCCCTCTCTCTCTCCCCCCCTCTCTCTCTCTCTCCCTCTCTCTCTCTCTCTCTCTCTCTCTCTCTCTCTCTCTCTCTCTCTCTCTCTCTCTCTCTCTGATCTTGTAGCCCTCGTGGCCATGCGGTTGCTTTTCATTAAGAAATTAGCCCCACATGTTTTCTACACAAAACTGTTAAAATGGCATAATTTTCCTACATGGTGCATATCTTGATTTTGATTGATTATATTTTTCAGTATAAGGACTCGTGTAATATCTTTCTCTTGAAAAGGTTATCATATTCCAGGCGTTTATGGAGGGGTAATTTAGTTTTAAATCAAAGTCTTGATTATGAAACCAGACCAACGTACCAGATCAGTTTGATAACTTTTGTAAGTGATTATTTTAAATTTTAATAAAACGCTGGCTTGCTAACCAGGAGGTCTTGGGGTTCGCTTTAGGCCCCGAGTTCACAAAGCCTTCTCAGACTTAAGTTAAGAATTTACTCAACTTTCAATCACTGTTTATGAGAAATATCTTTGATCCAGAAACACAAAACTTTGCACATAGTTTCTTATTGATGTATTTGATATGTTAAAACAACAAAAGTTTTATAAAGGTCTATATTTGAGTTAAAATAAGGTGAACAATTTTGAGTAAATTCTTAACATAAATCTTGAGAATGCTTTGTGAACTTGGGGCCTGGTGTTGGCTGACAGAGTCTCTCGTGATTTATCTGACAGTTTCCCCTTGGCTGCGGTGCTTGATGGTGGTGGTATGACAAGGGAAGTGTCTAGTCCATTGAATGGGATGAAAAACCGAGGTCCTGTGTACACATTGGCTTGCATGTAAAAGAACTCTTGTCGATTGGTTTTGGAATTCGAAATAATAGTAGGCCGTGGCAAAATTTCCCTCGTTACCCCAGTCAGTGCAGAAAAATAGTATGTTAAACCTCATTTTATTTCATTTTTTTTCCCCACACAATTTATTTCGGGGCCAGAAAACTGTACTAGAGCTTTCCTAGCCAGAGGATACCTACATTCGAGCGAGACTTTTTTATATGATAAAGATAACTGGAGACTTTGTTTTATATAATGGAGATAACTAGAGACTTTGTTTTATATAATGGAGATAACTAGAGACTTTGTTTTATATAATGGAGATAACTAGAGACTTTGTTTTATATAATGCAGATAACTAGAGACTTTGTTTTATATAATGGAGATAACTAGAGACTTTGTTTTATATAATGGAGATAACTAGAGACTTTGTTTTATATAATGGAGATAACTAGAGACTTTGTTTTATATAATGGAGATAACTAGAGACTTTGTTTTATATAATGCAGATAACTAGAGACTTTGTTTTATATAATGCAGATAACTAGAGACTTTGTTTTATATAATGCAGATAACTAGAGACTTTGTTTTATATAATGGAGATAACTAGAGACTTTATATAGTGGAGATAACTAGAGACTAATAATTTATGGTAACAAGACATATTGTGTTTTGTGTATTTATAGGATGGTAGAAATAGACATACCCAGAGTTTAGAAATACAAGTTGTTGATGTCAATGACGCTCCTCCTTATTTCATTCGTCAAGTGCCTGCTGTTGTCAGTGAGGATACACCAGTTGTAAGTACACATTTCACCACATTCCTGAAGCAATGGCCCGAGAAATTCCTCTCTAGCAATTGCTCTATTGAGACTGAAAACTTGAGTCTTTGACGGAGCGTGTCCATTCTCATCGTCCAATCAAATCTATCTGGAGTAAAATATAGAGAATTTTCATGACTTAACCGGGGTGACCTCTTTAAAAAACAAATCCTAGTGTTTGTTAGTACTGATTTCAAGAAAAACGTTACCCTTGGATGCATTGATACTCACATTGGTAAATTTGGTTGTCGCTGAAACTCACTATTGGAACGAAAATTCTTTGACTCAAATCTCAGATATAAATGTATAAACGTGCCTATCTGTACCAATTATTACTGCCTACCTTTAAATATTCGATAATATTTATCCATTTTGGTGAAGAAAATCCATGAATTATTTATTTTATCAAGAAAGCACATGTTGTATTTCCATCCTGTTTGTTGAAACACAATACGTAAAATGATGGCCCTTCTCTTTGATCTGCTGTGTTTTCCAAGAGATGATAAAAAGATTCCATGTGTGCGGCGATTACCCTATGTTTACATTGTAGCTATTTCGGGTAGCCTCGTTTATCACACAATTAGTTCTCTGCAATATTCTGTTATGCACTGGTTAATTAATTGAGCGTAATACATATCACACGTAATGTAGCCGTGTTTGTCACCAGACACTTTACGGTAACATATTTAGAGTTCTGGTTAATCCCGATTGATTTTGTTACGTAGTAATGAATTGGTTGTTGATCGGACTGTTAACCAGTCATAATTTTAGACAGAAATTTGCGCTGAGTATGGCGGTGTCTGAGGGGAATTAGGTCTGATCAAACGAAACACTGCGAGGGGTATATCACAGTCCAACATCCAGGGGCCTGTTTCACGAAATCTTAACTAAAGCTAAAATCCAAAGTTTAGTAGATACTTCAATTTTGATTGGCTAAGGACTAAAATCAATTTAATATTATCCAATCAAATTACTAAAATTTTGATTTTATCTTAGTTAAAATTTCGTGAAACAGGCCCCTGTGCATTTCCATGATTTTCAAACACCATTTGGTAATTCAACACAATAAAAAGATTACAAGAGTTCTGTGGAAGGCAGCGGGGGTTGGGTGACCAATTGGTTTAACACGTTAACAATCACAGCTATAATGGTTTTCAGAGTACATAATAATAATGCTAATTATAGATTTAATCAAAAGGATCAACTGTTCTCATCTGACTTCTTTCATTTTAGCATGCATTAAGCCGTAAAATTCTTTCGTATTGTCTGAAAAATTCATGATTAGAATGAGTGACTTTAAAGATGCTTTCCCACATACAAACGGCATGATTTGTTGATATATTTGAACTAAAAACATTTTCAAACTAATAAATCTATCAGAAATTTGCTTCAAAACCCTCTCAAAACGGGGAGATACCACAAGCTATAAATAAACTGTTGTTAGACGCCATGTCTGTCAGCTCAATTTATTGTGGGAGGGTCCATTTTTCAGAATGTATTTTTCATTACTTACTGTCCATTTATCATACATATTGAGGCCTAAGTAAATTCTTAATTATTTTCTGTCAACTTCTTTTACCACCGTTTATTTGCAGAGTCTTTACTGTGTTGACACCCCTCAATGTCCAAAAAAACGCCTAACCATTTGTTCACGACAAGCTAGCATACAATAAGCTGGCAGACAACAGTTGGGTTGCCAGTTAGTGATACCCTGCCACTTTTGCCCAGTGCTTGCCCTATGGGTATTTTTCGGGTAATCCAGTATTTTTCTAGTAAGATTGGGTGTCTATACTTCCCATATATACCACATTTGGCACACTTTTATTGGAAATAACCACCCGATAAATACTTTCAGGACAATGTGTCTTTAAAGTTAAGCTGTTTTTTTGTTTTAGGGTAGTGTTGTAAACTATGTCATCGCAGTAGACGGGGATAGGACTAATAAACGACCAATCAGATACAGGCTCACTTGTAGTAAGTATAAATTTATATCGGGCGGGCCTAATCAAATTTACCTATAGGCTTGGCAGGCTTAACCCTTAACCGGTCGACGTCATTTTGACGTCATGACGTCAAGTGGTCAGGCTAAGTAAAGGGTAAAGTGAAATATTTTGTATGCCTATTCCAATCGACTAATATCGGATAATTGTAAATGATACTCTTGACACCAATAAAAAAAAGTTGAAGGGAATAAGTTGATCTATAATTTGCAAATCATTCTAAATCATTTTTATCAGAAATATCGTCTTCAGAATCGGTGTCACCGATATAATTCAAGTCGGAATCATTCATAAACATTTAAACCACTTTGAGAGTCGTCAACCTTCCCGACATCGTTAAATTACGTTTTTTGTCAAAAATGTTCAACAAAGACGTGTTTTTCTCAATGCCCTTGACATGACAAGTTCCTGTCTGACACGCATGCGTGACCATATCAATTAAATACGAAACTAAATACTCAATTGCGGCTTATGAAAAAGGTTCTTGCTGTGGTTGACTTTAGTCGACCGTTAGTCGACCGTGACCACTTACTGTACAGCGCAGTGGACACTTACGGCTTGCCCCCGTATCCATTCACTTGATTTGATATTTGTTTATTTGGTGCGGTGTCTATTTTTTGTCTTGTCTGCAGGTTTATCTTGTAGATTTTTGTTTTGCGTGTAGTGCGGTCCTCCTGCACTTACTATAAGCTGTATAGCGTTGTGGTGATTATAGTCGACAATGACCGGTTAAGGGTTAAGCCTTTATCGTCATTTAAATCTGGTACTGTCTTTACATGTACATATAGTCTACCTCACTTCGGCAAATTCTATGCATGAATATTAATTATTAGTGCCATATTTTATGCTTTGTTAGAAGCTAATACAGGCCACTCCTGGAAATAAGGGTTTTAGACGTACCCGACAAAATGTCAGGCATTAATGAAATAGTACCTGACATTTTCAACTTAGTGCCGGACATGTATTGATAATTTCAATAAAAAAGACAAATCAGTGCTAGACGAAATGACAGGCACCAGAGGTTTTGTGCCTGACAAAACCTGAATCTGTGCCTGACATTGTCTGTGACAGGCTAATGTAGGCCTTAGGATAAACTGTTATTTTGGACATTAGTATAGTTAATAGTTATACATATGCAACCATAGTAATAATTTTGTAATATTAATAGGCAACATTAGAGAGACTAGCTAATATTATACATAAAATAGATGATAAAATATTTATTGATCGAGTTTAAAATCTGTTTGACATATCTATAAACTTATGGACCTGGTTAAAAATATTAGTGTAACGTCAAGACTGTAGGTTGTGGAACCGAATAAAAGACAGTTTGACTGGGAGGAATGACCACTCAACCTCTCCTTAATATAGGTTCACGTTTTTCTGAGGATAGACTGAGACGAAAGCTATCTTGAACATCACCACCAAGCTTCCTTTCAGAATATACAGGTCACAATTCTATGGAATACAATTACTGCTTATTACTGAGCGACGTTTCGACTAGTCTTCTCTAGTCATTATCAAGCAATGATAAAATATTAGTTAGTGTTAGTTGTATTTTACGTCCGCTTCCACCGAGGTGATATCGCAGACAATGATAAAATATAATAATAACAAGACTATATATACATGTACACAACAATACTTAGTTAATGCTGACAAACCAGAGATACCCCTTAATTACATGTACCTAAAGGGAATCTAATTTAATTAAGGATTATAAAGTTTGATGCTAATAACAACATTCAATAAGACCAATTTACCTGAAAATTAACACAAACTGATTAATTGATTAATGGATAACTTGTTATGGAGTATATACAATCATTTATTAAGTTTTGATAATGAAAAACGATCAAAGAAGATAAAAGTTGATAAAATGTTATTAACGACCACCTTACCTGAAATAAACACAAATGATTAATGAATAGCTTGTTGTTGAGTATTTACAATAATTTGATAAGAAGGTGAGGCTAGATAAATTACGGGGTGTTCCCACTTAGCCGGCAAGCTTTGATGTCAAATTTTGCCGCTAATCCAGAGTTAATCCTAGAACAATGGTGTTATAAACTATAGTCCATATCTTTTTTAAGACTAAAACTGTATTGATTTTAACAAATTTAACTTTTATTAAATAACATTAAATAGCAACAGTGATAAGAACATCATTCTTGGTGTTTACAGTAGCTGGACAAGTTTTTGTTGAACATTTCCAATGGACGGCATTTGGTCTGCTTGACTTTATACTGAACTTGTAACCATTGTGTATTAAATATCGGCCACCTCGATTATTGGAGATATCGCGAATATTAACCAGAACATTTGCCATTTTAAAATAAATATAATTTCGACACAGATCGACCATCTATTTAATATTAATATAGTGAATTGAATTCATGTTTGAAATCATAACGCCGGCGTGAACTGTGTTCAAAATGTCATTAATTAGTTGGTTAATAAATTTTATTAAGAGGGATTAAGAGCTCATTAACGCTGAACACTAGTGAACAGTTCTTGAGTGACTACTTTTAAACATACTATAGTTTTAAGATCAATCAAAGGATTAACAGTCTGCCGGCTAAGTGGGAACACACCATAAATTACAAGTTACGATGTTTTCTCTAATTACAGCTGATGGTAAATATTTTGCTGTGGACTATGTAAGCGGGAATATAACAAACATAGCTGTTTTAAATCGTGAAAATCCAGATCTAGCGCAAGGATATGTTGATTTATGTATTCGGGTAAGTCAGGGTTTTTGTTTTTTGGGTGGCCGAATAGTCTAATGCATTCGTCTTAGATCATAAGGTCTGAGGGAGCAGATATCGAGAGGGGTGAGGGTGGAAGAGAAAGGGAGAATGGGAGAGAGAGAGGACAGAGAGTTTAACATCCACTGGACACAAACTAGGTCATTTTGGGACTAACATCTGGTTCAAGGTTTAGTATGGAGCTTAGGATTGACTCAAAGCAGGAAATAACTGATGATTTGAAATGAAATGAGTTTAACATCCTACTGTTTTGATCTGAGAGAGAGAGAGCGCCTCCACTGAACACAAAGTAGGTCAAACATATTGCCCAGTTGTCTTTAGCAGATCGAGGAAATTGGAGGACCTGATCATAAGGTCTGTCATTGAGTCAACTGGCGTGGTTTCGATTCCCTGGTTGTACGTGACAAGGAGTAGGGTTGCTTGTCCAAAGTCGTGGTTTTTCTACAGGTCCTTTGGTTTCCTCCCACTGCTGAAGACCCCTACGCAAAAGCGAATTATTGAAATAAAATTAAACCATATGTTAATTCCAAAATTATCTCACTCTTCATTAGCCAAGTCGGAGCAGAACAGTAGGACATTAGACCCCATTTTTTTTTATTTCACATTTTGTTTTTTTCAGGCAAGTGAATTAATAAATCAAGCTACAGGAGAGATTGGTAATACAAGTGATACGACAGCTGATGCAACCATTAGAATCAGTATCTTGGATGTGAATGATAACGCTCCCAAGTTTAAGGAAAATAACTATGAGGTATCAATCTATGAAAATATACCAAATGAATCAGCTTTACCGGATTTAATTATGACTGTTACTGATGAAGATACTGTGAGTATTTGTTTTTCTAGTCTCTGCTCTTCTTGGCGGTTGGATGACCGAATGGTTAAACAAGTTTGGCCACAAACAGGGAGTCCACAACATGAAATGAAATGAAATGGGGTTTAACGTCCTACTGTTCTGCTCCTAACCTGGGCTAATGAAGAAGGGCATACGCCATACAGTGTGCTATGAGGGAAATTTTGCCCGAGCAGCGGCGCTACTGCATACTCTTATATTGAATTCCAACTGGCAAGGGATCTTTTACGTGCACGCCAATGACTAGACAGTTGTCCTTGTCAGGCCCTCCATCCTGCATCACTGACAAGGGGAAACCACGCCGGAAAATCTGGATGAACTTTCTCGGTCAATGCAGGGATTGAACACCCGACCTCCAGGCTAGCAAGCCAGCGTCTTACCCACTTAGCCACGTGATCCCCCGGTAGACCACAAAATCTGTCGTTGACATCAAGTGGCATGGTTTCGATTCCCAACTTGTATGTGACAAGGACAGACGTATGAAAAAACAGGAGACCAGCAATAAAAAAAACCCGGGGAATGTCATCAAATACAGTAGAATCTGTATTAAGCAGCCACTCAAGGGAAATTTCATTACTGACCGCTTAACGGGAGTGACCGCTTAATAAAATCTCAGTGTTTGTTAGTGCTATCATCAAGTAAATTTTACGTTTGTGTGCATTATTGGGAGTAAACATTAATGCTTGCATCGGTAAATTTGGCCATTGCTGAAAATTGCTTAGAATGAAAATTCTTTGACTCAAATCTCTGAGATATCTTCTGTAAACGTGTCATTTTGTACCAAGATTGATACTACTGTCTACGATTGTGATGTATTCGATAATATTTATCCATTTTTGTGAAGACAATCCATGAATTAATTTTATTTTATCAAAAACGCACACGACCAAAAAACCATCGCTGAATTTGTCACCGATTTTCAGGGGGTGTAACTCTTATATAATATAGGAGGCGCTAAAACTTCTGTTTAGCAACAAAGTGGCAATGGAAAATGGATACTAAATGATCGTGACAAAACCCGGCTTTGACGGTACTTTTAGTTCATTTAATCAGTATGAAATAGTGTTTCTTTACGTGTCAAAACAATGATTAGGGTATGTCATTTAATAAAACAAAAAATTAATTAACAGGTAATCCCGGGTTTATTGTTATTTTCATAGTTCGTTTTACCTGATTGGTGGCGGAGTAGATAATTAACTATTAATCACGGGATTAGCGGAGGTGCTACGGAAGTACAACAAGATGGTATCATTCAACATTCAACGTTGAATAAGTGCTATTTTTCTAAATTTGTTAGTAAAATAGTGACCGCTGGCCGCGTTAGAGGAGTGACCGTTGATTAATGAGATGGAACAATATAATTTCTACGGGGGGGGGGGGGGGGGAATTTCTTGTGACCGCTTACAAGGAGATGTCGCTGAATAGGAATGGCTGCTCGTACAGATTCTACTGTAACTTCACTTCTATTGATCCTAGGCTAATAATAAATGGCTTTAGCACTTTTTACACAGTGCAATCGTTTTTGCTGCGTACAACAATGAAAATTCCCTTTGAGTTTCGGGTCAATAATTTAAATGACAGAAATTTTTTTTTTTTAAATATTTTATGAAAATATACATAATATGCTACCCAAAAGACTTTAATACGGTATTCCAAAATGTTTTTTCAGTCTCATCTGAGTGACATAAATAAGCGGTATAGAATCGGTCGTACAAATTTTACAACTCAAATCCGCTATTATTAGCCAGTTAAAACTTATAAAAATCGTAATAATTTGAATGATAATATATTAAATATTTATAATCTTGATAATATCAGATAAAAAGCAGGCTACATTTAGTCAAAAGTAGCAAATTTCAGTCTGCGAAACCGATGAATCCCGTTTTCTATGGCTGTAATCGTGTGAATGGAAATCCCTGGAAACGTGACGTCAGAGCGCTATTTTCCCGCAAGTGTCTCCCATACATAAACGGTAATTGTGCTTATATTTCGATAACTTTTGAGTCAGATTATTTGCATACATGTATATTGAGATCGATATCAAAGTATTATAATACAATCGCTAATGATATATTTAACTGAAAAAGTAATCCAAAATCTCGGATTGAAAGTCGGCTAAATTTCAGTCAATGGCTTCCGATTTCATGCTGAAGTCACATGGCATGAACTGTTTTCTCTTCGCAGGAGAATTGTCAAAATCGCATAGATAGACGTTTACTAGCCATGGGGGTAAAATGATATATTTATTGAAAGAACCTTGTACAGGTCTCTATTTTATTTGGTATGCTCATGTACTCTGATACCATTACTATATACTTTATTTACTCCAAACAATACTACATATAGTCACAAACACACGTTGGGCTGTCAAGCGTTTCCGGTCAAATTCAGCCAATCATGATGTCGTTTTTATGAAACGGACGTAAGGGAGTTACCTCCGTCGTGAAAATAAAAATAGTATTTGGCATTATGACCATTTTCCGTGAGAAATTTCCTTCCGTGCGGGAGATCGAGAGACAGGTCGCGAATCCATGAGTCTCACGGAAAAAACAGGGTAGTCAACACGTTTGGACAAGGAGTAGGGTCGCCTGCCTATCATCATGGGTTTTCTCCGAGTCCTCCAGTTTTTCTCCCACAGCTAAAAAGACCCCTGCGCACAAGAGAATTATTGAAATAAAACTGAAATGACTTTGTTGTGTCAAGTGGATGTTAAACCCCATCTTTCTCTCTCTCTCTCTCTCTCTCTCTCTCTCTCTCTCTCTCTCGCTCTCTCTCTCTCTCACATTTTATTTTATTTTATATTTCACAGGGTACAGCTAATTTCTACAAGTTTGTTTTGTTAAATCATACAGATATCTTCGCCATCTTCCCAGACAGTGGACAAGCTCAAACTACAGCCAGTATAAAAGTCATAAACACAACAAAAATAGATTACGAACTTGGACCCAGACAATATTTTCTTGATGTAAGTTCTTACAACTTATGTAGGTTGTGGGGAGGGGGCATTGTGGTCAAAATTTGTCATCAAGAGAGGTTTGGATCATTAGACCACGGGCCATTAATGGATAAGGGAAGGGGGGATGGGTTGCCGTCATAAGGCCATAAATCATTGAAGGGTGTTGAGTTCAGATCACGATAATGCCATTTGCTATTCAACATTCAGGAAGGGGGTGCAAATAGTCTAACAATTGCACTTTAGATTGTAAGGTGATAAGGCCATTTGCCATAAATCATTGAAGGAGGTCAAGTTATCTAATGTGTGCATTTTAAATCATAAGGCCATTTGCTATTTACCATTTTTAAAGTCCAATACATAATTTTTTGTGTACCCCATGCTGACAAAGTGATATAGACATGTGAATTCACAATACCCTACCATAAATATAGAATCTGAAATATGAATTTACTTTGCACAGTTTTCGTGCGTTATCAAAAATGTCCAGCAGTGTAAATTTTGAAGTGGAAGCCTTGCTCTGTAGCTAAATCTTACATAATGTATCTCTCATGTTCTAAACCACATTTCACTTACTTTTATTGTAAATGTCATTGAGTCGACTGCCGTGGTTTCAAATCCTCGGTTGTACGTGACAAGGAGTAGGGTCACCTGTCCAACCTCATGGGTTTTCTCGGGGTCCTCCGGTTTCCTCCCACAGCTAAAGACCCCTATGCGCAAGCGAATTATTGAAATAAAATTAAACCATATTTTAGACCCGAAATGACCTAGTTTGTGTCGAGTGGACGTTAAACCTCATTTCTCTCTCTCTCTTTTTATTGTAAATAATCCCAAGAAGGAGACGATAAAACCTCACACTCGATAGGAAAAGAAGGGTGAAAGAGTCCCCATAACAGTGCAGGCAAGTTTGGATCTCGGTGATGCATCCGAGGAAAAACAGGAACCATTCCTTGTAGATAAATCATAGTAAAAAATCCCCGGCAACAAACTTAACAAGACTGTGTGGATATAAAAAGGATTTATCGAGGCCAAGTTTTATTGTACACAAACTTGACAAGACTGTGTTGATGTAAAAAGGATTTATCCAGGCCAAGTTTTATTGTACACAAACTTGACAAGACTGTGTTGATGTAAAAAGGATTTATCGAGGCCAAGTTTTATTGTACACAAACTTGACAAGACTGTGTTGATGTAAAAAGGATTTATCCAGGCCAAGTTTTATTGTACACAAACTTGACAAGACTGTGTTGATGTAAAAAGGATTTATCGAGGCCAAGTTTTATTGTACACAAACTTGACAAGACTGTGTTGATGTAAAAAGGATTTATCCAGGCCAATTTTTATTGTACTTGCAGGTATTAGCAGTTGAAACACAAACCGTCAATCCAAAGACAGGATCCGTTCGTGTTACTGTCAACATCCTAGATGTCAACGATAACTTACCAATATTTGATCCTCCAAATTATATAAGAACTATACCTGAAAATGCTGTGGGTGGTAGGCTAGTTGTCACGGTTACTGTAAGTTAAAAATAGTATTCTCAGATCTCTGTGCTTCCGCCCGGACAGTGCAGAACAGCTGGACGTTGAATTTCCCTCATAGTACACTGTATGGCATATGCTCGTCTTCAGTATCCCAGTCAGTGCAGAACAGTAGGACGTTAAACCACATTATGGTATATATATTATGTACCGTGCATAGACAATATATTATTATGGTATATATATTATGTACCGTCCATAGACAATATCTTATTATGGTATATATTATGTACCGTGTATATACAATAGCCTATTATGGTATATGTTATGTACCTTGTATATACAATATCTTATTATGGTATATGTTATGTACCGTGTATAGACAATATCTTATTATGGTATATTATGTACCGTGTATATACAATATATTATTATGGTATATATATTATGTACAGTGTATATACAATATGTTATTATGGTATATATTATGTACCGTGTATATACAATATGTTATTATGGTATATATATTATGTACAGTGTATATACAATATGTTATTATGGTATATATATTATGTACAGTGTATATACAATATATTATTATGGTATATATTATGTACCGTGTATATACAATATGTTATTATGGTATATATATTATGTACCATGTATATACAATATATTATTATGGTATATATTATGTACCGTGTATATACAATATCTTATGGTATATACTATGTACCGTGTATATACAATATCTTATTATGGTATATTATGTACCATCACGGGTTCCATGTCGGCCGTATATGCCGGTCGGGACCAGGGGCTTTGGAAAATGACCGAAACTGGATCAGACCCGTAGGTCACTTTGCACGCCGGAAAAATAGCATATTTTGTGCTAAATCATAAAATCCCTGGACACGACGAAACTTTGTGCATGTCGTGATGTAATCTGTCGGGTATAATGAAATTAACATAATAATGTACCATGTATATACAATATGTTACTATGGTATATTATGTACCGTGTATATACAATATGTTACTATGGTATATTATGTACCGTGTATATACAATATGTTACTATGGTATATTATATCTACCATGTATATACAATATCTTATTATGATATATATTGTGTACCGTGTATATACAATTATTATGGAATATATACTCTTCAAAAAAAGTAGGGGATATTCAGTCAGAAACAATACAAAACTGCGGAAATGCACTGCTGTTTTTATTAGAGGTAACCAGTGTATTTTAATAACAGGCCAATTGCCTACACATGAACATACACAATTCATATGGGCGGTTTATCTGACGGCCCCATTTCACTCGCAAAGCGATACACCTTCAAAAGTGAAAATGGACGTTTTTGATTTTTGTCTTGATAATGAGTAATTGCTCCACCAATACTCAGACGTTCAGCAATTCGTTGTGGCATGCTCCTAATCAACTGTCCAATCACGATTTGGGGCAATCTGACCCACTCCTCTTGCAGTGCCACAGCCAATTCTTGCAGTGTTGTTGGTGGACGTAGACGTCGACGAACACGTCTATCGATCAACTTAAACGAAACACACTAAAGCAAAGATACGCTAAATAGTAAATCTTATGCATGAACCGATAGGAAAGCAAACATGGTAGAGTGACCCACAGACTCAATTATCTGTACTATATAAACTGACCTGTTTTAACAGCATGTTGTCACGCGGATCAAAACTTCGTTTATGAGAAAAGTGCTCTCACGGGCTCGCTCATGCACTGTAAGTAGCAAACAGTCGCCCAAAATAGACATTCACGTGACAATATTCATTCACTTATTTATCAATGAAGCCATGTAAAAAATTATTCTTTACTCGTTGGACTTTTAAAAATAAGTAGTTACGAACTAGATTAAAATTTTGGCTAAAACTCGGCGATTTAATTTCTAACTTAGTTGATTGTATATATTGTAACGGTTCTCGGTTCAGAGTCAACTCATGTAGTTCGCCCTTTTTCTATCTTTTAAATCCACTCTCGTGGCAACATACCGACACTGTAAGACTGTGAAAGTTACTTTTATTTAACCGTAAAACTCTGTTGTTAGTGGGCGCTTTAGTTACTTTAGAAGTTACATTGTTGCTAGCTCTAAATACGCAGAAAACATTTGAGACGGGAAATTAATTGAACGAAATTATTTTCCCTAGTCTCGATTAACCAGACGTGTATGATTAAAATAAAATTACGGTACTGGTCACAAGACTCGGATTCTAATCATTTTAGGGCTTAAGGCTTTTTTTCTTTGCGCATGTCGTGTGCTCCTCTGTTTTTGATGTGTATGATTTTTATATTTGTGATAATTATTTGAAACAAAATAGGATTATCATAAAGGATATTTAACATCTACAATATGAGTACGGTAAGCACTCTCTACATACTGCGTTTGTAAACCATGAAATTCACCCCTTATTAGAAGGATTTAACTATAGTCTATTGCATGTAAACGTTGAAAAAATCAGCTCAAAATAAAGACAACCTCTCTTTCTCTCTAACTAAGGGCTACGCACACGTACAAATGTTAAATTCAATCGTTAATTGTACGTACGTAAAAAAACGAAGAAAGCCGACTGCGGAAATTAAGAATTCGTTTTCCAGAGCAAAATTTGAAACTTTGATGTGACCAAGAAACATAACTCTTTTTAATGAAAAAATCTACCGCTGTAACGCTACTTGGGCGATCAACTTGTCCATATAATTAGAAAGTCCCATTCAAATGGCAAAATCACACAAATATCCAACTTAGCAATAGTTTAATTGTTAATGAATGATGATTTTAATGGTAAGTCTTATATTTGTTAAAATAAGCCCCAAATGTAGCTCGTTTATTGGATTTTTGTTATTTGCACGAACCACTCTAAACATGGATAGATAAACCAGCACGCGCCAGTTTTCATCAACCCTTCCTTGCAGTGTTAAATTTGACAATGAACCCCTCGCACGTGTATGGCGCTATCGCGTATCGCAGCTCAGTGGTTCTGTTGGGGCGATAAGTTATTCATCTGTGAACATACTCTCAAAGCATGTCCATGACTATTTATCATATCACAACCTGCATAGGTATTTGCATTCCATATCCCCTACTTTTTTGAAGAGTATATTATGTACCGTGAATAGACAATATGGTATGTACGGCTCTATTGTGTATAAAAGAAACGTTTTTTGCGATATATTTTAGGCGACAGATGCGGACAATAATCAAGTTAGTGATATTGTGTTTTCATTGGTTGGTAACGGTGCTGATAAGTAAGTTAATATATTATTCAGCTATTTTACTAATGGAGATGAGGGTGGGGTTAATGCTAGGTCTATTGCTCTAAAGGGATCACAACGGCTAAGTGGGTAAGGCGCTGGCTGGCTAGCCTGGAGCTCTGGTGTTCGATCCCTGCATTGGCCGAGAAAATTCATCCAGATTTTCCGACGTTCCCCTTGTCAGTGATGCAGGACGGAGGGCCTGACAAGGACAGCTGTCTAGTTGTTCTGAAGGGACGAAAAACCGAGGTCCCGTCTACACATTAGTGTGCATGTAAAAGATCCCTCGACAGTTGGAATTCGATATAAGAGTAGGCCGTAGTGCCACTGTCCGGGCAAAATTTCCCTCATAGCACACTGTATGGCGTATGCCTGTCTTCATTAGCCCAGTATAGGAGTAGAACAGTAGGATGTTAAACCCCATTTCATTTCATTTCTATTGCTCTAAAGCATGCCCTATACATCTCAAGGTCTGTCTGTCTAAGTGCATGGTTTCTATCCTACACTAGTAGGTGACAAGAGAGAGAGAGAGAGAGAGAGAGAGAGAAATGGGGTTTAACGTCCACTCGACACAAACTAGGTCATTTCGGGACTAAGACATGGTTCAATTTTATTTCCATAATTCACTTGCACGTAGGGGTCTTTAGCAGTGGGAGGAAACCGGAGGACCCGGAGAAAACCCACGAGGTTGGACAGGCGACCCTACTCCTTGTCACGTACAACCGGGGATTTGAAACCACGCCAGTTGACTCAATGACAGGCTTAATGTTACAGGGCACATGTGCTAACCACTAAGCCATCCAACCCCCCCTGTACGTGACAAGAAGTAAATTCTTGGGTTTTTCCGGGTCTTCCTGTTTCTCCAGTCTGCTGAAGACCCCTACGTGTGACTTACTACCTGTTTCGATGTGATGGGTCACATTTCTCGCACTCCTTTTATTAATAACACCATCCTAACAAGGGCCATGTTCCTGCGAGTTTTACAACATCTGGACGTTACTAGATTACTTCACATTTCGCGAACTTATAGCTACGTTATCTGCAGACACGTGAACAGTAGCATCCAATCAGAAGTTGTGACATAGTGATGTCCACAGAAACCTTGACATTGAACGAACCTTGCACTTTGCAACTTGATTATCACAGGTAGACGTTTTAGCTGCAAAGCATAAGACTTGGTATTTGCGATGACCTAGGAATCTGATAGGCTCCCAAGCTGTGTGAATACCCAATTGAAATTAGTGCCGAAATATGCAGGGTATTACATGAAGGCCTTGATAAGATGTACGTAGTTAAAGCGAGATCAAGCCTTCTATTGAAGATGAGCAAGGGCCAAATTGAGACTTTGAGATGCCCAAAGCACTATAAAGATTATGGTGCTCTCAGATCTATGTAATTAAGAATGAATAGCCTACGATCCTAAATTGTAAAATGAATTTTTATCTTAGAAATGAAACAAAACTTGCTGAAATAAAAAAAAAAAATTTCAAAATTTTACGATCCCAAAATCCTGTATAATTTCATTCAACTGCAGATTAATCATCAGCATTCAGCATCATTATTATTATTATTATTATTATTATTATTATTATCCACAATTTATCAACATTATTTATCATCATCATCATCATCATTATTATTATCCATCATTTATCATCATTATTTATAATCATTATTATCCATCATTTATTATCATTAATTATCAGCATCATTATTTATCAGCATCATCATCATTATTTATCTGCATCATCATCATTATTTGTCAGCATCATTATTTATCAGCATCATTATTTATCAGCATCATCTTCACATCATCTTCATTATGCATGATCATCATCATGATCATCATCATTTATCATTATTCTGCATCATTCTTACTATCATTATTATTAGATTTGCTATCGAGAGCAGAACGGGAGCAATAACTGTGAAGAGTTGTTCAACCCCTGGTGTCAGACCGTGTATAGACTACGAAGATAGAAAACAATATCAGCTAACAGTTATGGCACGTGATGAGAATGGCCAAGGACGAGAGAGCACTGGATCTTTAACTGTCAATATCGAAAACATCAACGATAACAGACCACAGTTTCGCTTACCCAGTTATCTTCGCTATATCAACGAGGGAGAAATACTTACCATTGATCCTTTGGTGGTGTCGGTAAATATTGTATTTTTACTAAATGGGCTAATTCGGTTGCTGGATTTTCTAACGTGTGCACGGTAGATCATAAGGTCTATTATTGAGTCACATGGCCTGGTTTCGATTCCCAGCTTGTACGTGTTAAGGAGTAGGATCACCTGTCCAACCCCATGTGTTTTTCCTAGTTCTTTGGTTTCCGCCACCTGCTAAGGACCTCCAACATTATGTCTATAGCGTATAAACTGTGGCGTACTGATTTTGATATTAGATATTAGGATCCATATTTTCACGGTAAGATAACAACATCAAATTGGAATACTAATTGGTGTTTTTAATTTCAAATATTATGTTTGATACTTACACTAGGGACCGGGTATCATTCAGATTTGATAAAAAAATTAAAGAAACTGAGCTTACCATCTATAATCTAGTACACATATTCAGTTAATAGATTGCCATGCAGAAAGTGTTAAATACCATCAAGATTCATCAAAAAATGCCCTGTTTGTGCTACCGTTTAGTTTGACATTGGTTGTCTAGTTTATAAAACTAAATGGTCATAAACTGGATGACCAATAACAAAACTAAACTAAATGGTCATAAACTAGATGACCGATGTCAAAACTAAATGGTGTTTCTTAAACTAAAAGGTAGCACAAACTGGGCATTATTTGATGAATCTTGATGGTATTTAATACTTTCTGCATGGCAATCTATTTATTGAATGTGTATTAGATTATAGATGGTAAGCTCAGATTCTTTCCTTTTTTCATCAAATCTGAATGATACCCGGTCCCTAGTGTTATTTAGAGGTGTAGCTCCATTGAAACAGCTCAGGTATTTTTCACCTACAAGGTCAACCCACTTTTCATATATTGTTTTAACCGCAGTATTTATATCCAGCTCTGTGGCCCATTTTTTACTGTGGTTTCCAATCCCCTGTTGTACGTGACTCGGAATAGTGTTGCCTGTCCAACCTCATGGATTTTCTCCGGAGCCTCCGGTTTCCTTCCCACACCAGGTCCTGCAAAATGTTAGCACGTGCGCGCTGTATCATAAGGTCTGTCATTGAGTCAACTGGCATGGTTTCGAATCCCTGGTTGTACATGACAAGGAATAGGGTCGCCTGTCCAACCTTGTGGGTTTTCTCCGGGTCCTCCGGTTTCCTCAAACTGCTAAAGACCCCTACGCAAATGCAAATTATTGAAATTAAATTTAAAAAAAAACATGTTAGTCCCAAAATGACCTAGTTTGTGTCGAGTGGACGTTAAACCCCATTTCTCTCTCTCTCTCCCATTTTTTACCTTGTTTTCCCAACCCACATGGTATTATCCAAATGACCAGTCCGCCTCTTGTGGGTAGAAATGCCTGTAATGGCCAGTCCGCCTCTGGTGGGTAGAAATGATCTAATTGCTATGGTATGTTTTTACCTAGCTAGTCAGCCCCTGTATGGCCAGTCAGCTTCTTGCGGGTAGAAATGATCTAATTGCTATGGTATGTTTTTACCTAGCTGGACAGCCCCTGGTGGGTAGATATGCCTGTATGGCCAGTCAGCTTCTTGCGGGTAGAAATGATCTCATTTGCTATGGGTTTTTTTACGTAGCTAGTCAGCCTCTGGTGGGTAGATTCTATTTTTTATATTTTGTTTTAGATAACTGATGCTGATAACAAAGATGGTGATACAGTTGGCGCACCTACGACGTTTGCCATACTTGGAACTACTTTATGGCGTATTGATAGCCGGACGGGGAATATTACAGCTGTAGCTCCTATTAAATATGAAGATTCTGCGAAAGGATAGTAAGTCTCTATCAATCCATGGGGAGAGGTAGATAGGTGCGGGCCAAATAGAACCTGATTCTCACTTGTAGAGCCCAGGGGAAGAACGATCTAAGTGACATTTTTGTCTTTTCGCATAAATCGCAAAACAGACTTTTGGACGAGAATGTTTGACACGAACGAACAGAACAAAGATTGGAACTTCAAAATGATGTTTAACACGAACCATAATTACAAGTACAACTGAGTTCAACTTTTCAGGCAAATTATGGTTAAATAAAGGGTACGATGGACTTGTATTTGTCTGAGAGGCCATTATACAATTTGCTACCAGATGGCGCCATTAACTGGGGTTCGTGGAAAAAGTGACTTAGATCTTTCTTCCCCTGGATTCTTATAGTAAGGCTTTATCAATTAATGCGCAGAGGTAGTTGGATGTAAGGTTACTGTTCTCTCGCGTAGTACGTCCTATTTCCAAAGGGCTGAGGTCAAAAAAAGGGTTCTGTTTCCTGTAATGGATAGAAAAGGGTTGGGTCAGTAGGTAGGGTTGAATGGGACACGAATAGATTGGTGGATGAAGTCCATGGATAATTGTATAAAATGTAACAGAGGCTAGATTATGGTTTAAATATTCTCCTTTAAATCATTCAATGCTAAGAAAAACTAGCATAGGGAGGCCATTTTGTTCAAGTGTTGCATTTCGACCTCTAGCTGGTCAAGCACCTCTGGCTGGCAGTCGTAGGTTTGATCCCTGGTGTGAGCGTTTGTGGCTTGGAGATAGAGGGCTTTCTCAAACTCGAGGGTTTACTTTGGATACTCTGAATTTCTCCCACAGGAAAGACCCCTGTACACGTGCGCTAAGCATAGTAAAATAAGACGACTTGTCTGTGATATCACCATCGTTGGAAGCAGACGTTAAACACTAATAGAAGAAGTTGGAAGTCGATGAAAAATAGGCAGGTTTAATGTCCACGGACAAAAACTAGATCATTTTAGGATAAATAAATGGTTCAATTTTATTTCAATAATTCGCTTACGTGTAGGAGTCTTTAGCAGTGGTAGGGTGACCCATGTACTCACAGAAATACAGTCCACCGCTGATAGTTCGAGACTACCACTGAAGCGTGCACATTCGCCGTGCCGAGACCAACTTTCTGACAGTATGATACTATAAATAGCCATGGCACGTGCAATTCTCTACAAATCTATCAACTAATACAGCCGTAAAAAATTTATTGTTGACGATTTTGAATAGCAGTAAAATTAAGCTTCTTGGTTATTACAGCAGATTTAGAAATTACTTTCGTTTCATTTTTTAAATCGCTTTATCATTAACTGTACCGTTAAGAGCGGCATCTTTTGGTTTAGTACAAATAATATCTCTGAATCACTCGGGTTAGACAGGAACATGATACTAGCAATAATTTCATTTTACTTTTACAAGCTTCTTAAAACGATTGTTGAGTTGTCTAAAGTGCTTATTTCTAAATTCAATTTCTTGTTCTAGCTTTCTGTTATGTTTCGTAAAAAAGTAGTCTTGATTATCCCGACCTGTCAATCAGACGTAGAATGGTCGATAGACTGGTTAAGCGAGACTAATTTCAAAACAAGGGCACGTAACCTATCTTTTACTCAAATGTGTCTGGATGTTATGGACGACTCTTGGAACCAGTTTTCAGACTATTATTTATAGATGATTAATGGTCATAGCTTATTAAGTACAACATGATCGTTTATTTAGTGACTATAATTGTGTGAAACTGATTTGAGGCTTGGCATATATATAAATATTGTGGCGTAATTGTCGAGATATATGGAGATATTTATTTATGGTGGGTCACCCTAGCAGTGGGAGGAAACCAGAGGACTTGGAGAAAACCCACGAGGTTGGACAGGCGACCCTACTCCTTGACATGTAAAACCAGGGAATTGAACAACCGGGGATTCGAAACCACGGCAATTGACTAAATGACAGCCCTTATGATACAGCACACAAATGCTAACCATTCGGCCATCCAACCCCCCAAGAATAGGCAGAAACATCGTCTACCTGGTACCACATTGCATGGTGTATGACTGTTTTCATTGGTCGGGTTGGTGGAGAAAGTAGCAAATAAAACACCATTTTATTTCATGTCTGGGGGGTTGGATGGCCGAATGGTTAGCACGTGCACGCTTTATCATAAGGTCTATCATTGAGTCAACTGGTGTGGTTTCTATTCCTCGGTTGTACGTGACAAGGAGTAGGGGTTTGTGGGTTTTCTCCGGGTCCTCTGGTTTCCTCCCACTATTAAAGACCCCCACGCGCAAGCAAATTATTGAAATAAAATTAAACCATATGTTTTGTGTCGAGTGGAATTTAACCCTATCCCTTCTCTCTCTCTCTCTCTCTCTCTCTCTCTCTCTCTCTCTCTCATGTCTAAATTTGATTATTTTTTTATTTTTTTATTTTTTAGTTTTAATTTTACCGTTTCTGCTAGCAACAGTGGATCCAGACCAAACACTAATATTGTTCCAGTTTACATCATAGTTATAGTAAGTGCCAAGATTCTTTAACATTTGGTATCCATTTGTCCTTCTTAGAAAATTTCCGTTAAATTCAATTTAAAGATACATTATGGGAGATTAGTTAAAGAGCTGGCAATTCTCACTATAATAGTTAAAAACAAGATAATGTAAAGGCAATTTGCTGAAAATTTCAGTCAAATTGATCCACTATGAACCGAGATTTTAGTGATTGAATTGTGGAGCTAGCCTCGATCATCATGACTTTACATTACTAAAGTCGGTAGGATAAAAAACATAGTCTTGATTATCCTTTTTTTTTTTATTTAATTATGAATGGAAGTCGAAACAGCAAATCGGAACGTAATCCAATAAACATCGCAGGCTAGCGATGGCATCGAAAGTTGATTATGGTTTGGATAAGTTAATTAATGTCTAATTAATAATTTAGATAACATTTCAGGCCTAAATAAAGACCTCCAATAGGCAAATTTAGCTCTTGCATTAATGTATGTTTAATGATTTGATCAGCATCTGTGACCATGTAACTCAGAAATCGGCTTTCTGATTGACTGAAAAATTGTAGAAATTTCAACCTATCTTGTTTGTCTTTTAGTGTCGTCTGCCCAATCCGTCAAATCACGTGCGTTTACTCTGTGTCCTCCGGTTTCCTCCCACTGCTAAAGATCCCTCCACGCATGCGAATTATTGAAATGAAATCAAACCATATGTTAGTCCCATAATGCCATTGTTTGCGAGCAGTTGATGTTAAACCACTCTTTTTCTCTTTCGGATTAACTTTAAGTTGGTAATCCAGATTTTCCGGCGTGGTTTCCCCTTGTCAGTGATGCAGCACGGATGGCCTGACAAGGACAGCTGTCTAGTTGTTCGGATGGGACGAAAAAACGAGGTCCTGTGTACACATTGGAGTGCACATAAAGGATCCCTTGGCAGTTGGAATTCGATATAAGAATAGACTGTAGTACCTCTGCCCGGGCAAAATTTCCCTCATAGCACACTGTATGGCGTATGCCCAACTTCAGTAGCCAAGTTTAGGAGCAGAACAGTAGGACGTTAAACCCCATTTCATTTTGTTTTTCAGGATAAGAATAACTTTAGTCCCACATTTGTTCCCGCGGATTATACAGAATTTATTGATGAAGATATAGCATTTAGTAAGTATATTAATCTCTCTCTCTCTCTCTCTCTCTCTCTCCCTCCCTCTCTCTCTCTCCCTCTCTGGTGGCATGGGTTAGTCTCCCCCGCTTGTACATCACAAGGAGTAAGGTCACCTTTCCAACCTTGTGGGTTTTCAACCTCTCTCTCTCTCTCTCTCTCTCTCTCTCCCTCTCTCTCTCTCCCTCCCTCTCTGGTGGCATGGGTTAGTCTCCCCCGCTTGTACATCACAAGGAGTAAGGTCACCTTTCCAACCTCGTGTGTTTTCTCCTGTTTACTCCCACTGCTAAAGACCCCCACACACAAACAAATTACTGAAATAAAATTGAACCATGTGTTAGTCCCGAAATGACCTAGTCTGTGTCGAGTGGACGTTAAACGATGAACCTACCAAATGTGATCTGCTCAAAGAACATCTAAGCTGTGGAGGGCGACTGTGTTTCGTTGCCTGGCAACCTATCTTTAACATAATTCGGATTAATACGATTTAAATTATTTATTTCAGATTCCCCTGTGATATTGATTACCGCGACTGACAAAGATTCCCCAACATCGGAGAATGGTAGATTTGAATACACCATTGTCAGTGGTTCACAGGGTAAATTTGAAATCGATAGAAATACTGGACAGGTCTCAACTTCATCCGTAGCCACTTTCGACTATGATGTACAGAGACAATATCTACTAACGGTTTGTATTGATTAATCCACTTTTGAACTTTAAAAAAAAAGTATTTAATATTTCTGTTAATCCAACAGGATAACGTTGTATCATAAGGCGTGGTTTCGATCCCCCAGTTGTACGTGACAAGTAGTAGGGTCGCCTGTCCAGCCAGGTGGGTTTTCTCTTGGTCCTCTGGTTTCCTCCTACTGCATAAAGACCCCTATGCGCAAGCGAATTATTGAAATAAAATTGAACCATATGTTAGTCCCAAAATGACCTAGAGTGGACATTCAACCCTTCCTCTCTCTCTCTCTATCTCTCTTTCTCTCTTTCCTCAAGCCCAGCCTCAACTGATTAAAATACAGATATTTCAATGGGTCAGGGGTCATACAAGCGGCTTTTGACCCTATGACTCTATGACATCAGACATTCGATTAACCATTCAGCGTTGATGTTTTTAATAGAATACCCACAGTTCCTTGCACCACACACCAAGAACTCCGCGCAACAGACCATTTCATTGACTAATCCCTCACATCAACCAGAACACGTGTTATATAACAACTCTTCCAGATCCTAGTGTAGTAAAGACAAGTAAAACGAAATTTTGATCTATAAAGAACGAAACGAAATCAGATTGTACCAGGATTCACTTGTCAATTGTGACCCTGTATATTCCAGTTTAATTACATACTCCTCGGCCTCGCAGTGTTTCGTTTAATTAGACCTAATCCCACTCAAATTTCTGTTCCAAATTATGACTGGTCAATAGTCCGATTAACAACTAATGCCTAACTGCGTAACAATGTCATTCAGGTTTAAACAGAGCTCCACATTGTTTTCGTAATGTTACGTCATGACTCAGGAAATTTTTACCCACAATTAACCAGTGCATAGCAGAATATTGCAAAAAAACTAATTGTGTAAAAACAAGGCTATCAACGGTTATATTATAAACAATACTGTTTGGAGACGAACAATACTTTCACTGTTTTAAATACCTTAAATCACTGTCCAAAGTTTTAGGGAAGACCCAGATTAAACGAAGGGCTGTCATGTTCGTCTACTTGGGATAGATTTGATTGAACGGGAAGAATGGACACACTCCCTCAAAAGCTCAAGTATCATAAGTCAATCCAGCAATGGCCAGAGAGGCATATCTCGGGCCATTGCTTCAGGAATACGGTTCAATTACTAAATAGAACTGTATATTCCAGTTCAGTTACTGAATAGAATTGTGACCCTGTATATTCCAGTTCAATTACTAAATGAATTGTGATGCAGTATATTCCAGTTCAATTACTAAATAGGATTGTGACCCTGAATATTCCAGTTCAATTACTAAATAGGATTGTGACCTTGTATATTCCAGTTCAATTACTAAATGCCATTGAAACAATTTATTATTTATTGTTTGTAGATATTGGCTCGTGATGGCGGTAAACCACAGAGAACTGGAACTGCCACGGTTACTGTTATTGTACGTGATAAAAATAATCGACTACCTTATTTTATTCCTACAACCCAGCGATTTGAAGTTAATGAAAGTAAGTTTTTATTTTATTTAAGGACAGACGGAAAAACAGATGTTTTTATTAACGGACAAACTTAAAGATGGGTTCACAGTAAAGTATTTATCGGGTGGTTATTTCCAATAAAAGTATGGCAATTTTGGTATATATGGAAAGTAGAGATATCCAATCTTACTAGAAAAATCTCTTGCAAAATGTGAGCTATCTTGCATGTCAACCGCTAGTTATATATTTATTTGTATTTCAGATGTTGCCCTGGATACGGTCGTGTACACCGTTAAAGCCACCGATCCAGACGTGTCAGCCGTATTAAGATTCAAATTTGAGGGACCAAAGTCAGCCATTACTCCACAAGGAACTGATGTTGATATCAACTCCTACAACTTTGGCGTAAGTATTTATGTTGATATTGTGTAAAGCAGTTGGACGTAGTCCGAGGTCCCAGATCTATCCCGTCCACCCCTGTGTGGACCAGTTTAAAGGGGCATTTTGGGAGATTAGATGGTTAAAAACTAGATAATGTAATGGGAATATGCTGAAAATTCCGGTCAAATTGCTCCACTCTGAACCGAGATATAAGCGATTGAATTTTAGGATCGATCATCATTACTAAAGTTAGTACGATAAAAAAACAAGGCCTAGATTATCCAATTTGACGTTAAATAAGCCATCACAAAATGTATTAAAATCCAGTAAATATCACAGGCTAGCGATGTCATCGAGAGTTGATTAGGGTGTGGATAAGTTTATAAATGTCTAATTAATAATTTAGATAACATTTCAGGCCTAAGGAAAGACCTGCAATAGGCAGATTTAGCTCTTGCATAATGTATGTTTATCTAAGTCTTACATAATTCCTCTTTAAATTATGTTGACCGCTGTCTAATTGTTCGGAAATTGTACAAAAAACCGAGGTCCCGTGTACACATTGGTATGCACGTAAAAGATCCCTTGACAGTTGGAATTCGATATAAGGGTAGGCCGTAGTGCCGCTGTCCGGGCAAATTTTCATCCTAGCACACTGTATGTCGTATGCCTGTCTTCATTTACCCAGTTCGGAGCAGAACAGTAGGACGTTAAACCCCCTTTTCCTTTTCAATTCTTTTCATTTTTGATGATTGTCTAGTGTGAGGTATCAGTCCCCTTTTACGACATGGTCTGAGTAGTTGTTTATTTTATTTTATTTTTAAAGGATTTATTTACTATGGAGCCAACCACTGGTCGTATAAAAACAGCTCGACGGTTAGATCGTGATAGAAGTTCCGTTATTACCTACCAGATGATTGTAGAAGATACAGCTTCACCTGGTCAAAGTGGAACAGGTAATTAACTCATGGACCCATACACCTATTAAAGATCCATTATGGGAGCTTCGATAATGAGTCTGCAGTTCTCACTATAATTGTTAAAAACTAGATAATGTAATGGCAATTTGCTGAAAATTTCAGTCAAATTGAATCACTATGAACCGAATACTAAGCGATTGAAATTTCCGCCTAGCCTCGACCATCATTACTAAAGTCAGTACGATAAACAGCATAGTCTCGATTATCCATTTAATTGTTAAATCGTGAAGGAAAGTTATGCAGTAAATCGGCTCATAATCCACTAAAGATCGCAGGTTAGCGATACCATCGAGAGTTGATTATGACCTGGATAGGTTAATTAATGTCTAATTAATAATTTAGATAACATTTCAGGCTTAAAGAAAGAGCTGCAATAGGCAGATTTAGCTCTTGTATAATGCATGTTTAATTATTGGATTCACACATTCTATAGAAGTCAGATCTCGTGCATTCAAATAATGTATGTTTAAGTGAGAATAAAGGAACACTATGCAGATATTAAACACAACAGTCGAAATACACTTCAATTTAAAAGGACTTTCAAGTCGAAATGTTATGATCAAAATTATAGAGCTTTTTAAGACTGACCCAGATAATGGCAAAAACGATGTCATAAGAAAAGCCAATAAATTCAAATAGATTCACACTTTAAGAACATTCGCACAGGATGGCATTAATGATAAGATGTAGTCCCGAAGGGTTCCCCACTTTATTGTTTAGTCTAATTAAATAAAGCTCTACTCCCTTATCTCCCTAAGCCAATAAACTAGACAATAGCTTATCTCCCTGGGTCTAATTAAAGGATTATCCATTAATCCAATATGTTGATAACATTTGTCCCTTATGGTTCCTGAATCACCAAAGTTTGAATATCATAGTCTCTGAGATCATTAAATAAAGGGACTTTGATTTCTTTACAAACTACAATATTGTAAATCTCTAATGAAATGAAATGAAATGGGGTTTAACGTCCTACTGTTCTGCTCCTATACTGGGCTAATGAAGACGGGCATATGCCATACAGTGTGCTATGAGGGAAATTTTGACTGGGCAGCGGCACTATCGCCTACTCTTATATCGAATTCCAACTGCCAAGGGATCTTTTACGTGCATTCCAATGTTTACACGGGACCTCGGTTTTTCGTCTCATCCGAAGGACTATACAGCTGTCCTTGTCAGGCCCTCCGTCCTGCATCACTGACAAGGGGAAACCACGTCGGAAAATCGGGATGAACTTTCTCTGTCAATGCAGGGATCGAACACCCGACCTCCAGGCTAGCGAGCCAGCGCCTTACCCACCTAGCCACCATGGCCCCAAATCTCCAATGAATATCAGTCCAAAGATATCAGTATACCACAGATGATATAAATAAGATCTGACAGACACAACAGATCAATGGCATGGTTTCGAATCCCTGGTTGTACGTGACAAGGAGTAGGGTCGCCTGTCCAACCTCGTGGGTTTTCTCCGGGTCCCCCGGTTTCCTCCCACTGCTAAAGAACCTACGCGCAAGTGAATTATTGAAATAAAATTAAACCATATATATGTCCCGCAATGACCTAGTTTGTGTGTTAAACCCCATCTCTCTCTCTCTCTCTCTCTCTTTCTCTCTCTCTCTCTTCTCTCTCTCTCTCTCTCTCTCTCCATTGACCCAGTAGGAAGTTGACCATTTCTAATTTCAGGAACTGTAATTATAACAGTATTAGAGTATAACGTCAATCCTCCATACTTCGAACAGGCTGTTTACTTTCTAACTATTGATGAAGAACGACCAATAGGAACGTTTGTTACAACTCTGGTTGCTATGGACGATGATAATACTATAGATCGATACGAGATGATATCCAATCCAAATAACTATTTCACGATTTCACCAAGCACAGGTTAGTCTTAAAATAGCCAAGTCTCAAACTCAATATCATCCAAAACAATCGACAATGAAAACACAAATTATTTGTCAATTTTAATCAACATTGGTGTTGTGATCTTACCGGGAAAAGATTGGCTTCTGATATCCAATATTTAAGACAAAATAAACATTTTACGATTGGTACACGAATCGTGTACCATAATGCATTTCAGTGTCATTTGTAACAAGTGACCAGAAAGAACGAGGTTAGACATATTCCACAAGTCATGTCAAACGGTGACCCCATATTCTTCTCTGGAGAGCATGCGCAATAAATACTATCGGTGTAGACTGGAATAACCAGACGCTAGAGATTGCCATTCGATTGAGACTTCTGGCATATTTCACCGAACATAACTGCTTTGAAATTAGAGTAAAAACGGAAACGATTGAATGTAAATCAGTTTTTTTACATTCATATTACATTATTATATATGTTGCGACCCATTTGTGTCAATTTGTAGGTCCCAAATATTAACGATTTAGCTCCTTTAAAGATGGGTTCCCAGAAAAGTATTTATTGGGTGGTTATTTCCAATAAAAGTATGTTAACTTTGGTATTTATGGAAAGTAGAGATATCCAATCTTACTAGAAAAATACTGGATTCCCCGAAAAACACTCATGGAGCATATACAGGACAAAAATGTAAGGGTTCCCCTAATCAACAGCCCGACGATTAGGAATTTCTGCACGCGTGATGTCAAAGGTCACACGCGAACATTGAGCGCTTGATGTACAAGTTGAAAAACTTTACGAAGAGTTAGACGTACAACACTTTCTGACATAAAAATGACAGAAAAAGACGCGGGTAGTGGGTAATCCGAGAATTTAATTAGGATTCGATATTTGTAATAAATAGTAAGCGATTAAAGACAACATCGTCTTATGTATGCAATGAATTCTCCTCTGACTTCCAAGAGAGGTAAATCATGTAAACATGACCTGGTTTGATCGAATTTTGATAGCAGGACATTCCTTCGCAATTACAATGTTTGAGAAGGATTTGAAGCAAAGTTATGACAAATTAGTTAGTTTGAATATGGTTTTGGTCCATATATACCATTAAATCACCCAGTCAGTACGCGGGAACCCATCTTTTGAATATGGTTTTGGTCCATATATACCATTAAATCACCCAGTTTGTATGCGGAAACCCATCTTTAAAAAATCAACCTTTCTACTATCAAATTAGGGGGTTTGTGTGGTCTAGTGGTTTAAGGTCTGTCCTTGAGTCAAGTGGCATGGTTTCGATTCAAGTAGGGTTGCCTGTCCAACCTCGTGGGTTTTCTCAAGGTACTCCAGTTTCCTCCCACTGCTAAAGACCCCTACGAGCAAGCAAATTATTGAAATAAAATTGAACCATATGTTGGTCCCGAAATGACCTAATGTGAGCTGAGTGGAGGTTAAACCCCCTTCATTAGTCGGGATTGTAGATCATTAATACCTATTTTGATTGATGTGATAATTTAATTTTTGTGTGTATTATTTACAGGTGTTATCAGTATAAATGGTCGTTTGGATTATGAACAGATGAATTCAACCAAGTTTATAGTTCAGGCTTATGATACTGGCGTCCCTCAACTCAGTGGATCTACCACAGTTTCTGTTAGGATTAGAAATATTAACGATAACAGTCCACGTTTTATTAATGTGAGTTACTCTATACAATTTGTAACGTGGACGGGAAATCTTCCTTTGTTTTTCCTCTAGTAGCTAGACTTGTAACATCGATGGGAAATCTTCCTTTGTTCTTTTCGTTGAATAAGCAGATTGTTTTCCCTCTAGTAGATTGGGTGGAGCTTAACCGTGCAATAACTAGACATGTGCAATGTTATTACACACTTTTGCTGGTTTACACTAGTTTTAGTAGAAATCATATGGAGAAGTGGGATGGGTTTTCTGTGGAATAATAACAAGTATGTTAAGCAGGTGTTAATGTTACAAGTCATTTATAGCATGCTTCGTTCGTTAACATGTTTAACATCTCGGCCTACGGCCTCGATGTTTAAACCTGTTAACTCATGAAAGCCGTGCTATAAATATAACATATTATTTCAACCCACCGCGGTTATATACAATACTAATGGATGTGAAAGTGAAATGAAATGAAGTTGAATGTCCAACTGTTCTGCTCCGACTCGGCTATTGAAGATGGGCATACGCCATACTGTGTGCTATGAGGGAAATTTTGCCTGGGTAGTGGCACTATGGCCTACTCTTATATCGTATTCCAACTGCCAAGGGATCTTTAACATGCATGCCAATGTATACATGGGACCTTGGTTTTTCGTCCCATCCGGATGATTAGACAGCCGTCTTTGTCAGGCCCTCCGTCCTGCTTCACTGATAAGGGGAAACCACGCCGGAAAATCCAGATGAACTTTTTCGGCCCATGAAGGGATCGAACACGTGACCTCCAGGCTAGCGAGCCAGCGTTTTACCCCCCACTTAGCCACCGTGGCTCCCAAGATGTGAAAACAAGCCAAAGCTTATATAAATGCGCATTATTTCAAGGTTTGTCATTGAAACCATGCCGGTTGACTCAATGACAGACTTTAGATACAGCGCACATGCGCTGACCATTCGGCCATCCAGCCCCCTCAGTTGGGTGGGGGACATGAGCCTCACTGTTAAAACTTGAGCTTATTATTATTTGTATGGTGGTGATTGAGTCTGTTTGTTATATTATTAGGATACATATACGAAAGAAGTCCGAGAACAGAAGGGTCCCAGTGCTGTATTGCTACAAGTATCAGCAAATGACATAGATTTAGAAGATTTTGGAGTGGTTAGATATCGACTTGACTCCAGGAAGACTCAATTTGAAATTCAAAACGTGACTGTAAGTAGAATATTATAGCATGTATGTAAAATTTATGGCACTTTTGTAAGTAAAATTGATAGCACTTCTCAAAGTAAAATTGATAGCACACCCTTTTAAGACAATATATAGCATGTCTGTTAGTAGAACTGATAGCATATCATTCTGTAAGTATAATTGATAGCCCTAAGTTAGATTTATAGCACTTCCCTAAGTAAAATTGATAGCACTTCCCTTAGTAAAATTCATAGCACTTCTCAAATAAAATTGATAGCACTTCCCTAAGTGAAATTCATAGCACTTCTCTAAGTAAAATTGATAGCACTTCCCTTAGTAAAATTCATAGCACTTCCCTAAGTAAAATTGATAGCACTTCTCTAAGTAAAATATGTAGCACTTCTGTAATTAAAATTAATAGCACTTCGCTAAGTAAAATTGATAGCACTTCTCTAAGTAAAATATGTAGCACTTTTCTAAGTATAATTAATAGCACTTCCCTAAGTAAAATTGATAGCACTTCTCTAAGTAAAATTTATAGCACTTCTCCAAGTAATATTGATAGCACATCTTTAAAAATTCATTGTGTAAGATTTCTTGCTATAATAGTTCAAAAATGAATAACGAAAAAAAAGTATATTGAAAATTTCATTCAAATTAATTTATTCTGAGCTAGGTTATGGGTCTTGGACAATGTAGCACAGATTGTTTATTATTGTAGCAACAGTACCAGACATTCAAGACTTAGTATCGTTTGTCCATTTTATTGTTAAATTTTTAAATCTCGTGGGTGTGCTAATCCATTTAAATTTCTGCCATCCGATGGCCTAGCGAGTTGATTGTTGATTTTAGGCTTGTCATGTTTATATAACATTTGAAGCCGAAAGAAAGACCTGTAATAGGCATGGGGGGTGCTGGATGAACGAATGGTTAGCGTGTGTGCACGCTGTATCATAAGGTCTGTCATTGAGTCAACTGGCATGGTTTCAATTCCGCGGTTGTACGTGACAAGGAGTAGAGTCACCTGTACAACCTCGTAGGTTTTCTCCGGACCCTCCAGTTTCCTCCCACGGCTAAAGACCCTTATGTGGAAGCAAATTATTGAAATAAAATAGAACCATATGTTAGTACGAAATGACCTAGTTTGTGTCGGGTCAAACGAAACGAGTGGCTTTTGACCCTATGATGTCAGACATTGATTAATAAATCAGTGTTGACATTTCTAGTGGTTTACCCACGGTTCCGTGCTTGGCACGCCAAGCAGTCGCTGTAACAGATGGTTTCATTGACTAATCTCTCACGCCATCCAGAACACCTGTTATATAACAGCTCTTCCAGATCCTAGTGTAGTAAAGACAAATAAAACGAAATTTTAAACTATAAAAAACGAAACGAAATAGGATCTGTGTTTTAATCAGATTGATCTGAATCTTACATAATGCTTCTTTAATCAGAAGAAAATGAAATAAATCAAACATGATAGGCATTGATTATTGATTATTAATTATTTGTAGCTTGGTTTATTCGTTTTATTTTAGGGTGAAATAAAATTACGAGCTGGTCAAGAATTAGACAGAGAAAGAGAGGCAATAGTTGCCGTACAAGTTACTGCGTATGACAGTCCCAATACACCAGAAGTCCGTCGAGAATTTACCATTCCAGTAGGTTTATATATTAAACTCTAGCAAATCTCACGCTACTTTCTCGTTCACTGGCTGAATGGGTTAACTTGTGCGTGTTGGATCGTAAGTCTGTCAAGTTGAGTGGCGTGGTTTCCGTTCCCTGCTTGTATGTGACAAGAAGTAGGGTCGCCCTTCTCGAACCTCTAGAGTTTTCTCAGGGTCGTCCGGTATTTACCCACAGCTAAAGATCCCTAAACGCAAGTGTATTACTGACATAAAATCGATCCATATGTAAGTCCAAAAATGACCTAATTCAACCCCATTTCTCTCTCCCTTTATTCAAGAATTTCCCATACCTAATAAATGTTTTTTTGTCGTATCTTGAATTTAAAATTTGTCTGATCAAAACATACTTCCTCATATCTTGAGGGTTTTCTTAGGGTCCTCCATTTTCCTCGCTCAAACCTTGTGGGTTTTCTCAGGAACCACTAGTTTCCTCGAACTGCTAAAAAAACCTACACGCAAGCAAACCCCATTTCCCCCTCTCCTTATCAATAAAGAACAATTTTTTTTTTTTTTTTTTTTTACAGGTATACTTTATTATATTGGATGCGAATGACAACGAACCAAAGTTTTCTCGGGCTGTTTATTCCGCCACCATTATAGAGACCATTGTTGTGGGTGCCGAGGTTGTACCACTTATAGCGTCTGATCTGGATTTTGGTGAAAATGCTAATTTGGCTTTCTTTAAAACACAAAGTATCTTAGATCCTAATGGTTAGTATATTTTTTCATAATTTTATTCTGTCAAGGCCTGTGGTAGGTTGGATGGCCGATTGGTTAGCATGTGCGCACTGTATCAGAAGGTCTGTCATTGAGTCAAATGGCGTGGTTTCAATTCCCTGGTTGTATGTGCCAAGGCGTAGGGTTGCCTGTCCAACCTCGTTGGTTTTCTCTGGGTCCTCTGGTTTCCTCCCACTGCTAAAGACCCCTACGAGCAAGCGAATTATTGAAATTAAATTGAATCATATGTTAGTCCCAAAATAACCTAGTTTGTGTTGAGTGGACATTAAACCCCATTTCTCTCTCTCTCCCCTCTCAATCTAAAAATTACGTTTTTATGTGCTTTAGATTACAATAGCTGAAATATGCTGAAAATTTCAGTCAAATTGATCCACACTGAGAATTTAGCGATTATCCATTTTTTGATTTAATCATCGTTGAGCAGCAGATCGGATTATAATCTAGTAAATATCGTAGGCTAGCGATGACATCGAGAGTTGATTATGATCTGTATAAGTTAATTAATGTTTAATTAATAATTTTGATAACTTTTCAGGCTTAAAGAAAGACCTACAATAGGCAGATTTAGCTCTTGCATAATGTATGTTTAAGATACCTCTGACATTGAACCATGTGTCAGTCCCGAAATGACCTAGTTTGTATTGAATGTCAACGTTAATACCCATATCTCTCTCGTTTAGATTATTTTGCTGTCGGTCGACAATCTGGTAAAGTAACAGTGGATAAGCCACTTGTCGGAAGATCTGGTGATTATACATTTGAAGTGGAAGTTCGAGATAAAGATGGCGTACCTAATTATCTAACGGCAAAAGCTACTGTTGTTATTACCGTTTTACCTGCTACCAATTCACCACCAAGATGGGTTTTCCCACCTTATGAGAACATGACAATAGATGTGTTAGAGGTAGGTAGTTTAAAACAATTCACCATCATGTGTTAAAGGTAGGTAGTTTAAAACAATTCACCACCATGTGTTAGAGGTAGGTAGTTTAAAACAATTCACCACCATGTGTTAGAGGTAGGTAGTTTAAAACAATTCACCACCATGTGTTAGAGGTAGGTAGTTTAAAACAATTCACCACCATGTGTTAGAGGTAGGTAGTTTAGAACAGTATGGGTTTTCCAACATTTTAAAAACCTATATGTTAAATCTCTTTGATCTTTGGAGCAGTGACCGCCCTAGACATTCGCCAATTCGCCAATGGCGACAATTATTTTTATTGGCGAATAAAGTGATGATACTGGCGAAAAATTTGGCGAATGAATTTTAGAGAGTGTTATTTCGTAAATCTGCTAATATTAAACTTGAAATCGTCTCGTTAAACGCTTCTTTCGATCGACTCGATGGAGTGTCTATTTTTAGTACATTAATTACTCTAGTCTCAATCTTACAAGTCGCAAATCAGTCAATGTTACAATATTACGCATTAAAACGACCGAAAGATCGAGTCTGGAGACTATAAAACACAGTTACGCCCCTTTTGTGTGGCACTGCGTTGTTTACATTCGCTTCACTACAAGTTTTCTTTACTTACGCAGCAAATAAATAAAACGCACATTAATGACAACTAATACTAGTAAACCCAAAATAAGGATAGATTCCTTTTTCCTTCCTACGACTACTGTTAGTCCAGAATCTACTTCCGTGAGTGAGCGTGTCATCTCGGACGCAAGTCCTTCGTTGGCTTCATCAACATGTGGACAAAAATTAACCGAGACCGTCGAGCTAACCCTCAATGACCTCATGCTTATAAAAATGGATGGACCGGACATAAATTTCAAATCAGTGGTGTCTTAAAAAGAATCGTCGTGTCTTTTCTGTTATGACGATTAAGTAAATTAAATCATGTGACTGTGAAGTACGTCCTATAAACATTTTTTTGTTATCTGCATTCATTCTCTCAATAATGTGAACTTTTGCATGAACAAGGAGATAAAATAATATTCTTGTGTACTATATATAGAGGATATTTGTCGTTTTAGAGTGAATAACATATTTTATTTCATCGAGAAGCAAGAAAACTTATATTTTCACGAATGCGTAGCATGAGTGAAAATATAAACGTTTTCTTGCTTAGAGATGAAATAAAATATGTTATTCACGACAAAACGACAAATGTAGCTATTTATTTTATGATTTTACAATCATTTTAGGTAAAAACAACTAGCCAGTGGAATAACACTTTTATTTCACTGATAAAACGCGATATTCCACTACTGATCATAAAATAAAAGTACATATATTAAACATTCATTTTGTCTGCGATATCACCTCGGTGGAAGCGGACGTAAAATACAACTAACACACACACATTTATTTTCATTTTTAATTAACAAACATATGAATAAAAATGATATAAAATATTTGGCTAAAACTTTCTGAATTGGCTAATAAAATTTTGATTTGGCTAAAAATTTGGCTTAAAGGTTTTAAGAGTCTAGGGCGGTCACTGTTGGAGTATATTCTATTCCTGGGCGGCTTTGGATATACATGTATAGAGTGGAATTTGAGGTTATTCTTCTGAAGGTTTGTCTTTAAACCTGTAACAGGTTATTTTTCAAGGGTAGAATTTTTTTTTCCATAAGAAAACATGATCTAAGGTTTTGCTTACGGGAATTCAGGGACATTCTCATTTTGCATACATGTAAACATAGACGGTTTATAAGCAAGATAAGGTCCTCGACTTCGGTTATACTACCGCTAATTCCAACCCAACCCTAACCCTGGACCTAGCCCTAATGCTTATCCTAACCCTAACCTACAATCTTGTGAACAATCACATGCCCTAACCTTATTTACATCTCAGCGACCTCGACGAAAATTGAGCTGGCCTTAACAAATAGATTTAGCCGTTTTTGGGCTTTGTGAACTACTGAAGTCAACGACTTGGGAATCGACTCTGAATCAAGGTCCCATGACTTATTCCCTGGTAGTATGCTAGCTCCTAGCAATTCAAAATCTCTCAAACGAGGATCAAAGAATTTAATAGAATTATACTAGTTGCTAAGTGGGTAGGCGCTGGCTCGCTAGCCTGGAGGTCACAGGTTGGATTAAGTTCAGGATTTTCTGAGATGGTTTCCCCTTGTCAGTTTTGCAGGACGGAGGGCCTGACAAGGACAGCTGTCTAGTTGTTCAGATGTGACGTAAAAACCGAGGTCCGGTGTATACATTGACGTGCACATAAAAGTTCCCTCATAGTACACTGTATGGCATATGCCTGTGTTTATTAGCCCAGTCGGAGCGAACAGTAGGACGTTAAATCCCTTTTAATTTCATTTATATTGTATTGTAGAATCAATATTACGGAATGTTCATGTATGATTGTGTATGATGCTCATGCAGTATTATGTTGTATTTTAGAGTCAGTATTACGGAATGTTCATATATGATTGTCATGCAGAAGATGACGATGACGGTCCTAGTGGTGTAATTGATTACGGGTTTATGCATGGTGGTGTATTTACCAATCAGACAAAAGAATTCCATATTAATCGTGTGACTGGTGTGATACGAGCGGAGATAGTTTATGACCGAGAACAAGTTGATCGATATTTCGTAAGTATAACAGATCTTGTAACATGGACGGGAAATCTTCCTTTGTTCTTCTCGTTGAATAAGCAGATTGTTTTCCCTCTAGTAGATTGGGTGGAGCTTAACTGTGCAATAACTAGACATGTTCAATGTTATTGCACGCTTTTGCTGGTTAACACTAGTTTTAGTAAAAATCATATTGAGAAGTGGGGTGTATTTTCTGAGCGCTGTATCATAAGGTCTGTCATTGAGTCAACAGCTTAGTTTCGATTCCCCGGTTGTAGGTGACAAGGAGTAGGGTTGCCTGTCCATCCACGTGGGTTTTCTCTGGGTCCTCCGGCTTCCTTCCACTGCGAAAGACTCCTACGCGCAAGCGAATTATTGAAATAAAATTGAACCATATGTTAGTCCCGAAATGACCTAGTTGGTGTCGAGTGGAGTTTAAACCCCATCTCTCTCTCTCTCTCTCTCTCTCTCTCTCTCTCTCTATCTCTCTGATATTGTGTTGCAGAGTCAGTATTACCGAATGTATAGGATTGTCATGCAGAAGATGAGTATGATGGACCTTGTGCTGTAATTATCATCATTCTAAAAATATTATAGTTTAGAATTTCTAAATAAAACCCCAGTTTCTTGTTACAAAAATCTAATTTTTATATTTGTATTATTTACAGTTACAAATCATAGCTCGAGATAATGACGTCAATCCTCAAAGTACTTCACGTTTTGTCACTGTCAGAATTCTAGATGTTGATGACAATGCACCGACCTTCCCAATGAGTGTAAGTATATCCATTTATTATTTTACGAATAGATATTACTTAATTCTTATGCTTGATAACGATACTTGTATGTGTATTGAAACATAGCATGTTAATAAAATTCAGAAGTAGTATATCCATATAAGTGTGTTAATTTTAGATGTTACTTATTATGTAACATATATTGTGTTTAAAAGAGTCATTATGGGAGATCAGATATTTAATTTCAAGCCGCTGTTGAAAAACTGTTCAAATCTGTTAGAACCAGATTCTTGTCTTAGATCACTTCTTGTAATGGCATTTCCAGGCTTCTAGTTTTCACGATTTTCTGGATCCCTCGTTGTGCGCTTTGCCCTCCCGCCACCTATCCATGGTTTCTGGATCAGAAACGTGAGACGTTAACACATAAAACTATGGATATAAATAGGATGTTTTCACTCCAGGGTTTTCCATCCAGTTAACTTTGGAATAGCAAGACTCTTTCTCAAGGAATCAGACATTTTTAACAATATCAATATTTTTTTTAGACATAAAACTATCAATTTTATCTCTATTTTTAGAATGGCGTTGTTATACCATATGATTTTGAAGTGAATGAAGACAGTCCAGCTGGTACACTTATTGGTCGTGTCACGGCCATTGACAGAGATTTACCCCAATATTCTAAAATATATTACGTTATACTGGGTAGGTTGTCTTTCTTGTTTCTATAGCAACTCTTCTCATCAGTCATTGTTGTTGTTTCTATAGTTACTCTCCCATCGGCCATTGTTGTCGTTTCTATAGTAACTCTTCTCATCAGTCATTGTTGTTGTTTCTATAGTTACTCTCCCATCAGCCATTGTTGTCGTTTCTATAGTAACTCTTATTATCGGCCATATTTTCTACATCGTGCTCACAATTTAGTTTTGTTTATTTTTTAGAAAATCATTCTGTGCGAATAATTACGTCATGTACTTGTCTCTGGTCAGATTATACTTACTGGAGGCAACGATGATGATGATGACATAATGGTTTCAGATGCTATTTGTAATGAACATAGAAAAACCTATCCCAAAGATAAAATGACTGATTCACAAACAACAAATTAATAATTATAAAACCCTTTGAAGAATTTACTAAGCAGATGCAAACGACTGCCATTCAATTTGTTACTGTCTGAACATAATTAATTAGAAATTACAATGAAATTTTAAAAAATTGAATGGAAATCACTAGATATGTACTTACTCATTTTACATGAATAATGTGCTTTTAGACCCATTTTCATGTATTTTATGGCCATAATAATAAAGTTTTATGCCCTTTTATGTCTTGATCATCAGGATTTTCCGGTAAGGTCTACCCTTTTCAGTGGCCTAGTCCGAATTGTCTGACAACAGGATAAAAAAACGAGGTCCTGTGTACACATTGGTGTGCATGTAAAAGATCCCTTGGCAATTGGAATTTGATATAAGAGTAGGCCGTAGCGCCATGGTCTGCGCACTGTATGGCATATTCCTGTCTTCATTAGCCCAGTCAGAACAGAACAGTAGGACGTTAAACCCCATTTCATTTCATTTTTAATGTTTTGTATCTCATATGGATCATCATATTGTCTATCTTTCAGCTGGTAATGAAAAAGACCAATTTAGAATTAACACAACATCAGGAGAGATACGGTTAAATAGACCTATTGACCGAGAAGATCAAGCTACGTACACACTGTTCATCAACGCCACTAACAACGTCAACGATTACAGCGTTATTCGTAATCGTAGAAAGCGTTCTACCAGTCCCAGCATGACAACTGTTCGTATAAACGTGCGAGATAGAAACGATGTGGAACCAAGGTTTATCTACCCTGCTGGAGCTACAAAATACCACGGATGTAAGTTATTTAAACAATATTTTATTCATAAACGAATGGGATTGAGCAACAGGCTTGAAACCTAATTTCTCAATCACTGTTAAAAAAAATAAACAACCCAATTGATGAATGATGTATAATGATTAATTTTTAACAGTGATCAGGAAATTAAATACTTGTAAAATTGGACACTCATTATCAAAATTAATCAGTCAGCTTTAAACTGGACACAAGTATAAATTAGATGATTTTAAACGATTTTTACGAATTTTTAAACAAAGATTTGATATTAGATGAATGTGAAAGAAATTAGTGCTAAATACACAAGATTAAATGATACCTGGGTTACAGTGATTACTTACTAGAGCTAAATACACAAGATTAAATGATACCCAGGTTACAGTGTATATAATCCATCTTTAAAATGTTGAATGTAATGAATTTGTTTGTTTTTTTCAGGTGTGTCTGTTAATGCTCCGTACGGTCAGAGTATTCTACAGGTATCAGCAACTGATGATGATTCAGGAGGTCCTGCTGGTATTAGATTTAATATTATGTCTGGTAACGATGACAACATGTTTACTATTAATTCTAAAACTGGAATGATTTCAAATCGTAACTTCTTGAGTAGCAATACTAAACGAGTTTATGATTTAACAGTAAATGCTAATGATACCAGTCTTGTGGATAAAGCCGAAGCTTATGTAAGTATATCGTTTTTACGGTGGAGGGGGGGTGCGCGAATGTTTAATATGTGTGCATTGCATCATAAGGTCTGTCATTCAGTCAAGTGGCATGGTTTCAATTCCCCACATGTACGTGAAATAGAGTACCTTGTGGATTTTCTCCGGGCCCACTGCTAAAGACTCCTATGCGCAAGTGAATTATTGAAATAAAATTTTCCAACCTCGTGGGATTTCTCCGGGTCCTCCAGGTTTCCTCCCACTGCTAAAGACCCCTACGCGCAAGCGAATTATTGAAATAAAATTAAACCATATGTTAGTCCCGAAATGACCTAGTTTGTGTTGAGTGGATGTTAAACCACATTTCTCTCTCTCTCTTGAAATAAAATTGAACCATATGTTAGTCACGAGAGAGAGAGAGAGAGAGAGAGAGAGAGAGAGAGAGAGAGAGAGAGATGAGGTTTAATGTCCACTCGACACAAACTAGATCATTATGGGACTAACATATGGTTGAATTTTATTTGAATAATTCGCTTGTGCGTAGGGGTCTTTAGCTGTGGGAGGAAACCGGAGGACCCGGAGAAAACCCACAAGGTTGGACAGGCAACCGTACTCCTTGTCATGTACAAGCGGGGAATCAAAACCCTGTCTCTAGACTGAATGACAGACCGTATGATGCAACGCGCACGTGCTAACCATTTGGCCATCCAAACCCCCACAATATTTTAGGATTTTATTTAGTGATCTAATTGCCACTCGAAGCACGAAAAGTAATTTTGTAGTAAAACATAATCTACCATAGATGATACAAATGAATTTATTTTATTTTTCTGATCAAACAAACACCATTTTTTTAATTTCAGATTTTTGTGACAACAGACGATAACGAAGAGAAGTTGGTGATTTTACAACCTGAATCTGAAGTACGACGTTCTGTACCACAACTCATCAGGTACGTTAATATAGTTTAACAGGATAGGTGGTAACCATGGGTTACACGTCAGCTGACATGGAAACCCTAGTGGTCATACTCAGAAACCCAAAACAAACAAAAAATTAAAAAAAATAATATGATGTCAGATATTGATTAATTAATCAGTGTTGAATGTTTCTAGTGGTTTACTCACAGTTCCAAGCATCGCACGCCAAGAACTTGCAGTAACAGACCGTTTCATTGGCTAATCTCTCACATCAATTAGAACGCCGGTTATATAACAACTCTTCCAGATCCTACTGTTGTGAAGACAAGTGAAACGAAATTTTGAACTATAAAAAACGAAACAAAATAGGATCTGTGTTCTAATCAGAATGCCAGGAACCTGGTTTCGATTACCAGGTTGTACATGACAAGGAGTAGGGTCGCTTGTCCTAGTTTGTATTGAGTGGAGGTTAAACCCCATATCTCTCTCTCTCTCTCTCTCTCTCTCTCTCCAAAGGCTGTTACTAATCCACTGGACTGAATATCTAACATGATGGATGATGATGACGATGATCTGTTGACATATTTTGTATATTTTTCAGGACGTTATCTATGAATTCTACTGGTATTAAATATATCTGTGTCACTAATATTCGAGATCATGTGATGGATGATGGAAAGATCTCTGATACATCGTAAGTTATAATTAATAATACACATTATATACAGAGTTATCTGCCCCTTGACCCCAAAATAGGTGGTTGAATTTAAAATAAGAGTAGACTGTAGCACCGCTGTACGTGCCAAATTTACCTCATAGTTATCTGCCCCTTGACCCCAAACAAGTGGTTGAATTTATAATAAGTGTAGACCGCAGCACTGCTGTACGTGCAAAATTTCCCTCATAGCACACTGTATGGTGTATGCCAGATGGCCACCTTCATTAGTCCAGTTGATGCAGAAAAGAGTACCACTAACCTGAATGTCCTGGGGTCGATCCCTGGCAGAGAAAGTACCTCTTAGTTCTCCAGCGTGGTTTCCCCTTGTCAGTGGTGCAGGACCGTGGAAACGTCTAGGAAAGGTGAATAGTTATTCAGAATGGATAGAAATCCAGGAGAAAGGAGACCGACCTGCACATCTAACGTCATACGTGGATTCCAGGTTAGAGTAAGGGTAAGGGTTAGGCTTGGTCCAGGGTTAGGGTTAGGGCTAACTCTGTTTACATCTTGAGATTTTGATGAAATCTGCAGGTCCTAACCCTTACCCTAACCCACAATCCACATATGACGTCGTATGTGCTAAAATGTGCAAGACCGTCTCCATGCTAGCGTTCTTTGATAAATCCTTAACAGTGTATGCTGCTATCCAAGGAAAATTTCCATGACGGCCAACTGTATGGGGTTTGCCCATTTTCATTAACCTAGAGGGGGATTGGATGGCCGAATGGTGAAACGTGTTGTATCATTATTATTGAGTCAGCTGGCGTGTTTTTGATTCCCCGGTTGTAAGTGACAAGGAGTAGGGTCGTCTGTCCAACCTCGTGGGTTTTCTCCAGGTCCTCATGTTTCCTCCCATTAAAGAACCCTACGCGCAAGCAAATTATTGCAATAAAATTGAACCATCTCTCTCGAAGTGCCACTGCCTAGGCAAAATTACTATCATAGCAAACTTTCTGTTATGAATTGTTTGTTAATAAAAATTTTGTTTTTATTTTAGAACTAAGAGTAAGCCTTAGTGCCACTGTCTTGTTTGTTAATAAAAATTGTATTTATATTTTAGAACTAAGAGTAAGCCTTAGTGTCACTGTCTTGTTTGTTAATAGAAATTGTGTTTTTATTTTAGAACTGATGTATATGTGACTGGTATATCAGAAGGTAGAGCAGCAGACGATTCGCCAATCTTTACCATTCTACCAGCTTCTGATCTAAACGCTCGACTTACGAAGGCACAGGCTGAAAACAAACGTGACTTTGATGCTCTTTATATTGACAGCATGGGTGGAACGGTAAGCAATTATATGGTCTGATGGAGAAAAACTTGATGATAATTCTAAATATATGTTATCAATGATTACTGATAGTCTTGCTTAGCCAGTAATAACATGGTTTAATTGAGGGAAAACTGGACTTGTAACTGTTATGTTGCGAAACCTCTCTGTTAAACATATATTACGCAAGAGCTAAATCTGCCTTTTTGTGACAGTATTGGGTCTTTGAATCAGGTTCTTGATGACAACACTAGTTTAACTTCAAATAATACTTTTATTCTGCTTCTGACATATCATGTACAAAACTTAAGACTCCGTAATTAGCTTGTGTTGAGGGAGCCATGGTTCTAGCCAACTCTTACATGGCCATTGTCCGGTCTTAACTCGAGACCTGCCTGGTCCTAAGTTAACTTCTAGATGCCCGTGCCTAGCCTCCTCTGTTGATTCGTTTGTATTCTGGGTTTATAAACCCTTCTAGACAAAGGATCTGATCTCATTACACATCTGGCTACTGTATCATATCAGATTTAACATTCACTACATTTTGCTTATCAGACAAAGGAAATTAAATAAAACAGGCCAGCTACAAGTGGATGTTACATAATGACTAATGAATGCCAGCAGGACCACCAGGGGTGTCGATAGCAGACAGGTTGATATTAAAATTGATTTCACATGTCAAGATGGCACGAAGCGTCTATAACTTCTGTCGCTATGTAATATATTGCAGGTCTTTTTTTAGGCCTGAAATGTTATCTAAATTATTAACTCTTAACTGACCCACGGCAACTTTTGTCGACGCGTATAATATTACCGTTAAGTACCCACGGTGACTTTTGTTGACAAAACCAGTTAGCTGAATGCAACATTACTAGCGTAATGAGAGTTTCTTCCCTTATGGACAGATGACTTTTTCTCGTTTGTTTACTTCCTGTTTGACATTTTGACAGTGAAATATCTTACTATTTCTTTTTGAAAAACTATAATAAAAAAGTGATATGTCTAGGCCTATAGGATGACGTTCTCCATAGGACGGATTACCATCCTTTTTGAATGACAGTGATTCAGATTTTATCGTTTGTGTAGAATTTTATAGTTTTGCGTTAGAACGTGATACTACTGATAAGTGATAGAAGCAAGTAGGCTTAATCAACAAATTACTTAAATAAGCTTACATTAAAAGAGATTCATGTTGAATGATTTTTAGTTCACAATAGCCAAACAACTAACCATTATATACATAAATTTTGCATGAAATGTCTATATTAATTTTTGGTATAAAGTTAAAATTCATATTTATGAAAATAACATTAAATTTAGATTTTTTCATCCATTTACATGTAGGGTCTATCTAAAGTTGTTTTTTAATAATATTATGACTTTAAAATGTATATGTATATTTTAACACTATTGCCGATTAAGACGTGGGTTTTTATGACGTTATGACATCAAACCTCTGGGTCATTTAAGAGTTAATTATCGTTGAGCAGCAAATCGGATCCTAATCCAGTAAATATCGCAGGCTAGCGATGCCATCCGTGTATTGATTATAGTCTTGATAAGTTAATTAATATCTAATTAATAATTTAGATAAAATTTCAGGCCTAAAGAAAGACCTGCAATAGGCAGATTTAGATCTTGCATAATGTATGTTTTAATACAAATAGCTTGGTTCAGTACAGGATTGAAATCAATTTTTCATAAAAGATACCGTAACTCTAAATCTTCTGTGTCTGACGACAATGTATGTTTAAAGAAACATTCCCGAGTACAAACTGGGTGATTTGATGATATATTTGGCCTAAAAACATATTCCAACTAATTAATTTATCATAAATTTGCTTCAAATCCTTCTCAAAGCTGTGTAATTGTCAAGGAATACCCTTGCTATAAAAAATTGACCAAAAGAGGTCATGTTTGTGTCACATGACTGACGGGTGCAAAGTCGGAGGAGAATTCATTGCATACACAAAACAATGTTGTTTTTAATCGCTGACTATTTATTACAAATATCGAATATTCTCGGATTATCCACTGCCCGCGTCTTTTTCCGTGATTTTTATCTCAGAAAGTGTCATACGTCTAACTCTTCATAAAGTTTATCAACATGTACATCAACCGCTCAATCTCCGCATGCAACCTTTGATGTTACGTATGCAGATATTCCTAATCGTCGGACTGTCGATTAGGGAAACCCAGACATTTTTGTCCTCTATGTGTTCCATGAGTGTTTTTCAGGGAATCCAGTATTTTTCAAGTAAGATTGGATATCTCTACTTTCCATATATACCAAAATTACCATACTTTTATTGGAAATAACCACCTGATAAATACTTTTCTGGGAACGTATCTTTAATGAGATTGACTAATAATATTATTGATTTTATATTTACAGGGAAAATCTGATTCTTTCTTAGCGTTTTTTGATCGTACACCTGTACTTGTTGTACTAATTATAGTAATACTACTCATCATTATGGCTATAATTCTCTTCTGTCTCGCCTGCTTCTGTATCCATGACTCGTAAGTATTTTTATATTAAAACTTTTAATTCTTGATTGGTGAGCCATGGTGGCTAAGTGAGTAAGGCGCTGGTTCGCTAGCCTAGAGGTCGTGGGTTCAATCCATGTGTTCACAGAGAAAGTTTATTGGGGTTTTACGGCGTGGTTTCCCCCTTGTCAGTGGTGTAGGACGACGGGCCTGGCAAGGGACAATGTATAATTGTTTGGATGTGTCAAATAAAGGATTGCTGTCTAGTGATTCGTATTTATGAAAAACCCAGGTTCAGTGTGCAATTTGGCGTGCACCTAAAAGATCCCTTGGCAATTGGAGTTTGATATAAGTGTAGATCATAGTGCCGCTGTGTGGGCAACATTTCCCTCATAGCACACTGTATGGCGTATGCCTGTCTTCATTAGCTCAGTCACATTAAACCCCATTTCATTTTACTGATATGTTATTATTTGCTTGATAAAGACGAGGATATTTAGTATGTTACGCTATGACCGCAGTATATTGTGTTGACAAGAATACCCTCATTGAGTCAACTGTCATGGTTTCGATTCCCCGGTGGTATGTGACAAGGAGTAGGGTTGCCTGTCCAACTTCGTGAGTTTTTCTCTGGTTCTTCCGGTTTCCTCCCACTGCTAAAGACCCCTACGCGCAACCGAATTATTGAAATAAAATTGAACCATAGTTAGTTTGTGTCGAGTGGATGTTAAACGGCATTTCTGCCTATCTCGCTATACCCCTATTTGGTACCATTTATAAGCAGGGAAGTTTTAAATTATGTTCAAATGTTATTAATTTTTATTTTATCAGGAAACAGAAAAAGATCAGAAAATATCAATCTGGTACGTATTTCATATTTTATTTCTTGTAATTTAAGATGTATTCCCACACCATTATAATTAGGTCATTCGTTCAGACCTAAAGATGTATTGTCTCAATCTTAATTAGGTTATTCATTCACACCCCAAAATTAAAGATGTATTCCCACAACGTTATAATTAGGTCATTCGTTCATACATAAAAATTAAAGATCTATTCTGGGGGGTTGGATGGCCGAATGGTTAGCGTGTGTGCGCTGTATCATAAGGTCTGTCATTGAGTCAAATGGCGTGGTTTCGATTCCCCAGTTGTACATGACAAGGAGTAGGGTCACATATGTCCAACCTTGTTGGTTTTCTCCGGGTCCTCCTGTTTCCTCACACTGTTAAAGACCCATTATAGAAATAAAATTAAACCATATGTTAGTCCCGAAATGACCTAGTTTGTGTTGAGTAGACATTAAACCCCATTTCTCTCTCCCTCTCTCTCTGCCAACATCTGGCAAAAAAAAAAACCCAACCTATCTTACACATTGTATAAAAAACAAAACATAACAAGAGTCATCTTGTCAACAAGTTATTGTGGAACAGATGAAATAATAATAATGTATAAAAATCAATATATACATTGTCAATATTTCTCACCAATAATATGTGTTAATAAATAAAATAAAACAAAATTAAATGATATGGGCTTTAACGTCCTACTGTTCTGGCCTGTCCAACCTCGTGGGTTTTCTCTGGGACCTCTGGTTTCCTCCCACTGCTAGAGACCCCTACGCGCAAGCGAAATATTGAAATAAAATTGAACCATATGTAAGTCCAGAAATAACCTAGTTTGTGTCGAGTGGACGTTAAAATTTGAATGGTGGAAAGTAAATTAGTCTTAACACTGAATAAATGAAATAATAAATGTTTAATTTTGTATAATGTTTTATTACAGAACATATTGTAGGTGCTCCAATTCAACCGGTAGCACAGGTAAATATTCAACTTCCTCTATATATTACATGATAGTATTATAATGGTCGGAGCCATGATGTCTGTATATATTACATGTCAGTATTATAATGGTCGGAGCCATGATGTCTGTATATATTACATGACAGTATTATAAAGATCGGAGCCATGATGTCTGTCTATATTACATGACAGTATTATAAAGGTCGGAGCCATGATGTCTGTATATATTACATGTCAGTATTATAATGGTCGGAGCCATGATGTCTGTATATATTACATGACAGTATTATAAAGATCGGAGCCATGATGTCTGTCTATATTACATGACAGTATTATAAAGGTCGGAGCCATGATGTCTATCTATATATATTACATGTCAGTATTATAAACATCGGAGCCATGATGTCTGTCTATATTACATGACAGTATTATAAAGGTCGGAGCCATGATATCTATCTATATATATTACATGTCAGTATTATAAAGGTCGGAGCCATGTCTGTCTATATATTAGATGACAGTATTATAAAGATTGGAGCCATGATGCCTGTATATATTACATGTCAGTATTATAATGGTCGGAGCTATGATGTCTGTCTACATTACATGACAGTATTATAAAGATCGGAGCCATGATGTCTGTATATATTACATGTCAGTATTATAAAGATCGGAGCCATGATGTCTGTCTATATTACATGTCAGTATTATAAAGATCGGAGCTATGATGTCTCTGGGAATATGGTGTTGGTTCACAAACCAGGAATTCCCTTGTTCTATCCCGGTGATGGTTGATAAAGTACCTCAGGTTTTATCCAACCTTGTCTAGTTTTTCGGATGGTACAAAAAACTGGGGTCGTGTGTCTACACTTTGATGTGCACGTGATGAACCAGGACAGTTGAGAAATTCAATTGCTGCCCAGGCAAAATTTCCCTCATAGCACATTGTATGCCATATTTAAAAGTAGAATTTAATCAAAATAAAACACCAGATCATCCCAATTCAATTCTTTATGTGGACTAAAATCCAATAGATTTAGCTCCTTCAAATAAAACAACCCATTAAAGATACATTATGGAAGATTAGATAAAGAGCTGGCAGTTCTCATTATAATAGTTAAAAACTAGATAATGTAAAGGCAATTTGCTGAACATTTCAGTCAAATTGATCCACTATGAACCGAGAACTAAGCGATTGAAATTTCCACCTAGCCTCGATCATCATTACTAAAGTCGGTACTATAAACAGCATAGTCTCGATTATCCATTTAATTGTTAAATCGTGAAGGAAAATTATGCAGTAAATCGGTTCATAATCCACTAAAGATCGCTGGCTAGCCATGCCATCTAGAGTTGATTATGGTCTGGATAGGTTAAATAATGTCTAATTAATAGTTTATATAACATTTCAGGCCTAAAGAAAGACCTGCAATAGGCAGATTTAGCTTTTGCATAATGTATGTTTAAATTAGCCCAGTTCAACATTATGTTTTGACCTATGACCTATGTGATTAACATAAATATATATTACAGCCTGTTGATGTGGGAAAGAGTGTGAATCCAATGTACGATAATCCTGTTTTCGTTCCTGCTCCTGCTGCTCCAACCGCTGCTCCTATGGTACTAGATGATGATGATGATGATGATGATGATCCTGCTGTATTTACCCCACAACCCGTTGAACCCCAGGAATATGCTACAGTACAGAGACCCGTTCATACCACACCTCCTAACGAACCAGAAACAGAAGAACCCGTTATTGTTACGACCATTGAACCTGATGATGATCTACCTGAGCCGTCGTACAGACCCCCTACTCCCGTTACCGAGGAACCGGAACCTGTCATAGAAACGGTCGTTGACGATGAACCAGACCATGATTATATCCATGATTTACCGCCACCCCAGGAAGAGGAGGAAGAAATCGACACAGTGATAATCGCTGATTCTCCCGAATTGAATCGTCGTCACACGACACCCTCAATCAAAGAGGAAGACGAACCACGCACGTCGCTGTGAAAACATTTTGTGATAATTAATTCCATTACAAAAGTCATAATGCTTTTTTATAACATGCACCAGGAACTTACTATAATAAACTTATTACTTGTAAACGGCTGGAGGGATGGGAGCCGGTATTTTATTTAACTCATACTCTCATCTTCCCTGACGAAATTTACATACCATAAAAAATTTACCTTAAAATGCAATAAATATGGTTAAATTTATATGTCTAAACTAAGATTTTGATGATAGTAAATATTGGCACAATCTTTTGCGAAAAAAACTTGTTGCTATTCTGAGGTAAATAAAATATCTCCCTGCTATTTCAAGGGGTTTGGGGAGTGTCAATCAAAAAAGTCATTTGTGTCCAGAATAGGACGAAGAAATATTTATGGTTGTCAAAGGACTGAAAATTAATGAATAAACCATAATCAGCTGTATGATGCTGTGAATTGTAACTTGTGATAAATATTATAATTAGTTCATAAACTAAGGTAAAAATTAATGGATAAACCACAATTAGACCTATGATGCTGTGAATTGAAACTTGTGATAAATATTATAATTAGTTAGTAACAATTCCTTTGATATACATTATTGTAAGCTCCTGGTTTAGTTTTTTATCATGTAATCTAAATAATTTGTGTGGACATGTTTTAGTACATGCTCAGTAAAGTCTGCCTAATGCATGACACCTGTCTAATGTGAATCTCAATTTAAAGGATAATTTGTTGTCATAAATTTGAAATACATGTATGTGGCCTCTGTCACAAGGGTTCAACATGATCTACTTAATAATCTTGTCACAAGGGCTTGATATAACCCACTTAATAATCTTTCACAAGGGCTTAATATAACCCACTTAATAATCTGTCACAAAGGCTTGATATATTATAACCCACTTAATAATCTGTCACAAAGGCTTAATATAACCTACTTGCTCAAACGCTGAAAAAATTAATTTCAAGCCCTTTCGTTTCAATGATTTTGATAATATGAAGGGTGTTTTTTTTAATACTCAAATTGCTTATTAAGGTATTTTTTGTTTTATTGATTTTGATACTATAAAGTTTTATTTTTAATACAATTATTTTTATTGAGTTTTTTAAGACCCTTATTGTAAATCAAATTATTATGGAATACAGGAACTTTGGGGTATGGCAGTGTTTAGGACAACCAAAATGTGAAAATTCAAGCTTCGGTTTCCACTTGTCAAGGGTAGCAAGGACAGTGTATCTAGTACAAAAATTGATATTGCATATAAAAGATCCCTTGGCAGTTGGAATTAAAAAAAAAAGTAAGTGGAAATGCCACCATCTGGGCAAAATTCTCCTCCATCACATTTCACATGTTAGTATCAAAATGACCAAAGTTTTGAGTTGACTTTAAAGAACATTCCATTCATGATATTTGTTGAGTTTTAAGAATTCTTTATGACACTGTATCTCAAATCGTAGGTCGTTAAATTTTGTATATATTTACATGTGCACATACATATATATATACATATACTGGTAGATATAATACATATACCATACATAGATGCTTACTTTGTACATTACATTAATTTTTATCACATGTCTAACCTCATGGGTTTTCTCCAGGTCCTCCGTTTTCCTCCTACTACTAAAGACCCCTACGCGCAAGCAAATTATTGAAATAAAATTGAACCATATGTTAGTCCCGAAATGACCTAGTTTGTGTCGAGTGGACGTTAAACCCCATTTCTCTCTCTCTCTTTTATCACATGTTCTATTTTAATTTTACTAGGTTGTTAAAAACTTATAACAAGGTCCCCATGGGCTGAGAATAGAAAAAAAAGCCACAAAATAATTTACTGATTTGTCCACATCTACTGGAATTTTAACTTTTTATAAACATTTAATAAAATCTTGAAAAAAATTATTTAGAAATCAAAAAAAAATACTGTTAACTCTTCGAAATAGATTGAAGTTCCAAAACCTTGATCAAAATTAATTAATGAAATTGAAGAATGTCTCTCTGTGGGTTTTGTAGTTAAAAATAGATCGATTGTAATATTTTGTTGTATTCACTACAATTGTTGACTGTCTGGTTTCATTGTAGCAAATTGAATGAAATCTAAAAGTCACTCTCTCAATCTACTTGCTACCCAAAGCCATTTATATAAATTTTACAAAAAAGGCAAAATCTAGACTGGACACAGTTCTATGGAATTTTATTAATGTTTATTAGTGAAAGACGTTTAAACCAGGCGTCTCCGGTCTTAATCAAGTAATTACCAATCGGGTAAAACACAGTATTTGTCCAGTTTTCAACTTTTTGATGTTATACAGTTTGGAAACAACTTCCAGAATCAAACAGTCCATTTCTTATATTCAATATTTGTAATAATGACCTCTCCTAATTAATGACCACCAAATTTCAAGTCAATATATATCGTTGTTGAGTTACGGCAATAAACAGGTCCCAAAAATAGCTACTTTAATAAATTGTATTTTGGAACTCAAATTAATATATTATTTTCTTTGTTTTAGCCGAGTAATTGTATTCGATATAATTGTATCTTGTGTATTTGCGATTGGTTATTACAGAATTTAAAATGTATACAGGAGCAAATTATTTTATGTGTTTTTTATAGTTAGAATGTCTCAGTGATAAATTGTATATCTCAATGTTTATAGAATGTATATCCGTCATCTTAAATTAATCCACTCCGCGTAAATTGTAGAAAGTTTTATTTTTATACTTACATACATATATACATAATATTCCTAGTTGGTATTACTGCTGAAATTGTATGATAAACTTTAAATATACCAAGACTAAATTTTTATAAATAAACTTTTTATAGAAAAATAATTTTTGGGAATTATTTTGATTGCTGGGAGGATAGAATCCATTTATCTGTTGTAGTTCCCCGTTAAAAAATAGATTGCCAGGCAATGAAACAAAACATACCCTTGCAGCAGTTCTACAGGGACGTGGACCAGAAGAATTCCTGTGATTTATTTGGTAATCCGAGCTTTGAAGCTGTTTTCCCCTTTTGCAAGGAGCTTTGGTTGTAGGCCTTGTTTAATTTCAGGCTGATTGGGAAGGGGAACAGACTGATTGTGAGATTCAGTCAATTAGGGAGGAGATCGGACTGATTGGGATATTCAGTCAATTGGGGAAGGGGATCAGACTAATTGGGAGATCCTGCCAGTTGGGGGTGGGGGGAGATCAGACTGATTGGGGAGGAGATTCAGTCAATTGGGGAGGAGATCAAGCTGATTGGGAGATTCTGTCAATTAGGGTGGAGATCGGGCTGATTGGGAGATTCAGTCAATTAGGGTGGAGATCGGGCTGATTGGGTGATTCAGTCAATTAGGGTGGAGATCGGGCTGATTGGGAGATTCAGTCAATTGGAGAGGAGATGGGACTGATTGGTAGATTCAGTCAATTAGGGAGGGGATCAAACTGATTGGAAGATTCTACCAATGGGAGGAGATCAGACTGATTTGGGAGAGCTGCCAATTGGGGAGAAGATCAGGCCGGTTGAGGAGATCAGACGAGTTGGACGAGTTCATGATGGTTGGGGAGGTCATTTCCATACGAAAAATTCATCTATTAGTAATTCTAGTTTATGGTTAACCATACCTGACCCTAAACCTAACTCTTGTTGTGTCTTACTTGGTGTTGGGATTTCTGATATCCCAAGACTCTCCTGAAACAGTCGCCACCAACTTGATTGAAGGTAGAATCGTTGAGAGTTCAGTCCCACGACCAGGTATAGTGCGATGGTATTAGTACATTACACTGGTGCACATTACAGCGCACACAAGCTAACCATTCAGCCATCCAACCCCCAACGCCAATGACAAACGTCATGATCCAATGCGCATGCGTTAAGCATTTGGCCACCCAGTCCCCCTTCTCTCTGCCAAAAAAACCGTACCTGTAGTATGGAAGGTCAGAAAGACAGAACCCTCCTTGAACCTTATTTGGTAAGTAATAAAGAGAGAGAGATATGGGGTTTAACGTCCACTCGACACAAACTAGGTCATTTCGGGACTAACATGGTTTAAATTGTATTTCAATAATTCGCTTGCGCGTAGGGGTCTTTAGCAGTGGGAGGAAACTGGAGGACCCGGAGAAAACCCACGAGGTTGGACAGGCAACCCTACTCCTTGTCACGTACAACCGGGGATTCGAAACCACGCAAGTCGACTCAATGACAGACTTTATGATACAGCGCGCGCACGCTAACCATTAAGCCATCCAACCCCCCTGGTAAGTAATAAAGAGTTGACAGTTTATGTTAATTATATAATGTTTTAATAGTTGACGGATCTACATGTATTAACACAGAACATAAATAAAATATCATTTCATGGCTTCACAAAATTTATAACTTTAAAAAAAAAATTAATGGAAAAAGGACATTTATTCACGAAATATATCCTACGCGAATAACCACGATATTCATAGTATTCTTTACAGGTTGTATTCCTGAATGATGGGGAAGAACAGATGAGCTAATCAGTGTTTTTAAATGTTGTGTAACTATTTAGCTATGTTGTATCTACTCGGCATTTTTGTGTAGCTATTCTGCATTGTTATGTAACTATTTAGCAATGTTGTAGCTACTCAGCATTGTTGTGTAGCTATTCAGCATTATTGTGTAGCTACTCAGCACAGCTATGTAGCTACTCAGTATTGTTGTGTAGCTACATGGCACAATTATTTAGCTACCCAGTATTGTTGTGTAGCTATTCAGTCATGTTATTGAGCTACTTAGAACTGTTGTGTAGCTACTCGGCACATAGTTTAGCTAGCTACTCAGCACAGATATGTAGCTACTCAGCACAGATATGTAGCTACTCAGTACTGTTGTGTTATAGCTACTCAGTACTGTTGTGTTATAGCTACTCAGTACTGTTGTGTAGCTACTTAGCAATGTTGTGTAGTTACTCTTCAAATGTGTGTAGATACTTAGCAGAGTCATGTAGCTACTCAGCATTGTTGTATAGCTACTTGACTGTCTTGTTAAGCTACTCAGAACTGTTGTCCAGTGGCTCAGCATTGTTGTAGTTACTCAGTACTTGCTGTTATGTAACTGCTCAGCATTTAGGAAAACAAGGTCAACTTTAAAAATTTGTTGCAACTTTTTAGAAATTATCAGGTATCTAAATAGATCAAACGAAGTGAGGACAGGAGTAAATTGTTTACCAGAGATTTCACTTCAAAATATTGCCAGTCATTTTGTTTACCTCGTATTAGCAAGACATTTTTTTCCTAAAGAATACGAGCATTATCCCAATTTTTAAAAATGTATATGATCAAAAATTTGATGTCAACAAATTTTGGTTACATCTCAAAATAATTTTTGTCCCCCAATTTTTTTTAATGTTGCAAAACAAATGAAATTTTTTGAAAATTTTGGAGGGGGCTATATTAACACAAAAACTTAAACATGCATTATGCAAGAGCAAAATCTGCTTATTACAAGTCTTTCTTTAGGCCTGAAATTTTATCTAAATTATCAATTAGACATTAATTAACTTATCCAGACCATAATAAACTCTCGATGTCAAGGCTAGCCTTCGATGTTGGCTGGATTAGATTCCTATATGCCGCTAACGGCCATTGATAATTAAATTAAAAAAAGTGGATAATCGAGACTATGCTGTTTATATTAATGATTTTAGTAATGATGACCGAGACTACGCAAAAATTTCACCCGCATCTTTCTCGGCTCATAGTGGATCAATTTGACTGAAATTTTCAGCAAATTACCTTTACACTATCTAGTTTTTAACTATTATAGCGAGAACTGCCATCTCTTTATCTTATCTCCATAATGTATCTTTAATCTCATGTCTAAACTTAGATTTTTAATTTTAAATTTGGATGTAACATTGACAAGAAATTATTTTGAGATGTAACCAAAATTCCTCGACATCAAATTCTTAATCAGATGTAAATATTTTAATAAAGTGAACAGTATTTTATTGTGCTTTCCTGTTAAATTCTTTTAAATTTTAATTTTATGGCTAGTAAATTGAGTGACAGCTCAGTTCTCCAGTTGGTCAATTTCACTGGCTCATATATCTGAAACGAGAGACTTTGTTTTTCAACATTTTCATTACCCTTTAACCAGAGAGAGAGAGAGAAAAAAAGAGAAATGAAATTTAAGGTCCAGGACACAAATTAGGTCATTTTTGGGACTAACATATGGTCAATTTTATTTCACTAATTCTCTTGTGCGTAGGGGTTTTTAACAGTGGGAGGAAACCAGAGGGCCCGAGAAAACCCATGGGGGTTGTCACGTACAACCAGGGCATCGAAACCACAGCACTTGCATCAATGACAGACCTTCTGATTCAACGCATGCATGTTAAACCATTCGGCCCCCAAAACCCCCTTGGACAATGAAAAAGGCTGCATTGTTAAAATATTTTAGTTTAAAGCAACAATACATTTATGATCCAAGCTTGACTAACTTTCAAGACTGATGTGCTACAGCTAAATCCATCATTGTCTAAAGCGGGGCTTATGTCGACTTTGCAACTCAAAGCAACTAGTGCTAGTCATTTGCAAATATGCTTAGGTCGATCATATCAGCAACTGAGGACAACCAAGAGCAACTGAATTCGAAACTGATACCGATTACACTTAACATGTGACTTTTAATTTATTCATCACATGATCAACAAAATGTGGAATACCTTAAAAGAAGCACCCTAAAGGCATGGTCATTCTTGCCACAATTCTATTAATATATTATTATCGACATCATCAACATTTGAAAAGTGGGTGTCTTTGTTCACTTCCACTTTGCTTATTTATAAAGTCACATGACACATGTCTCTTATCACGTGATGTTATTTCCATGGAAACGAGTTGACACCAATTGTAAGACCGCTCATGTCAACTGCAACTAGTTCCATGGAGTTGCTGAAAGTTAAACATGTGTTAACTGACTGCAACTAGTTGCAAGAGGTGCTCAGGTCGACCTTTTTCAGTTGCCGAAACGTCAGTTGATTCCAGTTGCAAGGTCGACACATGCCCTCCCCACCCCTTAATAAATGATGAATGCCGCAATGAGAAGCCACAAGATAGAACTTATGTTATACCTCGACTTGTAAATTTTATTGAAGTATATTAGGTAGGTATTAAAATATAACACTCCAGTGTGTAGCGTGGAATATTGAATGGAAGATGGAATATCTACACAAAATAGTGAACAGATTAAATATATGTATGTATATATATATATATATAGGCATACAGGTATATGTGTATATATATATATATATCGTCAAGCTGAAGCTAATACTGCCCCAAGTCATTAGAAATGAAATGTATATTAAAGGCTCAATACCACTCTTGTTGTAACTGAATAATATGTAATAATCTTTATTCTGGTCAACAAATTGTACTATTTTACAATATTCCAATTAATTGATGATAAAAAATTTCATCTTAACACACCTAATTTAAAAAATTGGAAAAATTCAACTAAATGATTTGAAAAGCCTGACATAAAGCTTTTCAAATGTGACTTGGATTTAAAAATATTTTTGAACACTAACACATCTAGTACTTAGAATAAGGCTATTTTTTATTTTCTGGAGCTGTCAAGCCAGCAAGAGTTTTATTGTCCTTTAATATCCTACTTTTCTGCACCAACTGGGATAATGAAGACAGACGTAATCCACACAATGTGCTCTAGTATAAGTAAATTTTGCCAAGTCTTCTTTTTCGTTGCACGTCATTTTTAACACATGTCACGAAAGACACAAAACTTTGTTTATCAACCTTTTATTTGAAGCCTCAATCGAATATTTCTCACCAGAGAGAGAGAGAGAGAGAGTGAGAGAGAGAGAAATGGGTTTAATATCCACTCCACACAAACAAGGTCATTTCGGAACTAAAATATGGTTCAATTTTACTTCAATTATTCACTTGAACATAATTTAAAACTCCCCTGCTTATAAATGGTACCAAATAGGGGTATAGCGAGAGAGAGGGAGAAATGGCGTTCGACATCCACACAACACAACCTAGGTCATTTCAGAACCAACATATTGTTCAATTTTACTTCAATTATTCACTTGAGCATAGGGTCTTTTGCAGTTGGAGGAAACCTGAAGATCCGGAGAAAACCAGCGAGGTTGGACAGTCGACCCTACTCCATGTCACGTACAAGTGGAGAAACGAAACCACACCAGTTGACTCAATGACAGACCTTATGATCTAACGTTCACCAGACAGTCAAGTATAAATTATAACCATATCGGGACAATTATCATGTGGCTCAAATTTATTTTCTATAATGACTTGCGTAGTTTTTGCTATAGCTTGACGATATTAGTTTTTACACTGACAGGGATGTAGATAGAATTTGATGTCGAGGGAAAATAGCAGACATTTTTTTTATTAAGCTTTAATTCTATTTATTATCATTGATTCAATGTAACAATTGCCCCGCCCCGCCCCGCCCCGCCCCGTCCCCGATCTTCCAAATGCTCAATCTGATTATAATACAGATCTATATTTCGATTCGTTTTTTTATACTTTCGATGGCCTACACTACATGAATATCTGACAAGTTGTCTGCGAAGGTTGTGTCAGGGGTCGTATGAGTGGCTTTTGACCCTTTGACGTAAAGACATTGATTAATCATCAACGTTGACGCTTCTAGTGGTTTACCCACAATTCCATGCATGAAGCGCCAAGAACAGACCGTTTCATTGGCTTATCCCTCACTTCAACCAAAACGCGTGTAATATAACAACTCTCCCAGATCCTAATGTAGTAAAGACAAGTAAAACGAAATTTTAAACTATAAAAAAACGAAAGGAAATAGGATCTGTGTTTTAATCAGATTGCCAAATGCTATCTTCATCCCTGAATAAGAAAACATAAACCTAAAGTTAAAAATTGATAGTTGACACAGAATTTATTTTTGATGGTAAAGTCAGCCACAATTTAATAATAACGGTGGTGTAATATATCATCTGTTGGTATTATAGCACCTGCTCCTATATATTGCTAAATTCTTCTTTTATGGAATTGTTGAATTATGGCTAACCTACCATTTATTGAGTCTTGTATATATATATATATATCTCATTCTCTCCGTAAAATTATTGTATCAAAATTCTAGTTGTATTTACAGATTGTAATGAAAGAATGTCTCTTGATAGAATCACTGTATAATAATCACGTTTTTCTCGCAGTTCAAATCTAGGAGACGAGCAGCAGGATACCAAAATGTTACACAGTCTCCTAGATTCCACACACAGTCACAAAAATTGCCTAAAATCTGTCCTATTCAGTTGATATACTGAGCTAACCATCTGAAACCCTCGCCATAACCTTGACGTTTTAACACTGTGCACATAAAAAGTTCCATCGGTCGGCCTGGTAAATCATTTTGTGAAACGGTACCCTGCAAAAAAACCAAGATATTAAAATTGTTATTAACATTAAGAGAGAGAGAGAGAGAGAGAGAGAGAGTGAGAGAGAGAGTGTGAGAGAGAGAGAGAGAGAGTGTGAGAGAGAGAGAGAGAGAGAGAGTGAGAGAGAGTGAGAGTGAGAGAGAGAGGGTTTAATGTTCACCGACACAAACTAGGTAATTTCGGGACTAACATATGGTTCAATTTTATTTCAATAATTTGCTTGCGGGTAGGGGTCTTTAACAGTGGGAGGAAACCGGAAGACCCGGAGAAAACCCACGATTTAATGTCCACTCAACACAGTATCACTTTATTTCAATAATTTGCCTGTCCAACCTCATATGTTTTTTCCGGGCCGTCCAGTTTCCTCCCACAGCTAAGTTCACATCAATAGTCTAAAACCACACAACTTGACACTTAACCACCCCCTTCACCAATCTGATTAAAATACAGATCTATATTTCGTTTTTTTTTTTTTATACTTTCGATGAACTCTACTACATGAAGATCTGACCGGTTGTAGTGGAATGCAGCGTCAGGGGTCATACAAGCGGCTTTTGACCCTATGACGTCAGACGTTTGATTAACCAGTCAGCGTTGAGGTTTCTTGTGGTTTACCCAAAGTTTCGTGCGCCTCAAGCCAAAAACTTGCCGTAACAGACCGTTTCATTGGCTTATCCCTGACACCATCCAGAACACGAGTTAAATAACAACTCTTCCAGATCCTAGTGTAGTAAAGACAAGTAAAACGAAAGTTTGAACTATAAAAAACAAAAGAAATAGGATCTGTGTTGTAATCAGATTGCCCCATCACAGTAGATAAGAAAAGTTTTTTTGTTTTTTTTTTACCTTGCCTGTCGTCTGACCGTGAAGTCCGAACCAATGTCTGATTTCTTCTTCACTGGCTGCACCTGGTTTATCTATTTTATTACCAAGAACTAAAATAGGAGCATTAGCGACCTGCTCATCTGTTAATAAACTCTGGAAATAAAATAAAAACATGGAACCATCAACACTGTTCAACGCTAGATCAAAATTTAAAGTGAATCCGTAAGTGGGGTGTTGGCTCACTAACCAGGAATAGCCAGATTACTCAGGATTCAAGTCTTTTTTCACTGTAATCCGGGTATTATTTAATATTGTGTATTTAGCACTAGTAAGTAATCACTGTAACACGGGTATCATTTAACCTTTCTTTCACATTCGTTTAATATCCAATCTTTGTTTAAAATTTGGAAAAATCGTTTAAAATCACCAAAAATCATCTAATATGTAATATGTACTTGTGTCCAGTTTAAAGCTGACTGATTAATTTTGATAATGAGTGTCCAATTTACAAGTATTTAATTTCTCAATCACTGATAAAAAATAAACAACCCAATTGATTATTTATGTATAATGATTAATTTTTAAACAGTGATCAGGAAATTAAATGCCATCAACTCCTCATGGACTTTCAGAGATTCAATATTTACAATATTCAAAATGTGATTTTAAATATTTTTGAACGATAAATGATACTTACATCCAATTCAGCTTTAGCTTCTACAAATCTTTCTCTGTCGCAGGCATCCACTAAAAATACAATACCATCCACTGCTGGGAAATAATCCTTCCATACTCGACGTGCTAAATAGAAATAATTCATACAATATATATATATAGAGAGAGGGAGATAGTAATTTTGGGACTAACATATGGTCAATTTTATTTCAATAATTTGCTTGCACGTAGGGGTCTTTAGCAGTTGGAGGAAACCAGAAGACCAAGAGAAAACCAGCAAGGTCGAACAGGTGACCCTACTCCTTGTCATGTACAACCCAGGAATCAAAACCACACCAGTTGACTCAATGTCAGACCTTTTGATACAGTGCCCACCCCTGAATTTTCAAAGTTTTGATACTGAATGAATGTTAAAGAAATAAATAATAAAACAATATTTTGCAATGAAATGCTGTAAATTTGCCAGCTGAGAAACATAATTATAATGTGTTGATGTACGGCCAAGAGTAGGTCCCTGTAATAATTATAATGTGTTGATGTATGGCCGAGAGTAGGTCCCTGTAATTATTATAATGTGTTGATGTATGGCCGAGAGTAGGTGGTCCCTGTAATAATCATAATATGTTTACATATGGCCGAGAGTACGTCCTTGTAATAAAATGTATTTACCTTGTCTATGTCCACCAAGATCAAAAGTTGTGAATCTCATTCCACCCATAGATAACTCTTCAGATGCTGTAATTTATAATAATTACACAATATATACAAGTTTTTAATAAACACAATCTGTATCCGTAGTGGTCTCATTCCGATCTACTCCACTATACCCTGGGTTCATCCACTATCTGATCCTTATAATAATCGTTATAAGACATATAAAAGTAGATTTCACAAAGTTGTTAATAAACACAATCTGTATCCGCAGTGGTTACTATTTTAACATATAAATTTTTAATTAATGAAAACTTCTTAAAGTGTTAAACAATTTATTTCTATCCATGTTTATTTCATTTCATATGATTTTATACTTTTATTGTTCAGCGTATTCGAAACACTTTATATAATAATGGAATAAATATTAAAATGTTACTGTGAAAATAAACAATTGTATGGTTATCATTAAATTAGATAATGCACAAACACTATATAAACGATACATGCCAAAAAATATTACAACATGAGTATTACCTGTACTTATTATATATATATATATATATATATAGATACAGGTACGTTTAAAGATTAGGACAGAGACATTAATCTACATTCTATATAAATAAAATCAAAGATGCCTATCTGTAATACAGACACTATCCAGTAGCATTACAATAAAATCATCAAGTATAAATAATGTACAATGTTACCCTACTTTGTTTGAATGTAGATCAATGTCTCGTCTTAAATCCGATAATTCTACTAATTCAAGTCCATGCAAATAAAATGCTTTTACTTAAAATATCATCACAATGGTCAGATCAATGTTAGGCAGGGAGGGAGGAGGGAATCTTTTGTTAGATCAATGTTAAGCGGGGAGGGTAGAGGGATCTTTTGTTATTTATTCATTATTCTCACTTGACGGTTTAAAAGATTTAAAATTGTTTTTGGGACTTGTATTAGAACTCCATTATGAACTTTGAACCCTGGTATTAAGTGATTTATTGGTAACATTAGTCTATGCCATAATCCAGCTTTGTTTTGACTCTGTTCCAAATGTACAGAAACTATTAACAGTGCCAAACAGTGGAAACATGTCTACTGACCATTATCTGACCTCACACTAGTTTTACCTACATATATATATAGCAACATTCCTAGTCTATTAGAGAGAGAGAGAGAGAGAGAGAGAGAGAAATGGGGTTTAACGTCCACTCGACAAAAACTAGGCCATTTCGGGACTAACATATGGTTTAATTTTATTTTGCAGTGGGAGGAAACAGGGGGCCTGGAGAAAACCCACGAGGTTAGACAGGCGACCCTACTCCTTGTCACGTACAACTGGGGATTCGAAAACCACGCCAGTTGACTTAATGGCAGGCCTTATGATACAGCACGCACATGCTAACCATTCAGCTATCCAACCACCCCACACTAGTCTATTTGTTTTCCTATTTCCAGATAAATAAATTCCCAAGCATGCTGACTGGGTTGAATTAGCGTGATTACAATTAGTAGAGATTCTACCCATAAACTCAATCAAATATGAAATTTCACTTTTTGTCAAAGAGATCTTATTTTCTTAAATTTAAAGATACATTATGGAAGATTAGATAAAGAGCTGGTAGTTTTCACTATAATGGTTAAAAACTAGTTAATGTAGAGGGAATATGCTGAAAATTTCAGTCAAAACCGAGATATTAGCGTTTGAAATTTAGGCCTAGCCTCGATCATCATTACTAAAGTCAGTACGATAAAAAAAACCATATTCTCGATTATCAATTTTGATTAAAATCATCAATGAGTGTTGAGCAGCAAATCGGAATCAAATCCAGTGAAAATCTGACACATTAGATGGCATCGAGAGTTGATTAAGGTCTTTTCATGTTGATAAATGCCTAATTAATAGTTTATATGACATTTCAGGCATAAAGAAAGACCTACAATAGGCAGATTATCTCTTGCATAATGTATTTTTAAATATTTTTTTATCTTAATCTTTCGATTTATTCCATTTCTTAATGCAGATTTAACATTACGATTTTCTGTGGTCAACTCAATTTTTAACTTTTTTTTCGTAAACTTCTTTTGTGTGCTTATATCCAATTTATTTTATATCTAAATACAATCTGATTAAAACACAGATCCTATTTCGTTTCGTTTTTTATAGTTCAAAATTTTGTTTTACTTGTCCTTACTACACTAGGATCTGGAAGAGTTGTTATATTACCGGCGTTTTGGTTGAAGTGAGGGATAAGCCAATGAAACAGTCTGTTACGGAGTCTTCTTGGCGTGCCATGCACGGAACTGTGGGTAACCCACTAGAAACATCAATACTGATTGGTTAATCAAATGTCTGACGCCATAGGTCAAAAGCCGCTCGTATGACCTATAACGCGACCTATCACTACAACCGGTCAGATCTTTATGTAGTGTGGGCCATCGAAAGTATAAAATAACGAAACGAAATATAGATCTGTATTTTAATCAGATTCATCTAAATCAAGCCTGTAAATAAGGCACCTGTCACAGACAATGTCAGGCAAAGATTCAGGCTTTGTCAGGCACTAAACCTCTGGTGCCTGTCATTTTGTCCAGCACTGATTTGTCTTTTTTATTGATATTATTAATACATGTCCTGCACTAAGTTGAAAATGTCAGGTACTATTTCATTAGTGCCTGACACTTTGTCAGGTACATCTAAAACCGTTATTTCCAGGACTGATCTAAATATAGCTCTGGAATATTTGTTTTTTGATGCTGTTCACTCTTGGAGAATCTGTTTTTGAAATGAGTAGAAAGATGAAATAAATGGTGTCTATAGCTTACTTGGATGTAGGGTTGGAACATGCTGTGCCATTCGATCATCTTTCAACATATGAAGTAAAGTTGTCTTGCCAGCATTATCGAGACCAAGGAACACTAATTTTCCTGATTTTTTCCACAAACCTACAAACACAATAACATGCAAACTCAATGACAATGAATGAATTGTTTTAAATGAAACTGGAAAAATTCAATATAAAGTCCTGTCATACGGAGACTCACAAAGTCAAAAAGCTCTAAAATTCCCACATTTTAAGGATTTTTTTTTTAGAAGTACACTGTATTCCCATATTTTAAGGGGTTTTTTTTGGTTTTGTTTTCTAAGCAGTATCCCATATTTTAAAGGGTTTTTTTTGTTTTGTTTTTTAAGCAGTATTCCTTATTTTAAAGGGTTTTTTTTTTTTTTTTTTTTTTTTTAAAGTGTTTATTTTTTTTATTGCAGTATCCCCATATTTTCAATGTTTTTGTTTTTTCAGCAGTATTCCCATATTTTAAGTGTTTTGGGGTTTTTTGGTCTTTTGGTTTTTTTTATAGCCAGTATTCCCATATCTTAAGTGTGTTTTTAGCAGTATTCCCATATTTTAGATGTTTTTTGGAGTATTCCCATATTTTAATTTTAGCCGTCTTTGCCTACTCTTTGTTAAATTTGAACGGCAAAGTGTAGACAGGACCGCATGTTTTTCATGCCCACCGCACCACTGACAAATAACGAGAAACCAAGACGAAATATGCAGGTGAACTTACTCGGCCAACTCTGGGATCTCTTGGTTTGTGAGCTTGCACCTTTCTCACTGAGTCACAGTGGCTATCCGGCTTCCTTATATGTAAGTAACAATTTGTTTCTTTTCATGGTGATAGAGAGATATCAACCCTACACAAACTAGGTCATTTCGGGACTAACATAGTCTACTAATTTTATTTTAGTAAGAAAACTCACATGGTTAGTTAAATAACTCTACTTCTTATCACGCTCAACACCCCCCCCCCACTTCATTCAATAACAGACTGTATAATCTAAACCATTAGGTTTTCTGTCCAGTCAATTTGTATATGTAATTAATTAAGACAGGTGTGAATGTATTTATAATGATAAGGTGTGAGTACCTGTATATGTACTATGTATTATCACACCATCTGTCACATCATATATTAAACTAACAATAGACGCAGATAACATCTCATTCTCTATATTATAATAACTCAGTCTGTTATATATACATGTACACGTATACACATGCAGGATGGAGGGCCTGACAAGGACAGCTGTCTAGTCGTGCGGATAGGACGGAAAACCGAGGTCCCATGTACACATTCGGATGCACGTAAAAGATCCCTTGGCAGTTGGAATTTGATATAAGAGTAGTGCCGCTGCCAGGGCAAAATTTCCCTCATAGCACACTGTATGGCGTATCCCCGTCTTCATTAGCCCTGGTTAGGAGCAGAACAGTAGGACGTTAAACCCCATTTCATTTCATTTATTCACAGGATATTAGTCCTCCTGTTTTAATATATATAATATATATAACTGATGGTCTATTCTAAACTTGTTTGATGAAGAATTTGATGACATGGAATTTTGTTGTTTCATATGTCACTTACAGCTGTGAATGTCACTATTAAAATATTCAATACATTTAATTACAAGTTAAAATTTGTATCTATTCAAATTTATTTCAAAACGTGAATTATTTGATATTGAAACATAATTTTTTTTCCAATATTTGAATTAACCCCACACTTCAAATGTTTTCATATTACATCATGGTCATACCAATTTAATATCTTATTTTTAAGTATGGGGGAAATAAAGTCCGCACAGCACTGCTAGGTAATACTTGTTATGTTTTAAATTGGTGGCTAAGTGAGTAAGACGCTGGCTCGCTTGCCTGGGTTCGCGTGTTCGATAGCTGCATTGGCCGAGAAAGTTCATTGGGATTTTCCAACGTGGTTTCCCCTTGTCCAGGGATCGAATTTGACGGACGCAAACATGCAAAATGCGTGCTGATTTTGTAGGCTGCGTGTTACAAAATATGTCACACGAAAAAAAATGCGTGTAATATTTTTTCGCTTATTGTTACTGAATAACATGATTGTTCAATAAAAACAATACACATATCATAATTGACCTTTCTTTATTGTCGTTATATTCCATCAAACAAATTCTTACATCGGTGAAAAATGTATGTTATTGGCGAATGCCATGGCTTTCACGCGACACAAACAGTTTTAATAGTAAAAAAACACGTACCATTTTGATTTTTCTGGATGATATTTAATATAAATATTGAAAAAATGTTTTCCTTTTGATGTTATTTACGTTATTTTATTGCTTAATGATGAATAAATACTGTTATACACTCCCGAGTATTCATTCCACTAAGTTTGCAAATGCCGATAAGGAGCTTTGTTTACGTCATGTGACTTCTCGCTCACTTTTCCACCCATTAGCATTATCCCTGTTTCTGTTCAATTTCTATACATCTTGACAAATTGTTTATACCGATACTTTGATTTTCCAAAGGAATCATTGATTTTCAGATTGAAATAAATTTTAATAATGCAGAAATATAAATAATGCCAACATTGCCAACTATATTTTTTGAGAGTTCCGGTAGACTGATTATCATTTAGCGTCGGACGTGTATGCACAGCGGTCCAGGATCCGAAAAATCGCTATTTGACTAAATCAATGGACACTTTTTGACATAGTACTTATGTTTTATAGTTTAATTTACTATCCTTGTATTATATAATGCATCATCAAGAAGGTATACTCTTGAGTGAGAGTGAGAAAAAACGAGTTTTCAAGGGAAGCTATAAAAATAAATATACACGTCGAAAGAACACAATATTTTTAAATTAAATAAAATATTGTAATTAATATTTTGAAAATTAAAACTGTAATAAACAACAACTATATTGCAAGTTTGTAAATTTTGTTTGTAAATTCAGTATTGTATGCTAAAAATAATATCGACTAGAAATAATAATACTGACTAGAAAATGTTCAGTGAATACTCCAGGGGTATTCCCAACTTTTTATGCATGTTTATTTACATTTTAAAAAAATTGATAAACTGAAAGTATTGACATTTCATAAAATATCTCAATATAGTGATTATATCGCTATGATAATACTGCATACATGTATATATTATATTAAAATTATCTAACGAGCATGACGATATCATAAAACACATGACTATATTAATTATAATTATCTATGATGTAATAAATTAATTATCACGCAGCCATGCAGTAACTGTTAATGAAGCAAACTGGAATATATGAAATTTATTCTATTTCAAATACATCAAACCATGCATGACTATTTCATTGTAGTTTCAAACCAGCATTCATAAATGTCATAATAGGTGTACGATACTTTCAGAATCAAACCAAATTATCCCAAATAATCACAGTAATGAAGAATGGCCGATTTCACTAAATTTCAATTTATCTTGGTATGAAATAACCACGCTCAATAAATTTTCACAGTTGCCATGACAATCACATTGGGACCATTTTAAACAGTTTTCGCAATTCCTTAATTGCAGACAATCGAATGTGGAATACGGAGACAGTAAACCACAGTTTGTACAAAAGGGGCAAGGGTGTGGATATACAGTACCAAGATGAGACGTCTCATTTATTTAGACCTACACGTAGAGTTACCATACATGTTGGTGTTGGGTGGAGCTATCTTACATGTTGGGACAAGGGTGGGTTAATGCTAAATAATAAGGTCAGCTTAATTTTTCATCATAGGTCACGAGATGTAAACAGGGCTAGCACTAATCCCAACCCTAACCCTGGACCTAGCCCCAATGCTTACCCTAACCCTAACATACAATCTCGCCAACAATCACGTGCCCTAACCTTATTTAGCCGGCAAAGGTGTGGTTATAGTACCAAGATGAGTTGTCTCCTCTTGACCTAGAGTTATTATATAAGTTGTGGTAGAGTGGAGCTATCGTACACCTATACACGTCACAACTTGACTTACTCGGATGTAGAGTTGGAACAGGCTGTGTTAAATGGCCTTCTTTTAAAACACTTAATAAAGTTGTTTTGCCAGCATTATCTAGGCCTAAGAATATCAATTTACCCGATTTTCTTCTCAGGCCTGGCGTGTAGAAAGATAAAAGTTTATTTTCATACTCTGTAGCTTTGTTTTATTTGTGGTAATGTAAAACGTAATTTGAATGATATGGGGTTAAACATCCTAATCTTCTGTGCCAAGCCGGCTAATGAAGACAGGCATACAACATGCAGTGCGCTAAGAGGGAAATTTTTCCTGGATACTAGCGTTTCCTACAATTACAATTCTTCCAGAAATTCTAACTGCCAAGGGTTCTTTACATATATGTACACAGCAATTAAAGAATTAAAGAGTCTTTAAATGTATTCTAACTCCATGCAAAGACTGGTAGTGGTTGGTTTATATAAATATATAATAATATTATATAATAATAAAAGTAAAATGTTGATATTGTCACAGTGTAAATATTTGTTTTATTTAAATTTAAGATATGCTTGTGTTATAATCTGTATATAATATACACATGTAATGGTGTCAATATGTGGGACACTATAACATAGTTTTATTCTATATATGGGACTTTGTCTACTCTAATAATATCTAAACATGTATATAAACAAGGCCTGAACATGAGTCATTCCATGTTAAGTGGGTCAATTTTCAGAAAGTTGGGAAATTGACCCCCTCGAAAAAATCTGGAAAAAATAATGTTATTGTACAGGCTAGCGAGCCAGCGTCTTACTTAGCCACCGTGGCTCCCCAATATAAAGGTGTGTGTTTGGATTAAATCTAATCGTTTTTTATTGTACAATGTAATGTTGATAGACTAAAATAAGATTAAAATAAATTTAATGGTTAATATTTTCTTTTTATATATATATATAGAAATAAAAATTACCTAGAAAATTAAGTGCACTGGCAAACCAATCCCATAAAAACATTCTCTGTACCTGGAAATAGACAAATGAATATATGTTTATAATGTCTATTTATATAATTACACAAGCTTAGTACATATATACAGGTGAAAACATAACTATTCATAAACATTCACTGTAGAACTATGTATATTACATGATCAATGCATAGTTAATAACAAAAGCATGGCTATAATTATAATGTTTCAGTCATACACTGATGGACAGTGAGTTCATCACTAAACATGGAAATATGTCGCCTATCACTGTCAGGCAATAATTTAGGCTAGCCAGGCACAATCCCTCGTTGGGTAACTGTTATTTTGTCCACACATATATTTGTCTCCATTCTGTGGTTTTATTGATACAAAGACAACCTTTATATTTATATACAACTTTTCATCTTCAACTGAATTATCAGTGAAATGAAATTCGATCGTTTGTCTGTTACCGCTCGTTACTTCAGTCTGTTATATAGAAGGACAACTTGTGTTTGTCATGTTTGACGTCACTTCCCGTTTCTTCACATGGTTGTTACAGAACTCCCGTAGCAATTATATTTGGGATGTATTTAACAAGCTCTATCACATATTTTATAATGACTGACACCAATATTGTCCTTTAAAGCTGCTTTAAACATACATTAAGCAAGAGCTAAATCTGCCCAGTGCCCATTGCAGATCTTTTTTTAGGCCTGAAATGTTATCTAAATTATTAATTAGACTTAGACCTTTATTTACATGACAAGCTCAAAATCAACTCTGTAGACCGTCGGATGGCTTAGATACATGTACAGCTTGGATTTAAATAGTCGTCCATTTAAAATTAAATCAATAAATGGCTAACGTTACCACCAATGAAGGACCTGTTAAGTGGAAGTAGCCATTGAGAATGTCACTTGAAAATCGAGAATATGTGGGTGGGGTTATCGTCTGTCAATCTAACAATCGGCAATTATCGTAGGCGGTGTCGACACAGTTGATGCCTATTTCTAGTCCAAACGTCCAACAGTGACAACTCTGTTCAGAAAAAAGCAATTTGACTGAAATTTTCTTTTTTTATCATCTATTTTTTAATTATTATACAAAGAATGCCCAACTCTTTATTAAACTCTTAACTATTGTATCTTTAATGCAGTCGTCGAGCAATTTTGAATCTCTTATAAACTACAATTTGTGAAAGTTCAATCTACAAAAGGAATATCAGTGCAAAAATGGTTCAACTTACAAAGATACATGAATTGAAAAAAAAAAACATCACCAATAGTAGAGAGAGAGAGAGAGAGAGAGAATCCACTCGACAAAACTATGTCATATGTTTCAATCTTATTTCTATAATTCGCTAGTACGTATCGGTCTTTAGCAGTGAGAGGGAACTGGAGCACTCTGAGAAACCTGTAAGGTGACCCTACTCCTTGTCACGTACAACCGGAGAATCGAAACCATGCCAGTTGACTCAATAACAGACCTCATGATGCAGCGCGCTAACCATTCGGCCATCCAACCTCCCTCGCCAACAGTAATGTAAGTATTAATGATGAGTAAATAATGTTGATAAGCCTCTTTTTAATCAGCTAGAAGATTATCTATAAACTGTTGTTTTTTATATGTATATTAAGATTATTGGTTTTATTTTCTAAATTAAATGGTAAATAATCAATCCATCAGACATGATTTTAGAAGGAAAAGAAAAAAACAGAAAATATGATTGAAGGTGATTTAGACTGTACGGCGAGAGTTCTGGGTACAGCTTAAGGCTCCCCCCCCCCCCCCCCCCGGAAGCTCTTAAGTAAAATGGTGCAAAATCCCAAATTTGTTTGAAACATTTCCTGGCACTGAGGAAGCCCTAATTTTTCAGCTGTTACTTGTAATTTTCTTCCACTCATCTCCAACTGTTTTCTCTAGCCATTCCCACTTCCATGTATTTTCTAATCCCTTATCTGCACTATTTGTGACAAAATCACATTCCACTATATCCTGGAAGCCATGCGAACTTGACACATGTACTTGATACTCCCAAGTTCGTAATGTTAGGATACCATTCATTGGACGAAATAAGGCCAATAACTAATCAAACTACGTGTTATAATGAAAAACAGATAGTTTACATTCGGCAAACCTTTGCAGACTCTGGTACCCTACATCGGAAAAGTGGAATTCTGTTTTAAAATGAAAAAAAAAACAAATGTCTTATCTATGGATTAAACCATGAAAAATGAGATATTGTCTGAAAAATGGAATTGACGATCAGAAAAAAAACAGCAGGTTGGACATGTGACCCTGCTCATTGTCCCGTACGCTAAGGATCGAAACATACGGTATAATCTAGAGTGGCTATACCCAACCTCCCTCATAGCTAATAACCAACCCATAAAATATATCTCGAACTCAATTGATAAAGACAGAAATACAACAGACTAAAAGTGGTTTAATATCTCTTTAACTCATTCAATAAAGTGAGACCAAACCCCACCGTCACCTCGTAATATCTTTTAATATTATACATACTGATAATATAAGTTTAAAACAAAAGTTAAAATTATGAATCCGTACATACTACATGGCTAATTCTTAACTTCACAATATCATAAGATAAGGTTGATATCATAGCCTATAGCTAATTAACGGTAATCATTAAAATAAGATTAAATCTAAAGCTGTATTATAATCTTCAAACAGTTATATAATAACTTAGTCAATAGAAAGGCTGAACTAAGTTACTAAGTCAACACATTTGAAAATTGAATTCAGAATTGGTCAACGATGCAAGTCATGGTCCACCACGACATCGCGAGTCAATACCGTCCTTAAATGAGAGACAATTCTAACCTGTAGTGTTCAAAAATAATGTCACTGAACTATCGAAAATAACCTGTGGATCTGTTAGAACAAGTTCCAAATTCCAATTAGCCAGTGACTGAATTAGTGAATCGAATGTCTTATTTTGTCTGTTTCACTCTTCTTCCTTCGATTAATCATTCAACGTCAAATGTCGCATCAAATCTGAGGTTTTCGACGTTCCGGTTACTCCTAAATAAACACCAATTACATAAAACACATTTTGACATACTTACTATTTAAAACGGCGATCCTTACAATACAATTTATTTAATCTAAGCTGAAAATACGCCAAACGTAATTTTCGTTTTTGAGATACGTGTACCAAACAAGATGGATGTTGATGACGTTTCGTCTCTCCTGCTAAACAAGGCCATATTTCATTGGTTATGCGCGGAAAGCTGTCCAATCAAATACAATTTTGCAAAACTAGATTTGTATTTATTTTTCTGACAAGAAAGTCAAAGCATGGCTTTTTTGGCGTGTCAGGTACAACGTTTTATTTACTATCGAAGTCTTATTTATTTCAGATTAGCGTAAATATTTATTGAAAAGCGTGTGCATGTTATTTTTAGACATTATTTTGATTATTAAGAATGAGGTTATCAGCAGAAACTTTGACCTTTTCATAATCTTTCAGTGTCACAATCGTCATTGTCAGGAATCATATGAATATTGACGTTATTTTTCAGTTGGTTCTGATTTAAAGCAAGCCCAATTTAGGCATAAAATATCAGGTATTGCGCTAATATAGCGGGAATATTTTTAATGGGGATACAAATGAGCATAATATAAACATAGCATGAATTGTGATTCAGCAAAAAAAAAAAATGTTAGAAGGGAGACAACTATTGCTTTTATTTTGAGTTGTCTCCCATTATGTATTCTCCCACCAAAAAGGAAGAAATATCAGAAATAGAATTTCCAGAAGCATGACTAATAGTCTATTTATGTATCAATGTAAACTTGTGGTCTGTTTAGCAGAAATGGATGCTTTTCTCTTTGTGAATTAAACTTAGAAAGTGTCATGTAAATGGCACATTTCAGCTATTATTGACATTGCTCGTTCCAGGTATAGAAAAAGAAAAACACCGTCTTTTATTTTTGTCTTAAAAAGTTAAAACCGAAAGCAGACAACTTTTGAAATCTCAAACAACTGATGTGTAATGAAATAAAAAGTCATAGATCAGAAATTGACAGTTTAATAACATAAAAAAAATTGTGTTCAATTGAGATCCATTGTTAGTTAATCTTGCGGAAGCGATTGATGAAGATAAGACCTATAAAACCAGGTTTGCATGACACGCATGTGTAGTGATAATTGGATCGTTTAGATAACGCCTGTAACAGTGTAAGTACTGTAACCAGATCTGTCGTCCATTAAAAAACAAACATTGACAACTGATAGTGTGTGATAAACTTGCTTTGAATCAAAGATTGATAAAACATAGTACTAAAATGGGGAGGAAAGCTACTTTAGCGGTTTGCAGCCTTAATCAGTGGGCGATGGACTTTGAAGGTAATTTAACCAGAATCAAACAAAGCATCCGCGAGGCTAAAGATAATGGCGCTAAATATAGAACTGGTCCGGAACTGGAGATAACAGGATATAGTTGCGCGGATCATTTTCTTGAAAGTGATACATTCCTTCATTCATGGGAAGCATTGTCAGAGCTTTTGAGTAGTCCAGAAACCCGGGACATTCTTTGTGACATTGGTATGCCTGTGATGCACAAAGGTGTAGCCTACAATTGCAGAATTTATTTCTTGAACGGAAAGGTACTTCTTATCCGACCAAAAATGTTCCTATGCAACACCGGTAATTATCGTGAGGTCAGATGGTTTGTACCGTGGAGAAAGTCCCGACAATGTGAAGAGTATTATTTGCCGCGAATGATCCAAAAAATTACCCATCAGAAGAAAGTTTTGTTTGGAGATGGAGTTATTTCAACTCAAGATACATGTCTAGGTACCGAGATCTGTGAAGAGTTATGGTCTGCCAAGAGTTGTCATTCAGACCTCTACATGGATGGCGTCGAGATTATTACAAATGGCAGTGGAAGTCACCATGAGTTACGGAAAGGATACACTCGCGGAGATCTGGTCAAATCTGCTACATACAAATGTGGTGGAATTTATTTGTTTAGTAATCTTATTGGTGGGGACGGAGAGAGGTTGTATTTTGACGGTGGCTCTATGATTTCAGTTAATGGAGAATTTGTTGCTCATGGACCTCAGTTTTCCCTGAAAGAAGTAATTGTAACAACTGCAACAGTTGATCTGGAAGATGTGAGGAGTTATAGAAATGGTTTGAGAACAACATCGGAAATCTCAACAACTTTGCCCAGTTTTCCTCGAGTAGATGTAGATTTTGCTTTAACTGATTCCGAAAACGAATGGAGGCCAGTGACCGAGCCAATACCACTGTTGATTCACAAAGCAGAAGAAGAAATTGCGCTGGGTCCTGCTTGTTGGCTTTGGGATTATTTGAGACGGAGTAAACAGGGTGGTTTCTTTCTACCGTTAAGTGGAGGAATTGACAGTTCATCAACAGCTTGTCTTGTATCATCCATGTGTCATCTTGTTTGTGAAGCTGTAGCTAAAGGAGATGTTCAGGTTTTAGAGGACGTGAGGCGAATTGTTGGACAGGACGGCTATTATCCTATAGATCCAAGAGAACTTGCTGGAAGAATTTTTACCACTTGTTACATGGGTTCTGAAAATAGTTCTAACTTGACAAGAAAGAGAGCTGAAGACTTGGCTTCAGAAGTAGGAAGTTATCATCTAAGTGTATCTATTGATGTTGCGTGTGCAGCTGTAATGAGCATCTTCACAGCCGCTACCAATTTGGTCCCTAAATTTAAAGTTCATGGTGGAAGCATCAGAGAAAACTTAGCTCTTCAAAATCTCCAGGCACGAATAAGAATGGTCATAGCTTACTTGTTTGCTCAGCTCACTCTTTGGGCCAGAGGAAAACCTGGAGGTCTGTTGGTGTTAGGATCTTCAAATGTTGACGAGTGTCTGAGAGGCTACATGACGAAGTACGACTGCTCCAGTGCAGATATCAACCCAATTGGTGGAATAAGTAAAACGGATCTTAGACATTTTATCAAATATTGTACAAGGAAGTTTGGGTTCAATTCTTTAAAAGAGATTTACGCTGCTTCACCAACAGCTGAACTTGAACCATTGAGTGATGGACAGATTGCCCAGACAGATGAACAAGATATGGGAATGACTTACGAGGAGCTTTCAGTTTATGGGAAACTTAGGAAGCAGAAATATTGTGGACCGTACAGCATGTTTTGTAAGCTGATATACTTCTGGAGCAATAGCTGTTCACCAAGTGAAGTAGCAGCCAAAGTGAAACATTTCTTCCGGTCTTACTCTATCAATAGACACAAGATGACAGTACTCACGCCAGCCTATCATGCTGAATCTTACAGTCCTGACGACAACCGATTTGACCATCGACAGATTCTTTATAACAACTCATGGACATGGCAGTTTAATGCTATTGATGAAGAATTAAACCGATTAAACAACCGAATCCTAATGAAACATAAAGAATCCAATCTAGATCAGAGTTTATCAGGTTCTTTCTCAAACGGTAAAGGCTCTGGAACATCTAAGGATAATCCATCTGTAGGTTCATCATTTCAAGGACCAGGTGGAGTCACTGTTAATATTGATCCAAATCAACAGATGACCAGAAAGAGAGATCAGGAAGAAGAACTAAAAATCTTCAGCGAATTTTTGTCCACATCACAACACCAACTGAATGATGACCAAAGTAAGGTATCTGATCCTGAAATCCTTGATGTACAATCTGATTCATCTCTTGAGCTTCCTCCTGGTAGTTATACAGATGACGAACAGATCTCTTCTGATATTTCAGACTTTCAGCTTGTTGATATGAACTTCAATGAAAGTTACAGTAAAAACGAAAATGACAACTGTTTAAGCTTTGAAGCTGTGGATTTAGTAAAGACAGAATCGATACAAGTCAATTTTGACCCTACTCAAATTAGTGAAGATGTGACCAAGCTTGAAAAGATCGAAGAAGTCTGCAGCAGTGATGATGAAAATGATCATGAAGTGTCCTCTATCTTTACTTGTATTAGTGATTCCATGGAAGGTACCGGTACATGTATTGGGGAAGTCCATGAGGAGGTAGAGGAACAAGCTGTTGATGACACTGACTCAAATGAAGCATCACATTTAGGAACAAGTACCGATAGTAATGAATTTGTTCAAGAAACTGACCAAAAGGAGGATAATTTTAAATCTGTTAATGTCGATGAAAATAATTCTGTCTCATCTGATGATAATCCAATAATTTCTGCAGGAAGTGTTCATTCATCTGATGAAATAGTTCCTGATGAAAATTGTAGGGGTATTAAACTATTTTCGTCAAGTGATGTGAATGAGATAAGTGCATCAAATCTGGAACACACTGACTTAAACTTAAGTGATTCTGCTGCTACTGATACTCATTGGGACAAGGGTCAGGACCATAATTCCGAAATTGTTTTCAGAAAAGAATCCTTCGGAGAAAGTGGCTCATCTTTGGAATTGGGACGTACGCCAGCTGAAAAGGATCAGGGCAGTTATAGTTTTGGACCACCTGATTCTGAACACAGCATTACAGATATTCCTGATGATCATCTGCCAGAATTTAACTTCGTCCAAACCGAATCCATCCCCTTGAAACATTCCAAAACAAGTAGAAAGGGTAAAAAAGCTCATCTGAAGCCAGAGTTTGAGTTATCTATAACCACTAATACTAATAAATGGAAAGATGCTGATACTCAGTCACCTGAAGGTGTGACGACCAAGATAACCCTTTCTTCTAGTTATAATAAACGAAAACATGTTAATCGAATGCACGTTAATCTTTAAAGCATTGATTTTAAAGGCTGTACAACGCTAGTGTATTATGAAAATAGCTAAAATTTATGTATATTTTTGTACGTTTTTTTCCTAACCTTAATGTGACCACAGTCCTTCTCAAAGATCGTGTCCATGCACCCTCTTTGCCTAATGCATTTAATGGTAGGCTTTAGTTACTAAGTTTATTTAGCTTTAAGGTTAAACTCCATTCTGGATCCCAGGGATAAAAGTTTATTCCCTTCGTTTATTTCTGGTAAAACTCGCCGGCCATTTTGAATGTCACATGATGTATACTTCCGTCGGTCACTTAACAAAGATCCAAGATGGTGGCTCAAACTCGCGTTTCTTCAGAAATTTCACATATTTAGCTGAATTACTCACATTGTGCTCTAAAAATAGTTCCCAATAAATCATCAAATAAAAATAGTTCCCGATAAATCCTCAAATAAAAATAGTTCCCGGTAAATCCTCAAATTGTTTGCTTTCAAACGAACTTTTTGATTTCAAGAGTGGAATATGTAACTCATGCAACAAACCGATGCCCAATTGCCGAGAAATCGGCAGCATTTCATTCTAACAATTTCTGTCAATCAGTAACCACTGGCGGCGGAGCTTAGGAACCAATTTCACCTTGATCAAATGCCGGTGGGTTTTACCAAAGATAAACGAAGGGTAACGTCATCTCTAGTGCCAAAAATTGGTTAAACTCTTTGAAATTCAAATCATAAGGCTTATAATTGTCTCACAGAATTTGTTTAGATGGTCATTTTTAATTCATTGAAAGAAACGAGAGATGTGTCACGAGCCCTTGAGTCTAATTGTAGGCAGCATCTTGGATTATGCACGTACAGTAGCTTTATAAAGTGGGATAGAGATGAATGTAGTTGGTATTTTTCCCTGAAATTAGTTAGCAGTTTTCATGGATTATCGTTTTGTTACATTTTGTTAATAAGTTTATGAAATGACAGTAGCACATTGGATATAAAAATGTATGTACACATTACCAAGAAATATGCATAATATATGATTCATATGAAAATATAGATTGATCAGATGTCCTCCTCTCCTTGGTATCCACGGTGGTCTTATTCCATTCTACTCCACCACATTTTCAAATTATCTGCCCTTGATGATTGTGTTATTTTTATCGACCAATCAAAAATATTGTAACATGTAAATGCATAAAAACTGACATAAAAACATCCGTCCCATTAGGACATCTTTCTGTGTGCAATTCACTTTCTTTCAAACTTTCTCATAATCGAGAGAACGCCGTACTGTTGTGAACGTAAACAATGAGGTCTTAGACTGGTTTGTAAACTGTTTTTTGATTGGTTCGTAAAATCAAGCTAGGATCAAGGGCAGATAACTTGAATAAGTGAAAACCCCATGGATGAACCCTGGGTATAGTGGAATAGAACGGAATGAGTACACTGGGGATACCGAGGATGATGTCTTCCATGTGCAAATAAGATCTAATTTGAAATTGTTAATTATTGGTATAGATCATAGCCTAATTTATAATTGTTAAATATATATTTATATCTGATTCAAAAATGTTATATATATATATATATATATAGATCACAATCTAATTGAACAATATATATCAGGATCTAATTTAATAATGTTATATTATACCCCAGTCAGACTGGGGTGGCGTCCTTACTGTGCTGCTACGGCAACGGAAAATGGTCTCGTAGCGCGCCAAGATCACCATAAGTATGGTAAATGCGTGATGGAAACACCAGAAATCGTGCCGTGGTCGCAAATGATTGCGAGTCACAGCAGTTGTTTTGAGCATGTTCAAAGAAACTCCAAGGTTTCTGTGATCATACCTGAAAGCGACTTTTTTCAAATTTGTAATTTTTGGGAACATTTTCTTGTATTGTGTTCATGTTTGCCGGTGACCTTGTGCCTTTTCTGGTCACCATACGGTCGCAGCAGCGCAGTTAGGATGCCAACCTGGTCTGACTGAGGCCTTAGATCAGGATCAGATTCAACAATTGTTTCATGTATATATGAATGAGGATCTAATTCAACAATGGTATTTATATGAAGATCTAATTTCAACAATGTATATCAGGGTCTAGTTCAATAATGCTATATAGATTAGAATCTAATTCAGCATGTTATATAGATTAGGGTCTAATTCAACAATGTTATATAGATTAGGGTCTAATTCAACAATGTTATATAGATTAGGGTCTAATTCAACAATGTTATATAGATTAGGGTCTTATTCAGCATGTTATATAGATTAGAGTCTAATTTAACAATGTTATATAGATTAGGGTCTAATTCAGCATTGTTATGTAGCTTAGAATCTAATTTAATATTTTTAAGTATAATCTGTCATAATCAGATATATTTTCACAAATAATTTATTTAATATAATCAACGGCACAGAATAATCTTACAATAAATAGGTTAAATGAAGTTTTATGGCACGTCAACTCCAACCGGGCTATATGGTGCCAAACACATGGTGATTTTTTAGAGATAGGTTAAAATGACACACCAAAGATCTGTGTAAATCAAGAAATGAATGCTAGCATAAATGGATGATTAATGGTTAAACACTTATTGATGGTGTTTCTTCTAGCCTGTAATCATGAATGTGCAATTTACTAAAATAGACTACTTAAAGATGGGTTCCCAGAAAAGTATTTATCGGGTGGTTATTTCCAATAAAAGTATGGTAATTTTGGTATTTATGGAAAGTAGAGATATCCAATCTTACTAGAAAAATACTGGATTCCCTGAAAAACACTCATGGAGCGTATACAGGACAAAAATGTAAGGGTTCCCCTAATCAACAGCCCGACGATTAGGAATTTCTGCACGCGTGATGTCAAAGGTCACACGCGAACATTGAGCGCTTGATGTACAAGTTGATAAACTTTATGAAGAGTTAGACGTACAACACTTTCTGAGATAAAAATGACGGAAAAAGATGCGAGGCGGGTATTGGATAATCTGAGAATTTAATTAGGATTCGATATTTGTTATAAATAGGGAGCGATTAAAGACAACATCATCTTGTGTATGCAGTGAATTCTCTTCCGACTTCGCACCTGTAAGTCACGTGACACAAACATGACCTCTTTTGGTCGATTTTTTTATAGCAAGGGTATAATTACAATGTTTGAGAAGGATTTGAAACAAAGTTATGACAAATTAATTAGTTTGAATATGTTTTTAGTCCATATATACCATTAAATCACCCAGTTTGTACGCGGGAACCCATCTTTAAAAGTTAAACATACATTATGTAAGAGCTAAATCTGCCTATTGCAGGCCTTTCTTTAGGCCTTGAAATGTTATATAAACTATTAATTGGACTTTTATTAACATGACAATTGACAGGACCATATTCAACGTTCGTTCGATGCCATCTGATGGGTCCGATTTTCATTAGATTTGAATGCGGTCTGCCAGTCAACGGCCGTTGATGATAAACATGGATAATTGAGACTTGGTTTATAACATAACAATGGTAACCATGACAATCGGGGCTACATGGTTATTAAAATGAGTATTTCTCGGCTCAGAGTTAAGTAATTTGACTAAAATTTTCAGCATATTTTCGTCGCCCTAGACCTCCTGGTATGTGAGCAAGCATCTTACTCACTGAGCCACAGTGGCAACCAATTTATTTTTGATAATGAAAAGTCGTGCTTATGTGTATAATATAAACAAGATGGTTTTTGTTTTGAAAGATTTTTATTATTATTAATATTATTAGAGTTGATTTGTTATTTGACGTGTGTATCTGTTTGCTAAATTTATGTAATTTTTATTAATTGTTAGTTTCTATTATTAGTGCAAATAAAAAATGTTTCGTATGGTTTTCATGTTTTTAAGTGTTAGTGTAGTAGTATAGGCTCCAGGACAATTCGTCCCTGGGCAATTCATCCCCAGACAACTCGTCCCTGAGGATAATTCATCCCTGGACAATTTGTCGCCTAGGACTATTTTTCCCCTATGGCTATTGGGGTTTGGATGGCCGAATAGTTAGCACGTGCGAGCTGTATCATAAAGTCTGTCATTGAGTCAACTGGCATGGTTTCGAATCCCCAGTTGTACGTGACAAGGAGTATGGTTGCCTGTCTAACCTCGTGGGTTTTCTCCGGGTCGTCCGGTTACCTCCCACTGCTAAAGACCCCTACGCGTAAGCGAATTATTGAAATGAAATTAAACCATATGTTAGTCCCGGAATGACCGTGTTGAGTGGACGTTAAACTCAATTTCTCTCTCTCTCTCTAAGGCGCTGACTCGCTAGCCTGGAGGTCGGGTGTTCGATCCCTGCATTGGCCGAGAAAGTGCATCCAGATTTTCCGGCGTGGTTCCCCCTTGTCAGTGATGCAGGACGGAGGGCCTGACAAGGACAGCTGTCTAGTCATTCGGATGAGACGAAATACCGAGGTCCCGTGTACACATTGGCGTGCACGTAAAAGATCCCTTGACAGTTGGAATTCGATATAAGAGTAGGCCGTAGTGCAGCTGTCCGGGCAAAATTACCCTCATAGCTCACTGTATGGCGTATGCCCGTCTTACATTCAATCTTTTCTGTTTTTACTGTAATTTCAAATCAGTTGTGTTTGACGAAATACACCTGAAGTCTCAATCGAATGGTAATCTCTATCATCTGGTTATTCCAGTCTACACAGATAGTATTTATTGTGCATGCTCTTCAGATAAGAATATGGCGTCACCGTTTGACATGATTTGTGGAATATGTCTAGCCTCGTTCTTCGAATGGGTGGACACAGTAGGCAAATCCCTCGTCTTATTCTCCAGACGATTGCAACGGCTTTCACGTCACACGATTAAACATGGCAGCGACCATGTCTTAAAACAATCATGTGACTTCTCTATATGATTGGATGATGAGTGGTGATTGGCTAATAAATTCTACAATCAGGCGAATGCTTCGGCGAAGCGGACACACTGGGCGAATATATCAATTCAGCCGAATATCAGTGGACACACTAGGCGAATTTCGACCGCTTAAGACCATCTAATTACTGTAATTATTTTTTTCTTCCAGAAGAGTGTTTTATATAATGAACTATGGGGCTGGATGATCAAGAGAGGAATACAGACGACTTCATGTCAGTGTAAAAATATACGGACAGGCATTCCCAAAACTACCCCATTCAAAAATAAACCTTTATCTTACGAAGAAGCTCAGCCGCCTTATAGAATAGGAGTCACCAAAGCCTGGAATTCATGGAATACAAGTAAGTTATTATGAGCATACCTGGATATATAAGGCACCTGTCACAGACTTTGTCAGGCAAATACAGATACGTTGTGTAATAATTTGCAGAGGTGGAAACATGAGGGGGGGGGTTGGATGGCCGAATGGTTAGCACGTGCGCACTGTATCATAAAGCCTGTCATTGAGTCAACTGGCATGGTTTCGAATCTCCGGTTGTATGTGACAAGGAGTAGGGTCGCCTGTCCAACCTCGTGGGTTTTCTCCGGGTCCTCCAGTTTCCTCCCACTGCTAAAGACCCCTACGCGCAAGCGAATTATTGAAATAAAATTAAACCATTTGTTGGTCCCGAAATGACCTAGTTTGTGTCGAGTGGACGTTAAACCCCATTTCTCTCTCTAGGTCAGGTCTTACTTTGACTGGAGCAATGGTGGGTAAGACGCGGGTTCGCTAGCCTGGAGGTCGCGTGTTCAATCCCTGCATTGGCCGAGATAGATCATCAGGATTTTCCAGTTGAATGGGACAAAAAAATGGTTCCATGTATACATTGGCGTGCACGTAAAACATCCCCTGGCAGTTGGAATTCGATATAAGAGAAGGCCGTAGTGCTGCTGTCCGGGCAAAATTTCCCTCATAGCACACTGTATGGCGTATGCCCGTCTTCATTAGCCCAGTTCGGAGCAGAACAGTAGGCTGCGAAACCCCACTGAATATCAGTTCATTTCATTACTTTGATTGAAATATTAAATAATTTATTTTTCAGGTAATCTACAAGATGAAGAGAGTACAGGTGAAACTACGATTGACGATATGTTTATACGTAGATTTATCAAAGGAACATTTCATTATCTCTTGGCATCGGAGGTTATCATAAAACGCCGCCATAACATGATTACAATATGTGGGTTACTTCTCGGCAGTTATCAGCAGCGTATGTCACATGATCCGAAAAAATACTACTTCTTGATTGGTTACACAGAAGAACTATTATCACATTTTTTAAAGTGTCCCGTCAAGATGGAGTTTTCAGTCGTAACTGATAAAAATGACTTGGTGTTCAAGAAAATATAATCGCGATCTGTTTAGTTATTATAATATTTATATCAGGCAAGGGCGTTGATTTAGGGGGGGACGGGGGGGGGGGGGGGGCGGTTCCCCCCCTTAGAATCGAAAGGGGGGACGAATAGGTCTCTGTCCCCCCCCCCCCCCCCATGATTTTGATTGCCAGGTCTGATTTTCATGTTTATATCCACATGAATGTCCCGTTCTGAAGGCTATCTAACCACTGCCTTGGGTCTCGCCACAGTAATTCATCTTCATGATATCTTCCTCCTTAATTGTAGGTAGTCAATTTTACCATATCGTCATCATATTACCCCTAGTTACAGCTTTCATTGAAATAACACTGGTAAACTGTTCGTAATTATTATTTTGATTTGGTAATGAAAGGTTCCAGGGTTCGTCCGTCCCCCCCAAAAGTTATGACAAATCCACGCCCTTGATGTCAGGTGATGAGAGATTCTTGGAAAACCATAGGGGAACACTGACAATCAAGTGAAAAAGGCGATTTCGGGCTACAACGCATGCGCTGACTGTAGAAGAAAATATTTCAACCAAGCATGACAGCTGAAACATATTTGTTTTGTTTAATTACGTCATGATTCTACTCGCACCACCTCAGTTGTCGAGACTGACAGAACTGTCACAGGATTGAATTCTGTGTCACTCAATTGCAATTCGGGATGTTATGAACTGACCATAGTGTCTCGACATGTCTTGGAAAATGATCAGCAACATAACCATAATAGTATTAGCCCGTTTAACATATGCAATCTGCGTCCACTTTGCTCAGAATAAAGTAATGTGACTGAAATTTTCGATATATTCATTTATTTAAATCTTACATAATGCATCTTTACTGAGTGTCATGTATATGTGTAACATGGACGGGAAATCTTCCTTTGTTCTTATTTCTTTCTCATTTTGTGTGGGGAGGGGGTGGATGGCCGAATGATTAGCGTGTGCGTGCTGTATCATAAGGCCTGTCATTGAGTCAACTGGTGTGGTTTCGAATTTCCTCCCACTGTTAAAGACCCTTACGCGCAAGCGAATTATTTAAATAAAATTAAATATTTTAGTCCTGAAATGACCTAGTCTGTGTCGAGTGGACATTAAACCCCATTTCTCTCTTGGCCAAATTTTTTATTTAAGGCATGGTTTTCCATCTTTAGTCGCAGTTTTGATGTGTATGTACTAAAAGTGAATAAATTTTATATTTTACCTGGTGGTGCTATTTATAATGTTATATTTTTAGACCCGCCCCGCGATGATCGAGGAATCAGATAGACTCTCAAGCTGAGTGAATACCCAATCAAAATTAGTGCCGAAATATCTAGGGTATTACTTGAAGGGCTTGATAAGATGTACGGGGTTAAAGCGAGATCTTGTGTACGATATCACCCTTGGTGGAAGTGGACGTAAAACTCCAGGAACGAACGAACGAAAGCGAGATCAAGCCTTCTATTGAAGATGGGGATCACGGTGGCTAAGTGGGTAAGACGCTGGACCGCTAGCCTGAAGGTTGGGTGTTCAATCCCTGCATTGGCCGAGAAAGTTCGCCCAGATTTTCCGGTGTGGTTCTCCCCTTGTCAGTGATGCAGGACGGAGGGCCTGACAAGGACAGCTGTCTAGTCATTCAGATGAGACGAAAAACTGAGGTCCCCTGTACACATTGGCGTGCATGTAAAAGATCCCTTGACAGTTGGAATTTGATATAAGAGTAGGCCGTAGTGCTGCTGTCCAGGCAAAATTTCCCTCATAGCATGGTCAATGCCCGTCTTCATTAGCCCAGTTCGGAGCAAAACAGTAGGACGTTAAACCCCATTTCATTTTCACAGCCGTTTACACACAACTAACATGGAATGTAACGTCCACTTAAGACAAACTACATCATTTCGAGACTAATTGATCTATGAGTAGGTGTGTTTAGCAGTGGGAGGAAACTGGAAGACCCAGAGAAAAACCCACGAGGTAGGCGCACCCCCTTGTCGCATACAAGTGGGGAATCGAAAAATCACATCACTTGACTCAATGAGAGATCTTATCATCTAAAGCAGAACAATAGAACTGTGTGATATTTAGCATGATGTATTTTATTAACATATTACTGGGCATGGTATATTACAGAGAAAATTATCAACAACAGTCATTACATGTTATTACATGTAATCAACAGCAGTCATTACATGTAATAAACAAGTCATTAAATGTAACAAAACAGTTATTACATGTAAACAACGGCAGTCATTACATGTAATCAACAGCAGTCATTACATGTAATCAACAACAAGTCATTACATGTAATAAACTGTAAAAAAAAATATACACAGAATTACATCTTGCACATCAACCAAAAACAAAAACAATTTATTTCTATATATTATCACGACTCTCTAACACATTTTATTTTTTATCAGTCCCATAGATATAAATATATTTAAAGAGATGGTGGGGTGGGGGGGGCGAAATTGGGGTTTTATGTCCACTTGACATAAATAGGGTCATTTCGGTACAACTTTATTTCAATAATTCGCTGCACGTAGGATTCTTTGGCAGTGGGAGAAAATTGGAGGGGCTAGAGAAAACCAAGACGTACAAGCTGGGGATTGAAACCACACCATTTGACTCGATGACAGACCAGCCACCCAACTGGGCTTAAACGACAGACTATCTGTGAGCGAACTTTTGGTCAGAGAGCAACACTATTATTAGTCCAAACTGCCCAACCTGTTTCACCTTCATTAGCCCAGGTTAGGAGCTGAACAGTAGGACGTTAAACCCCATTTCATTTCATTTCATTTCGTCTCACAGAGGTATGAGAAAAGTCTTCTAACTATGTATAAGATGATTGACCTTTATGAGTTCAAATGCCTTCTACATGTGACATCACATCAGACAGCGTCAATCATTGGCTCGATAGTGAATGCATTGTTTACATAAGACGTAGTAAGGTAAACTGCTCTGGGTAGAATGGAGCCTTTTACTCATTGTATACACACATTTACACTAAATAGGACATAATTTTTATCCAGATATATACTTCAAACACCTTTATTTATTTTTCTAATACTTTAAAAAAAGGTTCTAGAATTTAATTTAATTTATGTTGTAGATGTTTATTAACAATGTTAGAGATTTACCGGAAAAAGTCATTGAGAGTGGTTAGAGTTCAAAACCTCTATGGCTGAAATATCGTACATGCATTCTTGTTTTGGGATTTACTGGGACAAGCAACTATAATATATCAATTTCATATGCTCAACATCTTTATCTAGCTTGCCTGTGTGTTGAGATATGTAGGCCAAAGCCCAAAAAATAATAATTAAATAAAAAAAAAATACTGGCTTAACATGAATAAAATAACTGGACTAAGAATATTCAACTAATTTCACAATGTACAATTTATTAACAAGGATCAATTCATTTTAAAGTCGATTATTTAAAACGACCCATACAAAGATAGATTTATATCAATTTCACTCATTATAATATAAGAAAATCTCATATTGTTTCTCAATAATTCAAGAACTTTTAGAAAAATTCTTATATTTTTCATAACCAAATTCTGAAATGATTTTATAAGTTTATTTTTCTATTCTACAAATATGTGATAGACAAATTCTGAATTGATTTTATAATTTTATTTTTTTTGCAAAGTAAATAAAATTAAATCTTCTATTCCACAAATATATGGTAGACAAATTCTGAATTGATTTTATATAAGTTGGTTTTTATTTTGTAGAGTAAATGAAATGAATTCTTCTATTTTACAAATAAATATGCCATAGACAAATTCTGAATTGATTTTAAAATGTTTATTTAAATATTAGTTTATTTATTTATCAGAGTAAACAAAATGAATTCTTATATACCACATAGATTCAGACAACATATACAGTATATATAACAAATATATCCCACCCTTTCCCTTTAATACATACAAATAAAAACAATATATTTAAACGTTTCAACAACAAAAAAATTGAATTGAATGCACATGTTTTTATCTACATATTGATAATTATCAATAGAAAATTTAATTATAATACAATTATTATTATTGTTACATTAATACACTGTACAGTCTCCAGGGCTATTATTACAGACAATTTAACCAGTCCAAACTGACAGGTTTAAAAAATTGACTGATATTTAATTTGTATTATCTGATACCAATATTATATAACTAGTGTTCATATTTAAATAATAGTTTTGTAGTTTTACACATAGCTTACATTGAAATAATGATCCATGGCTATTCGACAGTCATTATATATATCTAGTGTGCTTATATAAGAATTAAGTTTACATTGTTACATGAAAATAATGATCCAGGGCTATTTGACAGTCATATTTATCAAACCTAGTAATGACAGATTTCAAAAACTGACAAATATTATCTAATAAAACCATTATACATTAGGGTACTTAATTAAGTCGTAGTTTTACGCTCAACTTACACGGAATTATTGATGGAAAGAGACGTAATTAAACACCATCATTTTACATTAGGGTACTTAATTAAGTCGTAGTTTTACGCTTAGCTTACACGGAAATATTGATAGAAAGAGTCGTAATTAAACACCATCATTTAACATTATCGTACTTAATTAAGTCGTAGTTTTATGCTTAGCTTACACGGAAATTTTGATAGAAAGAGTCGTAATTAAACACCATCATTTTACATTATCAAACTTAATTAAGTCGTAGTTTTACGCTTAGCTTACACGGAAATATTGATGGAAAGTGTCGTAATATAACACCATCATTACACTTAATAAAGTCCTATTATTTTATGAGTAAAACACTTAGCTGACATTGAAATAAAGATGGAAAGAGTTATTTAAAATAAAGTATGTGAAAAAAAAGAAGAAATGTCTGGCTGTCACTACTCCTCACAACAACAATATCAAAACATCCTTTTATCAGCAAAAGCAAAATCAACAGCCTATTAATTAAGTTTTAACTAATTTAAAAGAAAACATAACACAAAAAACAGTATGTATTCTATCTGAAAACTAATTTACATTGAATCAAAGAGTGAAGACAAGTACACCTGTTAATTATTTTACACACAGTAAGTTGAAAAAGCTTTTTAGTTTTAACTAACAAAACCCCCCCCAAAAAAACTGTATATCCTGTCTTAAAACTAATGCATTTACAAAGACTCATGAAAATCATGGTATATCTTATGTTATTTATCATGGATTTATTTATTATAATATATATATTACAGCAGGACATGTTTATGCATATATATAAATTATTTACATGTATAAACATTATATATAATAATAATAATAATTATTTTCTGGAGCACGAAACATTTAATTTGACAGTTTTATCTCTGGTGTTTTATAATACACTTATTAAAAATTCATTTTATCTTGTTTTATACACAATATTCAAAAATTATTGTTATAAATAATTAAAAAGTCTAATTTACAATGTAATTAATTCTATGGGCCATATTAATGAAAGTTTAGCTTAACGATATGTAAATTGAATCAGACTAATAATAAACAAAGTTCAAGGTATATATAAAATAAACAAATAACTTGGATAATTTCAAGGAAATAATGGTTATTGCTAAATGATAAGACCAGCTCAATTTTTCGTCCAGGGTCACGATATGTAAACAGGACTAGCGCCAATCCCAACTCTAACCCTGGACCTATCCCCAATGCTTACCCTAACCTACTGGACCTAGCCCCAATGCTTACCCTAAACTACAATCTCGTCAACAATTACATGCCCTAACCTTATTTACAACTCAGCGACCTTGACAAAAATTGAGCTGGCCTTACCGAATAGATTTAGCCGAAAACAACTGTGTTGTTTATTGTGTGCCACCTACGTCTATATATGGTTATTAAGGGGAGATAATAAATGAAGCTATGTACAGATATAATATTCACAGTTTATTAAACAGTTAACCCTATAACATTCCATTTCTTTGTAAATCAAGAATATGTGAAAGCCATTCAGATCTTAGTCATGGCAAGAAAAATAAAACCGTTATAACCAGGATAAAGAAGTATTGTTGAAACATCGTCGCACGGTAATAAGCAGTAATTGTATTCCATGGAATTCGTCGCTTTTCTGCCGAACAGGCGAATCTGAATACTTAATTTTTTTATATTCGTCGGTTCGCCAGAAAAGCGACGAATTGTGCCCCATGTATTTCAAATTAAATTACTAAATGACAAAATATAAGCTGGGAAAAGACTTAAACATACATTATGCAAAAGCTAAATCTGCCTATTGCAGGTCTTTCTTTAGGTCTGAAATGTTATATAAACTATTAATTAGACATTAATTAACTTATCCAGACCATAGTAATCTTATGTGTCGGATTTTCTCTGGATTTGAATCTGTTTGCTGCTCAATGCTCATTGATGATTTAATCCAAAAAAGGATTATCGAGACTATGTTTCTGATCATACCAACTTTAGTAATGATAATCGAGGCTAGGCCTAAAATTCAAACCCTGATATCTTGATTCAAAGTGGAGCAATTTGACTGAAATTATCAGCATATTCCTTGACACTATCTAGTTTTTTAACTATTATAGTGAGAACTGTCAACACTTTATCTAATCTTCCATAATGTATCTTTAATAAGCAGTACATTAATTAAAAATACCTTTGTGAACTATCTACACAAGATTTGGCTTCTAAAATCCAAGTTCAAATTATTACTAGGAGTAGATGGGTCTTATGAAAACATTACCCTTACCAGAACACCTAACCTCAACTCTGTTTGTTTCACCCAACAACGAGCCTACTATAAGAAAAATATGCGTAACTTACACTGTAACCTGAGTATCATTTAATCTTGTGTATTAAGCATTAATTTCTTAATGGATAAGCGAGACTTTGTTTTTTTATCGTACCGACTTCAATAATGATGATCAACGCTAGCCTAAAATTCAAAAGCTAATATCTCGGTTCAGAGTGGAGCAATTTGACTGAAATTTTCAGCATATTCTATTTACATTATCAATTTCTTAACTATTATAGCAAAAACTGTCAACTCTTTATCTAATCTCCCATAATGTCCCTTTAAATGTTACCGTGGTTACATGTATATACCACAACATAAACCTCAATTTGAAGATACACACAAGATACGTAAACAACGAATATTAAGGCAACAATGAAAATGGCAGACATAAATTTATGGAAAGTTTGCTAAATTTTATTCTTGTATTATACCTCTGCTGTTAATAATTTGGCACACGCAAATTGAAATCTTTGGATGAGATGCAATCATCAATTTATCGATACCCTACATTATATAAACACGATATATAGTACAACACACAGAACTAGGTTGGACACGTTCTCGGTATCACTTGTGGTATCGTTCAGTTCTACTCCACTAACATCTGGGTCCACCCACTGGGGAGACACAGACAAATTATCCACCCTTGATACTTCAGCGGCACTATCGCCGACTCTTATATCGAATTCCAACTGCCGTAAAAGATCCCTTGGCAGTTGGAATTCGATATAAGAGTAGGCGATAGTGCCGTTGCCCGGGCAAAATTTCCCTCATAGCACACTGTATGGCATATGCCCGTCTTCATTAGCCCAGTATAGAAGCAGAACAGTAGGACGTTAAACCCCATTTCATTTCATTTCATTTTTATCGACCAATCGAGAGGGCGTAGGGAAGTAACTCACATTTTATTGTTACTAAGGTTATTGTGGTGAGTGAAAACAATGATTCGAAGACTGATATGTAATCGAGGGCAGATAATTTGAATTTGTGAAAACACCAATGGATAGACCCGGGGGTTAGTAGAGTAGAACGGAACAATACCAAAGGGGATACCAAGAACTAAGTTGGACAAAGCCAGGAAAAAAATTTAAGCAGATGAGAATTAAAGATCAGCATGATGGATGGAGGAATCCGTTGCAAAGTACAATATTGTGAAAATTGAATCGGCGCTGAAATGATTTCACTTTCGTTCAGTATATACCAAGAATGACCAAATGAACATTCACCATCTTCTACAAAAAGAGACAGAGGTTAACATCCACTTGACACAAACCAGGTCATTTTGGGACTAACATATAATTCGCGTTGGGGTCTTTAGCAGTGGGAGGAAACCAAAGGGCCCGGAGAAAACCGAAGCGGTTGGACAGGCGACCCTACTCCTTGTCACATACAACCAGGTGACCCAACCCCTCTATCTTCTACATATGATATTAACAAGATAAAACTGTTTAAACGTCGGTATACATTAAAACTTTACATTGTCAAATTACGTGCAACAACTAGCAAGCCAGAAATATAACAAGCATGTTGTGAAAATCAAAGCCATTGTTAACCAGTAGAATATCACGTGATGAGTTTTTTTTGTTTGTAAAATGGCAGTTTGTTTGTAGAGATCATTGATGAAAGTCGACTTTTCAAGTCAATATGAAACATAGTTTATTGATAATATTTTAGTTTTTTTGAGTGTTTATTTGACAAATTTGGTCATATTTCATTTTATTCAACACAGCATGCAGGGTCTATATGTAATTACTGAAAGACGATGAAGTTAGACAAGGGACCCTACTCTTGTGATTAAAACCACACCACCCAGTGACACCCGAAACATTAGACGACTCCTAAGATTGTCACGATATGAATATGATTATTGTATTTTTATATATTGTCTAAATAATATAAACAAATAATACCTGACAATAATTGAGCAAAGACTGACCTAAAATAAATCATAATCTACATTTTATTTAAATATGCATTATGCAAGAGCTAAATCTGCCTATTGCAAGTCTTTCTTTAGGCCTGAAATGTTATCTAAATTAGACATTAATAACTTATCAAGACCATAATCAACTCTCGATGCCATCGCTAGCCTATGATATTTCGTGGATTTCAATACATTTTGTACCAACGGTAGTAATATCTCGGTTCAGAGTGAAGCAATATGACTGATATTTTCTGCATACTCTGTTTTTATTATGTATTTTTCAACTATGATAGTGAGAACTGTCAGCTCTTTATCTAAATCTTCGGAGTTAAGTAATTTGACTGAAATTTCAGCATATTCTATTTTTATTATCTATTTTTTAACTATCAAAGCGAGATCTTACATAATGTACCTTTAATGAATATAATCTACAATAAATTTATCGATATATTTTGCTAGTTTAATTAACAACCTATTATGAATATCTATATTTGTAAATTCCATTCTCTCCTCTAAACACACTCACAAAACATAAACACACTCCATTCATAAAACAACATGTGGTATTTATTTCAGTTATTTAAAACAAGAGTACAGTCAATCTGATTCCAATACAGATCTATATTTCACTTCGGTTTTTTTTTATACTTTCGATGGCGTCTACTACATGAAGATCTGACCAGTTGTAGTGGAAGGTCGCATCAGTGGTCATACGAGCGGCTTTTGACTCTATGACATCAGACATTTGATTAACCAATCAGCGATGATGTTTCTAATGGGTTACCCACAGTTCCGTGCACCTCACGCCAAAAACTCGCCATAACAGATCATTTCATTGGCTAATCCCTCACATCATCCAAAATGCGGGTTATATAACAACTCTTTCAGATCATAGTGTAGTAAAGACAAGTAAAACGAAATTTTGAACTATAAAAAACGAAACGAAATAGGATCTGTGTTTTAATCAGATTGGTGTCAGTCTACCATATAAATAATAAATTGCGTATAAGGAAGCGGTATCCTAACAAAGTTATTAAAACAGAAAACGGTTCAAGGAGGTGGCTATAAACAATATTGCCATATATATTAAAATTTCATACATACAATAATCGGATGACAGGGGTCTAATTCTCATAAATATTACTTAAATAATATACAAATCCTGTCATTTGATTGGTCAAGAATTAAAATCCTAGCAGAGATTTTAGATTTCAACCAATGAAATCCTGGATCTGAATTTGTTGTTTTTTGACTGTATCTGATTAAAGAGATGAGAATTAGTGTGTATAATACATGATGATCTATCGTTGTTTATATACAGCATGTTATTTTATCTGTTGTTGAAGATATTGTAAAAACTCATAATAACTCATACTAGACTCGGTTCTATCTTCTATCATATGTTGGTAAAATACATGACGACATTTACTGTCATCTCTGAAATAAATCAATAAATCTATCAATATATCAATCATCAATCAATCCATCAATAAATCAATCAATAAATAAATCTATCGATCAATCAATCAATCAATCAACCTATCAATAAATAACAAGATTTACTGTTGTCTGTAAAATAAATCTATCAATCAATTAATCTATCAATAAATCAATTAATAAACCTATCAATAAATGACAAGACTAACTGTTGTCTCTGAAATAATCAAACATTGAAAACATTCCCACTGTAACCCAGGTATCATTTAATTTTGTGTATTTAGCACTAATTTCTTTCACATTCATCTAATATAAAATCTTTGTTTAAAAATTCGTAAAAATCATGTAAAATCACCAAATATAATAATTCGTAAATGGGTTAATTTTATTTCAATAATTCGCTTGCGCTTAGGGGTCTTTAGCAGTGGGAGGAAACCAGAGAACCGGAGAAACCCACGAGGTTGAACAGGCGACCCTACTCCTTGTCACGTACAACCAGGGATTCGAAACCACACCAGTTGACTCAATGACAGGCCTTATGATACAGCGTGCACATGCTAACCATTCGGCCATCCAACCCCCTTCAAGGAGTGTGCGAACTTTATGATTTAAAAAAATAAACCTTTGTATGTTATTGTACTTACAACATGACCAAGAAAGTTGTATGTTATTGTACTTACCTCATGACTAAGAAAGTTGTACCATTTGGCCGATTATCTAACAAATAATTAACAAAATTACGTAAATTTTCTGACGTTGGATTTTCCATTTCCGGCAGATCGGTCTGAAATAAAGATAGATACATAACAGTTAAATACAAAACTGGCTATCACAAAAAACATTGTTTAATGTCATGAAACTAATTTATTATTAAAATCTTTTTTTGTAGAGGAGCTTCATCTATTTAACTGAGGAGTATGAAATGAAATGAAATGGGGTTTAACGTCCTACTGTTTTGCTCCGACTGGCCTAATGAAGACGGGCCTACACCATACAGCGTGCTATGTGGGAAATTTTGCCTGGGCAGTGGCACTATGACCTACTCTTATATCGAATTCCAACTGCCAAGGGATCTTTTATCGTCCCATCTGAATGACTAGACAGCTGTCCTTGTCAGGCCCTCCTCGATCCTGCACTACTGACAAGGGGAAACTATGTTGGATAATCCTGATGAACTTTCTTGGCCAATGCAGGGATCGAAACATGCGACCACCAGGCTAGCGAGCCAGCCTCTTACCCACTTAGCCACCATGGCTTCCCATTGAGGAGTAATAGATCAACTTATTCCCAAATAACTAGTAATCAGGAAGCAAATAGCAGATCATGACTCGTACTAGTATTACACAATGTTTTTCACTGGGTTGTATTCCTTTTTTTTGTTTTCAAATTTGAGTGAAGTCTCTATCACCACAGGTCTGGGACTGTACAGCGCAGTGGACGCTTACGGCAAGCCCCGGATCCATTCACTTAATCCTTAACCGGTCAACGTCATTTTGACGTTATGACGTCAAGTGGTCAGGCTAAATAAAGGCTGACGTGAAATATTTTGTATGCCTATTTCAATCGACTACTGCCGAATAATTATAAGTGATAGACTCTTAACACCAATAAAAAAGTTGCTGGGGATAAGTTGATCTATAATTTGCAAATCATTCTAAATCCTTTTCATCAGAAATATCGGCTTCAGAATCGGTGTCATCGATATAATCCGATTCGGAATAATTCATAAGTATTTCAACCACTTCGAGCGTCATTAACGTTCCCGACACCGTTAAATTACGTGGCCATATCAATTAAATACGAAACTAAATACTCAAATGGGGCTTATAAAAAAGGTTCTTGCCGTGGTCGACTTTGGTCGACCGTGACCACTTAGCTGTATAACGTTGTGGTGACTATAGTCTACAATGACTGGTTAAGGGTTAATTTGATATGTACGTTCGTTTGTGATTTCTGCGTATTGTGTCTTGTACATATATTTGTTTTGTGTAATTATGTGTGGAGCAGTCCGCCCTGCAGGTTTTTAAAAGATGGTGACTTTTTAACATCACAAAGTTGGCTAATGCCATTAAAGTGGGTAGCGGGGTTGGGTGTCCAAATGGTTTACTTACCATGGTTTCAGGTATAGACATAAAGTTAGGCTTATCTAGAACATTCTGACAGAATTGATCCGACACAGATCCTCCTACGATCATATATACACAATCACCTGTATCCATTAAATATACACCATGACGATCTATATTAGCAGATGACAACTGGATTAAAGGTGGAATATGAACTGATATACCACCTTTTGTTACTGGTGACTGAAATAAAACATATAACAACCATTAGAGTAAGAGAGAGAGAGATTAATGTCCACTGACACAAACTAGGTGATTTCGGGACTAACGCATGGTTCAACTTTATTTCGATAATTTGCTTGCGCGTAGGGGTCTTTAACAGTGGGAGGAAATTGGAGGACACAGAGAAAACCCACAAGGTTGAACAGGTGACCCTACTCCTTGTCAAGTACAATCGAAACCACGCCAGCTGACTCCATGACAGAACTTATGATTCGCCCATCCAACCCGACACCAGGTCAGTAATACTTGAATTTCAATAAATGTTTTATATAAACGTACCTTCTCATCAAGGGCATGTACTGGGTATAAATGTGGGTATATAAACGTACCTTCTCATCAAGGGCATGTACTGGGTATAAATGTGGGTATACAGACTGCAGGAGGTAGGAGATGGGTAGCACTTTAAACTGTTGTAACGCAAATACACGGTCATCTGTCTTCGTACTGGCTGTTCCTTTAAACGCCATCTGTAATTAGAGAATAGATATAAATCATGTGATCAACAATAATACCCAGTCCCCAAAACTCAAATCATGTGATCAACTATAATACCCAGTCCCCCAAACTCAAATCATGTGATCAACTATAATACCCAGTCCCCCAAACTCAAATCATGTGATCAACAATAATACCCAGTCCCCCAAACTCAAATCATGTGATCAACGATAATACCCAGTCCCCCAAACTCTAATCATGTGATCAACAATACCCAGTCCCCTAAACTCAAATCATGTGATCAACTATATAATCCAGCAATTATCAGATATCGCTGAAAATCAATAGGATTCTTTGTCTCATGACCTTAAACACTGTGTATAAAATTAAAGTCAATCGGATATTAACTTTAACCTCTAGAGCATCCACAAGTAATTGTGGACGCCGTCCGGACAGAGGCGACGACAATATACGACCACATTTCAATGTGGGCGTATAAAAATGGAACGATATATAGATCTGTATTCTAATCAAATTGTAAAATTGTCCTACTCTTTCTTGGGAGGAAAAATCAATCTTAAGACAACATTTTCTCAAAATCTTCTAAATTTGGAGTTTTTAAAATTTTCAATTAAAGAATAAATTGCTTGAGTTGAACAACTTACACTTTTTAACAGCGATAAAATAAAGAGGGGGATAACTCTCAATGTAAATGGTAATATTAACGATCCAATCTTCTGTGATGCGGGTATTTGGCTCATATATGCTCCTAGACTATCAACAGCTGCGTTCATCAAGGCATCTCTAGCATCACCCATAGAAGATGTCAACGTTCTGTCAACAGCTGTAAATAATAAAATATTAATCTTTTAGTGGCATTTAGCTGAAAACTCTGAGATTTTAAGAATTTATTATAGCATTAAAACCATATTTAAAATACAGATGTGACGTCATCCTTTGATGTTTGATGTTGGCATACCATTATTTCCAATAATGTACGGGCAACTTGCCAATCGTACATTATCTATACTAGATGAAATATTGGACTCACGTGACATATTTCATTGAAAAGTACGTGGGGAATAGTGTCTGTATTTTAAGTTATGTAATGGTTTCGAGCAAAAAATATTAAACATTATAATTTATACATTGTTTCAGTGGTTACACTGAATAGCTTCCATATTGAGATAGAGAGGTCATTTCGGGACTAACATATGGTTCAATTTAATCAATAACCGAAGGACACAAAGCAAACCCACAAGGTTATGAACCATAAGGCCAATAAACCAGTCTATTACAGCGAGTTTTTGGAGTGAGGTGCACGCAACTGTAGGTAACCCACTAGAAACATCAACACTGATTGATTAATCGAATGTCTGACATCATAGGGTCAAAAGTCGCTCATATGACCTCTGACGCAACCTTCTACTACAACGGGTCAGAACTTCATGTAGTAGAAGCCATCGAAAAAAATTAAAAACGAAAAAAAAAAAAAAAAAATGAAATATAGATCTGGTTCCTGTTTCACGAAATTTTACCTAAGATAAAATCCAAACTTTAGTAATTTGATTGAATAATATTAGATTGATTATAGTGCTTAGCCAATCAAAATTGAAGTATCTACTAAAATTGGATTTTATCTTTGGTTAAGATTTCGAGAAACAGGGTCCTGAGCTTTAAGAGTAACTTAAAAACATATTCCTTTCAAAAATGTTTTTGAACTGTTTTGTTGTGAATGTGCTAAGAAACACTCATGTGTAATGAAGTGCTATATATAAATTGAAAAATAATACATGTAATAATATGGTACGGTCAGAGGTCGCAGTGGATCAATTTCGAGTTGCGTAAAAATATGCAGACATTCCAAAATTTTGCGTTTTTGCCCTCTACATCTGCGTGAAGAGCCTCTCAAAATACTCAATATAGAAGCATGTAAAGTCGTTTTGTGAACAACCCTATTTTAAACGTCCTTATTTTATTGATATGCCTACTGTATTTAGTCTAATGATGACTGGAGGTTAACGCAGGGCTCAAATTAGCGGGCGACGTGGGCGAAATAGTCGCCTAACCCATTGATGACTTCGCCCTAAAAGGCAATAGGGCGAAGTTGAAGTTGCCCTCACTTCGCCGTACATTTGTGCAAGGGCGAAGTAGGTAACAGGCATCGATATCAACGGTAAACAAAGCATTTTCAAAACAACACAACACGTGTTCGCAGTGTGAGCTTCAAAGGAAAACTGAAAATTAAACAAGTTGTGAAAAGCAAAACATGTATTAATATTTTGTTTTTCGACTTTCTCTGTGTTGGCTGTGACAATGTTTAATAGTTTCAATAATAACCATGGTATTTGATGTCAACAGGAAATAAAATTCTTTAAAATAAAGCGAAGGAATCGAATCATAAATCTCCGTTACAACCTCTGGCTTCGTCTAGAAATAACAGATAATCAAAAGCTGCGATGGCCAATATGGCGGGGGATACGATATTTTTCATGTATTTCTGTCTTATAAGAATAGACAAAGTACTAAATTAGTCCTTCTTTGAAATAATTTAATAATAAAAAGAATAATAAACATAAAACTTGTGACTGAAAGGTGACGAAAGGTGTACATTGTTGTGTCAACATGGTACAGTCAATAAAGAACAACACGTGTGACGAGTGAAAATAGCGTTGGCGAACATTTCTGTAGACGGATGGAGATATTAAAACAATTGTTATCAGAAAGATTACAACATGTATTTAGAATGTGTTGATAGGTATAATGTCGGGTTGATAATTAAATCTACGTCGATATTATTAGTTCCACTAATCTAAACACATAAACGTAAAACAAAGAAGGTAAGTGAGTGGTGTGTCAAAACAATAATTAAATTTCATCATATACATTGTCGTACTACGTAACAATATGACTATCCTATTGTGAAAGGTGCTAAAACAATCACACAATAGACCCAGGACTAGTAATTAAATGTATTTAGGCACGAAAGGGTATAAATATTGATGTATTTGATAGAGGGGTATCACAAATCTTATTTGTATTGCTAAAGTCAAGTCTGGCTTAGTACTAGTATTATGTAATTTATTATAACAGTAACTTTGATACCAGTAAGAGTATGATGACATACTGAAATAAATATATGTGTGCAGCTAAACGATGTATGTTTATTTATTTAGCATATTGACTGTGTAAAGACTTGGTAAGATTGGTTGCAGCAATGCATGAAATATGACCTCTCCTTCAAGTCTCCCTCACTTCTCCCTATTCTGTCTGTAGGGAGAAGTCACTTCTCCCTAAAATTTGTCCCTAGTTTGAGCCCTGGGTTAACGGCATGTCTACGATTGACGACACAGTCATTTCAATCTTTCACTTCAACAGGACGTAAAGAGAAAACTATCGCTATGAAAGCCAACATTTGATTGGCTGAATGTAATTGCTTCCAATAGGATAGCTACGTATAGGCTTACTGCCATGAACTTATGAATGAAATAAGAGGAAATATAAAAAACTACGGAGACTACGTACAGTAGAGGTGTGTAAATGCCGGATGAAGCACATAAATTGTACAAACTACGACATAGAATAATCTAATTATTCTCACGTCGGGGAAATTTTCTGCGTGTAAATTACGCAGCGTCCGTCAATATTTGCATTTATTTTGAAAAAAATGTGTGAAATCCGCGGATTTTTGCGTGACTGCGACCTCTGGGTACGGTCATACTTGGTCATATTTGGTATAATATAAATTATTTTTACCCATTTTTGAGAGAAGCCCTATTATAGCTTGTTGATCAGCACTGCCGTAAACATCTGATATCTGATTGGTCACAGGTAAACATAAAGTATGGACACGAATTCTTCTTTCACCTACAACATAATAACAGGTATATCTTGTTCAATATAGATATAAAATGGGGATTAATGTCTGCACCTACTAAGTTAATGAAGAAAAAACTTCTCAGATGGCTGTCAACTCAATAATATATTATCAAGGGGATCTTTAACGTGCTGTCAACTCGACATATTGTCAAGGTGCTGCCAAAAGTCTACTTGTGACAGATAACATATGGTCATTATTATGGACAAGGTGAAGGATTTGATAAATAAGGAGAGTTATATTATTAGTAAAGAGAGCGAGTCCTTTCATTCATAAGGCAGTGATACTTAAAGAGTCTATATAGCCAGGACTTCATTCTAAATAGCATACACTGTAACCCTGGTTATCATTTAATCTTGTGTATCCAGCACTAATTTCTTTCACATTCATTCAATATCTATTCTTTGTTTAAAAATTTGAAAAGATTTAATATTAAACGAATGTGAAAGAAATTAGTGCTAGATACACAAGATTTAATGATACCTGAGTTACAGTGATAGTTGCATTATTACTTTAGGCTTTTTATCCGTTAATCATATTATGGAAATAAATTTTCAGCTGAATGGTGCTTGATACAAAAAATCTCTCCTTGATTCAGATTCTGGAGCTCGATATCGAATCCCTTAAAAACAAGAAGAAGAAGAAGACTACGAACCTTTACTGGATGTATAGAGTAAAGCAGCTTGAAAACAGACGTTTGAACATTCCGTTAGTGTATCTTCTATAGACATCTGCATACCAAACCCAGCATCAGGATTTATATTAGGTAACGATAATAAATCAGTTGATCGCACGAAGAAATTACCATGGAAGGTATGAATACTTAATCCTGTAATTAATAAACTTATAATAACATCAGAAATACAACCTTAAACAATATAACTTTAACTTATTTGTTATAGTTTCTAAACTGCTCTACAAATTTGAATGCAAATGAAATGGTGTTTAACGTCCTACTGTTCTACTCCGACAGTAGGGCTGATGAAGACGGGCATACGTCATCAAGTGTGCTATGAGGGAAATTTTGCCCGGGCAGTGGCACTATGGCCTACTCTTATATCAATTTCCAACTGCCAAGGGATCTTTTTTACATGCACGCCAATGTGTGCACAGGACCTCGGTTTTTCGTCCCATCCAAACAACTAGACAGCTGTTCTTGTCAGGCACTTCGTCTTGCACCACTGGCAAGAGGAAACCACGTCGGACAATCCTGATGAACTTTCTCTGCCAGTGCAGGGATCGAACACGCGACCTCCAGGCTAGCGAGCAGGGTCTCACCCACTTAGCAATCGTGTCTCCGAATGCAACAATTGGGCTAATGAAGATTGACAGTCTTTACAACCATGGTCCAGAACCTCTTGGTCCAGAACCTCGTAGTTTGTGAGCTAGTTCCTTACTCACTGAGCCACCGTGGCTCCCTCCATCACTGAGCCACCGTGGCTCCCCCCATCACTGAGCCACCGTAGCTTCTCGTGAGATTACCCAGACAAAAACCTGATTAACTTACCTCTTGTACATCTTATTCTCATTACTGATTCAAATCCAATCTTTCTCGTTAAATATCGACGTAAATCAGCTTCATATTTATCTGATAACGCTGTATTTTTTATTGTGTGGAATGATGGGTAATAATAAATACAACCCGCCGAATATTTTGATATACAAGCTAAAAAGTGATAAAAAAAAAAAAATGTTAATAAACAAATTCATTATTTTTAAAGTATAAAAATATAAGCACATGAAAAACAAGCTAACAGTGAGGCCATGTCAATCGCTAAAATTTGAAAATAAACAGATGACAATCATTAAAACTTGCACATTTTTGAATTTACTTTTGATTACAATAATTTGATGATGTCAAGATCAAAACCAATCTGATTAAAATACAGATCTATATTTCGTTTCGTTTTTTTATACTTTCGATGGCCTACACTACATAAAGATCTGACCAGTTGTTTTGGGGGGTCGCATCAGAGGTCATACAAGAGGCTTTTGACCCTATGACGTCAGACATTTGATTAAGCATTGATGTTTCTAGTGGATTACCGACAGTTCCGTGCAGCTCACGCCAAAAGCTCGCTGTAACTGAACTTTTCATAGGTTAATCCCTCACATCTACTAGAACGTGGGTTATATAACAACTTCCAGATCCTAGTGTTGTGAAGACAAGTAAAACGAAATTTTGAACTATAAAAAAACGAAACGAAATAGGATCTGGACCGACATAACCCTGAATGAAAGAGGGATATTGAAATAGGCTACCGTCCATCTGTCTGGAGCTACATCTAATACACATCTTTATAAAGCTATCTAATTAAGAAATATGTGAATTTAACAATGTTTCCATGGAAACCTAGAGTCTTCTTATTTTATTACTTACATATAGATGCCATGTCAGCATATTGTCCGTTTAACATAAATAAATCAACAGCCACTTGTTGAGCGGAACAATCTAAAGCTAACTTCTTATAAAAATCTGTTGCTGGACCAAGATGTGGGATGTTCTGGAAAAAATACAAAACAAACATGATCATCGACTAAATCTATTTGTTAAGGCCAGCTCAACTTTTATCTCTCTCCCTCCCTTGTTGGCATTAGATCTATTTTGCCTGTTAGCGTATCTCCAATTCATTAATAGTGCATAAAATATCTCTTACAAAAAAATAACCGAAAAAAAATAACCATTTCATTGAAAAGAATGAATGAACAAACATTACTGTAAAGATATGTTAATATGGCTAAATCTATTTGTTAAGGCCAACTTAATTTTTATCAAGGTCACTGAGATTTAAATAAGGTTAGGGCATGTGATTGTTGGCGAGATTGTAGGTTAGGGTTAGGGTAAGCATTAGGTGTAGGTCCAGTTAGGGTTAGGGTTGGGATTAGCGCTAGCCCTGTTTACATCTCGTGACCTATGACGAAAAATTGAGCTGGCCTTATCATTTAGCACTAATCCATGATCATCAATGCTACCATCTTGTCGACATGCTTTTTAAGTTTTCAATTTTCGTGCCAAAATCCACAAACACGCTCATAAAAAAATTTTCATTTGTCAATCAAAATTTGGGGGGAACATTATCAAATTATTTAATTAATGCAAAATGTCAATCATAGATAATCTTTTACCTTAGATTCAATCACATTAAAACAAGATCCATTAAAAGTGTCATTTATTGTCTGCAGAAGATGCCAAACACAGAAATTTTTCATATCTTTTGAAACACTTTTGCAGTGATATTTGTTTTAGAGCATCAACTTTCATAATATTGGTTTTTTGTTGGATCCCTCAAATGATGTTCGGAGAGATTTCAACAATTATTGAATTTAAGAAGAACCATTATTAAATGTAACCAATTATTAAAATGCTACGAAGAATAATCTAAAAATATTCTGTTTATTCTCCATTAAATATTTAAACTTACCTTAGCTGATGTTTGAGGGGTTGCTTCACGTAATTGTAAAGCTCCTTGACCAACGGTAGGTAAAACGGTCTGCATCACGGTTATACGACCCCCTGTGGGACTCTACAATATATAAAAATATAGTTTTACAACCCCCTGTCGGACTCTACAATATATAGAAATATAGCTATACGACCCCCTGTATTAAAATATAGGGTTACAAACTCCCTGTCTTACCAAATAAATTAAATAAAACATATTACCAATAATAATCAACTTTAATTTAGATTAGAGGTGGGCATGTGTCTGATATTATTGTACAACTTACAAATAGACACATTATTAATCCCTGTAGGGGAATCACAGACAATTAAAGAAGGGCACACTGGTATTTTTCGATCATTATTATTATTACGTGCAGTGTGCCACTTGGAATGGTCAAATGTACCATATGGAATGGCCGAAAATGCCAGAGTAGGTTGGCCATCCCGATCAAGATGGATGTACTGTATGGGACAGTCTTTTTTTTCACCTCTACTTTTTTTCTTGGATCAATTCAAACTTTTTTTTTATTCAGGGGAGACTACTCTGTGATTTTGACATCCAAGCTATATTATCTCCCCTTAGACCACAAGATTAATCAATCTACAACACTATCCTAGCACACCTCTTTCAAAAAGAAATATTATTGTTAACCTTTTCATTATGTGAGGCCTGGTCAATCAACACTAGAAACCATGGTAATAAACCATATAATATAGTCAGAATACTGGTGCAGTGTTTCATGTACAAAGTTTGAAATAAAACCAATCTGATTAAAATACACATCTATATTTCGTTTCGTTTTTTTTATACTTTCGATGGCCTACACTACATGAAGATCTGACCAGTAGTAGTGGGAGTTCACGTCAGGGGTCAAATGAGCGGCTTTTGACCCTATGACGTCAGACATTGATTAATCAATCAGCGTTGACGTTTCTAGTGGTTTACCCACAGTTCTGTGCTTTAAAAGGCCAAGAACTCGCCGTAACAGACCGTTTCATTGACTAATCCCTCACGTCATTCAGAACACTTCAATGATAACAACTCTTCCAGATCCTAGAGTGTAGTGAAGACAAGTAAAACGAAATTTTGAACTATAAAAACGAAACGAAATAGGATCTGTGTTTTAATCAGATTGAAATAAAATGGGGTTTTCACTTTTGCCTTTCATATTTCCAATGACAAGATACCAGGCCCTCGTTAATGCAAACATGACCAAGGGGGAAACCAGGCTAAAAAGGTTCAAGGAACTTTAACCAGGGCCTTGCTGGTAAGCGAGTCAGCTTATATACCTCCACAGTGACTCCTGTGTGTCTGAATGGATTTATTTGATATCTGTATCTATAACTTACAGTTAATTTATAGCCTGCCTGTAAAGCGGCACCCAAGGCACTTCCTGTTTCTGTGTTTCCTTCGAATAACGTTGGCAACTGATTTAATAAATCTATGACTAAATCTTTACTCTCGTGTAAATTCACCAATAGTTCATCAGGTAAGGGTAAAAATACATCTAAAATAAATAAATTAAACAGTTCATTAAAATATATTACACAGTTTATTAAAACAATAAATCAAAAGAGAGAGAGAGAGTGAGAGAGTGAGAGAGAGAGAGAGAGAGAGAGAGAGAGAGAAATGGGGTTTAACGTCCACTTGATACAAACTCAGTCATTTCGGGACTAACACATGGTTCAATTCTATTTCAATAATTCATTTGCATATAGCGGTCTTTAGCAGTGGGAGGAAACCAGAGGACTCAATGACAGATCTTACGATCTAACTCCCTTGTATACAGTCTAATAATATAATGCGATGACAATGCTCCAGACTAGAAAATGAAATGAAATGAAATGGGGTTTTACGTCCTACTGTTCTGCTCTGACTGGGCTAATGAAGACGGGCATACGACATACAGCGTGCCGAGGGATATTAGGCCTAGGTACCAGCACTATGACCTACTCTTATATCGAATTCCAACTGTCAAGAGATCTTTTACTACTAGACAGCTGTCCCCCGTCCTGCATCACTGATATAGGGGAACCACACCAATGCAGGGATGGAACCTCGAGGCTAGAACTTACCATCTAAATCTGGAACAATTAACATCTGTGGTTGCGATAGACCTTCTGCTAGGTTAAAGAAATACAGGGATCTATCATACGCCAGAAACCCGATCTGTGTTCTCGAATCACCTGGTATTTTATCTATTTCTTCTAATAATGTTTGGCAGAACAGATTTAAATAACCTGAAATTAAATTAAAAAAAGTTCCATCCAAAATAGAATCTATGTTTACTGACCAGAGAGAAAGAAACACAATTAGGTCATTTTGGTACTAACATATAGTCCAGGTTCAATATTATTTCAATAATTCGCTTGCGTGTATGGGTCTTTAGCAGTGGGAGGAAACCAGAGAACCTGGAGAAAACCCACAAGGTTGGTCAGGCGGTCCTATTCCTATTTATGTACTAGCTTGGAATCGAAACCAAACCACCTGACTCAATGACAGGTCTCATGATCTAAAGCACACGCATTAGACCAGTGATCATCCTCTAGAAGAACCACAAGCAAAAACGCGATTTTTCGTAAAGTCAAGGGCAATAATATAGGAAGTTACGATCCCATATGCGCGAATATCGAAAGGCACCAAGATCTTTTGGGTTATAAACATGTATTTCAAGTTTCATCAAAATCAGATCAAAATTGTGTTCTCGAGAGTGTACACAAGCTAAAAAAAGTTATTTTTCATACAATCAGGGGCCATAATCCATGCAGTTATGGTCCGATACATGCCTATATCGAATTGTCAAAATCAGATCAAATTGTGACCTCTAGAGGGTCCACAACCTTGATATACCATATTTTTACACTAGTTGCGTACCATCCCAAACTTAGGCTGCCTATCTACAGTTAGCTCCGGCTAAAGTATTTACTTCTCTTCTATTGTCATATTGAATGAAATTAAATATGTTTATTTAGCCGCTGTGTGTATGAAAGATGTCATGCTAATCAAAGCAGAATCATAAAATAGTCCTATTCAATATGGCGGCGCCCATGAAACATAATTTCACAGAGGCGGTTTTGTTTGCGAAAACAAATTTAGGAGTATCTAACCTTGTTTTGAAAGATAAACAGATAGAAACTCTAAAGACAGTTTACAATGGTAAAGAATTTATTGCAATATTACCCATAGCACATATTATATATCGCTTTTACGCGAGTGTCAGCGACATGGCGTGTTTACATAAAACACAGTTGCTTGGGTTATTTTTACTCTGTTGCCTAAACAAAACGGTGTCTAGTCGATAAGTCCCGCCCCAAAATGATCACGTGAGCGTTTTAAATGGCGGGTAATCAGGGCAGTGTCACATTCTGGGAAATATGACGTAGATGGCTTGCTGCGTGCATTATGGTTGCGTACGAGGGGCGACCATTTTGTCCAGCAGTTTTGTTCCAATTTTCAACCATCATTACGGTGTAACGGTGATATAGCAACACACATCATGTTTGATTTTAGGTTTTGTAAAGATACATTACAAACAATAAATCAACTTACCAGTTTCTATAGCATTGAAAGACACGTCTAATAGATATAAATATACAGCAGGTTGAGGGGGTCTTAACTAAAATAATAAATAAATATACACAATTAAAGATACATTATGTAAGATGTAGATAGACAGCTGGAAGTTCTTGTTATAACAGTTCAAAAATAGATAATCAAAAATAAATATAATGAGCAAAGTTATAACTGTTTGAAGACATAGCGGAGATCATTTATTATTGCAGAAATGGTACATGACAACCAATACTTAGCCTCAGTTGTCCATTTTATCGTTATAATTTTAAATCATGTGTGTGTTCAAATCCATTTAAATCTCTGCCATCCGATGATCTAGAGAGCTGATTAGAGGATTGTCCTGTTAATAAATGGCTAACTAATATTTTATATTATATTTGAAGCCAAAATAAAGACTTTCAATAGGCAGATTTATAGCTCCTGTATAATCTACGTTTAATACATTAAATTTAAAATTGATCTAATATTCGTTCAAAAGATTACAGGTGTTGGTAGCATATATATGGTGTATGCTTAACTTCATTAGCCCAGGCAGAGCAGAACCACTGTGGCGCCACTAAATGTGTATATATGTACTTACCATATATTCTGAAGGAGCTATAAATTCTATGGTAGCTGAGCGTATTTCTGGTCGTCTCTGAGGATCCCCGTATGTTTTAGTAACGGGATCAAAAGTAAATTCTTCTGGTACTGAAAAAATAACCAATAAAATATGAGTATTCTATATGCTATGTTTTTTCCATTCAAGAAAGAAGAATTTAGCCCAGACGGTGCCACTTACAACTGGCTTTATATTTTCTAATAGATGTATGACTGATTATATATGTGATGGAGAAGAAGGTTGCCCAGACAGTTAAAGCTGGTTTTAAATACTCTATTAATTCAGTGGGAGGAACAGGAGGACCCGAACACGTACACACCTTATGAAACAACACGCTCGTTAACCATTCGGCCATCCCTCCAACCCCTATTAATTAAGGATATAAATGGTTACTCGTATAACAGATCTGGTTCCGTTATAAAACTACTAGCCGATATTCCTTATATCATATCTGTCCTTCAAATCAAGAATTGAAATATAAATTTTTGGCACCATCTGGACTACTGAACACTGACACAACATCCAGTGTACAATTAAGGGAATTTTGCCTAGACACCCTTCTCTCCATCGAATTACAACAGACACAGGTTTCTTTATTTGCACACCATTGTGTACACAGGGCCTCATATAATTATTTACTCGCCCAAATAACAAGCGGAAACCAGGTCGGAAATTTCTAATGAGGTTTAACGTAATGCTGTTCTACTTCGACTGAGCGAATGAAGACGGGCATAAGCCATGCAGTGAGCTCCATGTATGAGGGAAATTTTGCCCGGAAAGCGGCGCTACTGCCTACTCATATATCGAATTCCAACTGCCAAGAGATCTTTGACCTGCACACCAATGTGTACACGGAAACTTGGTTTGAGTTTCGAGGATGTGAATATGGTTTATGACCCTTGATATACAACATGGATGGAGTTATTACCCCTGACTGATACAATATTGATGCAGTTATCACCCCTGACTGATACTACATAGAGAGAGTTATCACCATTGACTGATAAAACATTGATGAAGTTATCACCCCTGCCTGATACAACAATGATGGAGTTATTGCCCTTGATACAAAATTGATGGAGTTATCACCACTGATTTATACAAAATTGATAGAGTTATCACCCCTGTCCGATACTTACAATCATTGACTCTATAACACAAGTTACATTTCCATCGTCTCTGATCCACAAAATGTACGTATGGATTAATATAAGTTCGACACGATCGACATCGTACTATCACACTCGATTGAATCACAGGTAATTGCTGAAATTACAAAATAAAAACCATTTAATTGAGAACTATGGTTTATTCTCAATCAGAGAGATGCAGAAAGTACAAAACATCTTCAATGGATTATAGATAATGTCTTCCATGATTTATAGATGTCACCCATGCTTTATAGATAATATCACCCATGCTTTATAGATAATGTCACCCATGCTTTATAGATAATGTCACCCATGATTTATAGATAATGTCACCCATGATTTATAGACATCCCTGCTTTATAGATAATGTCACCCATGCTTTATAGATAATGTCTTCCATGCTTTATAGATAATGTCTTCCATGATTTATAGATAATGTCATCCATGATTTATAGATAATGTCTTCCATGATTTACAGATAATGTCAAGGACAACATATCGCCAATGGCTTATAGATAATGTCAAGTATAACATATCTCCTATCGCTTATACATGTACATGTAGTTACTGTCAAATGCAAATTCAGACATCATCCCTTGGCATCATCCCTTGACATACATTATTATCTGAACACACCTAGCCAGGGCAGACAGCTAGCTTATATGATTTAATGTATGTCAGAATGAAGTAAAGTGGACGTATATTTTAATTTATTCATGTATTTATCTACCGTAAACAAAGAAGTACTTGTATTTTATCTACTTTAATATATATATATATATACAGTTATTGCAGGAGAACCGAAACCAGACATAAACAACCCGATAACCAGAAAATAAACTTCATTTTTTTTGTAAACTATTTTATTTCAAATTTATGAAAAGGGATTTATGAGTCGTTCAATTTTTTTAATGGGATATATTGCTTTCTCTCTATTTTAAACTACTTGTAAAACAAAATCTCTATTTATTACCACATAACCAGAAAAAATTGGAATAATACATTTAAGTGTTATGTAACATTCTAAGATGATATCAGATAAAATAACTGTGGGTTTTAATTTATTATCATCCTGTAGCAGACAAGTATAAAATCATCTGTAAGTGGCATTTAGTAATTGAGAAATAAAACTTAAATCTTAATGGTAACAATCACTGGTTTTATTTATATAAGCACTTTTCAACCAGTGTCCTCTTATCATTATTGTGTTTAGGGTTTAAAGTCCTACTGTTCTGATCCGACTGGGCTAATGTAGACAAACCATACAGTGTGTCATGAGGGGAAATTTTGCCCGGGCAGTGGCACTATGGCCTACTCTTATATCGAATTCCAACTGCCAGGAGATATTTTATGTGCACGTCGATGTGTACCATGGGACCTTGGTTTCTCGACCATCTGAACGACTAGACAGCTGTCCTTCTCAGGCCCTCAGTCCTGCATCACTGACAAGGGGGAAATCACGCTGGAAAATCCTGATGAACTTTCTCGGCCAATGGACATGTGACCTCCAGGCTAGCGAGCCAGCATCTTACCCACTTAGCCACCGTGGTTCCCAAGACGATAAAAGGATACTTGTTGAAACGTTGTGTTTATATAATAAAACCAATGATGGTTTCCCATCAATATTTCTGTGTAAAACCTGGGTCGTGTTGAATGAAGTACATTGAAAACTCACATAATTTATTACATGTTAATGTGATCAACTTATTCATGCGTGCATGATCGACGTTATGAATGGTTTATACAACAAGACCCAGTAATAGTAAAATATGTTTATGGCTATAACAGGTGTTTTAAAGTTATGACAAGCGTTATTCTACTAGCGAAAGAAGAGAGAGAAACTGAGGAAAGGAAGAGAAGGAATAGTAGCTATTTAGTATAAACGTCAAAATAATAAACTATAAACCTCATTTCAAATTCTCGAATGTGATTAAAACACAGATCCTATTTCGTTTCGTTGTTTATAGTTCAAAATTACGTTTTACTTGTCTTTACTACTATAGGATCTGGAAGAGTTGTTATATTACCAGCGTTGTGATTGGCAGGAGAGATTACAGAGAGAGAGAGAGAGAGAGAGTTTAACATCCACTCGACACAAATTAGGTCACTTCGGGACTAACACATGGTTCAATCTTATTTCAATAATTCGCTTGTGCGTAGTGGTCTTTAGCGATGGGAGGAAATCGGATGACACAGAGAAAACCCATGAGGTTGGACAGGCGACCCTACTCCTTGTCACGTTCAACTGGGGAATCGAAACCACCCAAGTTGACTCAATAACAGACCAATTGGCCATCCAACCCCTGGAAACGAAATAGGATCTGTGTTTTAATCAGATTGTAATTGAACCATTGTTGGATTGATATTTCTTTTCGAGATTCAACTTTTATAATATTCTCCTATTCCTCAATTACTCAAATAAAATGGAGAGACTTAAACTACAAGACAGGTCTGAGTATAAGCACAACTCTTAAAGTAATATATAATATATAATATATAATTTATAATATATAATATATAATATAACAAGACAGGATGAGTGTAAGTAATTATAATATTGAAGTTCTACTACAAGACCCAAGAAACATCTGACATCTTATAAAAATACATATAACTTCAATCTAACTATTCTAACAAAACATAATCAGTTTGAGACCCCACCCCACCCCACCCCCACCATCTCCATCTCCGTCTTTATGAGCCCAGTTGGAACAGATCAATGAAATGGGGTTTAACGCTGTACTGTTTCACTCTGACTCGGCTAACGAAGACGGGCATATGCAATACAGTGTGCTGTGAGGGAAATTTTGTCTGGACAGTGGTGCTACTGCCTACTCTAAAATCAAATACCTCGGGTTTTCGTGTCATCCGAACAACTATATGTTGTCTAGTCAACTGTTACTCCCTCGGAGCAGAGCAGCAGGACGTTCAATTTTATTTCCACAGACCTCTGATATCTTAATGTGACCAAGGCTAAAGTAGAGTTAAGTTTTACGGAGAAGTGACTTTTCTTTAATTGTTCAAACTAGGTCGTTTCGGGACTAACAAATAGTTCAATTTTATTTCAATAATTAGCTTGCTCGTAGGGATCTTGGTTGGACAGGTGACCCTACTCCTCGTCACATACTACAAGCGGAGAATCAAAACCATGCCACTTATCATCTAACATGCACACGTTAAGCCATTCAGCCATCCAACACCCCCAGATACATATGACCTATTTTAAATATCCACACAAGGCATGCATAGTGACAAATTTTACTCAAATCGCTTTCATGTTTATTGTTATGTTTTGTTAGATCAGGTTAGACAGACGTTGTATGTAAAACTTGTAATTGGATCCTACACCCTGTATATATTATATACTACTCACATTATCTGATTCAATCTCCTACAATAATTATTTATATATATTCTCATCAATAATTCCATAAAAATATCTATATCTATCAGAGAAAGAGAGAGAGAGAGAGAGAGGGGACATAACCCATTTCAATATCCTTCCCATTATTCTATCTTGTTTAAAACTAAAATTTAATCAACTGAGCCCTTCAATAGAGAGAGAGAGAAATGGGGTTTAAGGTCCACTCGACACTAACTAGGTGATTTTGGGACTAACACATGGTTCAATTTTATTTCAATAATTCGCTCGAGCTTAGGGGTCTTTAGCAGTGGGAGGAAACTGGAGGACCCGGCGAAAACCCACGAGGCTGGACAGGCCTTGTCACATACAACTGAGGAATCCAAACCACACCACTTGGCTCAATGACAGACCTTATGATACAGCGTGCACGTGCTAACCATTGGGCCATCCAACCCCCTTATTCTAAACATATCGAAGTTATGATTATTTGAAATTTCTCATTCATACTATTCTGAGTTAGTTTTGGTTAGATCTATTAGTATATAGTGTAGTTCAAATGCTTGTCGAGCTGTGTTAAATGTAACTAGATCTTGTACTAATGATATGCAAGCCGTATAAAAGTCTATGGGTAGTTTTATCTCAACGCCAGATGTTTCACTGTAATAATCATTGTCATTGTTCAGTGGTTGACATTTAAATATTTTTTATTTATGATCCAATTCATACTAAACTCATTAGATTTAGACGATAATCACATAGTTGTGTTGTTAAAAAAAGTTTAAAATTTAGAGAATTCTAAATATTGTCTGGGAATATATTATGGCTAAATATTGTCTGGGAATATATCATGGCTAAATCAAACACACTGTGAAATACTGTGAATAAAGATGGCTTGCCAGGCAACGAAACATAAACCTACAGCAGCTAAGTTGTCCGAGAGGTCCATAAAAATCGACCCATTTTTACAGAATAATTCATTAAGATATTGTTATGTGGAACAGTAATAAAGATGGGTTGCCAGGACACAAAACATATGCAGCTAAGTGACACAAAGTGTCCATAAAGACTAACACATTTTTATGGTTTTGTAGTTAATGGGAGCATTTACACAACACTAAAAGGGGAGTCGCGGTGTCTAAGTTGGTAAGATGCAGGCTCGCTATCCTGGAGGTAGCATGTTCGATCCCTGCATTGGCCGAGAAAGTCCATCTGGATTTTCTGATGTGGTTCCGCCTTGTGAGGAAAGAGGTTCCATGTATACATAGGCGTGGAGATCGCTAGGAAGTTGGAGTTTGCCCAGGCAAAATGTCCCCCTTAGCACACTGTATGGCGCATTCCATGTTAAACCCCATTTCATTTCATTTTTGACACTAAAACTGATCAAGGGCAACAACTCATGAAGGAGTTATCAGAAATGACTATAAACACTGTGTATAAATTTCAAGTAAATCAGTTGATAATTTTAACCCAAAAGTTATTGTGGATGACAAACAGAGAGAGAGAGAGAGGGAGCTCAGAGAGAGAGAGAGAGAGAGAGAGAGAGAAATGGGGTTTAATATCCCCTCGACACAAACTAGGTCATTTCAATTTTATTTCAATAATTCGTTGCTTGCACGTAGGGGTCTTTAGCAGTGGGAAGAAACCAGAGGGCCCAGAGAAAAACTACGAGGTTGGACAGGCGACTCTACTCCTTGTCACGTACAACTGGGGAATCGAAACAACGCCAGTTGACTTAATGACAGACCTTATGATACAGTGCCCACGTGCTAACCATTCGGCCACCCAACCCCCCTGGATGCCAAACAGACAGACAGGAGTGACGACAATATACATTAACCACAATTCAAAATCTTGTTTCATTAAAATCATGACATTGAATAGACTTTAACACTAACAAATACTCAACTATTCAAACTACTAATAAAATAAACATTAATTACAACCAAAGTAACAAAGTTTACACAGAAAAGTTTAAACATTCAAAGCTTTATCTTTATACCTTGTGACATTAAAAAGAAACGAAATACATAATAATTCACTTACGGAAAGGTCCTTAAAGGGATGAATAAGGATTCCTAATGGTAGCCGTGCCTTATTCAATAATGTAGATGTCTGAGGCATCGCGTTTAATGTACACCGAAACACACTGAAAATAAAAACATTACAAGTCTCATTTCAACCAACTATTTACATTTCTGAGAACTATTATTACAGGGAAATCATAAAAATAAATTTAGTTTACATTTCAAACCCAAGGACAGAGAGAGAGAGAGAGAGAGAGAGAGACTCCACTTGAAACAAACCAGGTCATTTTGCGACAAACATATGGTTCAATTTTATTTCAATAATTCGCTTGCGAAAAGGGGTCTTTAGCAGTGGGAGGAACCGGAGGACCCAGAGAAAACCCACAGGGTTGGACTGACGACCCTAATCCTTGTCACGTACAACAGGGGAATCGAAACCACGTCAGTTGACTCAATGACAGACCTTATGATAACCATTCAGCCATCCAACCCCCCCTCAAACCATTGTTGGAAAACTGTTCAAATCTGTTGAGAATCATAGAAAATTATTGGGTTTCTACTGTCACGTAGTTTAAATTGGTCTGTCTAGATTAGATACTGAGTGTTGGGTTTATAACTGTTTAGTTTCACAGGCTAATTAATTACTCAACACGGCTCTAGAAACAATTTTAAACAGTTATAAACCCAACACTGATTATCTAAACATTAAATACAGAAACTTCTGCCAAAACAACACAACACAACACAAGATACTCGGAAGAAATTTCTTGGCCAACACTGGGATTGAACCAAGGACCTTTGGGTAAGTAAGCCTTACGCAATCACGCAAAAAGGGAACATTTCCTAAACAATCTGATTAAAACACAGATCCTATTTCGTTTCGTTCTTTATAGTTCAAAATTTCATTTTACTTGTCTTTACCACACTAGGATCTGGAAGAGTTGTAACATAAGCTGTGTTCTTGTTGATGTGAAGGATTAGCCAATAAAACGGTCTGTTGCAGCGAGTTCTTGGCGTGCGATGCACGGAACAGTGGTTATTCCAATAGAAACATCAATGGTGATTGGTTAATCAAATGTCTGATATCAAAGGGTCAAAAGCTGTTCGTACGACCCCTGACGCTACCTTCCACTATAACCGGTCAGATCTTCATGTAGTGGAGACCATCGAAAGTATAAAAAGAAAACGAAACGAAATATAGATCTGTATTGTAATCAGATTGTTTCCTTGTAACCGACTGTCAATACTTACTCGGGGTTACAATGTACTTTTTTAAAATCGTGTTGTAAATTTGGTTTTACTGTTTCTAAACCTTCATGGTGGATAAGATGCCGTTCGTTCAACAGATTCACTGCCGTCTGATTCTGGGGGCTTTCCTGAAACACACAAAATATTGAAAGAATTAGTATTGATTCAACCAAATACACTTACTGGATTGCAGAGTTTAAATAATTGTGTATCCAACCAATCACAGCAGTCTATCTATAACCAATCACAGCAGTCTATCTATAGCCAATCACAGCAGTCTATCTATAACCAATCACAGCAGTCTATCTATAACAATGTTAAGAAATCTGTTCCAAAACAATATATCTGTTTCTTATTTTTGCGAAAGACACACCATTCATTATCTTTGAAGTCCCTCAACATTTTAAAACAGGCCTGTTCCAAAACATGATATTTGTTTCTAATTTCTATGAAGAAAAAATCATGTTGAAGGCTGTCAATAATTTGAAACCAATACTATTAAACATGTTCAAGGTATTTCATTTCGTTATCTTATTTACCTATGGTGATAAGATAGAGAGACAGCCCAATATGTACAAAAGGGGACCTCTTCTTTTTTTGTCCCATCCGAATAACAACACAAATTTCTTCTTGTCAGCCCCCAAATTTTGGAAGAGAAATGAAATGAAATGGAGTTTAACGTCCTACTGCTCTGCTCCTAACCTGGGCTAATGAAGACGGGTATACGCCATACAGTGTGCTATGAGGGAAATTTTGCCCGGGCAGCGGCACTACGGCCTACTCTTATATCGAATTCCAACTGCCAAGGGATCTTTTACGTGCACTCCAATGTGTACACGGGACCTCGGTTTTCCGTCCCATCCGAACGACTAGACAGCTTTCCTTGTCAGCCCCTCCGTCCTGCATCACTGACAAGGGAGAACCACGCCGGAAAATCTGGATGAACTTTCTCGGCCAATGCAGGGATCGAACACCCGACCTCCAGGCTAGCGAGCTAGCGTCTTACCCACTTAGCCACGTGATCCCCAAATTTTGGAAGAGCTTTCCATGTTGAATAAGAAGAACCAATCTGGTTAAAACACGGATCCTATTTCGTTTCGTTTTTATAGTTGAAAATTTTGTTTTACTTGTCTTACTACACTAGGATCTGGAAGAGTTGTTATCATTGACATGTTCTGGATTAGCCAATGATACAGTCTGTTACGGCGAGCTTTAGGCATGTTTTGCAAGGAACTGTGGGTAATCCAATGCTGATATGTTAATCAAATGTCTGACATCATAGGTCAAAAGTTGCATGTAGTGTAGGCCATCGAAAGTATAAAAATAACGAAACGCAATATAGATCGGTATTTTAATCAGATTGAAGAATAACTTACGTTTAATCCCAGTTTATTAAAATTAGAAGTTAAATGATCAGGGTTAGGGTTTGAATAACCAGAGTTTGGTGCTGGTAACGTTTGTGGCATCGCAGGTGACTGCAGGTTACCGTAGGGAGGTATCCCAGAAGGAGCTTGATACATTTGATCTCCTGCTTTATTCCCGTAACTACCAGGATAATTTGGCGCTATTTGACTTTCTTTTCCAGCCTGAAATAACAAAAACATCAATAGAGAGAGAGAGAAATGGGGTTTAACATCCATTCCACACAAACTCGGTCATTTCGGGACTAACATATGGTTCAATTTTATTTCTATAATTCGCTTGCGCGTAGGGGTCTTTAGCAGTGGGAGGAAGCCAGAGGACCTGGAGAAAACCCATGAGGTTGAACAAGCAACCCTACTTTTTGTCACGTACAACCGGAGAATCAAAACCCGCCAGTTGACTCAATGACAGACCTTCTGATACAGCACGCACGCACACACTAACCATTCGGCCATCAAACCCCCCAATGATTGGTCAACTCTTATTAGTAAAATATTTTCTGTAAATAAAACCTACTCCTTGTGGATACTGTCTTCTTCCAGTTATTCCTGTTGACCTTTGACCCATATCTTGACCAATGGGAGGCTGACTAGCAAGAGGGGAAGGATTATAACCTTGTGGAGGGGATGGACCACCTGAAAACAAACAAAAAGTAAATATGATAAATTATTAATGTTATATATATACTCAAGGTGTGTATGATACATTCCTTTGAGAATTTATAAACCATTTTTTTCTTTTATTTTTTTTTTGTTGCTTCAGTAACTAATTGCCACTCTTAAACACCCCTCAGGTGTCTTGTCATTTTGCCCCGTACAAATTTGTCAGACAGGGGGGAAATAATGGTAAAAAGTCCAGAGAAATTTTTTTGGACAACCTGAACACCACAACTAAACCCTGGACTTCTGGTTTGTAAATCAGAGCCATACTAGTTAAGGATACATCAGTCAAGAGTTTATAAAGAGTTGGCCATTTTTGTTATAATAATTTAAAAATAGATGATAAAAAAAGAAAATGTTGAAATTTTCAGTCAAATTACTTTGTTCTGAATGGAATTGTCACTGTTGGAAGTTTGTACTACAAATAGGCATCAATTGTATCTGCACCGTCAATGAGAATTGGCGATCATTTGATTGACAGATGATAACTCCACCCACGTATTCTCGATTATCAAACAACATGCTCAATGGCTATGGTAGCCTCGCTTACCAGGTCTTTTATCACCAGTTTCCGGTAGTGACATTAGCTTGGTCCGCCATTTATTGATTTAATTTTAACTGTTTAAATCCAAACTGTATCCAAGCTATCTGTGGGTCTTGTTGTGTAAATTTAGGTCTAATTAATAATTTCTATAACATCTGAAGCCAAAATAAAGACCTGCAATAGGCAGATTTAGCTCTTACATAATGTATGTTTAAGTGGAACCTTTTTGACATATTTTATCAGTGTAAATGATTGATTGAACTCACCCTGTTTATTTGGTGTAAACTGTCCCTCTAAAGCATCGTACGTTTGTCCACTAACTGGTGTTGCTGCTCGAGATGATTTGTTAGATGGTGGTCCTGGAAAAACATTAAACAAGAATAAATAAAAAACACAACAATTTATATGGAAAACAATCACTGGTTTATACCCATATAGCACAACGTTTCCAGAAATGTATTCTCTTATCATTATCAAGTATAATCGATTATGAATATATAAGTCAGTCAACAGAATAATAAAGTAATATTTAAAAAAAAATATTTTGAAAATTCCCGGGGGGTGGGGGGTTGGATGGTCGAATGATTAGCGCATGCACATTCAATCAAAAGGTATGTCATTGAGTCAATTGGTGTGGTTTCGATTCTCCGGTTGATCGTGACAATGTAGGGTTGCCTGTTCAACCTTGTTGGTTTTCTCCGGGTCCTCTCGTTTCCTCCCACTGCTAAATACTTCTACGCGCAAGCGATTTATTGAAATAAAATTGAACCATGTTAGTCCCGAAATGGGCAGGACCTAGTTTGTATTAAGTGGACGCTACCCCCCCCCTTTTTGAAAAGTCTGTATGTTTTATATCGGATATACATGTGTACATGTACCGATAAAGATAATGTATAATTGTATCTAATCACTTCATATGTTATGTGGTAGCCATAAACTCAATATTTAAAAACCTGTCATACAAGGTGGATATTGATTTTACACCAGTTGTATAAACTTTAAGATTTATGATAAAATATTAACATCCAGAAAAATCAATTTTTCATTACAAAAATATCAACTTTTAAAAGTTATCTTTTCAAAATAAAAATGGGATGTATTTCAATATTGTTTGTTACAGTACCTTTCTGTTATTTTACAGAGAGAGAGAGAGAGAGAGAGAGAGAGAGAGAGAGAAATGGGGTTTAAGGTCCACTCGACACAAACTAAGTTATTTTGGGACTAACATATGGTTCAATTTTATTTCGTTAATTCGCTTGCCTGTAGAGTTCTTTAGCAGTGGGAGGAAACTGGAGAACCCGGAGAAAACCCACAAGGTTGGACAGACGACCCTACTCCTTGTCACGTACAATCGGGGAATCGAAACCCTAGTACTAATCCAAACCCTAACCCTAACCCTGGACCTAGCCCCAATACTTATCCTGACCCTAACTTAACATCTAGCCAACAATCATGTGCCCTAACCTTATTCACATCTCAGCGACCTTGACAAAAATTGAGCTGGCCTTAACAAATAGATTTAGACCATTGGTGTCTAAAAGCAATATTGAAATGAATAGGCCAATCAATATTAGCCCATATCATTCGATTTTCATTCAGAAACATTTTATTTGAAAGAAATACAAAACATGCATACTTTTCAAAGCAAAAATAAATTAATACTCTAGCAGGAGGGGTTCCACATATTAAAGCTGGGTCAATGAATAGTGCTAAGAATTATTCAAAATAAATTAATATCTTAGCAGGAGGGGTTCCACATATTAAAGCTGGGTCAATGATTAGTGCTAGGAATTATTCAAAATGAAATGTCAATGAATTACAAAAACTTTAAAACATAAAACTGTGACATGCATAATGAGCAAAGTGCAAAGATATGGCTATTTACAGTTAATACTCTATGCTCGCTTCGTTTTTAAATACGCTGATCGGCAATTAAAGGATTTTGAATTCAATACAAACAATAATTTTGTGCAGGTTGAATATCAGTTCAAAAATGGTATTTACAAAGACACGTGTTAAGAAGATGAATTAAAAATTTCACAACAATTGGCATCGGACGATATTAACAAGATCTTGTCACCTATCAATACATGTAATTACGAGATGTAAACGGAGCTAGCGCTAACCCTTACCCATGACCTTACCATATCCTAATTCACAATCCTCGGAAATAATCACATGCCCTAACCCTGTTTACATCTTGTGACCTTGAAGAAATATACATTTAGCCTTGTCAAACAGATCTGAAGATATATAACTTATTTGGTAAAACATTTATAGTCAGGAGGCTCAGTGCAGACGGGTGTCCATCAAATGGGCATAAAACCAGACCCAACTTCTCTATAGTCAAATTTTGCGTACAATACGATGCCGAGTGGTAAACAGTCCGCCGATTATCTACTGGTGTTACTTTGATTGTTTTCTTATCAAATGTTAAATAATCAATTTGAGCAGCATGAATTAAGCCGTGGAAAAATTAGATAAGGTTTGAATCGTGGACTTGAAATTGTGCAGAAAAATCATCCATCAAAATTGGGCCAAGGACAACCTGCACCACCTACATGAACGAGAGAAATTATTCGGAAGATCTAAATGAATGAATATATAAACATGATCCATACGTAGTCATTGTTTTTCTATATTTCATTGATGAGCTGAAAAAAGTCCCCACCCACTTCTTAATTTGCAGAAGTCCAAAATTGCTCCCTCAAAAATGTTCTCCCAGTCTGATCAAGGCGAGTAATTTGGTAACCAAGGAGAGTAATTTGGTAACCAAGGAGAGTAATTTGGTAACCAAGGAGAGTAATTTGGTAACCAAGGCTTACCAAGGAGAGTAATTTGGTAACCAAGGAGAGTTATAAATCATAATAACGAGATATTACTTTCATTCATAATAAAGAAATGAAATGTGGTTTAATGTCCTACTTTTCTGCATCAACTGGGCTAATGAAGACAAGCATATGCCATACAGTGTGCTATGAGAGAAAATTTGCTATATCGAATTCTAACTGTCAAAAGTCCTTGACGTGCACTCCAATGTGTACACAGGACCTTAGGTTTCTGTCTCATCCGACAGACTATACGCTGTCCCTGCACCACTGATGAACTTTCTGTCAACAAGGGAATCACAGGTTAGCGAGCAAAGGTGTTACTGAACCACCGAGGCCCCACCTTAGAGTAGTAGATTTAGAGTCTACATGTTTATAGCCAGAACTTCAGTCTAAGACGTATATATGCAATTACACTGTCACTTTTGTTAATGATATAAAATATTGAAATAATGGAGACTGATTTTCATCTGTCCAGTACTCACAAATAAAATTCTCTACTCGATAAGGATTAACGGGCTCAATAGCACTCAAGCTTGATCAAGCGCCTTAAAAAAAACAATGACTGCATATGAACATTTTATCTGCCATTTTTATAACAAAATGTTGACCAATGACTGCTCTGATGTTAGAATCAGGACATGTAGATTGTATTAATGAAGAACAGAACCTTGTTAATTAAGAAACTTGTTAAGAAACTTGTTAATTGATAGAAAAATATTCAAATTCTAAAAATAACTAATCTAAAGACACTACTATATCCTCAATAAACAGCTTGAAGGAAGTCACAGAATCTTTGTTTTACAAATACAAAAACGAAAGTCGACTACACAAACTGTAATATATAGAAGACAAGTTATCTGCTGTGTAATAACTAAAGAGAAATGAGATGGGTAAAGATAGGAAGAGTTATCTAACCTGATCCGGGAGTTACGCCAGGGGAAAGATGCATGGATGACCCTATTTGATGGGAATACTGAGCTTGACCATGATAAGGAACTGGTAATTCATTAGGTCGATCTAGAACACAGAGTAAATAAAATACTATTAATATTTATTCTCACGATCGACTGGTATAATAAATCTGACAGAAAAACAAAAAGAAATACTATTAATAACAGTTTCAACACCGCGATTGACTGTACAAGTAGGCCTATATCTGACACACACACACAAAAAAAAAAATCATTTTTAAACAAACTGTAAAGAAAACGAATCATCAGAATAGGTATTTATGAATATTGTAAGTTTTAATTTGGTCTGTCTTTGAGATGAAAATGATGTACAGTCCTAGAAATAACGGTTTTAGATGTACCTGAAAAAATGTCAGGCACTAATGAAATAGGTACCTGACATTTTCAACTTAGTGCCGGACATGTATTAATAATATCAATAAAAAAGATAAATCAGTGCCAGACAAAATGACAGGCACCAGAGGTTTAGTGCCTGACAAATCCCGAATCTGTGCCTGACATTGTCTGTGACAGGTGCCTTATTTCCAGGCTTGACCAGGTAAAATGTAAAATAAACCATATAATTAATTTATGCAAGTTGAAATAATGTAGGCCTACCATACTACATGAAAATGTATGTTGTGCATGAAAACAAAAACAAATATATTTAGCACATCCATCGAGCCATTTAATCAGTTACCACAGGCTCAGTGAGTAAGACATTAGCCTCCTAATTCAGAGGTATATCTGGTGTGGTGCTTCTTGTCAGTGGTGCAGGACCAAGGGCCTGGCTAGGGACAATGTATAGTCATTCAGATGGAACAAAAAATGGGGCCCTGTTCACACATTGGCTCATATTGTGGGTTTTTCAACTAGAAATCGAGCCACTGGAATTCAAAGGTGTAAAAAACGTGTAAAAATAAAATATAGCAAATATATTAAGTGATAAAATTTAACAAACCACCTTCAAACTGAAAAAAATGATATACATGTATAGCCAGCAAATGAATGTATTAAAAGGAAGCATGCTTAAAGCGGCCAATCATGCTCAATTAAAAATACAAGCGACACACATGATTTATGTCGTTATTTGTTGTTACATCGAGAACCATGTATAAAGAGAGACTGATCCTCTAGTACCTCAAATGACATTGAGTACCCGAATGGGGAGAGAGAGAGAGGGAAATGGGGTTTAACGTCCACTCGACACAAACTAGGTCATTTTGGGACTAACATATGGTTTAATTTTATTTCAATAATTTGATTACGTGCAGGGGTCTTTAGCAGTGGGAGGCAACCGGAGGACCGGGAGAAAACCTACGAGGTTGGACAGGCCACCCTACTCATTGTCACGTACAACCAGGAGTACCTGAATGGCTTTTTCGTCTAATCCTAGGACTATGTACATGTAATCACAAATTCTTACACAGTTCACACTAGAGAGAAAGAGAAATGGGGTTTAATGTCCGCTCGACACAAACTAGGTCATTTAAGACTAACATATGGTTTAATTTTATTTCAATAATTCGATTACGTGTAGGGGTCTTTAGCAGTGGCTGAATGGTTTGCTGTGCACGCTGGATCATAAGGCCTGTCATTGAGTCAACTGGCGTGGTTTCGATTTCCTGGTTGTACTTGTCAAGGAATAGGGTCGCCTGTTCAACTTCGTGGGTTTCCTCCGGTTTCATCCCACTGCTAAAGACCCCTACATGCAACCAAATTATTGAAATAAAATTAAACCATATGTTAGTCCCGAAATGACATAGCTTGTGTCGAGTGGACGTTAAACCCCATTTCTCTCTCTCTCTCTCAAACTTACAGATTGGGTAAGAAAATGGTTACCATGGTAGCACTTGATGACCAGCCTCTCTTTATATATGACTCTGGCAATTATATCTAAAAGCTTACCACTCGATCCTAATGCTGTTGTATTATTTATCATGGATGGTGGACCAGGCGGTTGCTGGGAACCAAAAGATGATGGAGGTGCTCCAATATTATTAGAAACTGGAGGTCTTGTCTGTGGTGGAGCTTGACCATATGATGATACTGGTGGCATTCCTCTTCCCATCACTTGGGGCATTCCCACTTGAGGTGGCATCCCTTGGTTATTCCCAGGATGAGGAGACATGCCTTGTGCCATTGAAGAAGGTGGCATTCCTTGTGCCATTGATGAAGGTGGCATTCCTTGCATTGGAGGTGGTCCATGTCCCATTTGAGGAGAAGGAGTTTGACCAACCTGAGGCGGTTGCATCCTTTGTCCCATTGAGGTTGGAGGGAATCCAGTCGATTGTCCCATTGAAGGGGGCATTCTTGGCAATGAATTTGTAAGAGGTGGCATTCTCTGTTGATTGGGGTGTGCACCAGGACCCATTTGAGGTCTCTGCCCCATTGTTTGTGGTGGCATTCCTGAATTAGAAAAGTTGGATTGCGTTCCTGGTTGGCCCATCGATGTGGGAATGGCTGGAGGTGGTGTTCCACTTGGACCATTCATAACACCACGTGGTGGACTATTTGGCATAAAGTTTCCTTGTGAATGTCCATTCAAGGTTCCAGGCTGCCCCATGCCCATGTTTGTGGGAGGCTGATTAAAGTTTTGGGGCATTACTCCACCTGGTGGGGGTAGACCAGGACGTGGAGGGCCACCCATAGGCGGAGTCTGAAACTGTCCTGGAGGTCCATAAGAATTAGCGGTCATTTTTCCCGGACCTGAAAAACACAACAAGATTGCAATTAGACTTTTAAGATCTGCTTTGGTCTCAAAAAAAACCCACAAAATGGACAAGATTTAATATGGTACATGTATCCGCTTTCATGTTATGGTGTTGTCTCAGGGCTGACAACCAGGAGAGAGTTTAAACCGGCGAAGGCCCATTCTTTGCATAGCTTCCATTCCTGAACCACTAGGTTACCTTAAATTATACAGTAGACCGATCACAGATATTTCTACAGTTGTGTAGGTCTATCATTGTTTTGAGAAAATGTTTGATAATTATCGTGCAATAACAGGCTGATTGTTTCTTATTGTCTGTACCATCATGGATCATGGTGCTCTAATACAATCAAACGGCTACCCATCTGCCAAATGGCAACCGAGTAATGTTATCATTTCTAATGTACGATAACTTGTGGCTCAGTGGGTCAGATGCTGGCTCGCTAACCAGGAAGATTCACACGCTCACACATTTTCCCTCATAGCACACTGTATGGCGTAAGCCCATCTTCACTAGCAGAACATTTCCACGTACACGTATGATGCAGTAACTTTTTAGCTTCATAATTTAAATAGATCGAAGGTGCCTCGAAAGATGTTATCATCATTCCATGCCTACAGCAAGCAACAAGTGATTACCCAAAATAATTTAAATCGATCGAAGACGTTACGAAAGATGTTATCATACAATGCCTACAGCAAGCAACAGGTGATTTCCCAGACATAATATGAAGATCATACTGTCAGTCACTATCTGCTATATCATTATTATCATCTTAATTGTCTTCTTGATCTTTTGTCTCTCTCTCCTGCCGCTATAATATCAATTTATCAAACCTAATATTTAATTTAGTATAAAATATGTATCCTATATTTGTATATACCTTGATTCTGTTGTATCCATTGTTGGGGAGGACCGGAACCTCCCGTTTGTGGGCCAGGAGGGGGTCGATATTGTTGAAAATTAGATCCAAATGTCGTTGGATTTGGCTGTCTGTGATCCGCCATATCTGTCTATATCACTTAAATATCATTGATCTTACTTCGAAATACTAACTGTTCTGATCACAATAATAAAATCTTTTAAAAATATGTCCTTTTTTCTGGTTAATTATGAATGAAACAATTAAAATGCTACGCCAAAATCATATTGTTGGCTGTCTTTGCGTTGTACACGGTATAAAACCGGATGTACCTTGTAACATTTTGTCATGCGCAACACACCTCAACGTGGCAAAATTAAGGGAGGTAATTTTTACAGGAAAGCACCGGTAATTTCATTTTTACTTTTTCGGAGGAAATCATTATAGAATATTAATCATGTCCCTACCGAACTTCAATATTTAATGTGCATGATCAAAATTAAATGGAACAAGTCAGCTGTCCTTCGCGACCATATAGCCAACAACCTTATGAAACTAAAACACAAATTGAAAGTAGACAATCTGTCCCATGACATTATAAGTTCATATCTGGTGTTGAAAGTTCCAGCCACTCTATAAGAGGCACCGGAACGGCGGGGCTATGGGTGCAAATGCGCCCCTGTCCCCAAAAGCACGAGGTAATTGTACCGCTGCCCTTACTTTTTTTGCTGAATGTCCTTTAAAATGTTTTTCGTACTGCAGCGCCAGCAATTTGAATTAACCTTTATTAAATTATGGTCGTCATATTGACTTGATTAGTATACATGTATAGTATGTCTCTTTCAGCTGTTATTCTGGATATATTTAATTGACACGTTAACACTGTTCGTCATGTGCATTTTGCATACAGAAAGTCCATTGGCCATATAATACGCTATTTTACCAACGTTTTTATCTAATTGTTCGGATGCAGCTATGGAGGGTGTGGCGCCAGGCAGTGAAGCTTACTCTTCCGGACACCTGTTACCACCTGTTACACGGTGAACAATCTATTTGCTGATACCGTTTTTTTAGGACTACGAATTTTGTCTAATGGTTTGGATTGTTCGTATACTACTTGGTTTTATTTTATTGTCTGACCATCCTTCTCGCTTCAACTCTTCCCCGATTTTTACAACATTGGTTGCTTAGGTTCGTCTCCAGTTAGTGAGTGGAGACTTCAGTGTGGGTTCGCACAGTTTGCTTCTATTCATAAAAATCGTATTGACGAAATAGATTTATACAAGATAGTTATAGAGCTCATTGCTAGATCACATAAGGTGTAAATTATACAGGGGCGGATCCAGGATTTTCAGAAGGGGGGGGGCGTGCTGCCCCCACTTGGGAGTGCGAAGCCCGGCCCTCGATGGGCGGACTGTCGGGCAATCAACCAAGTCACCAACCGGCTCGTTTCGGAGTAAATTACGACGGGGATCACTACCATTTTTAAGTATTTTTGTTCTCCTTTCCCGCAAATTGTTCGCCTGAAGGGGCGTGCGCCGGGTGCCCCCCCCCCTTGGACCCACGCCTGATATAGGCCTACCTCTGTTAAGTATATTTTGCCGTACTACTATATGTCATGATAAGATTTTATAATTTTGAATATAATGAAATTGTACAAGAACAGGATTCGATATTTTTGGTTATTGATTCCAGTGATCTGGGTTGTATTTTGACCTGATAGGTTTTAACTAGTAGCCTGCCAGAAGACGTCGATATCATCGTTTCTGCACCCGATTTTCAAAACTTTTCTCGGGGGAGGACGGACCTCCCTCAACCGGGGGAGAGACACCCCCCCTCCGCCCCTTGGACGTTGCGGCGCCCCTGGATAGTTCCAATGCCGCAGTGGAAATCAGGGATCCACGGTGACCCGGTGAGTAAGACGTTGGCTCGCAATACTTGACGTCCCGTGATATGAGGAGAATTTTGCATGTGCGGTGGCACTATGGCCTACTCATATTCAAACTGTCATGGGATATTTTACATGCACACTAAAAAGTTAAAAGATAGATTGCCAGGCAATGAAAGATACGCCCACAGCAGCTAAATTGTCAGGGCAGTCAACAAGAGTTGTCGCGTATTTTTACTTTTTTTTTTTTGGTAATGAAACATTTATAGTTCACTAAAATCCGATTAAGAGTAACTACTCATTAAGTAATTATCAGAAAATCATTAGAATTTGTTTGGGCCATGCTGACGTTTAGTATACGAAATATTTAATATCGTGGATTTAGCTGATCAAAATTGTTCGTTTCAAGACCTTAAACTCTGTGTATAAATTTGAAGTCAAACGGATATTAACTTTGACCACAAGATTTTTCAAAGTGATCAAGAGCCATAACTATGGCAGTAATTATCAGAAATCGCTGAATATCAATTGGCTTCTTCGTCTCATAACCATAAGCACTGTGTATAAATTTAAAGTCAATCGGATATTAACTTTAGCCTCTAGAGCTTCCACAAGATTTTTTGAAGTGATCAAGGGCCATAACTCTGACAGTAATTATCGGAAATCGTTGAAAATCAAGACTTCTTCATCTCCGACCTTAAAAAAGTCAATCGAGTATTAACTTTAGCCTCTAGAGAGTTCACAAGATTTTTTGAAGTGATCAAGGGCCATAACTCTGTCAGCAATTATCGGAAATCGCTGAAAAACAAAATGCTTCTTCGTCTCAAGACCTTAAACACTGTATGAATTTAAAGTCAATCGGATGTTAACTTTGGCCGCAAGATTTTTTGAAGTGATCAAGGGCCACAACTCTGGCAACAATTATCAGAAATCGCTGAAAATCAAAAGGCTTCTTCGTCTCATGACCTTAAACACTATGTATCAATTTAAAGTCAATCAGATATTAACTTTAGCCTCTAAGCGTCCACAATGACCGACGAACAGGGGCGACGACAATATACGATCACATTTCTATGTGGGCGTATAAAAACTAGAGACTTTCCTGTTCAGATCACCAAATAGTCATTTCCAAGTGCTGCCAATCCCTATTAGAGATTATGTGAGCAGAATTGTCAAATGTTCAGCCAAGAGGACTGAACAAAATTAGTATCTTACTCCATTTGTGCATGATTTGCCTCCCAAAATTAACTGTTTTGAGGTATCCAGGGTTTTTTCAGCTTCTCAATTGCTCTTTCTGTAGAAATGTTTGCAATTTGAGGTCCACTTGGCCTGGAAACCTTCCACTGTTCTCGACTTCAAACAGTCTGAGATATTTTTCCAACATGCCTCCGTTTCTGTTATCTCCCTAACAGTTCCAACTGAGCTTCTTTAGACAGGCTTATGTGGTGCATAGTGTTTTAGGGAAATTTTACTCAGACAATAGCGCGGGGGAGGAGGGGGGGGGGGTCTTCAATTTCGTTTCATTTTTTATAGTTCAAAATTTCGTTTTACTTGTCTTTACTACACTAGGTTCAGAAGAGTTGTTATATAACCAGCGTTCTAGATGATGTAAGGGATTAGCCAATGTTGTGGTTACGTGGAGTTCTTGGTGTATGGTACTTGGAACTGTGGGTATCCCTCACATCATCCAGAACAGGTCAAATGATAACTCTTCCAGTTCCTTTTAAAACAAAATTTTGAACTTTAAAAAATGAAACGAAATAGGATCTGTGTTTCAATCAGTTTGTTGTAGGCCTACAATATGTTTACAAATTACTTCTTAAGAAAACAAAACTACATCAACATTTAATTTTTTTTTATTTTGTATTTTGTATCAGAAAGTCATCTGTTAATTTAATAAACTTTCTGTTCCTGTTTCTGCACCCTGACTGGTTGATGGTGCTTGTGGAGATGATCTGAGAACTCTTGGAACGGTTCCTTGGTTAGAACACTGTCCTTCCACATGTCCGGGCTCAAGAATTTGTATGTCTTGATAATGGCAAAGAAGGTTGCTTTGGCTGAAATGAAAAGATCATGAAATTGAAATGAAATGGGGTTTAACATCCTACTGTTCTAATCCGACTGGGCTAATGAAGACAGGCATATGCCATACAGTGTGCTATGAGGGAAATATTGCCCGGGCAGAGGCACTATGACCTACTCTTATATCGAATTCTAACTGCCAAGGGATCTTTTACGTGCACACCAATGTATACACAGGACTGCGGTTTTTCATCCCATCTATTAACAATATTATGATAGTTGAATCCAACCAGTGTTTTTGTGGGAAAAAAAGTTTTTTATTTCACAATGGAATAATGCATGAAGGTGGGGGGGGAGAGAGAGAAATGGGTTTTAACATCCACTAGACACAAACTCGGTCATTTTGGGACTAACGTGTGGTTCAGTTTTATTTCAATAAATTGCTTGCACGTAGGGGTCTTTAGCGGTGGGAGGAAACCCAAGGGCCTACTCTTTTACACACAATATCATTTAATAAACTGTATCTTAGTTTTCTAGTCCATCCAAAGACTAAACACTGATCTCTTGTCATACAGCCGGGGAATTGAAACCACGCTAACCATTCGGCCATCCCTCCCTCCCCCCCCCATTACAAGAGGAAACCGGTCCATCTTATTCTTTTTAATACTAAAGACCAAGGTTACCAAACACTACATAAAATTTCTGTGGGTCCATCGGACTTGGCCGCATTCTATTATTAGCCTAGAACAGCAACAATCACAGTAAGATGGCGACCATATCGATTGAATATTTTCGGAACAAAACCATCTCACTATCAACTTACCAAAATTTCCGATGGTGGAAGTGGCACCTTTACAAGAGGTGTAGCAATCATCAATACCGGCCATTGTTAATAACTTTCTGGGAACAGGAGCACTGACGATACCAGTTCCTCTAGGGGCTGGAATCAATCTTACTAGTACACTACCACATCTACCTGTTAGCTGTAAGTTATAAAAAATATATCGCGTTACAAAACACTATAAGCCTTTCAGTTCTAACTATAATAGTTTAAAAATTGTTAATGAAAAGGGAATATGTTGAAAATTGCAGTCAAATTACTTCTGAGTGGAGTTATTGCTCTAAGATTTAAATAGAGCTGACAGTTCTTGCTGTCAAATTACTTCACGCCATACAGTATTCTATGAGGGGAATTTTGTCCGGACAGCGTCACTATGGCCTACTCCTATATCGAATTACAACTGCCAAGGGATCTTTTACATGCACACCAATGTATACATGAATATCGGTTTTTTGTCCCATCCAAACGACTAGACAACTATCCTTGCCAGGCCCTCCGTCCTGCATCACTGACAAGGGTTAACCACGCCGAAAAATCTGGATGAACTTTCTGGATGAACTTTCGCAGCCAATGCAGGGATCGAACACCCGACCTCCAGGCTAGCGAGCCAGCATCTTACCCACTTAGCCACGTGATCCCCGACCGTTATAAGAGGAGTGGTTGAAACTTTATACATACCTTGCAGGGTACTGTGTGTGGTTTACCGATCTTGTTACCCCAGTAACCTCGTCTGATGGGAACAATTGATAGCTTAGCGGCAATGATGGCACCACGAATAGCTGTGGCAACTTCCTTTGAGCATTTTACACCCAAACCAACATGTCCACTTGAATCTCCAACGGCAACGATAGCCTGTAAATTAAAAAGAAAATGTAATTTTTGACCAGGGAGTTACTGTGAAACTAAGCTCATCATAAAGACACAATTTCTTCAGTATCAATTACTGGTTATCTCCCTTCAATTAGAATGGATACTTGCAGTTAACAAGCTTTCATTTATAACCAGTTTAACGTCCACTTGACACAAACTTTGTCATTTTGGGACTAACATATGGTTCAATTTTATTTCAATAATTTGCTTGCGCGTAGGAGTCTTTAGCAGTTGGAGGAAATCAGAAGACCCGGAGAAAACCCACAAGGTTGGACAGGCAACCCTACTGATAGTCACGTACAAGCAGGGAATCGAAACCACGCGACTTGACTCAATGACAGACATTGAGACATGTTAACCATTTGCCCCCCCCCCCCCCCAAGTCATTTAGAAAATAGGGAATGTATACAGTGTTCTATGAGGGAAATTTTGCACGGACAGTGGCACTACAACTTCTCTTATTTTAATTTCTAACTTTCAAGGATTCTTTTTTACATGCACTTTTGCACTACAATTTGTACATGGGCACTAAGTTTTTCATCCATCCGAACAATAAGACACTGTTCATTCCTTGTCCGGCTCTCCGTTCAGCATCATTGATAAGGGGAAACCATGCCAGAAAGTCCTGATGAACTTTCTCGGCCAACATCTGGAGCAAACCCAAGACCTTGTTAGCGAGGCAGCGTATTACTGAGAGACCGCTTCTTCCCATAAGCCAGTGATTCGCAACCAGTGTGCTGCGAAATTTTAAACGGCACACTAAGAAAATGGTAAAAACCAAGTGATCCCAAGTGAGTATTCACTTGTGTCCAATGATAAGTTCATAGCTGTGTTTTTCTTTATTTAGTTTGAGTCTATGACCAAGTGATCCCATGTGAGTATTCACTGGTGTCCAATGATAAGTTCATAGCTGTGTTTTTCTTTATTTAGTTTGAGTCATTCTATGTGTCTATGACTATACTCTCTGTCTACGGATGTATTCTGTCTGACTTATGTTTTTATTTAGCAAAAAATTCAAATATTTTTCATATATATTTAGCCAGGTATGCCCCTATTTTTCATGTGTTTCAAGGTGTGACGTTAGCAAAAAAGGTTGAGAACCACCACTGCCTTGAAGGTATTAAAATATTTGATTTACCTTGAATCTGGTTCTCTGACCAGCTTTAGTTTGTTTCTGTACAGGTAGAATCTTTAAAACTTCGTCCTTTAATGTTCCTGGAGGCAAGAATAAATCAATGATTTCGAACTCCTGTAATAAAAACAAATGACTACTGTATAATTGATATATCTCCAATTATGAGAGAGACTAGGTCATTTTGGGACATAGTTCAGAGCGAGAAATGGGGTTTAACATCCACTTGACCCAAATTTGTTCATTTGGGACTAACACATAGTTCAATTTTATTTCAATAATTCGCTTGGGCATAGGGGTCTTTAGCAGTGGGAGGAAACCTGAGGATCCAAAGAAAATCTAAGAGGCTGACAGGCGATCTTACTCCTTGTCACATACAACTGGGAAATCGAAACCACGCCAATTGACTAGGGGTGATGATTTTCCGTGATCGCGGAAACAACGCGGAAATCGCGGAATTGTCCACTCATAACGGAATTTGAAATCTCACACGGAAAAAGACGGAAAAGCCGATATTTTGCTGATACTAAACACAAACTCAAAATAATTTTGCAGTTATCCAAGTATTTCATCTTTTTATTCATAAAAATCGGAAATATTGAATGATATCGCGTGGTTTTGTTACTGTCTATTTTAGTATTTCGCTACTTTCATTTCATCATTTAGGAATCATAATTTTAATCGAAACGAAAACCCGTCTTTCATGTATCCCATTATAAAATTACTCTGTAGTTTAACTTGAATTAAACATTGTCTTAAAAAAAACTTCTGTCACTTCATAAAAGTAAAAATCGTTTCATTTACTTCTTATTTTACTGCCGGGCTCGTGACTCGTGTTTATCCGCATTAACCACGTGACATCAGAAATATACCGTAGCCTTGTGAATCCATCCCTTATTCTCGAAGAAACGGTAGTAACTACGAAGATGTCTGGATAAATCGCGACTACACCTAGCAGCTGAGAAAAATGGCTTCGTCTGCTAAAAAGATGAAACGAGCTCACGAGATGTAATTTTCTGTTATTTAATTCGGGAAACAGGTTTAAAGAATAACTAGTCATTGAACATTACAAGTCATTCACAATTCAACATTTGTTATCATTGGTTTAAAATGATCCATTTTGTAATAAAAGGCATTTTAAGATGTTTTATTCATTTATTCATAAAATAACATTTTATCTCGAAAAAACGAAATATGGTCAGCTCTGAAACGGAAAATAACGGAATTAAAAATACTTAAAACGGAATTTGCTATTTTCTGAAACGGAAAATCATCACCCCTAATTGACTTAATGACAGATCTTATGATACAGCGTGCCGTGCCGTGCCGTGCCATACCCCCCCTCCCAACGAATTTCTAGTAGTTAATCATTCAATTCAGTCAGCCGGAGGTGTATCATTTATAAAACAAATGACTAAATCAAAGCTCTCATCATCTTGAATGATTACCTAATAAACCCAGTCGATCATGAATTAAATTAAACTTAGTGAAAATGCAATGAAATGGGGTACAGCACCCTATTTTTCTGTCTAGACAATGCTAATGAAGACTGACATGTTAAGACAAATTTAAGGAAAATTTGGAAGGAAAGTGGAGCTACATTAGAGAAATTTTTAAAAAGAAATTGGAGCCACAGCATGCTCTTTCGGGTTTTTCAAATTCCAAATGTTAAGGGATCTTATGTGCACTAAGGATTACTTCCATCGGCATATGTCATTACGACATTAGGGAAATTTTAGAAGGAAAGTGGAGCTACGGCATGCTCTTATTTTAAACTCCACAGTTGAGGGATCTTTTCCGTGCACAAAGGATAACTTCATTATAAGGGGAGATAAGTACAAACCTTGATGGGAAGTGAAAAGAGGTAAATCTCCTCCAAATTCTTGATTTTTAAATCTTTTACAAGACGTCCTAGTTTTGTGGATGGCAACCATTCTTTATCTTCTTTAGCTCCCCGACCTCTACCACGACCCCTTCCACGGCCACGACCGCGACCTCTACCTCCTGAACCAAATCCTCCACGGAATCCACCTCGACCACGATCTCCGCCTGCTGGACCACCGGCTGGTGCTGCTGCTGCTGGGGCTGCGTCCGCCATTGCTACAAAACAAAAATAAAGGAAAACAATAAGCCATCTGGCATCTCAATTAATTTCCAAAAAGGTCATATTTTCGACAGGATTCTATACTAATACATGCCATGTGAGAACGAGGGAGGGGGGGGGGTAAAAGAACCGATTTCAAATATTGCACGTAGGGTTCTTTAGAATATAGAAGCTAGTTGAGTTAGAAAACAAAACCTTCGATTGACAGGCAGAGGCGACCCAAACCTGCTCAGTAACTCACTGTTGCATACAACTACAACTAAGTAAAAGCGTAGCCGGTTAACCACATCGCCATGGCCTTGGGGACCTGTACACGCATTTACCATCAATTTCACCAAATATTATCTGTTACATACTTTATTATTTCAAAAAGAACTGTTCGATTAGGCAAAGAGCAGTCTCGTAATTTCGATTATCATAAACTTGAACCAAATGAATAAGTGACCATTTATTTCAAGTAAAATTTGAAGAAAAGCGTAAATTATTCCAATTATAATTGAAATAATTCAAGGGAAACATAAACCAACCATATTATAATACATTTATTACATGGCTTTTATTATTTATTTGGGGATGGCTCAGATTTTTACAGATTTTTGAGGGGACAACGTGTAATCCACCTTTCCACTTACGTGATTATTTTTAGAAGAGACCGACTTCCGGATTTTATCAAGGGAGACAAGTCGCCCAATACTCCAGGATTCAGACTAACTAAATAACTGTTTTTACAGTAATGTTGGGGTTTTTTTTTCGGTTTACCTCCGAACCATAAGAGAAATATTGATCAAGCAACTACTAGTATGTATCATTCTTATCTTTTTTTTAAAAAAAAAAAATCGTGAAACAGTTGTCGATTGTAAAGTACCTTTTCTTAAATACATCCATATCTAGAACGCAGGGGGTGGGGTGGGGTGGGGCGGGTGGGAGCTGTATCATAAGGTCTGCCATTGAGTCAACTGGCGTGGTTTCGATTCCCCGGTTGTACGTGACAAGAAGTATGGTCGCCTTTCCAATCTCGTGGGTTTTCTCCGGGTCCTCCGATTTCCTCCCACTGCTAAAGACCCCTATACGCACAAGTGAATTATTGAAATAAAACTGTGTTAGTCCCGAAATGACCTAGTCTGTGTCGAGTGGACGTTAAACCCCATTTCTGTCTATCTGTATCTAGAACGAGAAATGGGGTTTAACGTCCACTCGGCACAAACTAGGCCATTACGGCACTTAAATATGGTACACATTTTTTATTTCAATATTTCGCTTGCGCATACGTAGTGGTCTTTTTTTAGCAGAATGAAATGGAATGTGCTTTAACGTCCCACTGTTCTGCACCGATTTGGCTAATAAAGCGGCAGCTACAATATTGAAGCAGTGTCTTGTCTTGTTCGCCGCTACAATTCATACACTCTGAGCTAGACTGTACTTTGCGCAAGTAAAAATAGCTTCAAATCCAAATTCTCAACACATATCATCACAGTTTGCATGGAAATAAGTAATTATGTTACAAATAGTGAAGAGTGCACCACTGAAATAGTTACCGAACAGTTTTTCTACATTTTCCAGGTGAAGTTTAATCACGTGTGTGTTCTAATTCTGGTTTGACGGCCATTATAAAAACGACGGAAATTTCGCATAGCTGTTGGGTTTAATCAAATCATATAATTATATGGTAAGGTTTCACCTTTTTTCAATGGGAATTGGTTTATTATATGTTAAGATATGTGCAGTACAGTTTTGTGTCAGTTTAATTGGAAATTAAGGGACTTGTAGAATGGTTGACATAAACCTTTTTTATATGTCAACCATTATTTGAATGCACGAGATCTGACTTCTATAGAATGTGTGAATCCAATAATTAAACACACATTATTCAAGAGCTAAATCTGCCTATTGCAGCTCCTTCTTTAGGCCTGAAATGTTATCTAAATTATTAATTAGACATTAATTAACTTGTCCAGACCATAATCAACTCTCGATGGCATCAGATTTCTACGATATTAAATAGATTAGAATGGTTCAGCGATACTTTGATTTAATCAAATATGGAGGACCGAGACTCAGCTTCGATCAACCAGTACGGTGGTTGAAATTATTGCACACGTCTGTCAAACCTTCAAAGGCTAATATCTTCGCTTGCAATAGAGTAATTTGAATGAAATTTTCAAATTATTCATTTTACATCATCTTTAAAGATACAATATAAACCTATTATTAATTTTAAGAGCAAAAAGTTTACCAATTTTTGTTTCTGAAGAAAAAAGGATAAATCTGAGGCTCTAGGGTGAGAGCCACATTAGTGTGTTTCCTACTTAGGATTGGGTTTTCTAAAAAAAAAAAAAAATTTCCACTATCCCGTGGTTTAGGGCTAGGGGTTCTTATAACTAGTTGATTTTATTTACTAAGGGTTAGGGCTAGGGTTTGATATGGTGTTTGCTTTGTGTTAGGGCGAGGACTGGTGTTATTTAGTCTAAATTACTGTGCCCTAGGGTGTCGTTCAGATTTTTATTTTTAGAATATGCAATTATAAGTTTCTGTGTGAAGATTTTCGGTCAATTTTCTTGGAGATCAGAATAGTGTTTTCTGATGATTTTGGATGCACTTATACATATCCACCAGCAAGTTCGTCCGAACTGATGTTAAAAGATGTCTATATTGATGTTGTTCAATGCCAGAAACTAGCAATCCCCATTGATAAACGAAAGTTTTAAAACTCTGTCAACGAGAGATGAACACTTAGAGAAATACCACACTGATCAACAATGAATAGGCCGCTACAATCACTGATAAGGATGACATCGATGCGACTTAATGAGCCACAAATATTAACTTTTTTCCTCCGACAAATTAAATTCTAAAACATTTTTTTATGTATTAGAAAAAAATAATAAAGACGTTTGAAGTATTTGTAGGTAAAAATTATTTCCTGTTTTAGTGTAAATGGGTATTAAAATGAGTTAAAGGCGCAATTCTGCTCGAATCATTAACGTCTTATGTAAACAATGCACGCGCCATTGAGCCAATGATTGACGCCGCGTGGTATGACGTCATGTGTTGAAGACAGTCATCTTTTGCAGAGATATAAGAAGACTTTCGTAATACTCTGTGAAACAGATATGTATAATACGTGTAAAATATAGGTTAACATTTAAAAAATGTCATGCGTCATCACATAATATTCTAGTGGCATTTAGAAACTGGAGAGAGCAATAAACTATAACACATATATTTCTCCTTACTGTTAGTTTTCATTTTTGAGTGATGTCTGTGTCACTACAGGCCCTGGACTTTACAGCCCCCCGTCTCATATGTACGTTTGTTTATGATTTCTGAATATTGTTTATCGTGATTTTTTTGGTGTGGTTGCCCCCTTGTCAGTGAGGGAGAGGAGTTTAACGTCAACGCAAGAGAGAGAGAGAGAGAGAGAGAGAGAGAGAGAGCTAACTTAACGTCCACTCGCACAAACTAGGTCATTTCGGGACTAACATATAGTTGACTCAATGACAGAACTCATGATACGCTCACGCATTACATCATTTGCCCCACCCCACCCACATGTATGGCGTATGCCAGTTTTCATTATCCCGGAAGGTGCAGAAAAATAGGACGTTAAACCCAATTCCATTGATACTGCACGTTGATAGGGATTATAACATAATTTGTCCAACAAAATACACTCCATCACCCTTGGTGTAGTTTCACAAACAAGATAGAATATGATATGATATGACAGCCAAAAAGGTAAATAAAGTATCAAATTACCATCCATGTCGTTGATTTACGTGATATGAGTGAGAGAGAGAGAGAGAGAGATGCCATTTCGGGACTAACATATGTTTCAATTTTATTTCAATAATTCGCTTGCGCATTGGGGTCTTTAGCAGTGGGAGGGGAAACTGAAGGACCGGGAGAAAATCCACGAGGTTGGACAAGCGACCCAACTCCTTGTCACGTACAACCGGGGAATCGAAACCGTGTATATGGCGTATGCCCGTCTTCACTAGCCCGGTAGGTGCAGAAAAGTAGGACGTTAAACCCCATTTTATTTCATTCCAATCAGGTTGACAGGATGTATAGATATATATGCTAATGAAGACCTAATCTCATTCTGGTTTAAAGACCACGAGATAAGAATTTATTGACATTTATATAGTTATTTAACAGATGTACATATCCAATTAAATAAATTGAGATATTATTTTATAATGGTGTTAGCCTTTATCAACCTTTGTATGATACGCTATTGTCATGCATACCGTCGCGTCCAGATGTGCTGGCAATAAAAGCTCATCGGAGCGAAATTCATATCGTCGGTGAAGTGTCAAAAGGATGTATCTAAGAATTTCTAAAAATTAAGAAATAAAACCTTTTGTATTTCAAAATTTCCACAAATCAAGATACAACATTTGGACACATGATACCCAGAACAGTTCTAATTGGCGTAGAGATACACAGCTTAGACAGAAATGTGCATTTTAAAATATACAAAAAAGTGTATTTGACTAATTTCCAGAGAAACACACTTTTGACACTTCACTGACGATACAGAACGAGGTCTGGCAGCAGATTAATGGCCTGTGGTTTTAATGTCTTGTCAACACTCTTATTTGGGTCCCTTCCGAATGACTACGCACATTTTTCTAGCCAAGTCCGACAAATGAAGGGCGGACTTACAAAATACCGAGATTCGAACCCGTGTTATTCCTATTAGTTACGCTGGCAATGCGAGGTAAAGGAATTTTGTCCGGACTGGAATGATTATTAGTTATGGATCCCTATCCGAACGACAGTCCATACTTTCCTTGTGAGTGCTATATGCGCCGGCACGACGTATGGCGCGTGATGTCGATCGGCTGGTCGACTGGGTTGGCGTTCACCAACTAGCATTTACAGGTGATCTTTAAAAGGTATATTTTGTCAACCCACATCTTTGTTCACAGGTACTTTTGCATTCTTCAAAGTAAAGCTTCCAGAGCAGTCCCCAGCAATGAACTCATATAACATATACACGGTCAATGTATATTTCAGAGGAATATGTACCTAGTCGGTATATTCCTGCAGATATGCTAGAAAATTACTCGACAATTTCCGAAAATTTCCCAAAGGCGGTGCAGAACGACCCCCCCCCCCCGCTCAACCCCAGAATTCATAGTCAGCAAGGGGGAGCCACCATGGCTGGATAGGTAAGACGCTGGCTCACTAGCCTTGAGGTCGCATGTTCGATCCCTGCATTGGCCGACGTGGTTTCCCCTTGTCAGTAGTGCAGGACGGATGGTACGAAAAACCGAGCCCCGCGTATACACTGGCCATAGTAACACTGCCCGGGGAAAATTTCCCTCACAGTACACTGTATGGCGTATGTAGCCCAGTGTAGGAGTATAACGTTAAACCCCATATTTCATTTCATTTCATTTCATAGTCTCTCAACTCGCTCAAAATATAGTTCCCGCGCCATTATAATTGTGACATGCGGTTACGTTTAACGACAAATATGCAAAAACAAATGATACCTTTAATAATATCATATATATAGTTTAATTTGGTGTCGGGTAGATGGGGTCAACGGTCACGCCTCTCTGAGTAGAAGCGAACCCAGATCATTATAGTAGACAGTTGCCATCAAACAAGGAAAATAGTACGTGCTTATTTTTGATACAAGGCAGACATAATGAAGTTTGACGACGTTCTCGAGACAATAGGACCGTTTGGGAAATATCAGAAAATACGATGTTTTTTATTGTGTCTGTTTTCATCCGTGTCTGCGTGGCATGCTTTAAATATGGTATTTATCGGTGCCGAGCCAAAATTCCACTGTGATATTTCAAACGTTAATATTTCTAGTAGTAAAATATCTAATGTTAGCGATGATGTTTTATTAGAGTTATTGGTACCAGATGATCCCTGTAAACAGTATGATGAGAAAGATATTGTCAATTATACAGGTAACCATATCCTGTTATCCAATATGTCTACCACGGATTGTACCAGGGGATTTTGGTATTCTAAAGAAAAATATTCATCAACAATAGTTTCACAGGTGAGTATGACACACCTGTATACAGGAGGTCTGGGGCAGGGTGATTTAAATCGTAGAGATGCTTCAAAACGGATACGTCGCAAATAATTGGAGAAGTTTAGGAGGGTGCGGGGCTCTACTGGACTGTATGTGTAACGTTTTAGTAACGTGTGGACCACATCAACTGGAAATTCTGCTGACCGGTCACAATTTCCCTCAGAGCACATGTTGTATGTCTGTTTACATTAGTCTGGCTATTGTAGAATAGTAGGTCGTTCCGCCCCATTAAAATTCTATTCAATATAATGTTGATATAATTATGAAACTTTGTGCCTGTGGTAGTCGAGCGCATAGGGCTAGAAATGAAGTGAAACGAAATGGAATGGGGTTTAACGTCCTACTGTTCTCCTCCGACTGGGCTAATGGAGAGGGGTATACGCCATACAGTGTGCTATGAGGGAAATTTTGCCCGGACAGCGGCACTACTGCCTACTCTTGTATCGAATTCAAACTGCCAAGAAATCTTTTAAGTGCTCGCCAATGTGTACACGGGACCTCGTTTTTTTGTGCCATCCGAACGACTACACGTTTTCCCTTGTCAGGCCCTTTCTCCGATTCCAGTAACAAGTGGGAACCTCGCTGGAAAACCCCGATAAACTTTCTCGTCCGACGCAGGGATCGAGCACAGCGAGCTAACGTCTTACTTACTGAGCCACCGTGGCTCCCAATGTCCTGTCATATTTTATATCACAATGAAGATGGTATTGCTCATTCTGTTTCACAGAGAAAATCCACGTGGCTGGCCAGGCGACTTTACTCCTTGCTACGAGCAACTGGGGAATCGAAACCACGCCAGTTGACTCAATAACATACCTTATGATTGAACGCCCACGCGCTAACCATTCGGCCATCCAACCCCCTTGAATCTGATCAGGTATCCTACCAGGTACCGTATAGGAGTATGCGTGGCTATATACCCCCTGTTCTACAAAAGTGTCCTCATTCCTGAAAAAGTGCCCTCGAAAGAATTACCTCAAATACTCAGGAATATACCCGTGTTAATTTTATCATATACCACAGTTTTGGGCCGTGATCGATATCATCATATACTACGACATTCAGTTTTACATGATAATAGCTTGGTTCATACAGATTACAAAGATGAGAGGCTATAAATATATAGGCTTAGGGCATGCTCGATTGTCAGTCCAGAAAGTCCCGAATTGACAGAATTGCAATCGAGTAACGCAGAATTCAGTTCTGTCACAGTTCTGTCAGTCCCAACAACGGAGGTGGTGTGAGTAGAATCGTGACGTAATTAAAAGGTTTCGGCTGCACGGTTGGTTGAGATATTTACTTATTCAGTCGACGCATGCGCTGTAGCCCGAAATCACCTTTTCACTCGATTGTCACTATTTTTGGAATTGAAGGAATTCAATTCCGGAACGTTCAATCGAGTACCCCCATTATGTTGCATCCATCGACTTCAATGTCAATTCTGTCCTCTTTGCCCAGCTCCAACTTTTCCCCAAGTTTTCGTTAGGCTGAATACTTTTCACTCTGGACAGAGAATCAAATGGTCATCTCTCTGCACTAAAATTTGTATGAGGTTGACCACCCAAATTTTGAGATACACAAACTTGAAGAAGCATATTACATATCACCGTAACCAACCTGATAACTCGGTTATCCTTCCGCATCTAAATCATGAATATTTCCCAAAACCTGGCAGAAGATGTTATTTCAATCCTTCTTCGTCCATTCTAGACCGAAAATTAACAAAAAGGGGCATGCAAAAGGGGAGAAGAGAGACAGAGAGAGATGGTGAAATTTAAACATACATTATGCAAGAACTTTAGGTCTGAAATGTTATCTAAATTATTAATTAGACATTAATTAACTTATCCAGACCATAATGAATACTCGATGTCGTCGTTAGCCTGCGATGTTTATTGGATTAGGTTCCGATTTGCTGTTCAATTTCCATTCATGATTTAATCACGAAATGGATAAACGAGATTTTGTTTTTTATCCTTTAGGAATGATGATTGAGGCTATGCCGAAAATTAAATCGCTAAAATCTCGGTTCAGAGTAGATCAATTTGATTGAAATTTTCGGCAAATAGCCATTACATTATCTAGTTTTTAACTATTATAGTGAGAACTGCCAGCTCTTTATCTAATCTCCCATAATGTATCTTTAATGGTGGTCTGCCTCCCTATCATATTATTAAAGGTACATTTAGAATCAACAGTATGAACATTTTATACCATACGCCATTGTCACGCATCCCGTACAATTGGGAGCAGCGCCGACAGGCTAGCCAGGAAGTCCCGGGTTCGACCGCGGTGTTGGCTAAGACTTTTCATCGCATCTTGCCTAGGTATATTATTGTACTGGCAGCACCTATCGGTTACTGCCCTTGCAGCGATTGAATATTATTGGGGCTAGCCTTGATCATCATTACTAAAGTTGGTAGGATAAGAAACATAGTCTCGATTATCCATTTTTTGATTTAATTATGAATGGAAGTCGAACAGCAAATCGGAACCTAATCCAATAAACATCACAGGCTAGCGATGCCATCGAGAGTTGATTATGGTCTGGATAATTTAATTAATGTCTAATTAATAATTTATGTAACATTTCAGGCCTAAAGAAAGTGATGCAATAGGCAGATTTAGCTCTTGCATACTGTATCTTTAATATTTTTGTTTCTATAAATCCCAACAGTTTGACTTCATGTTTTTTCGATTATTGACTATAGTTTGATCTGGTATGTCAGAGAAAGGTTTGGAAGAGTACGTCCAAGACGGTGTTTTTCTTAGGAAGATTATGTGGAGCCGTTTCATTTGGTCAGCTGTCAGACAGGTAAACTTAATTTCATTACTTAAATCTGTTTTTAATCGGTCAACTGCAATTAAAATTGTTTTTATCGGCCAATGTGACACTGCGATCAATTATAAATTAACTATGACTTCCACGTTGCGTATATGGTCAATTATACTACAGTATGTTTATATATACGGAATACAGGAAACTACAACATCTATGATAGTACATTAGGAGTTATTATATTATCTACAGTCTGACTTTTACAAGCCTAGAACTCAGACCTAACGGCTGAAACACTACATTATCTCTATCACAGCCTCGAACCAGACGCTGAGAGTACGTTCTTCTAAGACTACTAAATGATATCTATTTCCCAGCCTCTCAGCCGACGAGGCTGTGGGAACGTGGTGGCACGAACCACACACTTGTAAAGTTCTACATGATGTTCTCACCCGGCCTGTAGGCCAAGGCGGCTAACGTTATGTCTCACTAGGAAGCCTACATGATGTCTGAACAGAAATTTTACCCCGCTCTTTCTTATATAGAAAGTTTAGATGCGTCAGCTATTAGGGCGGGGCAATTACCATTTTTGGGCAAGTGTCCCTGATGAGCACCGTTTCACGTCAATATTTCAAAATATCATATGAAGCAAGCGTATTATAAATAGGGGAAGACACTGAAAATGACACAAACTAAAAAATTACTTACAAGGACGATTAAAATTAAATTTAATATAAAATACCGTACTGCTAAGTGTACATATTATAATTGTATTTGTGGTATATTTATTAAATAGGGAGACGAATTAATATAAGTCCTTGGTTTGTTTTTGAATCCTTACTTTTGTGTATTAATTTTCAATCGGATTAAAATACAGATCTATATTTCGTTTCTTATTTTAATACATTCGATGGCCTACACTACATGAAGATCTGACCGGTTGTAGTGGAAGGTCGCGTCAAGGATCGTTGGAGCGTCTTTTGACGTTATGACGTCAGACATTGATCAGAGTAGTCGCTGTAACAGATGGTTTCATTGGCTAATCCCTCACTTAAACCAGAATGCGCGTTATATTTCAACTCTTGTGAAGACAAGTAAAACGAAATTTTGAACTATAAAAAACGAAACGAAATAGGATCTGTATTTTAATCAGATTGTATTCATTATCTATTTTATTTGAATAAATATTGTTTAAATCTAGGTGGGGACAACGCCACGTTTGGTATGGGTACTAGGGTTGACAAGGCAAACCTGCGGGTTGTAAGAGCCCATATTGTTTTACCAATGGGCACGACACAATCACAAACAAGGGCCAATATAGGAAATAAACATACCGACATGTAACAATATAAGATACTGCTTATCATGTCAAAACATAGTTACGTTTCAACGAATGTCAATGGTTATATTTCAAAATAAAATCTTCTAGTCTCGGTCACCCAGAACCTCCTAGTCTTCAACATACGTAGAATATTTTTCTGGATGATAGAGACTAAAAATCTTCTAGCTCTATCAGAGGCCATATTGACTCAAACGGTATTACGTCGCATTGTGTCAACATTTCACTCACATGTCATTCATACAATTTCTGAATGAAAAGAAAATTTATTAAGATTTGCGCAGTCCAATTACATAAACAGTTATTTTTGTTGATGCAATAAATTGTGTTTAAACAATAAACCTATTATTTTTTCCATTTTTTATGAAATAATTTAGATTTTGGATATGATATACATATGCTTTCATTGTCGAATTTTTTTTTTTGGGTGGGGTGGGGTGGGGGGCAATAATTTGGGCGCTATTAACAACAACGCACCCGTGTCGGTGATTAGTAGCGCATAACAGTCTCTGAATAATGGGTTAATTGTGGAGAAAAAGGAATGTATGGTGTAGATTTGGTCAACGCCCTATTTTATTATATACTCTTCAAAAAAAAAAAAAAGAAAAAAAAAGGAAACCCACAGCCCTTTTTCAACATTGTTTCTATAAATCTTACTTTTTTTTATGTCATTATCTAACGATAATAGAATTTCATTATTGATTTTAAATGTAGGGTATCTAATTGTGACTGCTGATCATATTTTTTGCCGAAATTTGTTTTCGCTTGACACATTAGTTTAAAAACTTCGCAAGCTTTTCCCCTGAAACCCAAATCTAAGGCCTATAAAATCCCGGGGTTCTCGGTTTCAAAATCAGTTGCACACCCAACGAGCCTAGTGATGCCACTTTTGAAGTAAGCCCAATGCAACAACGCTATCGTTCGGTTACAAGCAGTTGAATCCTAAACAGATGTAGCCAGGCTGTTAAATGTTTTTCAGAGTACCATTTCTCGCCTTTGGGATAGGTACCGACAACGAAGTTCAACACGTGACCGCCCAAGCTCAGGCCAAACAAGAGTGACCCATTACTGTCCTGGATCGTCACGTCCGGTTACGTTATTTGTGGAAACGGTTCCTAATAGCGACCTCTACTGCAGCAGCAGTTCCTGGACGGCGTAAGGTCTCAGACTAGACAGTCCATAGACGCCTACGTAAAACCGTATTACGAGCCAGACGTCCCTTTACAACAGTGGTTTTCAACGTTTTTTTGATAATGGCACACCTTGGAACACATGCAAAAATAGCGGCACACCTGGCTAAATATATGTGAAAAATATTTTGATTTTGCAAAATAAAAACATGGCAAGTCATAGACGGCATACAACCGGAGACACAGACTAGTCATAGACACATAGAACGACTCAAACTAAATAAAGTAGACACATAGAATGACTCAAACTAAATAAAACAGACACATAGAACGACTCAAACTAAATAAAATAAAACACAGTTATGAACTTATCAGTAGGCACCAGTAAATGCTCAATGTGGATCACGTGGTTTTTCACATTTTCTTAGTGTGCCGTTCAAAATGTCGCGGCGGCACACTTCGGAAGATCTCGCAGCACACCTGTTTGCCGCGGCACACTCGTTGAGAATCACTGCTTTAGAGCAGTAGAGGCGTTCTTTTGAAATACGCCGACATAGTCAAATCCGACTTCCGGGTATGGCCACAGCCACGTTTGGTTCAGCAACTAGTCGCGGTTCCTGTTGCAACGAGGCGATGCTAGTGCGAGGGTATACCGACGTCGACCATGCGTTTCTTTTTTTGGAAGAATATATTAAATTATATGTTTTAAAATTGTAGCTTTGATTGTAGATATTGTCGATGTTGCTTATTATTATCTGATATTCCATGTTTTTATTGTAGATTTGTTCGACCTCCTATGTTATTAACTGATATTCTATTTTTTATTGTAGATTTGTTCTACCTCCTGTGTTATTATCTGATATTCTATTTGTTATTGTAGATTTGGTCGACGTCCTATGTTTTTTGTTGGTGCTGCTATATTGTTAGTAGCTGGAAGTATTGCTGCCGCTGCTCAAAACATATATATGTTTTTACCGATGTATTTTCTACAAGGTCTAGCACATACAGGAATATTCCTTGTAGCGTTTACACTGTGTAAGTTTTATTTCTCGCCATTTCTTAAGTCAATACATTTTCAACGTAACATTTACGGATCAAAAACAAATATTTGTCCTTCTACGAATGCCTGGAAGAAGTAGTCTAAGAAACAGTGGTGCTGTGCTGAGGGATGGATTTCCCGGTTTTGTGTTTGGTATGACGTTTACTTTTTTTCGTTTGGGAGATGGTAGGGCTTCTCTGTTGATTGAGATGTGGGATGGCGTTCCCGTTCCCGTTCTCGTTCTTAGGTGAGAGGCGGAGAAGGTTGTGCAGGTTAACGAACTTAGAGTATGTGGAAACAACCTGGCCCGGACAAAATCCCACCCCGCCGCCTTCCGCACAGCATGCGTAACCATGGAGATGAAAGCTATCATACATTGGTCCTCCTGTTGACGAGACACAAACACCCATTTCCTTTCCATTACGATTGTGTGACTAAACTAAATTATAGCCTACAGAACGCACAATTGATTCGACTTTCTTTTATTTCCAGCTACAGAACTTGTTGGACCAAAGTATCGTCTGTTTGTTGGTATCATGAATCAGATGTTCTATTCTGTTGGTTATATGACGTTATCTGGCATGGCGTATTTATTACGAGACTGGAGATATCTAGAACTAGCTATAACTCTACCTGTTGTACTTTTTGCAACATACTGGTGGTACGTATATTATATTTATCGATCTTACTGATTGTGATCCTAACAGAAACAGGGTATGTAATTGTAGTTCCAGCGATATTGTGTCAAAGCTCTCAAAATCAACAAAACACAACGCTGGACTTCACTACGGACTTCAATATGATCCCACGTTGTGTTGACTTCACGTTGTGTTTGACTTCACGTTGTGTTTGACTTCACGTTGTGTTGACTTCACGTTGTGTTTGACTTGAAGTTGTGATTGATTTCACGTTGTGTTTGACTTGAAGTTGTGATTGACGTCACGTTGTGATTGACGTCACGTTGGGTTTGAATTCGCGTTATGTTTGATTTCAATGTGTGATTGACATCACGTTGTGTTTGACTTCACGTTGTGTTTGACTTCACATCGTGTTTGACGTCATGTTTTGTTTGACGTCACGTGTTTGACTTCACGCTATGTTGACTTCACGTCACGTGTTCTTTTAATACCTGAATTCAATACGTTTTTATATTCTATATTATATATATATGTCTCTCTCTCTCCCCCCCCCTCTCCACCACCACCCCCCTCTCTCTCTCTCTCTGGGCCACGGCGGTCAATCTATCGAGTCATGTATTATTACAGTATGATGAGTAATATATTTATTTTAGGTTTCTACCGGAATCTGTTCGTTGGTTACTGTCTCACAATAGGAACGAAGACGCTCAAAAATATCTCCAGGAAGCCGCCGCTACAAACGGCACAAAACTACCACCGTCAATCACAGAAAGCCTCCAAGACGGCAAGACAGTAGAAAAGAGTAGAACGTATCATTTCCTAGATTTAGTTAGAACATGGGCCATGGCTAAAATCACTCTTAATATTTGCTTTAATTGGTAAGCTGTTCTAATCATTAAAGTGATTTTTGGCAATGAGACAATAATATTTAGTTGGAATTTTGGGTTAATTTAGGTAACAATTAAGAAAAGTAAAAATTAGTCCAGCACCAACCAAAACCCATTAAAAGGATATTCCCGTGTTAGTGCGGGCATTATAGCTGCGTGGACTGTGTTGCGGCATAGGACCCTCCGTTTAGGGAAAGATTGAGAAAGTTTATCTTGTCTTTGTGTGTATGACAGATGTGAAACGGAGTAGAAACGTATTACAAAATAGTATATAAATTTTTAGATATGGCGGCAAATTTAGGGCAGAGGTCTATTCTCAAAGAGTGAAGTAGATGGATTTCTGTGGGCAGAGTGGAGTTGTATGGCGCATCTTAACATATTGACGCATGGTATATTAAAGGATGACCATCCCCTGTATTAGATGCAGCTGGTCTATCGGCATTCTACTACTTTAATTAGACAGTTCTTAATTTTGATACTGATTTTCGTGGCTCACTGTGGTTCATTTATTTTTTCTAGTTTCATTTCATGTTTATTTAAAGGTTTGTAAATGCTTTGGTCTACTACGGATTGTCGTTAAACACAGAAAATTTAGCCGGTGATCCGTATCTGAACTTCTGTATAGCTGGAGCGGTGGAAATACCGGCGTATATATTATGTATAGTATTTTTAAACAAAGTAGGAAGAAGGATACCATTAGTAATATCGATGTGTGTTGGTGGCATCGCCTGCATATTATCAGGAACTATTCCTATTAATGATAATTCAGGTCAGTTGTTCGGAGTTTTTTTTTAACTTTTAAAGATTTCGATAGCTAGTTAATTGTTCATTGATATAAAATATAATACAAAATATTTTATGAAGTTACTTTGAGCTTTCCTTTCCCACAAAGGTTATGCTCGTTTTAGCACCTCAGTTGGGACGTGGCAGTCGAAAGATCAGGTCATTGGACTATCGATTGGAATGTCCCCGGTTCGTCCGTTTTCCATCACGTGTAAGGGAACGCACCGATAAGGATCACTTGGAAAGTTTGCCTATACATTTAGATCGACCGAAAACTAGAGGTCCACTGTTCACCCCCATGGTAATTGGAAATCAGAGGTCCACTTTGTACCCCCATGGCAATTGGAAATCAGAGGTCCACTTTGTACCCCCATGGCAATTGGAAACCAGAGGTCCACCGTGTACCCCCATGACAATTGGAAATCAGAGGTTCACAGTGTATCCCCACTGGCAATTGGAAATCAGAGGTCCACCGTGTACCCCCATGGTAATTGGAAATCAGAGGTTCACAGTGTACCCCCTTGGCAATTGGAAATCAGAGGTCCACCGTGTACCCCCATGGTAATTGGAAATCAGAGGTCCACTTTGTATCCCCATGGCAATTGGAAACCAGAGGTCCACTGTGTACCCCCTTGGCAATTGAAAATCAGAGGTTCACTGTGTACCCCCATGGCAATTGAAAATCAGAGGTCCACCCTGTATCCCCATGGCAATTTGAAATCGATTAGTAAGTGGAAACGCCACTGTCCTCGTAAAAATTCTCATACATCGCATTAAGCCCAATCCCACGCACAGTTTAAAAATTAAGGCAGAAAAGATAAACCCTAATTCATTTTGTGACGTATTTAGTGTTAGTATTAAAAATATCCAGAGAGTGCCCTTTATACTACTGGTGCAGACGTTAAACCCCATTCCATATCCCGTAAACAACCACCCAGCAATTTGATTTATGGACTCTTCGATTACATATATTCTTACAAGTTCCTTGTGAGTAAACAACTGCGTGTTTCTAATAGCAAGTGTAGGATATATTCCTGAAGCAATGATCCGAGAAATCCCCCCGAAAGACTGAAAACCTGAGTTTTTGACGGGGTGTGTCCATTCTCATCGTCCAATCAAATCTCTCCCGAGTACAGGAAAATAAAGGGAATTTTCATGGCTGGCCGCATAACGTGAGCGACCTCTTTAAAAAATCCCAAAGGTTGTTAGTACTGATTTCAAAAATAATTTACCCTTAAATGCATCTGGAGCAAACATCGATACTCGCATCGGTAAATTTGGCAGTCGCTGAAACTCGCTGTTGGAACGAAAGTTCTTTTACTCAAATCTCCGATATAAATCCTATAAACTTGTCTGTCTGTACTAATTATTAATGCCTACCTTTAAGTATTCGATAATATTTATCCATTTTTTGTGAAGAAAATCCATGAATTATTTATTTCATCAAAAAGGCACATGATGTCGTATTTCTATCCAGTTTGTTGAAACACAATACGCAACATGACAGCCCTTAGTCTGCTGTGTGGTCCAAGAGATGATAAAAAGATTCCACGTGCGCGGCGATTACCCAATGTTTACATTGTAGCTATTTTGTATAGCCTCGTTTGTTACACAATTAGTTTCTCTGCAATATTCTGTTATGCACTGGTTAAATGAGCGTAATACATTTCTCGCGTTTTGACGTTATGTATCCGCGTTTGTCACTCGTAGACACTTTACGGTAATATATTTAGAGTTCTAATTAATCACGATTTTGTTACGTAGTACTGTATTGGTTGTTGATCGGACTGTTAACTAGTCATAATTTGGGACAAAAATTTGCGCGGAGTACGGCAGTGTTTGAGGGGGATTAGGTCTGATCAAACGAAACACTGCGAGGAGTATGGTGTTGTTGGAGGGGGGGGGGGGCACGACTGCACTACACGTAAAACAAAACCGACAAGACTGATCTGCGGACAAGACAAACTAAAAATGCGATCGGTCTCCTGAATGACGATAGTCTGCCAGTTTACGTCATAAGTTGGAACGTTAAATTTTAACATTAAGGCGATAATCCGAATATAATTTCTGAAAAGCCATAAATTTATACAGAAATGAAATGAAATGAAATGGGGTTTAACGTCCTACTGTTCTGCTCCGAACTGGGCTAATGAAGACGGACATATGCCATACAGTGTGCTATGAGGGAAATTGGCACTACGGCCAGTGGCACTACGGCCTACTCTTATATCGTATTCCAACTGTCAAGGGATCTTTTAAGTGCACGCCAATGTGTACACGGGCCTCGGTTTTTCGTTCCATGGGGGTCACGGTGGCTAAGTGGGTAAGACGCTGGCTCGCTAGTCTGGAGGTCGGGTGTTCGATCCCTGCTTTGGCCGATAAAGTTCACCCAGATTTTCCGGCGTGGTTCCTTCTTGTCAGTGTTACAGGACGGATGGCCTAACAAGGACAGCTGTCTAGTCATTCGGATGAGACGAAAAACCAAGGTCCCGTGTACACATTGGCGTGCACGTAAAAGATCCCTAAACTCTATAATCTATTCAATATTTTCATTCTATTTTAGATATAAAAACACTGACAATTGTTTTGGCTATGACTGGAAAGTTTTTCATAACCGCATCGTATGCTATTGTATATCTATTGGCTTCCGAAGTTTATCCTACTGTTGTACGGTAAGAAATGAATATATATTCCTAAAAATATGGGGGGGGGGTGGATGGCCGAATGGTTAGTACGGGCGCGCTGTATCGTAAGGCCTGTCATTGAGTCAAATGGCGTGGTTTCGAATCCCCGGTTGCACGTGACAAGGAGTAGGATTGCCTGTCCAACCTCGTGGGTTTTCTCCGGGTCCTCCGGTTTCCTCCCACTGCTAAAGACCCCTATAGGCGCAAGCGAATTATTGAAAGAAAGTCTGTTTCCTTAAAATATCGCCAATGAGATGTGTAGTACTATCAGATAGATGTTCAATCTTCAATATTCAATCTTCAATATTCAATCTTCACGCTGTGTTTTCTTCCGTGACTAAGTTACAACTACAGTTCAGGTTCTTTTCTTAAATACTTTATTTCTACAAACTGGAAGTGTTACAATTCTTCCTAGTCTCAAATAACTAAATGACTGGTATGGCCGGCGGAGTGAGCTCTGCCGAATGCTATTTCCCCACCCTATTTTATAGGTGCCTATTCCTTTGTTTGAGGTATTAATCTAAAGACCGATAACAACTAAGTTCTAAATATGAAAAGGACATGCACCCCAAACTGAACATCGCCAGGGATTGTTACCTTATTTGGTCAACAAATATGATATATGTTTTTATAACAAAGAAAAATGTGAATGACCAACATGCTCATTAATCTATAGCTCAGTTAACGTATCAAAATAACAGGCATATACCTTCCATATTTGTGGTTATGAAGTTAGAATCAATAATATGAAAGATAACGCTATTGTTCTAGCCATCATATTTCTGCATTCTTGTCTTTAGACACCATGTCTGGTTATTGTCACAATATTCATAGCCAATTTAATTTGCGTTTCAGAATTAACTTATACCATAACTAATATATTGACAATGGAGAATAATTAATCAAAATCCTAATATTATTTTACATAGATGTTTCAAAGCACAGATTCTTTCCCTCCATATTACTACAGATGTGGAAGAACTTGGCAAATCGTGGTCCGTTGTGTGGGAAGCCACGATGAATGAGTGATTAAGACGCTGGGTCGCTAGCCTGGAGGTCGTGGCATCGCTTCCAGTGTTGGCCGAGAAAGTCGATCGTGATTTTTCGGCATGGTTTCCTCTTCCCCCTCATCAGTGGTGCAGGACGGAGGTCCTGACTGACAAGAACATTTGTCTGTGGCGTATACCCCTCTTCTATAGCAGAGTCGGAGAAGAAGGGTAGGACGTTAAACCCCATTTCTCTCTTTCTTACAGGAATATCGGGATGGGAGTATCATCAATGTCGGCACGTATTGCTGGTATACTGGTTCCTACCATGTTAGATTTAAAGTCGATCTGGACACCGTTGCCACTAGTTATGTTTGGTAGTCTATCTATAGTAGCTGGTATTTTGGCGATGCTGTTACCAGAAACCACGGGCAAACCGCTTCCTCAACTATTGGAAGATGTATCAAACAAAAACAGAAAACGGTAAATACCTTTTTATTTAGGACCACATTCTTTATTAGTTACGATAATATACAACCAAATCCACGGTAATTATGGTCAACATATCCCATCATGCAAAGGGAAGTAACTCTAAGATGGAGTACCCTGTCAATGCACAAATGGAGTGACATTTGACGAAAAGTACTTGTCTGGAATGACAGTCTAGTAAATTTATCAGTAGAGATTCGGTGGCAGAGGCTGGCTGGCGGATGCCTCTCTGTTTCAATGTGAGTAGGTTACTTTTCATTCACTGAATGAATGAATGAGAGAGTGAGTGATAAATGGGGTTTAACGTCCACTCGACACAAACTAGGTCATTTCAGGACTAACATATGGTTAATTTTATTTTAATAATTCGCTTGCGCGTAGGGGTCCTTCGCAGTGGGAGGAAACCGGAGGACCCGGAGAAAACCCACGAGGTTGGACAGGCGACCCTACTCCTTGTTACGTACAACCGGGGATTCGAAACCACGCCATTTGACTCAATGACGGACTTTATGGTACCCCCCATGAATGAATGAAGCTATGTGACAATGATTTTTGGAAATTCTCCAACTGCAATATCCTGGCGCTGCCACTGACCCCGGGTTATTTTTGATCTAAGTGGACCCAGCAATGTTTACGGTATTCAATTAGGATCTGTAAATTGAACCTGCTAATATATTTTTTTACTATTTTCTAACAGAAAATTGGTAACTGTAGAGGAAGAAAAGGAAATGTTTGATAATTCAAAGGTGTAACTGATGAAGGGAGCTTTGAGCGCCCAGTCCATGGGCTAGTATTCGTTGAAATTGAAGCGTAGACAGGCCTCTAGTCAATGGTTAATATTCGTTGAGAGCAGAGCGTAGGCTTACATCTAGTCCATTGGTTCTCAGCCTTTTTTTGCCAACGGTACACCTTGGAACACATGAAAAAATAGCGCCACACCTGGCTAAATATATATGAAAAATATTTGAATTTTGCAAAATAAAAACATGACAAGTCATAGACGGAATACAACCGTAGACAGAGACTAGTCAGAAACACATAGAATGACTCAAACTAAATAAAGAAAACAAAACATAGCTATGAAGTTATCAGTAGACACCAGTAAATGCCCAGTTAGGATCACGTGGTTTTTCGCATTTTCTTAGTGTCCCGTTCCAAATTTCGCGGCACACTTAGGAAGATCTCGCGGCACATCCGTGTACCGTGGCACACTGGTTGAGAATCACTGCTCTAGTATGTGGCTAATATTCGTTGAACTTGAAGCACGGACTGTGAAACGAGTCAACTGTGAAATTTTCTATGCAATATTTTTGTGTTTTGAATGTGGAACCGTTTGTGAATTTAACGTATTAACATTGTCACTGATTTATAAAACCAACAACTATATCCAGTCTGCATATGGGTCGTTAAAACATTCTATATTATGGTGATCTCAAAACACAACGTTTAACAAAAACACTTGTTAACAGGAAGTGACGTTATAGAGAGATAAGCAACAGGAAGTGACGTTATAGAGAGATCAGCAACAGGAAGTGACGTTATAGAGAGATAAGCAATCGGTATTTATTAAAGAATATTCCAAGTACCGGAACTCAGAATCAGCAGCCCCCACCCTCCCACAAACTGAGATTGGCCCCCTTTGGAATTTCATATAAGAATCAAAATTTCTCTTATATGGCGTAGTGCTGTCTTCATTTTCCCAGTCGGTGCAGAACAGTCGACAGTTCATTACCATTTCATTTAGATTTATTTACCATGAATAAGAATCAGATCATGTCCCTGTAATGAATGATTGCTTTAAATTCTTTATAAAAACCATGAATAAGGATAAGATCATATCCGCGTAATGAATGATTGCTTTAAATTTCATGATAATGTTATCAATTTTTTTTTGAAAATTCCTCATAAAAACCATGAATAAGAATAAGATCATATCCGCGTAATTAATGATTGCTTTAAATTTTATGATAACGTTATCAATTTTTTATGTGAAATTATTTCAAGATGAACAGCTTGTTATCTATTCCACATATAAATATCCAAATATTGTAATAAATTATAAATATCTAAATATTAGTATAAATTATAAACATCAAAATATAAATATCCGAATGTTGTAATAAATTATAAATATCCAAAAATTGTAATAAAAAAAATTATAAATATCCAAATATTGTAATAAATTATGAATGTCCAAATATTGTAATAAATTATAAATATCCAAATGTTGTAATAAATATACAAATATTGTAATAAATTATAAACATCCAAATGTTGTAATAAATTATAAATATCCAAATGTTGTAATAAATTATAAATATCCAAATATTGTAATAAATTATAAATATCTAAATATTGGTATAAATATACAAATATTTAAAATATTTACAGTCCCGGGGCTGAAGTCACGAACACTTGAACTAAAATATTGTATAGATCCTGCCTTTTGAATGGTTGGGAATTAAAATCCTAGTGCAAATTTTCAATCTTGGCCAATCAAAAGTCAGCTTTCTTAAAATATGTATAATTTCAAGAAGGGTCCTGCGTTTTGATTGGTTTGGAGTTAAAATCATAGTGCAAATTTTAGCTCTTAGCCAATCAAAAACCAATTTTCTTAACGTATTTATAATTTCAAGAACATTAACTGGCAAGGGGACAAAACTCCAATGGCATTGAGAACGTCCAAATATACGGTTCTCTATATTTTATGAAATACGCATAGGCGTACGAGCTGGGGGGGGGGGGGGGCGGCCGCCCCCCCATTTTGGGCACCAAATGCTGGGAAAATTTGGGCACACAATTGTACTTTGTAAAAGTTGTATAAAAAAAATATTGTGTTCTTGAATGTGTCCAATTTAACAGCGAATTTATTATTATTATGTAACATACTAATTAAGAACCTAACTACATTTTCTGGGCACCAACCACCTCCGCCCCCCCCCCCCCCCCAGTCAAAAATTTCCCCGTACGCCTATGGAAATACGGCATGCATGAACGTTATTTTGAGAGGGAATTGGGTCAGAACGAGCTACACATAGTTTTCAAGATTTGTTTTAGTGTGGGTCACTTGACTCAATGAACAGACCCCATGATCTAAATGCGCACACACGAAAAACCGAGGACCTGTGTATAGAATGGCATGAACGTAAAATATCCATTGGCAGTTGGAATTCGATATAAGAGTAGGCCATAGTGCCGCTGCCAGGGCAAAATTTCCCTCATAGCAAACTCTATGGCGTATGCCCGTCTTCATTAGCCTAGTTCCAACAGAACAGCCGGACGTTAAACCCCATTTCATTTCATTTAATTTTCACGTCACCCCACCTACTAGACGCTGTTCCATGCCAGGTCCCCAGTGCTCCACCAAGAAGAAATCACGCCGGAAAACTCCCATGAACTTTCTCGGCCAACACTGGGATTGAACCAGCGCCTTAATAAAGATACTTTCCCAGAAAAGTGTTTATCGGGTGGCTATTTCCAATAAAAGTATGTCAAATTTGGTATATATGGAAAGTATAGACACCCTGGATTACCCGAAAAACGCCCATGGCAACCCGACTGTTATCTGCCAGCTTATTGTGTGCCAGCTTAAGTGAGGGAGCGGTTGTTATTTCTTGATCAAATGGTTAGACGGCTTTGGGAACATTGAGGGGTGTAAACGTACAAAAGACTCTGCAAATAAACGGCGGAAAAGAAAGTTGACAGAAATAATGAAGAATTTACTTAGGCCTCAATATGTATGGTAAATGTAAAGTAAGTAATGATAAATACATTCTGAAAAATGGACCCTCCCACAATGAAGCTAAGTTGACAGACATTGCGTCTAACAACAGCTTACTTATAGCTATAGGTATCCCCGGAAAATACAAAGTTTTGAGAGGGACTTGAAGCAAATATTTGATAGATTGGTTGCTTTGAATATGTTTTTAGCCCAAATATATCATCAAATCACAAAGTTTGTACGCGGGAATGTATCTTTAATCATAGCTCAGGAGCTATAGCAAACATCTGAGTACAAAAGGTTTGAGGCCTACAATTAGTCGCTATAACACTTTTGGGGTCACCTTAAAGGGACATAACTCTCACATTACCGCCGAAATTAGTTTTATAACACAAATGGAGTATATCCAATTTTTCATACTTCTTATTTTAATAATTTTACATTTTTTCACACATCCTTAAAGGACCAATCGCGATTATATCTTGGAGAATAAAACTGCTTAGTTTTGTGTTAAAAACCCTTAAAATCCTCTACCTTAAGGCTGAGCAACTAACTCAATATACGGGATACGTTTTCAAACAACTTAAACCCGTCAGTCTTCAAGCTGTATTATACGACGTCTACATAAAACGGTTTTGAGAGAGAGAAAGAGAGAGAGTGAGAGAGAGGGGGGGGGGGGGGTAACGTCCACTCGACACAAACTAGGTCATTTCAGGGCTAACATATGGTTAAGTTTTATTTCAATAATTCGGTTGCGCGTAGGGGTCTTTAGCCGTGGGAGGAAGCAAATCTCACAGGAACACATCATATAATAAAAGAAATTTAATAAGAAAAAAATGATGGGAGAAGAAATGGCTGAAACAAAGATGATGGAGCAGCTTATAAATTTCTGAAAAGTGTTCTTGGTGGGTAACTATCCAATTCTAATAGAAAAGATTGTTGTTATGGTATTTTGGAATCTAAAATTCAGTTTAGTATAGTAAAACTGTACACGTACATGTATGTGCACAGACAGAATCTTAATAGATATGACTATCTCATCTGTGGCAAAGCAAACCAACACATGAAACAAAACATATGTAATTACATTAACACTTTCATTTTTTTTTAACTAAATCAAAACTGTCTAGTCAATTTAAGTCAACTAATACATTGCATATTTTTTGTTCAGTTACCCAACTCAGAAGATCAAGACTGTTGGAAATGGCTATTGATATTGTGGAAGCGTTTTCAGACAAATGCTATGTAAGTATTTGTTTTTTTGAATCAGGAGTACTCTAGTTCTTCTTGTTGAGGCATTGTCTAGGGCTCTACCATTTCAAATACGATCAACATGAAAGGCTTGGGGTTTTTTTGACAATCGCATTGGTTGATTTTCTTCGAGTTTTGATATATTACGTCAAAATTATAAGATGGATCAATGTTACATCCTTTCATAACAAATATTATAAAGTGTTCAAATGCATGAATTTGTAAAGGCCAAGGGCGGTAATATATGAATAATATCATATTAGAGAGAGAGAGAAATGGAGAGAGAGAGAAACGTGGTTTAACGTCCACTCGACACAAACTAGGTCATTTCGGGACTAACATATGGTTTAATTTCATTTCAATAATTCGCTTGCGCGTAGGGGTCTTTAGCAGTGGGAGGGAACCGGAGGACCCGGAGAAAACCCACGAGGTTGGACAGGCGATCCTACTCCTTGTCACGTACATCCGGAGATTCGAAACCACGCCAGTCGACTCAATGACAGACTTTATGATACAGCGCGCGCACGCTAACCATTCGGCCATCCAACCCCCCAATATCATATTAAAATACTGTTTGCAATACTGTATTCACAATTGCCTTAGAGGAGCTAATTGATAAATCCAATGATTAGATTGTCATTGTTATTGTCATTTTTTCAGGAAACGGTTTCATTAAAAAATTACAGAAGATATGTTAGAAGTCGGAAAAAATACAAACCCAGATTTAAGTGGACGCAAGCCATTTTGTTTCTACAGAAAGAAATAACAAAGATTTTTCTGATGCCATGGCAACTACAAACTGACAGAAATGCATAAAACAAGGTTCTGTCAGAATATATCATATTTGGTAAGAACTTGGATAGCCAAGAATAGTCAATACAAGCTGCGAGGCAAAAGAAATTAAAATGAAATAATGCATTTATGAGAGAAGTAAGATTGTAGTCGTTGCTTATAGCAGTTTAAAAATGATGGACAATAATTTTACTTTTCAAATAGATTTCAATAGATTTTTAAGGATATATTCATTTTATTGAAACACAATAGAGATTCAATATGTGGCAAAATGATTTGTTTATTTAAACATTCTGAACCATAGAAAGTATATTTATTGCCTACTTTATTTATTTTTCAGTTTAGAAAATTCTTTGAAGACTATTTGATGTATGATAACAACAATACGAGAATCCAACCATACATTTTGGATATTAAACCATCTAATTATTTTATAATTCTCAAAAAGAATGCAGTGATTGTGAAAACTAATAAGTTATCTGTTGCATTTAAGGTGTTATTTAAACATGCATTATGCAAGAGCAAAATCTGCTTATTACAAGTATTTCTTTAGGCCTGAAATGTTATCTAAATTATCAATTAGACATTAAATAACTTATCCAGACCATAATAAACTCTCGATGTCAAGGCTAGCCTTCGATGTAGACTGGATTAGATTCCTATATGCCACTAACGGCCAAAGATAATTAAATCAGAAAATGTGGATAATCGAGACTATGCTGTTTATATTAATGATTTTAGTAATGATAACCGAGACTATGCAAAAATTTCACCGGCTTCTTTCTCGGCTCATAGTGGATCAATTTGACTGAAATTTTCAGCAAATTACCTTTACACTATCTAGTTTTTAACTATTATAGCGAGAACTGCCATCTCTTTATCTTATCTCCCATAATGTATCTTTAATTATTTTTGTTTTTGTTTTTAATGTTAAATACCCTCCCAAACACAATTATATTTTAATTTTCTCCAGAAATTTGTGTAAAATATAGAATGTAAAGTGACCTATAAAAATCATAAAGTATTATATAGGCCATATCTAGAAACCAAATGTAGATAACATATACAAAAAGTTACAAAAAAACCCTCAGGAACATTAAGGCGACTTTTCCTTGCTTTTAATATGAAATATGGTTTTACATCCTACTTTTCTATGTTATGAAGGTAATTCTGCCCTGGCAGCATTGCTACAATTTACTCTATTATTAAATATTCCAACTGTCAAAGGTTTTTATAGTGTATATGAGACCTTGGTTTGTCATCCCATCCGAGCGACTATACATTGTCATGGGGGAACTATGCTGGAAAATCCACTGAACCACCGTGGTCGCTTATATTTCATTTGTTTGAAGTTTTTCAATTATAAAAAGTATTTCAGTTTAATGAATAATTAATGTCTTTTGTGCTTGATTTGACTGTTATTGAATTTAGATATTTTTTTTTATTGTATACCATAATTTGATTAGTATTGGGTTTACTTTGTTTTTATTACCCTTTGAAGTGTCTTTTTAGTATACGTCTCCTATATTTCATTTGTTTGAAGTTTTTCAGTTATTGAAAGTATTTCAGTTTAGTGGAAAATTAATGTCTTTTGTGCTTGGATTGGCTGTTATTAAATTTAGATATTTTTTATTGTCTACCACAATTTATTTTATTAGTATTGTATTTATCCTTCGAAATGTCTGTTTAGTATTGATTTGGCATTAATTTAATTTTTCATATCATTTAATAAATAATATTTTAACAAATAAACTTATTGTCATTTATCAAACATTACAGTTAAAACAGAACAAAAGGAGGGGGCTGCGTGGGAAAGGTTGCTATACTAGACATAAATTGGTTATACAACAAGTTTTATTTTGTTTCAACAATTAACACAAGTTTGTATTGTTTAACACAAGTTTGTATTGTTTAACACAAGTTCGTGTTGTTAAATAGAGACACAAACTTGTGTTGAAAATAACACAAGTTTGTGTTGTTTTAATACAAGTTTTTTTTTCAGTACTTAGTTGATTGTGGGCTTGTTATGTAAATAAAGGTCTAATTAATAATTTCTATAAAATTTGAAGCTTAAAGAAAGACTTGCAATAGGCAGATGTACCTCTTAAAACAATTTATATCCATGTGTAACACTACAGATAACAGAAGATCAGCATAATTGATAAGACCTTTATTAAGAACATGAAATAGACATAAATCGGGAGGAGCTCTATTCCAAGTAAATTCCTGCTTATATAGCGTCCAACAATTAGGGAAGATGGATAAAAGTGATCATCATATATGGTATGGTTTATTTATCAAATTATGGTATCCGTAACTGCACTGCGTGTTTCCTTTGAAGTCATAAAGTTGTGCCGAGTGTTATACACGGATCATGTGTAGCTTGTAAATGACATATTGAATTAATTAGTCCGTGCCTTAACAAAAGTTTATACAGAGGTGAAACGTCAATATCATATATTATCAAAACTAGCAGAGGTCATAAAGTTCTATGCACCTAAATGCATCAAGCATCCGCGCTTAGTCACGCTTGACCAGCGATCAGCGATTTTGTCAAGATCGATCGTGTCCGTCAGGTCAAACTCACACGGAAGAGTCAATAGTTCATTGAGGAGTTCCTGCTTCACGACTGAACGCATAGTAGATTTTACTAATTTCAGAATTGTGATATCCAATCAAGTCGATCAAGCATATAAACAGACATATTCATACATATATTGAGTATTTGCGATTTTTCCCTTCTATTTTGCCACTCTTTGTTTACCTCATTAATTCATTTAGTTGCCGATGCATAATTTTGGGACCGACTGCACTTATTTTGAGACGGGCATTCTTCCTGGTGGGTGGGTGAGGTCAGCGCCGGATTAAGGCTCTGCTGGCCCCAAGGCACATTTTGATAGGTGGCCTGAAAATACAGATATGTTGGGCTCATGTTGGTCTATGCATGTTTATAATTACGAGAAATACATCTAATGTCAATTGCGAAATCAATGAAAATTTAAAAAAAAATATGAAATTACTTACGAGATTCTTTCCCACAACAAATGTAAACAAACCTCACGTGTGTAAAGGGACGAAACATCATGGCAACCCTTTGCCAGAGTATGGAAAGCTTTTAAGGACAAACGCGTAGATGAAGAAGGATGCATTTTATTTACATAAAAATAAAGGCAAGCATTTTTGTCACCATCTCTCTTAGGACGGAGTCAGTTGTATAGAGATCACGTGATGAATAAACATTAAATGATAAAATAATGAAAACTTTTATTCACTGCTAGACAAATCTTCGAGTAGTTGAGGCATTGGTTTGTCCGTGGTTTCTGGTAACAGCAGCGCCAAAGTACCAGCGGTTATAGACAAACTGCCGAATATAACTAGCGGTAACGGTGTCCAGATCGTATTTAAATCTAACAATGAAGGAACCAGTATACCACCAATACTTCCGGACATCGATGACACCCCTACACCGATATTCCTGTAATAAACATACATACAATCCTTTATACACCAGGGTGGTTGGATAGCCGAATGGTTAGCACGTGCGCGCTGTATCATAAGGTCTGTCATTGAGTAAACTGGTGTGGTTTCGAATCCCGGTTGTACGTGACAAGAAGTAGGGTCGCCTGTCCAACCTCGTGATTTTTGTCCGGGTCCTCCGGTTTCCTCACACTGCTAAAGACCCCCTACCCGCAAGCGAATTATTGAAATAAAATTGAACCATATGTTAGTCCGAAATGACAGTTTGTGTCGAGTGGATGTTAAACCCCATTTCTCTCTCTCTCTCTCCCTTTCTTTATACACCAACGAAATCCAGTTTAACGTCCTACTTTTTTGCACCGATTGTGCTAACGAAGACGGGTGCTACGGCAACTATTATTTGGAATTCCAGCTAAAAACATTTTTGTTTATGTGCATGCCAATGAGTAAACGGGGTCTGGAATTTTCGTCCCATCCGAACGACTAGACACTGTCCTTGCCAAGCCGCGTGTCCTGCAAAACTGACATATTTTCCGGCTAAATCTATTTGTTAAGGTCAGCTCAATTTTTGTCAAGGTCGCTGAGATGTAAATAAGGTTACGACACGTGATCGTTGGCGAGATTCTAGGTTAGGGTTAGGGCAAGCAGGGTTAGGGTTAGTGTTGTGATTACCGCTAGCACTGTTTACATCTCGTGACCTATGACGAAAAACTGAGCTGGCCTTACCATTTAGCAGCAACCCACATTTACCATAGATATTGTTTTTTAAGTATACTACCTATTGCCAATATTAATCAACATTCAGTATATCTTACCGTACAACAGTAGGAAACACTTCAGCTGCCAATAAATATAACATTCCGTAAGATGCGGTTATGAAGAACTTTCCTATCATGGCCAATACAATTGTCACTGTTCCTACATAAAAAAAATACCAATGAAAATAATGAATAGATTATTTAGGCCATTTTCGAACGTTTCCGCATCAAAAACCCAATGGAAAAAATAAATAGATTTTTAGGACCAATTTCGAACGTTTCCGCATCAGTAGTATAGGACACTTTAGAACATAAATGCATGATGGGATATGTTAACCTACATGCTAAAAAAAACCCGCTAAGGCCTTACTTGAGATCATTGGGTGTATATTTTCCCTAGATCTTTATTTTGTAACATTTATTTTTTCATTTCGTGAAATCACATACATATTTGATCAATTATTGATTCGGTTGAATTTTTGAAGATATTTTCGAAGTTTTACTTGTTGAAAAATGTTTAGGCTTGAATTATTTGAATTTAATACAATACTATCCCGCCTTTTGGAGAAGCACCTCATCCATTTTGCAACACAATAAGTATTTGACCGAGTGTGGTGTCATCAATCTGAACGACAGACTCACCCTACCTGCACAGAAGCCAGCTACCATTTCATTTTCGTACGTTAGTTACGTACGTGGTGTCATTGCACTAATATGCAAATTAAGAGTGAAAACGCCCGCACCACCCACCCCAACTGAATAGTGAACAAAGGAGTTTCTGTGTCCCATTACACCATATAAATTCTGGGGGGTTGGATGGCTGAATGGTTAGCGTGTGCTCGCTGTATCATAAAGTCTGTCATTGAGTCAACTGGCGTGGTTTCGATTCCCCGGTTGTACGTGGCAAGGAGCAGGGTCGCCTGTCCAACCTCGTGGGTTTTCTGCGGGTCCTCCGGTTTCCTCCCACTGCTAAAGACCCCTACGCGCAAGCGAATTATTGAAATAAAATTAAACCATATGTTAGTCCCGAGATGACCTAGTTTGTGTCGAGTGGACTTTAAACCCCATTTCTCTCTCTCTCACCATATAAATTCTGAATAATTAACCTTAATTACCATTTATATAGACAGTTCCTGATAATATACAAGCAATACCACCAACACACATCGATATTACTACTATTAATTTTCTTCCCACTTTGTTTAAAAATACTATACATAATATGTACGCCGGTATTTCCACCGCTCCAGCAATACAAAAGTTCAGATACGGATCACCAACTAAATTTTCTGTGTTCAACGACAACCCGTAGTAGACCAATGCATTTGCAAACCTTAAGAATAAAAACAACAAAAATGAAACAAGATTTAACGTGTTACCTTCCCAAGTTCACGAGTGTTATTGAAGACGGGCATTCGATCTTCAACTGCAATGTGTCGTGTATGACTGTATGGATATAAAGTATGGTCTTATCCCATACAGACTTTAAGCGTTATTTGTATACTTTATAGTTATAGAATTAAATTTGATATTATTAAATCATGGTTTTCATAATATGTCGCCACAGATCACCAATTTTTAGACCGGCTCTAACTTTTTCCCAAATTATCGTTGGGTTGAACGCTTTCTATCTCCGATGGAGCAACAAGTGGCAACCTCTTGCTGAAGAGCACGTATGATGAGTTACATCATGGAAAACTTGAGATAAACAAACTGGAAGTAGCATATAAGTAAAATGAAACTGTCCGCCCTACAGTTCAACCTAACCAAAATCGTAGCTCTGGTATCCTTCGCCTCAAAATCATCGAATATTCATCGCCATGCAGTGGGCTATGGGGGAAACTTTGTCCGGGCAGCGGCGCAACGGCTTACTTTAATATCCGATTCCAACTGCCACAGATTCTTTAGATGCATGCCAAAGTGTAACATCGAATCTAGGGTGTTCGTATCATCCGAAGGACTAGATAGCTGTCCTTGACGGGCCCTCCATTCAGATACTTACCAATTAAACCAAATATTAAGAGAGATCTTAGCCATTGGCCATGTTCTGACCAAATCTAGGAAATAATACTTTCTTCCATTTTGTATGGTCTTGCCGTCCTGGTGGCCTTCCGTCACTGGGGGTACCGAGCCATATTTCTTTCCAGTTTTCACGTTGTTGTTGTCGTCTTGAAGACTTTTCATAATCGATGGCGAGAGTGTTGTGCCATTTGTAGCTGCGGCTTCCTGGAGATATTTGTGAGCCTCGTCATACCTGTTGTGAGATAACAGCCAGCGAACAGATTCAGGTAAAAACCTGTAATAAAATCATACTTCTATTTCTAATACATAACTCATCTTATGATGCTTTTATTATAATTATACATGACTCTGCTATGTAGGCTGATTGGTATCATGTCGTGATGTCATGGTGTCGCTCTTCATAAGGCGACAACCCGACAATCAGACATCACACCATTTTAATCTGACACCATGACAATCCAACAACCTGACATCACAAGATTTTAATCAGACACCAAGACAACCCGATAACCTGACATCACGACATTTTAACCCGACAATACATTTTTACGCGACATTCCGACATTTTTACGACATGACACCTATCAGCCACCATACTCTGTAGAGTGGCCTCCAGTAAACTCAAGATACTGTTATAATACATGATTCGGTACACATGGGGGGAGAGAAACGTATGTTTTAGTTTTATTTCAATAATTCGCTTGTGCATAAGTTTGGGGGATGGGGGCCGAGGTCCCAGAGAAACCCGACGAGAATGCAAAGGTGACCCTAGTCATTGCCACTTAAAAGCGGTAATTGAAACTACACTACTTGACAGATCGTATGATCTTACGCTCAGTTCAACTCATTTCATGCGTGAAGTCAAACACAACGTGAAGTCAGACAGAACGTGAAGTCAAACACTTCACTTGAAGTCAAATACAACGTGAAGCCAATCACGTGACGTGAAGCCAATCACGTGACGTCAGACATGTGACGTGAAGTCATATTGAAGTCCGTAGTGAAGTCTATCGTTGTGTCCAGGGTTTTGAGAGCTGTGACACAGTATCGTTGGAACTACAATTACATACCCTGTTTCTGATAGGATCACAATCAGTTAGATCGATAAATATAATATACGTACCACCAGTATGTTGCAAAAAGTACAACAGGTAGAGTTATAGCTAGTTCTAGATATCTCCAGTCTCGTAATAAATACGCCATGCCAGATAAAATCATACAGCCAACAGAATAAAACATCTGAATCGTAACACTAACAAGAAAACGATACTCAGGCCCAACAAGTTCTGTAGCTGGAAAATGAAATCAACTTTAACCCCCTGTACATGCTGTATGATTTAGGGTATTTCATTTACAAAACAGGGGCCTCTTTCACGAAATTTTAACTAAGATAGAATCCAAATTTTAGTAATTTGATTGGATAATATTAGATTAATTTTAGTGCTTAACCAATCAAAATTGAAGTACCTACTAAGATTTGGATTTTATCTTAAGTTAAGATTTCGAGAATCAGGGCCCTGAAATGACAGGTGTGTGTCGAGAAGGGGTGGGGTGGACAAACCCCTGCTCGCACAGAACATATTTTACATGCACCTAAATGGGCAGAAATATTGTCCCAGAGCTTCTGAATTTATTAGATGCTGGGTTAGTACCCCAGATCTCATGCCCCCGCCCCCACCCCATCTCAAATAGCTGACCGCGCCCCTGGTGTTAATTGCTCGCGAACATAAGACTTCGGAGACTTTGACCTCATAATTTATAGGCTAGCATTTCATCAATTGAGACAAGATGAACCCCACTCCCCAAACAAGGAACGAACGGAAACGCCATTGCACGTCCCAAACAAAAAACGAGAACGTCATTACCACTTTTCAAACAAAGAAAGGGACACGTTATCCCTCAGCAGAATGCCTCGGTTTTTCAGATAACATTTGAATGCAAATTTAAGCCTTTGGGTCGCGTATAATCTTTTAGTGAAATATAAAATTGCCGACTTGGGGATCAAATGAAATGAAATGAAATGGGTTTTAATTAACGTCCTACTGTTCTGCTAATGAAGACGGGCATACGCCATACAGTGTGCTATGAGGGAAATTTTGCCCGGACAGCGGCACCACGGCCTACTCTTATATCGAATTCCAACTGTCAAGGGATCTTTTACGTGCAAGCCAGTGAATACACAGGATCTTGGTTTTTCGCCCAATCCGAACGACTAGACAGCTGTCCTTGTCACGCCCTCCGGACTTGGGGATCAAGTGTAAACGACACTTATATCACTTTCAATATCTTCATCTTCAGGTATTTGTGGTAAATTAACTAAACATGGCATTCGTTTATTTTTGATCGTTGAATGTTATATTTAAACTGTCTTGTCTTAGACATGACGATGAATATAACTTACACAATGTAAACGCTACAAGGAATATTCCTGTATGGGCTAGACCTTGTAGAAAATACATCGGTAAAAACATATATATGTTTTGGGCAGCGGCAGCAATACTTCCAGCTACCAACAATATAGCAGCACCAACAAAAAACATAGGACGTCGACCAAATCTACACAATAAAAATATAGAATATCAGATAATAACACAGGACTTCGAGCAAATCTACAATAAAAAATAGAATATTTAGTCGGAGAGAATGGCATATTTTGTGGGAAAAAATTCCCACTAAAATGATTCCTGATTTTTCTGAAACTATACGATGGGTAGTGTTCCAATAAAATCCCCCCCCCCCCGTTAATCGACCTTGGGGGACAAAAATTTACAGCCATTTTTAGGTTTGGTATCCGAACTTTTGTAAAATTTCAGTTTTTGGGCCCCTGATTGGTCAATGGTACTTTGTATGGTGTCGATATATAGGTTTTCGGGGTCGGAGAATGCGGAAATGGTGTTTATTTTTTCGTACGGTTACCATGGTAACCATATTTTCAGGTTTGGTATCCGATTTTTGTGATTTTTTTCATAATTTTTTTGTAGTACATGTGAGGTGTCAAAATATAGGTTTTTAGGGGCGCTGAGTCCGATTCTAAGGGTATTCTGTAGATAAGATGGCCCAATAGCCCATATTTGCCTTAATTTGGCCCAAAACTAGTAGAATGGAATCTAGTTATTGAATAGCTAAGACACTAATATGGACCTACTACCACTGGAAGATTACATAGGCCAAATTACAAAATAAAAATACAAAAAATACTCGCATCCAATTTATTCCTCCAAATCAATCTGTTCTGCATTTTTACAACTTTCCCCGTGGCAGCCCCCACACGCAGCAACACATTTCATCCCGTTCTTCTTACAGGTACAGTGATTTGTACCGCATAAATTTTTGGTTGATTTACATTTGCATCGAATAAAATTTAAAACATTATCTGGTGCAGGGGGAAGGTCAGTTGGCACTGGTCTAAATTGGCCATCAACCACCTTCCATCCCCATAACAAAGGATCTAAGATAGTCTCGTTTAATTTCTCCCAAACAATAATTTGCTGATGAACTCTCAGTGTATGATACTTAGCTGCACGTTCAGTAGGTGGCAAGCGGGCCGCATCGATAGTATTTTTATCACACATCATCTGATTGAATTTCATATGACGCAACTTAGTCAACCCGGTATTGTTTTTATCACCATAAAGAATACATAAAACCTCGCACCCAGCCTTAGCTATCTCTTCACCGCTACTATCAGAGTCAGATATTATTCCACCCAGTTGCTTGAGCTTATCATTTGAATCCAAAGATTTATAAATGGCGTTTTTACCAAGTCCAAAAATTCCTGAGGTGGTGTCGCACCCTGTAAATGCGTGAGTGAATAGTAAGTTCTTTCTAGTAGACTCGGCAAGATTATCACATATTGTCTTAATACTATACATTTCTACCGTTTTGGCTGAATACATTCTGATTTTTATGACCATCCCAGGTTTCCAATGGTATAGTAGCATGATCAATATATCAGTGTCATTGGCCACCACGATGACGGACTGATCATTTGCTGCATAGTATTCTTTATGGTGATAAAAACAATACCGGGTTGACTAAGTTGCGTCATATGGTAACCGTACGACAAAATAAACACTATTTTCGCATTCTCCGACCCCGAAAACCTATATATAGACACCATACAAAGTACCATTGACAAATCAGGGATCGAAAAACTGAAATTTCACAAAGTTCGGATACCAAACCTAAAAATGGCTGTAATTTTTTTTCCCCAAGGCCGATTAACGGGGGGAATTTTTCTTGAACACTACCCATCCTATAGTTTCAGAAAAATCAGGAATCATTTTAGTGGGAATTTTTTCCCGCTAAACAGGCCATATGGAGTCAGCCTCCTCGACTAATTAGATAATAACATAGCACGTCGATCAAATCTATAATAAAAAAATAGAATATCAGATAAAAACATAGCACGTCGATCAAATCTATAATAAAAAATAGAATATCAAGTAATAATAACACAGGACGTCGACCAAATCTAGAATAAAAATATAGAATATCAAGTAATAAAAACACAGGACGTCGAGCAAATCTAGAATAAAAAAATAGAATATCAGATAAAAACATAGCACGTCGATCAAATCTATAATAAAAAATAGAATATCAAGTAATAATAACACAGGACGTCGACCAAATCTAGAATAAAAATATAGAATATCAAGTAATAATAACACAGGACGTCGACCAAATCTAGAATAAAAATATAGAATATCAAGTAATAAAAACACAGGACGTCGAGCAAATCTACAATAAAAATATAGAATATCAAGTAATAATAACACAGGACGTCGGGCAAATCTATACAATAACAAAGTAGAATAACAATAATTGAATGAAATGGGTATGAAATAGTGTCTAACGTCCTACGTGCTAATGAATACGGGGTCAAATAATAATAACGCAGGAGGTCGACCAAATCTAATTGGTGTGTTCCCACTTATTATAGCCGGCAGACTGTTAATCCTTTGATTGATCTTAAAACTATAGTCTGTTTAAAAGTAGTCACTCAAGAACTGTTCACTAGTGTTCAGCGTTAATGAGCTCTTAATCCCTCTTAATAAAATTTATTAACCAACTAATTAATGACATTTTGAACATAATTCATGCCGGCGTTATGATTTCAAACATGAATTCAATTCACTATATTAATATAAATAGATGATCGATCTGTGTCGAAAGGCATTTATTTATGTTGTAAGGCATTTATTTATAAATTATATAATGCTATTTGATAAAAGTTATATGTGTAAATTGTAATGCATTTTTATATGTGTAAATCATCTAATGTTATTTAATAAATATTAAATTTGTTAAAATCAATATATTTTTGTATGTGTAAGCTATTTAATGTTATTTAATAAAAGTTCAATTTGTTAAAATCAATACAGTTTTAGTCTTAAAAAAGATATGGACTATAGTGATAACACTATTGTTCTAGGATTAACTCTGGATTAGCGGCAAAATTTGACATCAAAGCCTGCCGGCTAAGTGGGAACACCCCATCTAATTGAATCCACTAATTTACTATCATAAGCGTATAAAACTTTATCACCCAATAATACATTCGGCAGTAGATATCGCTTGTGTGATAAATTTCATAATCTACTGCGATATTGACCAGTTTAAAAGTAACTAATTTTTTTTTATTTTCAAAGAACAGTTCATTTTTTTTTTTATGAAAGTAACTTCTTTTTTTTTTTTATATTAAAAATGAACTATTTTTATTTAATTGACCTTAAAGGAAACACTGGGCCAATATAAAGGACTTTGCAATGGTTCAGTTGCTGTCAAAAAATGATGTATCACTACGTCGTAATGTAATCAAGTTCAGTAAAAGTGAAATCTATAGCAAATAATTATATTTATTTATTTGTGCACGTAAGAAAGGTTTGGGTGATAAATAAAATCTCCTACTCGTCTTATTTACTTTATCTATTTATACCATACGTTATTGTCACACATCACTATGTACAGTCGCATGGGCTACTCCTATAATTAATCCGAGAATAAATGCTTTTGTCGCGGTGATTCAGGGAGTATGGTGTCGGCTTACTGAATAGTGGGTCCCAGACTCGATCCCGGTTTCTCAAGGTTTTCCTGTCCTGTGTCCTATCGTCAGTGATGATTGATGGAGGAAGCAAAATATCTAGTTATCCTGATGATCATACTAAACTCACCTGTCTGCCTACAATCAGCTCCGATTTGGAACAAATGAAACGAAATGAAATGGGGTTTAACGTCCTACTGTTCTGCTCCGAACTGGGCTAATGAAGACGGGCATACGCCATACAGTGTGCTATAAGAGAGATTTTGCCCGGACAGCGGCTCTCCGGTCTACTCTTATATCTAATTCCAACTGTCAAAAGATCTTTTACGTGCACGCCAATGTGTACACGGGACATCGGTTCTTTGACTAGACAGCTGTCCTTGTCAGGCACTCCGCGCTTTGGAACAGACACTGAGCTAGTTGACTGACTTTTTATTTGCTATATCGACGATTTTAGTCGAAACCACACAGTATAGTTCGCGAATACTGAGATTCTTTTATTTCGTTTAAATTTAATAAAAAAAGGGAAGGTTATTCTTTTTTTTATGACAGGTGACAGGTATGAAACGGGGTAGAACCGCATTACGAAAATTGTATATTAATTTTTAAATATGGTGGTCATTCAGGCCAGAGATGTATTCTCGGAGTCCCGGGGATGCCATCGACAGGGCGTTATGGGAGATTAGATAAAGAGCTGGCAGTTCTCACTATAATAGTTAATGTAAAGGCAATTTGCTGAAAATATCAGTCAAAATTAATCCGCCCTGAACCGAGATTTTACCGATTGAATTTTGGGTCTAGCCTCGATCATCATTACTAAAAACGATACGACAAAAAACATAGTCTCGATTATCCACTTTTTATTTAATTACCAATGAGCGTTAAACAGCCGATATGATTCTAATCCAGAAAATATCGCAGGCTAGCGATGCCATCTAGAGTTGATTGTAGTCTCGAAAAGTTAATTAATGTCTAATTAATAATATAGATATAACATTTCAGGCCTAAAGAAAGACTTGCAATTGGCAGATCTCTTACATCATGTATGTTTAAGGATTGCCCGACTTTCCCTTAAATAACATTCCATGATTTCTGTTAGCACAAAATTATGAAAAAATAAGTTTACCTGTCAGACAGCTGACCAAATGAAACAGCTCCACATAATCTTCCTAAGAAAAACACCGACTTGGACGTACTCGTCCAAAACTTTTTCTTACATACCAGATCAAACTATTGTAGAAACAAAAGAATTTTTTGAAAAGATATTTGGATCTATTGAAGTAAAAAAAATATACCCACCAACAAAAGACATTTACATATATTCCTGTTTTTATAAACAATATTTTAATTCATTCGGAAGAAAGGGGGTGGGGTACGGTGGATGGCCGAATGGTTAGCGCGTGCGCGGTGTATCATAAGGTCTGCCGTTGAGTCAGCTGGCGTGGTTTCGATTTACCGGTTGTACGTGACAAGGAGGAGTAGGGTCGCCTGTCCAGCCTCGTAGGTTTCCTCCCACTGCTAAAGTCCCCTACGCGCAAGCCAATTATTGAAATAAAATTGAACCATGTGTTAGTCCCAAAATAACTAAGTTTGTTTCTAGTGGACATTAAACCCCCCTCTCTCTCTCCCCCTCTCTCTCTCTCTCTCTCTCTCTCCCCCTCTCTCTCTCTCATTTCTCTTGGCCTATGTTGACTCCTCTCCAGAATTTACAACATTAAATTTAATTTATGTATGCAGAACATTTATACAGTTGGATGTTCCGTTAATTTATATTTTATTTTATGACAGCAATATCATTACTATATCAATTTGAATCTTATAGCATTATGTAGATATTGACCGATCCTAACACACACTAAACAGGGTTAGTGCTAAAAGATAAGGCCAGCTCAATTTCTCGTCATAGGGCAAGAGATGTAAACAGGGCTAGCGCTAATCCCAACCCTAACCCTGGACCGAGACCTAGCCCCAGTAAATTAGATTAAATAAGACCAGTCTCCACTCTAACCCAAAGCAAACCATATATTAAGTCCTATCCCTAACCCTAACACACAATCTCGCCAACAATCATGTACCCTAACCTTATTTACATCTAAATTCTAAACGACCTTGAAAAAAAATGAGCTGGCCTTAACAAATAGATTTAGCCCCTCACACTGTCCATTCTCTGACTTAAATAGACGCGTTTCGTAATCTATCCATAACTTATTAAACTAGGAACCCCATAGTACTATACATTTAGTAAGATAGGACCAAACCCAATCAGCCCACCTGAGAATGCTTTGCACACAGGGTAGGCCATAGCGCTAATGTCCGGGCCCAAAATTCCCCTCATAGCACACTGTATGGAGTATGCCCGTCTTTTCTATATAAGAGTAGACCGTAGAGCCGCTGTCCGGGCAAAATTTCTCTTATAGCACACTGTATGGAGTAGGCCCGTCTTCATTAGCGCACTAGGGTCAGAACAGGACGACGTTAAACCACATTTCATTTCATTTCATATTTATATATATATTTTCTATTGGCAGTGTGAAGTTAGCTCGATTTTGGTTTTTCGTTTTTTGATATTGGTGAATATCGAAAAACGAGTACCTCGTTTTAGCCATTCGCCAATATAAAAAAACAAGGAAAAGGAGCATTTTTTTATGTGAATCAACTGCACAGGCATCCTCATTTATGATATGTTTAGTTCATTTTACAAAACATATTTAATCAAATGTGTTTTGAAGATATTCTGTACATATACATCCATTTAATCTGCTTTTACGAGATTCAAGTTTGAATATTGAAAAACGAGTAGCTCGTTTTTCGAGATTCGCCAATATCGAAAAATTAGCTAGTTGTTTTTCATTATTCGCGAATATCGAAAAACGAGTATATTCACCAATATCGAAAAACGATGGGGGCAATGATGTTTCATTACTTTTGTCTTAACTCACCCGATCTCAGGATCCAAGCTCGTCATCTATCGGGGGTGGGGGTGGGGGTGGCTTGGAAGATAAGTGTATTAACAATTGAAGACGAAGATGATGAAGAAGATACAGTGTCAACAGGCTTAAAAGACAATACTGGTGTCAATCATTATTACATATACATATGTGATAGAACTGGTTACACACGTTCCAAATATAATTTTAACACAGATGAATAGATGAATAATGAAGGTTCCAACAAACTGAAGTGACGAACGCAAAAGGAAAACACGAGTTATCCTTCTATATAACTGACTGAAGTGACGAATGATAACAAATACACGGGCGAATTTCTTCGCACTAATAATTTCTTCGAAGACCAAAAGTTGTTGAGTCAGACTGTGAGAGAATATGTGACAATTCAAAGAAATTGACTGTCACTAGATAAGAGAACACGGGAAAAAAAATATAAAAATCTGCGCATTACCATGTTTTTATTAAGTATAGAATGAATAAATACAAGGGAATGTACGATATTCAAACCAGAAGTAAAAACAATCAACTTTAGATGAATATATACATTCAAAACAAATAGTTATGTTATTGGTACGTCTTGTTATGCAGTTGTTTGATATAATGTAATGAAATTTTGAATGTTATATTTTAAGTTCTGGTTATTCGAGGGTGCATTATCATAATACTTCCGGTATAATACTTCCGGTATAGCGACAATTGAGTATTCCGACATGCTGTTGAATCCGGCATGCGTGGTCGAGTCCACTGTACTTAAACCACCCTGACCCAGACCCTGTATACAGATATATTCTACTCACCTGTGAAACTATTGTTGATGAATATTTTTCTTTAGAATACCAAAATCCCCTGGTACAATCCGTGGTAGAGATATTAGATAACAGGACATGGTTACCTGTATAATTGTCGTATAACATGACAATATCTTTCTCATCATACTGTTTACAGGGATCATCTGGTACCAACAACTCTAATAAAACATCATCGCTAACATTAGATTTATTACTACTAGAAATATTAATGTTTTCATTATCACAGTGGAATTTTGGCTCGGCACCGATAAATACCATATTAAAAGCATGCCACGCAGACACAAAGGAAAATAAACACAATAAAAAACATCGTATTTTCTGATATTTTCCAAACGGTCCTATAGTCTCGAGAACGTCATCAAACTTCATTATGTCTGCCTTGTATCAACAATATAGTCATACTAAGGCTTCTATGCTTCTAGTCAGAGAGGCGTGACCACCGATCGATTCATAAATAAATAACACGAATAATTTTGTTTGGCATATTAGTGGTGTTTATAACGTCGATTGAAGAACGAAGAGGTAGGCAATTCTCCCGTCAAAAAGTAACACCTAGTAACTCACGTTTTTCTTATTTTGAGAAAACAAAGGAAAACGTAATGAATGAATATTAAACTCCAGCTTAGCCATTGATTTGACTATTGAGTTACTAGGTTTTGCTGTGGCATACTAGGCAAATAAAGAAACTTGCTAGGTTGTGTCATGGGTGTAACTGCTTACAAAATGAAGAGATCGGAATATCTAGTACAACAACAGGAAGCACAAACCCTAATAACTACAAATTTGGTTCTAACTCAATTTTGATAAAAAAAAAAGTGAGTTACTAGGTTTTGACTTTTGACGGGAGAATTGCGGTGCTGTACCGAGTTTATATGTGGACTGACAAAGTCGGGCGGCTTTGTCAGATCCTGTTTCGTTTCGTTTCTTATAAACTAGGATCTGGAAGAGTTGTTATATAACCTGCGTTCTGGATGGCGTGAGGGATTAGCCAATGAACGGTCTGTTACGGCGACTTTTTGGCGTGCCATGCACGGAACTGTGTGAACTGTGTGAAAACCACTTGAAACGTCAACGCTGATTGATTAATCAAAGTCTGACGTCATAGGGTCAAAAGCCGCTCGTACGACCTCTGGCGCGATCTTTTACTACAACCGACAGATCTTCATGTAGTAGCGGCCATCGAAAGTATAAAAAAACGAAACGAAATATAGATCTGTATTCTAATCAGATTGTTGAATAACCCAGATTCAAGATGGTATAACTGGCAAGGAAAGTAAGGCTAGTCGTTCCGAATGGACCAAAATATTGTGTCATGCCATTCAATTAATTTGCACAACAGCGATTAAAAGAACTCAGACCGATGCAAGGGCAGTAAATCTTAGCCAACACCCGCGGTCGAACCCGGGAGTTCCTGGTTAGCCAATTGGACAGGATGCGTGACAATGGCGAATGGTATAAAAATGTTCATGTCCCTTTAATAATATGTAATAGGGGGACAGACCAGCTTTAAAGATACATTATCGGAGATTAGATAAAAAGCTGGCAGTTCTCACTATAATAGTTAACAACTGGATAATGTAAATGCAATTTGCTGAAAATTTCATTCAAATTGATCTACTCTGAACCGAGATTTTCGCGATTGAATTATCGGCCTAGCCTCGATCATCATTACTAGAGTCGGTAGGATAAAAAACATAGTCTCGTTTATCAATTTTGTGATTAAATCATGAATGGAAATCGGACAGCAAATCGGAACCTAATCCAATAAACATCGCAGGCTAGCGACGACATCGAGAGTTCATTATGGTCTGGATAAGTTAATTAATGTCTAATTAATAATTTAGATAACATTTCAGGCCTAAAGTTCTTGCATAATGTATGTTTAAATTTCACCATCTCTCTCTGTCTCTCTTCTCCCTTTTTACATGCCCCTTTTTGTTGATTTGTTGGTCTAGAATGGACGAAGAAGGTTGGAAATGACATTTTCTGCCAGGTTTTGGTAAATATTCATGATCTTGAGGCGGAATGATAACAGACTTATTAGGTTGGCTACGGTGATATGTATGGCGAATAGTTACATGTTTTTACTATGCTTCTTCAAGTTTGTGTATCTCAAAATTTTGATGGTCAACCTCATACAAATTTTAGTACAAAGACATGACCATTTATTTCTCTGTCTGTAGTGAAAAGCATTCAGCCCGACGAAAATTTGGGGAAAATTTTGAGGTGGGCAAAGAGGTCAGAATTAACATTGAAGTCAATGGGGAAATTAATGGTGGTCTGCATCCCAATGGGGAAAGAGTTATGTCCCTTTAATGGTTAGTTTAATAACCCGGCCTGCAACAATTACTACTAACTGGGCACTACAACTGTGAATATAATAGCTGAGACAGTATAACACAACCGCGGAGTGGAAGAATGATGTTATAATGGAATCGAGCGCCGCAGGCGCGTAAAAATTTCAGATATGTAACTGAGCTTTTAATTTTTGGGGACTGGGCCTGAAAATTTTAGTCAATTTCATGGCAAATGGGACAAAATCTTGAGGCCTATCTGTCAATTTCGACTTTTTTGTGAGATAGAAATAACAATTCTACAGTCTACCGCCCCACGACCCACTCACTAGTGGTACTACTAACATGGTGATTTACTGTGACTTTGAATATGGCAGTAATGAGATAGTATAAGAAAGAGGAGTTGAAGAATGATGACATAATGGAATTGAGCGCCGATATGTAACTGAGCTTTTAATTTTTGAGGACTCTGGACTTTGGGATCTGGGGAAAGCTTTTCCAGAATTCTGATGGTCAAAAAACACTTACAACATGAATAAAATACGTTTTAATTTCTCCTGGGATTGAATATGCAACAAGTAAAAATTCTTAAGTGCAATAGATCGCCTTAAAGTTTCATCATTTGAATTAATTCTTTTACGCATTTCTGAAAAAAAACTATACTTCCGATAACTTCTTACCAACTGTTCGACTAATATTATTCGTATGACAATCAAGAAGCTATAGAATAATTCAAGTTTTAAAATTTGCTTTTTAAACTAAATTACCGTAGACGCAGAACTTTGCGTTTTAGTTCAAATCTAACACGCTATTTTCATATTTTAGCACGTTTTTAGCGTCTTTGCGTCCGCTAATTTCGAAGCCTATCCCATGTACACATTGGCGTGCACGTAAAAGATCCCTTGACAGTTGGAATTAGATATAAGAGTAGGCCGTAGTGCCGCTGTCCGGACAAACTTTACCTCATAGTACACTGTATGGCTTATGCCCGTCTTCATGAGCCCAGTCGGAGCAGAACAGTTGGACGTTAAACCCCATTTCATTTCATATCCCAACTCTATTTAACATAAACGACAGTGTGGTATCAATGTGGAACTAGTCTACGCTCCCAACTATATTCAACAGTAACAGCAGCATGGTGTCGCTATAGGTCCAGTTTGCGCTCACAACTCCATTCAAAAGTAACAACAGCATGGTATCACTGTAGAACCAGTTTACGCTCCCAGCTCCATTCAACAGTAACAACAGCATGGTATCACTGTAGAACCAGTTTACGCTCCCAACTCCATTCAACAGTAACAACAGGATGGTATCACTATAGAACCAGTTTACGCTCCCAACTCCATTCAACAGTTAAACAGCATGGTATCACTGTAGGGCCAGTCCACGCTCCCTATTCCATTCAACAATTACAACAGTGTATCATCACACTTCTCCCGTTCTTCCTCCGTAGTTTCGAATTCCCTGTTTCAAAAGATTAAATAATGTATTTAAGTTAAAGCTGTTGGTCACCTTTTGACGGATTTGATAAATTCCCTTGCAAACTATAATATTGTGAAAGGTTAAAGGACAATATTGGTGCCAGTCATTATCTCATATGTGATAGAGCTGGTTAAACACATGCCAAACATAATTTTAACACAGAGATCATTTCCTGAATCGGAAGTGACGAACGCCAAAGGAAAACACGAGACATCCCTCTATATAACTGAGTGAAGTGGCGAGTGATAACAGATACACGGCCGAATTTCTGCTCACTAATAATTCCTGCGAAGACCAAAAGTTGTTATATGGGACTGTAAGAGGATACCTGACAATTCAATAAAGTAATTGAATGTCATTAGAGAGAGAGAGGGGGAGGAGGCGCTCCCTCCCTCCCGGCCCCTTTGTCGGCCCCTTTGAGAAATTCCAGCTGTCAAGGTGCTATTTACGTGCATGCCAACTGTCCCTTGCTAGGTCCCCGGGCCTTTACTACTGACAAGGTGAAACCACGTACGAAAATCCTGAGGTGCTTGCTCGGTCAGCACCGGAACGATACCGGGAACGAACTCGAGAACTCCTGGTAAATGAGCTAGCACCTTACTCGCTGGCTCATTGTCCATAAACAGACATAGTGAACATAGCATGTGAAGGTGAAACCACGTACGAAAATCCTGAGGTGCTTGCTCGGTCAGCACCGGAACGAAACCGGGAAGGAACTCGAGAACTCCTGGTAAATGAGCTAGCACCTTACTCGCTGGCTCATTGTCCATAAACAGACATAGTGAACATAGCATGTGGAGGTGAAACCACGTTCGAAAATCCTGAGGTGCTTGCTCGGTCAACACCGGAACGAAACCGGGAAGGAACTCGAGAACTCCTGGTAAATGAGCTAGCACCTTACTCGCTGGCTCATTGTCCATAAACAGACATAGTGAAAATAGCATGTGGAGGTAGACCATCATTATTTTACCCATTGACTTCAATGTTAATTCTGGCCTCTTTGCCCACCTCCAACTTTTCTCCAAATTTTCGTTGGGCTGAATGCTTTTCACTACAGTCATGTCTTTGCACTAAAACTTGTATGAAGTTGACCACCAAAATTGTGAGATACACAAACTTGAAGAAGCTTACTAAAACATGTAACACAAACTAGTTGCCGTACATATCACCGTAGCCAACTTGATAACCCCGTTATCAAAATTATGAATATTTACTAAAACCTGGCTGAAAATGTTAATTCAAACCCTCTTCATCCATTCTAGACCAAAAAATCAACAAAAATGGGCATGCAAAAGGGGAGAAAAGAGACAGATAGATGATTACTATAAATAGACGATCTACAATTTGTGGGTACCGAGATGATGAAATTTAATGGTGATCTGCCTCAATGTAGTTTCGATAGTAATGGCCAGTAATCTCACTTTACTTAGCTTCCCATAGCATGGTTACAGAGGTTTGGTGATCACGTGAAGAACATATTTTCAATGAAAGAATGGGATGTTGAATAATACAATACTAACAGTTTTTTACTTTTACTTGATACATCTTCCAATAGTTGAGGTAGTGGTTTGTCCGTGGTTTCTGGTAACAGCAGCGCCAAAATACCAGCTGCTATAGATAGACTACCAAAAATAACTAGTGGTAACGGTGTCCAGATCGACTTTAAATCTAACATGGTAGGAACCAGTATACCACCAATACGTGCCGACATTGATGCCACTCCCATCCCGATATTCCTGTAACAAATTGGTCCAATGACTTTTAGTAATTTAAAGGTCACAGGAAAAGCTTCATTGTTTTTTTTAAAAAAATGTAAGTAATTATGTCAACATATCTCTTACGAAAGTAATATTACCGGCAACCGGTAAATTTCAACGTTAGTAATTTCCGCAGTTTTCCGTGAGTAGTCGTAACTTTCCGTCAATGAACAATCCGTGACAGGGATGAGGGGGTGCGAAGTCCCCCCCCCCCCCCCCGCGTGAAAAAATTTTTCGACCAAAAAAAAAATAGATATACATTGTCCATCAATATGACAGCACCCATGAGGACACTTCCCGCCCCCTCGTTGCTCTGAGCTAGTTACGGCCCTGCCACGGATTGTTTATTGACAGACTACTCACGGAGAATGGCGGGAATTACTAACGTTGAAATATATCCGTTCTGAGTAGGTCAAAGGTCACTATTGGTCGGTCACGTCCATCCTAGCTTAAATGTATATATACCTTGGTGCAAGTACAAAATGGAACTCACTGGTTAACGTCTACTTCTAGCGAGGGTGATGTCGCAGACACATGTTTACCATGAAACCATGGGCAATTTCAGCGTAGGGCAGGAAACTTCAGGACGATCCAAGTTGTCGTACTTTTTCAGACACAGTTTCTGGGCCGTAGACAAATAACCCAGTCACCCCTTATTGCTATTAGCACGTCATTGATGCCATCGTCACAAGGAAACCTGTCTGACCCAAGCGAGTAAGACGATTGACCGGCGATGTATATGACATGTTGTCATACCACTTCCGTCATTTCTTACCGCACAACAGTAGGCAACACCTCAGCAGTCATTAAATGTATAATTCCATAAGATGCGGTTATGAAGAACTTTCCAATCATAGCCAATACGACTTTCAGTGTTTCTAAATCTAAATCTAAAAAAAAAAAAAAAAAAAATGAAGAAAAATTATTCGATTTCCAATTGTCAGTGAGGTTGTTAAACCCACCAGAACGAGTGCGCACATTTTGCTTGTCACCCTGTCCAATCTAGGATGGTCTATTGTCAGTCAGGCACGTCCCGAATTGATAGAATTGTAATTGAGTGGCGCGGAATTCAGTCCTTTGAGAGTTATGTCAGCCTCGACAACGGAGGGGATGCTGGATTGTCAGTCCGGAACGTCTCGAATTGACAGAATTACAATTGAGTGGCTCGGAATTCAGTCCTGTGACAGTTCTGTCAGCCCCGACAACGGAGGTGGTGTAAGTAGAATGGTGACGTAATTAAACACAACGAATATGTTTTGGCTGCCATGGTTGGTTGAGATAGTTTGTTATTGAGACGACGCATGCGTTACAGTTCCAAATGCCCCCTTTTACTCTGTTGTCCCGAATTTTGTGAGTGAGACAATAGCGTATTCCCCTAGAATCCAGTGTCTTGGCTCTTCGATTGCCACGCCCCCTCTGAGGAGGTGTGAAAACGAGAGTTATCTTTCTTGGAAATTGTATTTATATCAATGAAAACGCTTTTTATTACAGACTTTAAAATAATGAGAGAGAGAGACAGAGATAGAGAGAGACAGAGAGAGAGGTGATGTTTTACGTCCACTCGACACAGACTAGGTGCTTTCGGGACTAACATATGGTTCAATTTTATTTCAATAATTCGCTTGCAAGTAGGGGTCTGACCGGAGGACCCGCAGAAAACCCACAAGGTTGGACAGACGACCCTACACCTTGTCACGTACAGCCGAAGAATCGAAACCACGCCAGTTGACTCAATGACTGGCCTTATGATACGTGCTAACCATTCGGCCATTCAACCCCCCTTTAAAATAATGATAAACAACTGACCTGAATTATCATTAATAGGAATAGTTCCTGATAATATGCAGGCAATGCCACCAACACACATTGATATAAATAATGGTATCCTTCTTCCTACTTTGTTTAAAGATATCATACACAATAACAACGCCGGTATTTCCACTGCTCCAGCAATACAGAAGTTCAGATACGGATCACCGGCTAGAGTTTCTGTGTTCAACGACAATCCGTAGTAGACCAAAGCATTTACAAACCTTTAAAAATAAAAACAGCGAAAAATAAAAATTAAATGAAATGGGGTTTAGCTGTCTAAGTTCCTGCACCCACATGTCTAATGAAATGTACTAATGGGGGAAATTTTGGCCGGACAGATGCGCTACATTCTAATTTTAAGTTGATTTTCAACCGGAATCTTTAACGTGCAGCGCTGTTTTGTTCAATCTGAAGAGGCGTATCTATGCCAGACATTTCCTCCTGAACAACTGACAAGAGAAAACCAGTCTCGAAAATTCTGAGACATCTTGGTTAATCTGTCGGCGCCATATTCACGGGCTGGGGAACTTCCTAATTCAAACAAATTCTCAGTATTTGAGAAGATTCTTAAAGATGCATTATGTAAGAGCTAAATCTGCCTACTGTAGGTCTTGTTTTAGCTTCAAATGTTATATATACGATTATGTAGATATCTATTAATATAACAAGCCTATAATCAACTCTCTAGACCATCGGATGGCAGATATTTCAATGGATTAAAACAGCCGGAAGATTTAAAAACTTTATGATAAAATGGATAATCGATGATAAGTCTCGGTTGACTACGATAATAAACAATCTACGCTACACCTTCCGTCGCTCGTAACGTCGCTCAGAATAAAGAATTTAAATGAAATTTTCCATATATTCATTGTTAATTATCTATTTGTGGACTTTTATAGCAAGAACTGACAGCTCTTTGTGTATATCTTATATATTGCATCTACAAGTATAATAAGTAAAATCTAACTATACAAGTACAGCTTTAACAGACCAACACCATCTATGAGTAAAATTTAACTACACAAGTGCAGCTTTAACAGACCAACAATAACTATTATTACAAGATGATAGCACCACTCATCCCTTTCTAACATGTGGACCCTACGCAACAAGGGGTGGGAAATGGGGTTTAACGTCCATTCGACACACACTAGGTTGTTTCGGGACGAACATATGGTTCAATTTTATTTCAATAATTCGTTTGCGTATAGGGTCATTAGCAGTGGGTTGAAACCGGAGGACCCGGAGAAAACCGACGAGATTGGACAGGCGGCCCTACTCACTACCACGCACAATCGGGGAAGCGACCCCCCCCCCAGTTGACTCAATAACAGACCTTATGATACAACACACACGCCACCCCCCCCCCCCCCCATATCCTATGCAACAAGGCAGTTTACTCATTCCTGGGGCCGGCATTGGGGTTTTGCTGGTGTTAACCTTAATAGTAATTTCTCAGTATTGTCACATTACCAAATCTAACCCAAATCAACGCTAATGACGGAACTGATTCCACCCACGTACCAATTAAACCAAAGATTAAGAGAGATTTTAGCCATCGACCATGTTCTAACTAAATCTATGAAATAATATTTTCTGTCAGTTTTAACGGCGGTGCTAACTTGAACATTTTCTGTGATCGATGTCGGGAGTACCGTTCCATTTGCAGCGGCTGCTTTCTGGAGATATTTCTGAGCGTCTTCATTCTTATTTTGAGATAACAACCAACGAACAGATTCTGGTAGAAACCTAGAAAAAAAAACATATTATATTTCTAATTTCTAATACATGACTCGATAGACTAGCCTCCAGTAAACTCATGATACTGTACTGACGCTGTTATATATACTATTCAAAAAAAGTAGGGGATATTTGATTTTTAAGTGTTATTAAAGTCACCTAATGAAACTGACGAAGAAACAAATGACAAAATGAAATGAAGTTCACATTCATCGATTTATTCCAAATGATCGTTAGACTAAGTAAGGCACAGACTGACCATTATAAGGGTAAAATGATACCCGGGGTCAAACAGCAAAGTTACCACAGCATCACAACCAAGTCAGTAACGGGTAAATCCTCCTCTGTTTGCCAAACAAGCATTGATCCGACGTGGCATACTCCTAATGAGACGTCTAAGGTCATTTTGGTCCAGATTGTCCCATTCCTGTTGCAACGCAGCAGCAAGTTGTTGACGTTGACGTAACCTCTGTCCAAGCATGTCCCAGACATGCTCGATGAGGGAGAGGTCGGGACTCAGTGCTGGCCAAGGTAATGTGGTGATGTTCTGTTGTTGGAGGTAATCTGTAACGATCCTGGCCCTGTGACATCTTGCGTTGTCATCCTGGAAGATGAAACGGCGGCCATGACGTCGTGCGAACGGCACAACATGGACTGCCAAGATGTTGTCCCGGTAGTACTGGCCTGTAACACGCCCTGCAACAACATGTAAAGCCGTTCTTCCAGCAACAGTGATGCCTCCCCACACCATAACAGAACCACCCCCAAATCGATCATGTCTGATGACGTTAACGTCTTGGAAGCGCTCGTTTCGACGACGCCACACCCTCCTACGTCTGTCCAAAAGATCAGCAATGAACCTTGACTCATCTGAAAACATCACATTGCTCCAGCGTCGATTATCCCAGTGTTGACGATCCCTACACCAACGACGTCTTGCCTGAATGTGATGATCTCTCAAACAAGGGATCACGCGAGGACGTCGGGCGCGAAGGTGACCCCTATGCAGTCGATTCCGAATCGTCTGGCCACTCACTCTCACACCAGTGTCTGTTTGAAGACGAGCGCTGATCTGATTTGCTGTGATGACACGATTTCTCAAGGACAAGGTACGGATAAATGGATCCTGGGCTTGAGTTGTCGCCCTTGGTCGACCTGAGCGTGGTCTGTCTTGTACAGATTGTGTATCACGGTATCTGGACCATAGCCTGCTTATGACAGACTGAGAAACATTCATCGTCCGCGCCACAACCGCCTGTGTTGTGCCGATCTGTAGCATGCCAAGGGCACGTAACCTTTCATTTTGGGTAAGCCGACTCATATCAAAATTTGTTTTCTGGTCACTAAAACAATTAAACTGATGTTTCCACCCTGGAATTCAATGCCACAATGACTGTAACATTCAAAGTCAGAGTTGTGCAAATCTTGGGTTGGACCCCCATGATGATCCCAAGCATTACCTGCATTCCATGCGGTAGCTATTGGTGCGTTTGGGCGTCACATGTAAATGGAAATGTTTCTTCTGTTAGGTTCTATAGTGACTTTTTTCGTAGTCATTTGCATATTTTAGTATTATGCCCCCAAAATCAAATATCCCCTACTTTTTTTGAATAGTATATAATATATGACGTCTCAGACCCCCTTATCTCCCTGCGTGGTACCACATTCCAAAGGTTTTTCGACTAAGAATAATTTTGATTGAGTGTTTATTGTCCATGTCTTTTTTTACCCCATAAGTTCCAGAAGTTATTTGACATCAACTTTTGTGGTACAAAAACCCCACAGGTCAAAATTACATTCCACGGACTCTTATCTTGTGGAATTCTTCTCGTGACAAATTCCATACAAAGGCCAACAAACCGTGCCTCAAGCACGAGGGTGTACACTGTATAAACTATTAATAAAACCTACAGACCGATAGATATGTCATATTATTCATATCAAGAAGTCAGCTTAATGAATGACGTAGGTTGTAATTGGTCTGTGTGTGTGTGTGTGTGCGCGCGCGCTGGTTGGAGAAGTTATTCCCCCCTCTCTCTCTCTCTCTCTCTCTCTTCCCAACCTCCTTCTCTCTTTCTAGGGAGGAGATTAGGCTGGTTGGAGAAGTTATTCCCCCCCTCTCTCTCTCTCGCGCGCTCTCTCTCTTTCTAGGGAGGAGATTAGGCTGGTTGGAGAAGTTATTCCCCCTCTCTCTCTCGCTCTCTCTCGCGCGCTCTCTCTCCTTCTAGGGAGGAGATTAGGTTGGAGAAGTTATTCCCCCCTCTCTCGCGCGCTCTCTCTCCTTCTAGGGAGGAGATTAGGCTGGTTGGAGAAGTTATTCCCCCCTCTCTCTCTCGCTCTCTCTTCCCACCCCCTTCTCCCTTTCTAGGGAGGAGATTAGGCTGGTTGGAGAAGTTATTCCCCCCTCTCTCTCTCGCTCTCTCTTCCCACCCCCTTCTCCCTTTCTAGGGAGGAGATTAGGCTGGTTGGAGAAGTTATTCCCCCCTCTCTCTCTCGCTCTCTCTTCCCACCCCCCTTCTCCCTCTCTATTAATATATTAATCAGTAAGATCGATAAATATAATATACGTACCACCAGTATGCGGCAAAAAGTAGAACAGGTAGAGTTATTGCTAGTTCTAGATATCTCCAATCTCGTAATACATACGCCATGCCAGATAACGTCATATAACCAACAGAATAGAACATTAAAATCATAATACCGACAAACAGACGATACTTTGGTCCAACAAGTTCTGTAGCTGGAAATAAATGAAAATAAAACGCACAAAATTGAAATGGAAATGAAATAGCGTTTAAAGGCGCGAAGTCTCTAACTCATTATCATCCAAAGTCTTCGACATTGAAAACACGAATTATTTGTCAATTTAAATCAACACCGCTGTTGTGATCATACCGGGAAAAAATGGGCTTCTGATATTCAATATTTAAGACAAAATAAACATTTTACCATTGGTACACGAATCATGTACCATAATGCGTTTCAGTGCAATTTGTAACAAGGGACTCGAAGAACGAGGCTAGACATATTCCCAAGTCACGTCAAACGGTGACATCATATTCTTATCTTGAGAGCATGCGCAATAAATACCTCGGTGTAGAATGAAATAACCAGATGGTAGAGATTGTCATTCGATTGAGACTTTTGGCGTATTTCGCCTAACATAACTGATTTGAAATTAAAGTAAAGTAAATTGAATGTGAATCAGTTTATATACATTCGTATTAATAATATGCGTTGCGACCCAGTTGTCTCAATTCCTACGTCCCAAATATTAGCGAGTTAGCCCATTTAATGTCCTATCTTGTGCACCAACCGAGCTGATAAAGACATGCATAGGATATGTAGGATATATCTTCCAACTGGTTGTTTTACGTATATACGCCAACTTGACACAGGACCCCGGGGAGCCACGGTGGCTAGGTGGTTAAGACGCTGGCTCGCTAGCCTGGAGGTCGGATGTTCGATCCCTGCATTGGCCGAGAAAGTTCATCCAGATTTTCCGACGTGGTTTCCCCTTGCCAGTGGTGCAGAACGGAGGGCCTGACAAGGACAGCTGTCTAGTCCTTAGGAGCAGAACAGTAGGACGTTAAACCCCATTTCATTTCACACAGGAACTCCCAAACGAACGATTAGCCACTGTTACTTGGTAGGCTTTCCGTCCAGAACCTTGGCAAGAAACTTGACAGTGCCTTATCCACTGAGGAACTACGATTCCACGATTGTAAATTTCAGCCCTCTTCAACATAATTATTCGGTTATCTAGGGACTAATATATGACAAATTGTATTTCTATTGTAATGAGAGAGAGAGAGAGAGATGGCGTTTAACGTCCACTCGACACAAACTATGTTTCAATTTTATTTCCATAATTCGTTTGCGCGTAGGGGTCTTTAGCAGTGGGAGGAATCTGGAGGACCCGGAGAAAACCCACGAGGTTGGACAGACAACCCTACACCTTGTCAGCTACAACCGGGGAATCGAAACCACGCCAGATGACTCAATGGCAGACCGTATGATACAGCACGCAAGTACTAACTTTTCAGCCATCCAACCCCGCCCCCTCCTATTGTTATGTATGCAGTGGGAGGGGAAAGGGTGCCCTTAAAAAGACGTTTCCGATTACGCTTCCTTCAATTGCAACTGGTGAGGAATATAACTTACACAGTGTAAACGCTACAAGAAATATTCCTGCTTGTGCTACTCCTTGTAGAAAATACATCGGTAAAAACATATATATGTTTTGGGCAGCGGCAGCAATACTTCCAGCTACTAACAATATAGCAGCACCAACAAAAAACATAGGACGTCGACCAAATCTATAGAATGAAAAATAGAATAGCAGATAATAACACAGGACGTCGAGCAAATCTACAATAAAAAATAGAATATCAGATAATAACACAGGATGTCGAGCAAATCTACAATAAAAAATAGAATATCAGATAATAACACAGGACGTCGACCAAATCTACAATAAAAAATAGAATATCAGATAATAACACAGGATGTCGAGCAAATCTACAATAAAAAATAGAATATCAGATAATAACACAGGACGTCGACAAAATCTACAATAAAAAATAGAATATCAGATAATAACACAGGACGTCGAGCAAATCTAGAATAAAAAATAGAATATCAAGTAATAATAACACAGGACGTGGAGCAAATCTAGAATAAAAAATAGAATATCAAGTAATAATAACACAGGACGTCGACCAAATCTAGAATAAAAAATAGAATATCAAGTAATAATAACACAGGATGTCGAGCAAATCTACAATAAAAAATAGAATATCAAGTAATAATAACACAGGACGTCGGGCAAATCTATACAATAACAAAGTAGAATAACAATAAATGAATGAAATGGGTATGAAATAGTGTCTAACGTCCTACGTGCTAATGAATACGGGGTCAAATAATAATAACGTAGGAGGTCGACCAAATCTAATTGGTGTGTTCCCACTTAGCCGGCAGACTGTTAATCCTTTGATTGATCTTAAAACTATAGTCTGTTTAAAAGTAGTCACTCAAGAACTGTTCACTAGTGTTCAGCGTTAATGAGCTCTTAATCCCTCTTAATAAAATTTATTAACCAACTAATTAATGACATTTTGAACACAGTTCATGCCGGCGTTATGATTTCAAACATGAATTCAATTCACTATATTAATATAAATAGATGGTCGATCTGTGTCGAAAGGCATTTATTTATGTTGTAAGGCATTTATTTATAAATTATATAATGCTATTTGATAAAAGTTAAATGTGTAAATTGTAATGCATTTTTATATGTGTAAATCATCTAATGTTATTTAATAAATATTAAATTTGTTAAAATCAATATATTTTTATATGTGTAAGCTATTTAATGTTATTTAATAAGAGTTAAATTTGTTAAAATCAATACAGTTTTAGTCTTAAAAAAGATATGGACTATAGTGTATAACACCATTGTTCTAGGATTAACTCTGGATTAGCGGCAAAATTTGACATCAAAGCCTGCCGGCTAAGTGGGAACACCCCATCTAATTGAATCCACTAATTTACTATCATAAGCGTATAAAACTTTATCACCCAATAATACATTCGGCAGTAGATATCGCTTGTGTGATAAATTTCATAATCTACTGCGATATTGACCAGTTTAAAAGTAACTAATTTTTTTTTATTTTCAAAGAACAGTTCATTTTTTTTTTTATGAAAGTAACTTCTTTTTTTTAATTTTTATTAAAAATGAACTATTTTTATTTAATTGACCTTAAAGGAAACACTGGGCCAATATAAAGGACTTTGCAATGGTTGAGTTGCTGTCAAAAAATGATGTATCACTACGTCGTAATGTAATCAAGTTCAGTAAAAGTGAAATCTATAGCAAATAATTATATTTATTTATTTGTGCACGTAAGAAAGGTTTGGGTGATAAATAAAATCTCCTACTCGTCTTATTTACTTTATCTATTTATACCATACGTTATTGTCACACATCACTATGTACAGTCGCATGGGCTACTCCTATAATTAATCCGAGAATAAATGCTTTCGTCGCGGTGACTCAGGGGGTATGGTGTCGGCTTACTGAATAGTGGGTCCCAGACTCGATCCCGGTTTCTCAAGGTTTTCCTGTCCTGTGTCCTATCGTCAGTGATGATTGATGGAGGAAGCAAAATATCTAGTTATCCTGATGATCATACTAAACTCACCTGTCTACCTACAATCAGCTCCGATTTGGAACAAATGAAATGAAATGAAATGGGGTTTAACGTCCTACTGTTCTGCTCCGAACTGGGCTTATGAAGACGGGCATACGCCATACAGTGTGCTATAAGAGAGATTTTGCCCGGACAGCGGCTCTCCGGTCTACTCTTATATCTAATTCCAACTGTCAAAAGATCTTTTACGTGCACGCCAATGTGTACACGGGACCTCGGTTCTTTGACTAGACAGCTGTCCTTGTCAGGCACTCCGCGCTTTGGAACAGACACTGAGCTAGTTGACTGACATTTTATTTGCTATATCGACGATTTTAGTCGAAACCACAGTATAGTTCGCGAATACTGAGATTCTTTTATTTCGTTTAAATTTAATAAAAAAAGGAAAGGTTATTCTTTTTTTATGACAGGTGAAACGGGGTAGAACCGCATTACGAAAATTGTATATTAATTTTTAAATATGGTGGTCATTCTGGCCAGAGATGTATTCTCGGAGTCCCGGGGATGCCATCGACAGGGCGTTATGGGAGATTAGATAAAGAGCTGGCAGTTCTCACTATAATAGTTAATGTAAAGGCAATTTGCTGAAAATATCAGTCAAAATTAATCCGCCCTGAACCGAGATTTTACCGATTGAATTTTGGGTCTAGCCTCGATCATCATTACTAAAGTCGATACGACAAAAAACATAGTCTCGATTATCCACTTTTTATTTAATTACCAATGAGCGTTAAACAGCCGATATGATTCTAATCCTGAAAATATCGCATTCTAGCGATGCCATCTAGAGTTGATTGTAGTCTCGAAAAGTTAATTAATGTCTAATTAATAATTTAGATATAACATTTCAGGCCTAAAGAAAGACTTGCAATAGGCAGATCTCTTACATCATGTATGTTTAAGGATTCCCCGACTTTCCCTTCAATAACATTCCATGATTTCTGGTCATCTCGGTTAGCACAAAATTATGAAAAAATAAGTTTACCTGTCTGACAGCTGACCAAATGAAACAGCTCCACATAATCTTCCTAAGAAAAACACCGACTTGGACGTACTCGTCCAAAACTTTTTCTTACATACCAGATCAAACTATTGTAGAAACAAAAGAATTTTTTGAAAAGATATTTGGATCTATTGAAGTAAAAAAAATATACCCACCAACAAAAGACATTTACATATATTCCTGTTTTTATAAACAATATTTTAATTCATTCGGAAGAAAGGGGGTGGGGTACGGTGGATGGCCGAATGGTTAGCGCGTGCGCGGTGTATCATAAGGTCTGTCGTTGAGTCAGCTGGCGTGGTTTCGATTTACCGGTTGTACGTGACAAGGAGGAGTAGGGTCACCTGACCAGCCTCGTAGGTTTTCTCCGGGTCCTCCGGTTTCCTCCCACTGCTAAAGTCCCCTACGCGCAAGCCAATTATTGAAATAAAATTGAACCATGTGTTAGTCCCAAAATAACTAAGTTTGTTTCTAGTGGACATTAAACCCCCCCTCTCTCTCTCCACCCCCCTCTCTCTCTCTCTCTCTCTCTCTCTTTCTCTCTCATTTCTCTTGGCCTATGTTGACTCCTCTCCAGAATTTACAACATTAAATTTAATTTATGTATGCAGAACATTTATACAGTTGGATGTTCCGTTAATTTATATTTTATTTTATGACAGCAATATCATTACTATATCAATTTGAATCTTATAGCATTATGTAGATATTGACCGATCCTAACACACACTAAACAGGGTTAGTGCTAAAAGATAAGGCCAGCTCAATTTCTCGTCATAGGTCAAGAGATGTAAACAGGGCTAGCGCTAATCCCAACCCTAACCCTGGACCGAGACCTAGCCCCAGTAAATTAGATTAAATAAGACCAGTCTCCACTCTAACCCAAAGCAAACCATATATTAAGTCCTATCCCTAACCCTAACACACAATCTCGCCAACAATTATGTACCCTAACCTTATTTACATCTAAATTCTAAACGACCTTGAAAAAAATTGAGCTGGCCTTAACAAATAGATTTAGCCCCTCACACTGTCCATTCTCTGACTTAAATAGACGCTTTTCGTAATCTATCCATAACTTATTAAACTAGGAACCCCATAGTACTATACATTTAGTAAGATAGGACCAAACCCAATCAGCCCACCTGAGAATGCTTTGCAGACAGGGTAGGCCATAGCGCTAATGTCCGGGCCCAAAATTCCCCTCATAGCACACTGTATGGAGTATGCCCGTCTTTTCTATATAAGAGTAGACCGTAGAGCCGCTGTCCGGGCAAAATTTCTCTTATAGCACACTGTATGGAGTAGGCCCGTCTTCATTAGCGCACTAGGGTCAGAACAGGACGACGTTAAACCACATTTCATTTCATTTCATATTTATATATATATTTTCTATTGGCAGTGCGAAGTTAGCTCGATTTTGGTTTTTCGTTTTTTGATATTGGTGAATATCGAAAAACGAGTACCTCGTTTTAGCCATTCGCCAATATAAAAAAACAAGGAAAAGGAGCATTTTTTTATGTGAATCAACTGCACAGGCATCCTCATTTATGATATGTTTAGTTCATTTTACAAAACATATTTAATCAAATGTGTTTTGAAGATATTCTGTACATATACATCCATTTAATCTGCTTTTACGAGATTCAAGTTTGAATATTGAAAAACGAGTAGCTCGTTTTTCGAGATTCGCCAATATCGAAAAACGAGCTAGTTGTTTTTCATTATTCGCGAATATCGAAAAACGAGTATATTCACCAATATCGAAAAAACGATGGGGGCAATGATGTTTCATTACTTTTGTTTTAACTCACCCGATCTCAGGATCCAAGCTCGTCATCTATCGGGGGTGGGGGGTGGGGTGGCTTGGAAGATAAGTGTATTAACAATTGAAGACGAAGATGATGAAGAAGATACAGTGTCAACAGGCTTAAAAGACAATACTGGTGTCAATCATTATTACATATACATATGTGATAGAACTGGTTAAACACGTTCCAAATATAATTTTAACACAGATGAATAGATGAATAATGAAGGTTCCAACAAACTGAAGTGACGAACGCAAAAGGAAAACACGAGTTATCCTTCTATATAACTGACTGAAGTGACGAATGATTACAGATACACGGGCGAATTTCTTCTCACTAATAATTTCTTCGAAGATCAAAAGTTGTTGAGTCAGACTGTGAGAGAATATGTGACAATTCAAAGAAATTGACTGTCACTAGATAAGAGAACACGGGAAAAAAAATATAAAAATCTGCGCATTACCATGTTTTTATTAAGTATAGAATGAATAAATACAAGGGAATGTACGATATTCAAACCAGAAGTAAAAACAATCAACTTTAGATGAATATATACATTCAAAACAAATAGTTATGTTATTGGTACGTCTTGTTATGCAGTTGTTTGATATAATGTAATGAAATTTTGAATGTTATATTTTAAGTTCTGGTTATTCGAGGGTGCATTATCATAATACTTCCGGTATAATACTTCCGGTATAGCGACAATTGAGTATTCCGACATGCTGTTGAATCCGGCATGCGTGGTCGAGTCCACTGTACTTAAACCACCCTGACCCAGACCCTGTATACAGATATATTCTACTCACCTGTGAAACTATTGTTGATGAATATTTTTCTTTAGAATACCAAAATCCCCTGGTACAATCCGTGGTAGAGATATTAGATAACAGGACATGGTTACCTGTATAATTGTCGTATAACATGACAATATCTTTCTCATCATACTGTTTACAGGGATCATCTGGTACCAACAACTCTAATAAAACATCATCGCTAACATTAGATTTATTACTACTAGAAATATTAATGTTTTCATTATCACAGTGGAATTTTGGCTCGGCACCGATAAATACCATATTAAAAGCATGCCACGCAGACACAAAGGAAAATAAACACAATAAAAAACATCGTATTTTCTGATATTTTCCAAACGGTCCTATAGTCTCGAGAACGTCATCAAACTTCATTATGTCTGCCTTGTATCAACAATATAGTCATACTAAGGCTTCTATGCTTCTAGTCAGAGAGGCGTGACCACCGATCGATTCATAAATAAATAACACGAATAATTTTGTTTGGCATATTAGTGGTGTTTATAATGTCGATTGAAGAACGAACAGGTAGGCAATTCTCCCGTCAAAAAGCAACACCTAGTAACTCACGTTTTTCTTATTTTGAGAAAACAAAGGAAAACGTAATGAATGAATATTAAACTCCAGCTTAGCCATTGATTTGACTATTGAGTTACTAGGTTTTGCTGTGGCATACTAGGCAAATAAAAAAACTTGCTAGGTTGTGTCATGGGTGTAACTGCTTACAAAATGAAGAGATCGGAATATCTAGTACAACAACAGGAAGCACAAACCCTAATAACTACAAATTTGGTTCTAACTCAATTTTGATAAAAAAAAAAGTGAGTTACTAGGTTTTGACTTTTGACGGGAGAATTGCGGTGCTGTACCGAGTTTATATGGGGACTGACAAAGTCGGGCGGCTTTGTCAGATCCTGTTTCGTTTCGTTTCTTATAAACTAGGATCTGGAAGAGTTGTTATATAACCTGCGTTCTGGATGGCGTGAGGGATTAGCCAATGAACGGTCTGTTACGGCGACTTTTTGGCGTGCCATGCACGGAACTGTGTGAACTGTGTGAAAACCACTAGAAACGTCAACGCTGATTGATTAATCAAAGTCTGACGTCATAGGGTCAAAAGCCGCTCGTACGACCTCTGGCGCGATCTTTTACTACAACCGACAGATCTTCATGTAGTAGCGGCCATCGAAAGTATAAAAAAACGAAACGAAATATAGATCTGTATTCTAATCAGATTGTTGAATAACCCAGATTCAAGATGGTATAACTGGCAAGGAAAGTAAGGCTAGTCGTTCCGAATGGACCAAAATATTGTGTCATGCCATTCCATTAATTTGCACAACAGCGATTAAAAGAACTCAGACCGATGCAAGGGCAGTAAATCTTAGCCAACACCCGCGGTCGAACCCGGGAGTTCCTGGTTAGCCAATTGGACAGGATGCGTGACAATGGCGTATGGTATAAAAATGTTCATGTCCCTTTAATAATATGTAATAGGGGGACAGACCAGCTTTAAAGATACATTATAGGAGATTAGATAAAAAGCTGGCAGTTCTCACTATAATAGTTAACAACTGGATAATGTAAATGCAATTTGCTGAAAATTTCATTCAAATTGATCTACTCTGAACCGAGATTTTCGCGATTGAATTATCGGCCTAGCCTCGATCATCATTACTAGAGTCGGTAGGATAAAAAACATAGTCTCGTTTATCCATTTTGTGATTAAATCATGAATGGAAATCGGACAGCAAATCGGAACCTAATCCAATAAACATCGCAGGCTAGCGACGACATCGAGAGTTCATTATGGTCTGGATAAGTTAATTAATGTCTAATTAATAATTTAGATAGCATTTCAGGCCTAAAGTTCTTGCATAATGTATGTTTAAATTTCACCATCTCTCTCTGTCTCTCTTCTCCCTTTTTACATGCCCCTTTTTGTTGATTTGTTGGTCTAGAATGGACGAAGAAGGTTGGAAATGACATTTTCTGCCAGGTTTTGGTAAATATTCATGATCTTGAGGCGGAATGATAACAGACTTATTAGGTTGGCTACGGTGATATGTATGGCGAATAGTTACATGTTTTTACTATGCTTCTTCAAGTTTGTGTATCTCAAAATTTTGATGGTCAACCTCATACAAATTTTAGTACAAAGACATGACCATTTATTTCTCTGTCTGTAGTGAAAAGCATTCAGCCCGACGAAAATTTGGGGAAAATTTTGAGGTGGGCAAAGAGGTCAGAATTAACATTGAAGTCAATGGGGAAATTAATGGTCGTCTGCATCCCAATGGGGAAAGAGTTATGTCCCTTTAATGGTTAGTTTAATAACCCGGCCTGCAACAATTACTACTAACTGGGCACTACAACTGTGAATATAATAGCTGAGACAGTATAACACAACCGCGGAGTGGGGGAATGATGTTATAATGGAATCGAGCGCCGCAGGCGCGAAAAAATTTCAGATGTGTAACTGAGCTTTTAATTTTTGGGGACTGGGCCTGAAAATTTTAGTCAATTTCATGGCAAATGGGACAAAATCTTGAGGCCTATCTGTCAATTTCGACTTTTTTGTGAGATAGAAATAACAATTCTACAGTCTACCGCCCCACGACCCACTCACTAGTGGTACTACTAACATGGTGATTTACTGTGACTGTGAATATGGCAGTAATGAGATAGTATAAGAAAGAGGAGTTGAAGAATGATGACATAATGGAATTGAGCGCCGATATGTAACTGAGCTTTTAATTTTTGAGGACTCTGGACTTTGGGATCTGGGGAAAGCTTTTCTAGAATTCTGATGGTCAAAAAACACTTACAACATGAATAAAATACGTTTTAATTTCTCCTGGGATTGAATATGCAACAAGTAAAAATTCTTAAGTGCAATAGATCGCCTTAAAGTTTCATCATTTGAATTAATTTTTTTACGCATTTCTGAAAAAAAACTATACTTCCGATAACTTCTTACCAACTGTTCGACTAATATTATTCGTATGACAATCAAGAAGCTATAGAATAATTCAAGTTTTAAAATTTGCTTTTTAAACTAAATACCGTAGACGCTGAACTTTGCGTTTTAGTTCAAATCTAACACGCTATTTTCATATTTTAGCACGTTTTTAGCGTCTTTGCGTCCTCTAATTTCGAAGCCTATCCCATGTACACATTGGCGTGCACGTAAAAGATCCCTTGACAGTTGGAATTAGATATAAGAGTAGGCCGTAGCGTCGCTGTCTGGGCAAAATTTACCTCATAGCACACTGTATTGCGTATGCCCGTCTTCATTAGCCCAGTCGGAGCAGAACAGTTGGACGTTAAACCCCATTTCATTTCATATCCCAACTCTATTTAACATAAACGACAGTGTGGTATCAATGTGGAACTAGTCTACGCTCCCAACTATATTCAACAGTAACAGCAGCATGGTGTCGCTATAGGTCCAGTTTGCGCTCCCAACTCCATTCAAAAGTAACAACAGCATGGTATCACTGTAGAACCAGTTTACGCTCCCAACTCCATTCAACAGTAACAACAGCATGTTATCACTGTAGAACCAGTTTACGCTCCCAACTCCATTCAACAGTAACAACAGGATGGTATCACTATAGAACCAGTTTACGCTCCCAAACTATTCAACAGTTAAACAGCACGGTATCACTGTAGGGCCAGTCCACGCTCCCTATTCCATTTAACAATTACAACAGTGTATCATCACACTTCTCCCGTTCTTCCTCCGTAGTTTCGAATTCCCTGTTTCAAAAGATTAAATAATGTATTTAAGTTAAAGCTGTTGGTCACCTTTTGACGGATTTGATAAATTCCCTTGCAAACTATAATATTGTGAAAGGTTAAAGGACAATATTGGTGCCAGTCATTATCACATATGTGATAGAGCTGGTTAAACACATTCCAAACATAATTTTAACACAGAGATCATTTCCTGAATCGGAAGTGACGAACGCCAAAGGAAAACGCGAGACATCCCTCTATATAACTGAGTGAAGTGGCGAGTGATAACAGATACACGGCCGAATTTCTGCTCACTAATAATTCCTGCGAAGACCAAAAGTTGTTATATGGGACTGTAAGAGGATATCTGACAATTCAATAAAGTAATTGAATGTCATTAGAGAGAGAGGGGGGGGGGGGGAGAGGAGGACCCGAAAAACACATACGAGGTTAGACAGGCGCTCCCTCCCTCCCGGTCCCTTTGTCGGCCCCTTTGAGAAATTCCAGCTGTCAAGGTGCTATTTACGTGCATGCCAACTGTCCCTTGCTAGGTCCCCGGGCCTTCACTACTGACAAGGTGAAACCACGTACGAAAATCCTGAGGTGCTTGCTCGGTCAGCACCGGAACGATACCGGGAAGGAACTCGAGAACTCCTGGTAAATGAGCTAGCACCTTACTCGCTGGCTCATTGTCCATAAACAGACATAGTGAACATAGCATGTGGAGGTGAAACCACGTTCGAAAATCCGGAGGTGCTTGCTCGGTCAACACCGGAACGAAACCGGGAAGGAACTCGAGAACTCCTGGTAAATGAGCTAGCACCTTACTCGCTGGCTCATTGTCCATAAACAGACATAGTGAACATAGCATGTGGAGGTGAAACCACGTTCGAAAATCCTGAGGTGCTTGCTCGGTCAACACCGGAACGAAACCGGGAAGGAACTCGAGAACTCCTGGTAAATGAGCTAGCACCTTACTCGCTGGCTCATTGTCCATAAACAGACATAGTGAAAATAGCATGTGGAGGTAGACCATCATTATTTTACCCATTGACTTCAATGTTAATTCTGGCCTCTTTGCCCACCTCCAACTTTTCTCCAAATTTTCGTTGGGCTGAATGCTTTTCACTACAGTCATGTCTTTGCACTAAAACTTGTATGAAGTTGACCTGGCCTCTTTGCCCACCTCCAACTTTTCTCCAAATTTTCGTTGGGCTGAATGCTTTTCACTTCAGTCATGTCTTTGCACTAAAACTTGTATGAAGTTGACCACCAAAATTGTGAGATATACAAACTTGAAGAAGCTTACTAAAACATGTAACACAAACTAGTTGCCGTACATATCACCGTAGCCAACTTGATAACCCCGTTATCAAAATTATGAATATTTACTAAAACCTGGCTGAAAATGTTAATTCAAACCCTCTTCATCCATTCTAGACCAAAAAATCAACAAAAATGGGCATGCAAAAGGGGAGAAAAGAGACAGATAGATGATTACTATAAATAGACGATCTACAATTTGTGGGTACCGAGATGATGAAATTTAATGGTGATCTGCCTCAATGTAGTTTCGATAGTAATGGCCAGTAATCTCACTTGACTTAGCTTCCCATAGCATAGTTACAGAGGTTTGGTGATCACGTGAAGAACATATTTTCAGTGAAAGAATGGGATGTTGAATAATACAATACTAACAGTTTTTTACTTTTACTTGATACATCTTCCAATAGTTGAGGTAGTGGTTTGTCCGTGGTTTCTGGTAACAGCAGCGCCAAAATACCAGCTGCTATAGATAGACTACCAAAAATAACTAGTGGTAACGGTGTCCAGATCGACTTTAAATCTAACATGGTAGGAACCAGTATACCACCAATACGTGCCGACATTGATGCCACTCCCATCCCGATATTCCTGTAACAAATTGGTCCAATGACGACGTTTAGTAATTTAAAGGTCACAGGAAAAGCTTCATTGTTTTTTAAAAAAAATGTAAGTAATTATGTCAACCGGTAAATTTCAACGTTAGTAATTTCCGCAGTTTTCCGTGAGTAGTCGTAACTTTCCGTCAATGAACAATCCGTGACAGGGATGAGGGGGTGCGAAGTCCCCCCCCCTCCCCCGCGTGAAAAAATTTTTCGACCAAAAAAAAAATAGATATACATTGTCCATCAATATGACAGCACCCATGAGGACACTTCCCGCCCCCTCGTTGCTCTGAGCTAGTTACGGCCCTGCCACGGATTGTTTATTGACAGACTACTCACGGAGAATGGCGGGAATTACTAACGTTGAAATATATCCGTTCTGAGTAGGTCAAAGGTCACTATTGGTCGGTCACGTCCATCCTAGCTTAAATGTATATATACCTTGGTGCAAGTACAAAATGGAACTCACTGGTTAACGTCTACTTCTAGCGAGGGTGATGTCGCAGACACATGTTTACCATGAAACCATGGGCAATTTCAGCGTAGGGCAGGAAACTTCAGGACGATCCACGTTGTCGTACTTTTTCAGACACAGTTTCTGGGCCGTAGACAAATAACCCAGTCACCCCTTATTGCTATTAGCACGTCCGTGATGCCATCGTCACAAGGAAACCTGTCTGACCCAAGCGAGTAAGACGATTGACCGGCGATGTATATGACATGTTGTCATACCACTTCCGTCATTTCTTACCGCACAACAGTAGGCAACACCTCAGCAGTCATTAAATGTATAATTCCATAAGATGCGGTTATGAAGAACTTTCCAATCATAGCCAATACGACTTTCAGTGTTTCTAAATCTAAATCTAAAAAAAAAAAAAAAAAATGAAGAAAAATTATTCGATTTCCAATTGTCAGTGAGGTTGTTAAACCCACCAGAACGAGTGCGCACATTTTGCTTGTCACCCTGTCCAATCTAGGATGGTCTATTGTCAGTCAGGCACGTCCCGAATTGATAGAATTGTAATTGAGTGGCGCGGAATTCAGTCCTTTGAGAGTTATGTCAGCCTCGACAACGAAGGGGATGCTGGATTGTCAGTCCGGAACGTCTCGAATTGACAGAATTACAATTGAGTGGCTCGGAATTCAGTCCTGTGACAGTTCTGTCAGCCCCGACAACGGAGGTGGTGTAAGTAGAATGGTGACGTAATTAAACACAACGAATATGTTTTGGCTGCCATGGTTGGTTGAGATAGTTTGTTATTGAGACGACGCATGCGTTACAGTTCCAAATGCCCCCTTTTACTCTGTTGTCCCGCCGAGGAATCGAAACCACGCCAGTTCAACCCCCCTTTAAAATAATGATAAACAATCCAAACAACTGACCTGAATTATCATTAATAGGAATAGTTCCTGATAATATGCAGGCAATGCCACCAACACACATTGATATAAATAATGGTATCCTTCTTCCTACTTTGTTTAAAGATATCATACACAATAACAACGCCGGTATTTCCACTGCTCCAGCAATACAGAAGTTCAGATACGGATCACCGGCTAGAGTTTCTGTGTTCAACGACAATCCGTAGTAGACCAAAGCATTTACAAACCTTTAAAAATAAAAACAGCGAAAAATAAAAATTAAATGAAATGGGGTTTAGCTGTCTAAGTTCCTGCACCCACATGTGTAATGAAATGTACTAATGGGGGAAATTTTGGCCGGACAGATGCGCTACATTCTAATTTTAAGTTGATTTTCAACCGGAATCTTTAACGTGCAGCGCTGTTTTGTTCAATCTGAAGAGGCGTATCTATGCCAGACATTTCCTCCTGAACAACTGACAAGAGAAAACCAGTCTCGAAAATTCTGAGACATCTTGGTTAATCTGTCGGCGCCATATTCACGGGCTGGGGAACTTCCTAATTCAAACAAATTCTCAGTATTTGAGAAGATTCTTAAAGATGCATTATGTAAGAGCTAAATCTGCCTACTGTAGGTCTTGTTTTAGCTTCAAATGTTATATATACGATTATGTAGATATCTATTAATATAACAAGCCTATAATCAACTCTCTAGACCATCGGATGGCAGATATTTCAATGGATTAAAACAGCCGGAAGATTTAAAAACTTTATGATAAAATGGATAATCGATGATAAGTCTCGGTTGACTACGATAATAAACAATCTACGCTACACCTTCCGTCGCTCGTAACGTCGCTCAGAATAAAGAATTTAAATGAAATTTTCCATATATTCATTGTTAATTATCTATTTGTGGACTTTTATAGCAAGAACTGACAGCTCTTTGTGTATATCTTATATATTGCATCTACAAGTATAATAAGTAAAATCTAACTATACAAGTACAGCTTTAACAGACCAACACCATCTATGAGTAAAATTTAACTACACAAGTGCAGCTTTAACAGACCAACAATAACTATTATTACAAGATGATAGCACCACTTATCCCTTCCTAACATGTGGACCCTACGCAACAAGGGGTGGGAAATGGGGTTTAACGTCCACTCGACACACACTAGGTTGTTTCGGGGCGAACATATGGTTCAATTTTATTTCAATAATTCGTTTGCGTATAGGGTCATTAGCAGTGGGTTGAAACCGGAGGACCCGGAGAAAACCGACGAGATTGGACAGGCGGCCCTACTCACTACCACGCACAATCGGGGAAGCGACCCCCCCCCCCCCAGTTGACTCAATAACAGACCTTATGATACAACACACACGCCACCACCCTCCCCCACCCCATATCCTATGCAACAAGGCAGTTAACTCATTCCTGGGGCCGGCATTGGGGTTTTGCTGGTGTTAACCTTAATAGTAATTTCTCAGTATTGTCACATTACCAAATCTAAACCAGATCAACGCTAATGACGGAACTGATTCCACCCACGTACCAATTAAACCAAAGATTAAGAGAGATTTTAGCCATCGACCATGTTCTAACTAAATCTATGAAATAATATTTTCTGTCAGTTTTAACGGCGGTGCTAACTTGAACATTTTCTGTGATCGATGTCGGGAGTACCGTTCCATTTGCAGCGGCTGCTTTCTGGAGATATTTCTGAGCGTCTTCATTCTTATTTTGAGATAACAACCAACGAACAGATTCTGGTAGAAACCTAGAAAAAAAAACATATTATATTTCTAATTTCTAATACATGACTCGATAGACTAGCCTCCAGTAAACTCATGATACTGTAATGACGCTGTTATATATACTATTCAAAAAAAGTAGGGGATATTTGATTTTTAAGTGTTATTAAAGTCACCTAATGAAACTGACGAAGAAACAAATGACAAAATGAAATGAAGTTCACATTCATCGATTTATTCCAAATGATCGTTAGACTAAGTAAGGCACAGACTGACCATTATAAGGGTAAAATGATACCCGGGGTCAAACAGCAAAGTTACCACAGCATCACAACCAAGTCAGTAACGGTAAATCCTCCTCTGTTTGCCAAACAAGCATTGATCCGACGTGGCATACTCCTAATGAGACGTCTAAGGTCATTTTGGTCCAGATTGTCCCATTCCTGTTGCAACGCAGCAGCAAGTTGTTGACGTTGACGTAACCTCTGTCCAAGCATGTTCCAGACATGCTCGATGGGGGAGAGGTCGGGACTCAGTGCTGGCCAAGGTAATGTGGTGATGTTCTGTTGTTGGAGGTAATCTGTAACGATCCTGGCCCCGTGACATCTTGCGTTGTCATCCTGGAAGATGAAACGGCGGCCATGACGTCGTGCGAACGGCACAACATGGACTGCCAAGATGTTGTCCCGGTAGTACTGGCCTGTAACACGCCCTGCAACAACATGTAAAGCCGTTCTTCCAGCAACAGTGATGCCTCCCCACACCATAACAGAACCACCCCCAAATCGATCATGTCTGATGACGTTAACGTCTTGGAAGCGCTCGTTTCGACGACGCCACACCCTCCTACGTCTGTCCAAAAGATCAGCAATGAACCTTGACTCATCTGAAAACATCACATTGCTCCAGCGTCGATTATCCCAGTGTTGACGATCCCTACACCAACGACGTCTTGCCTGAATGTGATGATCTCTCAAACAAGGGATCACGCGAGGACGTCGGGCGCAAAGGTGACCAATATTCAGTCGATTCCGAATCGTCTGGCCACTCACTCTCACACCAGTGTCTGTTTGAAGACGAGCGCTGATCTGATTTGCTGTGATGACACGATTTCTCAAGGACAAGGTACGGATAAATGGATCCTGGGCTTGAGTTGTCGCCCTTGGTCGACCTGAGCGTGGTCTGTCTTGTACAGATTGTGTATCACGGTATCTGGACCATAGCCTGCTTATGACAGACTGAGAAACATTCATCGTCCGCGCCACAACCGCCTGTGTTGTGCCGATCTGTAGCATGCCAAGGGCACGTAACCTTTCATTTTGGGTAAGCCGACTCATATCAAAATTTGTTTTCTGGTCACTAAAACAATTAAACTGATGTTTCCACCCTGGAATTCAATGCCACAATGACTGTAACATTCAAAGTCAGAGTTGTGCAAATCTTGGGTTGGACCCCCATGATGATCCCAAGCATTACCTGCATTCCATGCGGTAGCTATTGGTGCGTTTGGGCGTCACATGGAAATGGAAATGTTTCTTCTGTTAGGTTCTATAGTGACTTTTTTCGTAGTCATTTGCATATTTTAGTATTATGCCCCCAAAATCAAATATCCCCTACTTTTTTTGAATAGTATATAATATATGACGTCTCAGACCCCCTTATCTCCCTGCGTGGTACCACATTCCAAAGGTTTTTCGACTAAGAATAATTTTGATTGAGTGTTTATTGTCCATGTCTTTTTTTACCCCATAAGTTCCAGAAGTTATTTGACATCAACTTTTGTGGTACAAAAACCCCACAGGTCAAAATTACATTCCACGGACTCTTATCTTGTGGAATTCTTCTCGTGACAAATTCCATACAAAGGCCAACAAACCGTGCCTCAAGCACGAGGGTGTACACTGTATAAACTATTAATAAAACTTACAGACCGATAGATATGTCATATTATTCATATCAAGAAGTCAGCTTAATGAATGACGTAGGTTGTAATTGGTCTGTGTGTGTGTGTGTGTGCGCGCGCGCTGGTTGGAGAAGTTATTCCCCCCCTCTCTCTCTCTCTCTCTCTCTCTCTCTCTTCCCACCCTCCTTCTCTCTTTCTAGGGAGGAGATTAGGCTGGTTGGAGAAGTTATTCCCCCCCCTCTCTCTCTCTCGCGCGCGCTCTCTCTCTTTCTAGGGAGGAGATTAGGCTGGTTGGAGAAGTTATTCCCCCTCTCTCTCTCGCTCTCTCTCGCGCGCTCTCTCTCCTTCTAGGGAGGAGATTAGGTTGGAGAAGTTATTCCCCCCTCTCTCGCGCGCTCTCTCTCCTTCTAGGGAGGAGATTAGGCTGGTTGGAGAAGTTATTCCCCCCTCTCTCTCTCGCTCTCTCTTCCCACCCCCTTCTCCCTTTCTAGGGAGGAGATTAGGCTGGTTGGAGAAGTTATTCCCCCCCTCTCTCTCTCGCTCTCTCTTCCCACCCCCCTTCTCCCTTTCTAGGGAGGAGATTAGGCTGGTTGGAGAAGTTATTCCCCCCTCTCTCTCTCGCTCTCTCTTCCCACCCCCTTCTCCCTTTCTAGGGAGGAGATTAGGCTGGTTGGAGAAGTTATTCCCCCCTCTCTCTCTCTCTCTCTCTTCCCACCCTCCTTCTCTCTTTCTAGGGAGGAGATTAGGCTGGTTGGAGAAGTTATTCCCCCCTCTCTCTCTCGCTCTCCCTTCCCACCCCCCTTCTCCCTTTCTAGGGAGGAGATTAGGCTGGTTGGAGAAGTTATTCCCCCCCTCTCTCTCTCTCTCTCTCTTCCCACCCTCCTTCTCCCTTTCTAGGGAGGAGATTAGGCTGGTTGGAGAAGTTATTCCCCCCTCTCTCTCTCGCTCTCTCTTCCCACCCCCTTCTCCCTTTCTAGGGAGGAGATTAGGCTGGTTGGAGAAGTTATTCCCCCCTCTCTCTCTCGCTCTCTCTTCCCACCCCCCTTCTCTCTTTCTAGGGAGGAGATTAGGCTGGTTGGAGAAGTTATTCCCCCCTCTCTCTCTCGCTCTCTCTTCCCACCCCCTTCTCCCTCTCTACCCTTCTGTCTCTCTATTAATATATTAATCAGTAAGATCGATAAATATAATATACGTACCACCAGTATGCGGCAAAAAGTAGAACAGGTAGAGTTATTGCTAGTTCTAGATATCTCCAATCTCGTAATACATACGCCATGCCAGATAACGTCATATAACCAACAGAATAGAACATTAAAATCATAATACCGACAAACAGACGATACTTTGGTCCAACAAGTTCTGTAGCTGGAAATAAATGAAAATAAAACGCACAAAATTGAAATGGAAATGAAATAGCGTTTAAAGGCGCGAAGTCTCTAACTCATTATCATCCAAAGTCTTCGACATTGAAAACACGAATTATTTGTCAATTTAAATCAACACCGCTGTTGTGATCATACCGGGAAAAAATGGGCTTCTGATATTCAATATTTAAGACAAAATAAACATTTTACCATTGGTACACGAATCATGTACCATAATGCGTTTCAGTGCAATTTGTAACAAGGGACTCGAAGAACGAGGCTAGACATATTCCCAAGTCACGTCAAACGGTGACATCATATTCTTATCTTGAGAGCATGCGCAATAAATACCTCGGTGTAGAATGAAATAACCAGATGGTAGAGATTGTCATTCGATTGAGACTTTTGGCGTATTTCGCCTAACATAACTGATTTGAAATTAAAGTAAAGTAAATTGAATGTGAATCAGTTTATATACATTCGTATTAATAATATGCGTTGCGACCCAGTTGTCTCAATTCCTACGTCCCAAATATTAGCGAGTTAGCCCATTTAATGTCCTATCTTGTGCACCAACCGAGCTGATAAAGACATGCATAGGATATGTAGGATATATCTTCCAACTGGTTGTTTTACGTATATACGCCAACTTGACACAGGACCCCGGGGAGCCACGGTGGCTAGGTGGTTAAGACGCTGGCTCGCTAGCCTGGAGGTCGGATGTTCGATCCCTGCATTGGCCGAGAAAGTTCATCCAGATTTTCCGACGTGGTTTCCCCTTGCCAGTGGTGCAGAACGGAGGGCCTGACAAGGACAGCTGTCTAGTCCTTAGGAGCAGAACAGTAGGACGTTAAACCCCATTTCATTTCACACAGGAACTCCCAAACGAACGATTAGCCACTGTTACTTGGTAGGCTTTCCGTCCAGAACCTTGGCAAGAAACTTGACAGTGCCTTATCCACTGAGGAACTACGATTCCACGATTGTAAATTTCAGCCCTCTTCAACATAATTATTCGGTTATCTAGGGACTAATATATGACAAATTGTATTTCTATTGTAATGAGAGAGAGAGAGAGAGATGGCGTTTAACGTCCACTCGACACAAACTATGTTTCAATTTTATTTCCATAATTCGTTTGCGCGTAGGGGTCTTTAGCAGTGGGAGGAATCTGGAGGACCCGGAGAAAACCCACGAGGTTGGACAGACAACCCTACACCTTGTCAGCTACAACCGGGGAATCGAAACCACGCCAGATGACTCAATGGCAGACCGTATGATACAGCACGCACGTACTAACTTTTCAGCCATCCAACCCCGCCCCCTCCTATTGTTATGTATGCAGTGGGAGGGGAAAGGGTGCCCTTAAAAAGACGTTTCCGATTACGCTTCCTTCAATTGCAACTGGTGAGGAATATAACTTACACAGTGTAAACGCTACAAGAAATATTCCTGCTTGTGCTACTCCTTGTAGAAAATACATCGGTAAAAACATATATATGTTTTGGGCAGCGGCAGCAATACTTCCAGCTACTAACAATATAGCAGCACCAACAAAAAACATAGGACGTCGACCAAATCTATAGAATGAAAAATAGAATAGCAGATAATAACACAGGACGTCGAGCAAATCTACAATAAAAAATAGAATATCAGATAATAACACAGGATGTCGAGCAAATCTACAATAAAAAATAGAATATCAGATAATAACACAGGATGTCGAGCAAATCTACAATAAAAAATAGAATATCAGATAATAACACAGGACGTCGACAAAATCTACAATTAAAAATATGAATATTAGATTATTATATTGTTCCGAATTAATTTATATTTTATTTCTTCATGATCTTTATCATTGAACAACCCTCTCAAATCTAATGTTTGGTTTTACAAATTTAAAACTTTAATATTTTGAACTATAAGAGCAACCCAATCTCGATCTCAGGAATAATACTACCCTTTATTTATCTCTGGTAAAACATCGCCGGCCATACGTCGGCCATTTTGAATGTCACGTGATGTATCCTTCCGTCGGTCGCTTCACAAAGATCCAAGATGGCGGCTCAAACTGGCGTTTCTTCAGAAATTTCACGTATTTAACCGAATCACTCGCATTGAGTGCTTAAAATAGTTTCCGGTAAATCATCAAATCGGCTGTTTTCGAATGAACTTTTGATGTCGAGATGTGGAAAATGTTCCAGATTAATTGATATGTAAGTCATGCAACGAACCGATGCCTAATTGTCGTGAAATCGGCAGCATTTCATTCTAACTAATCCCGAGGGCGGAGCTTAGGAACCGATGCCACGCTGATTAATGGTCAGCGAGTTTTACCAGAAATAAGCAACGGGTAAACTTATCTCTTTAATAGAGATTGAGAGCAACCAGGTACTTTTTATTTTTGAATTATTATTATTTGAGAAATTAGAGTTTTTACCTGGAAATCCCAAAGAACAGAAATTCATATGCCCGTGGCATTTCAGTCGTAGTTTGCTGATTAAAACAATTTTAATTAATGAAAAATGAAGTTTACCTGTCTGACAGCTGACCAAATAAAACAGCTCCACACAATCTTCCCAAGAAAAACACCGACTTGGACGTACTCTTCCAGAACTTTCTCTCACATACCAGATCGAACTATTGTAGATATTAAATGACAGATCTATATTTCGTTTCGTTTTTTTTATACATTTGATCGCCTACACTACATAAAGATCTGACCAGTTGTAGTGGGAGGTTGCGTCAGGGTCGAACGAGCGGCCTTTGACCCTTTGACGTCAGATATTGATTAGTCAATCAGTGTGGAAGTTTCTAGTGGTTTACTTACGCCAAGAAGTCGCCGTAACAGATGGTTTCATTGGCTAATCCCTCACGCCATCCAGAACGCAGGTTATATAACAACTCGGGGATCACGGTGGCAAAGTGGGTGAGGCGCTGGCTCGCTAGCCTGAAGGTCGGGTGTTCGATCCCTGCATTGGCCGAGAAAGTTCATCCAGATTTTCCGGTGTGGTTCTTCCTTGTCAGTGAATGGGACGAAAAGCCGAGGTCCCGTGTACACAATGGCGTGCACGCAAAATTTCCCCCATAGCACACTGTATGGCGTATGCCCGCCTTCATTAGCCCAGTTCGGAGCAAAATTGTAGGACGTTAAACCCCACTTCATTTTATTTTATTTCATTTATCTAACAACTCTTCCAGATCCTAGTGTAGTACAGACAAATAAAACGAAATTTTGTACTATAAAAAACGAAACGAAATAGGATCTGTGTTTTAATCAGATTGTATTTAGATGTATTGAAGTCAACATAAAATATTTACAAATAAAACCATTACTACACAGCAGGACATACTTCTATGGAATGTTTTAAAATTACCGACTTCAATTCTTTAGACATTACCAGGCAACACCGGCTTCAATATGATACAGGACATTATCTCTTTATTTTGGAGCCACGGTGGCTCAGTGAGTAAGACGTAGGCTTGCTAACTCGGAGGTCCCGTGTTCGATGCCTGCGTTGGCTGAGAAAGTCCATTGGTATTTTCCGGCGAGGCCCCCCCTTGTTAGTGGCACAGGTCAAGGGCTTGACCTGGCAAGTTCAAACGTATAATCGTTCGGATGGGACAAAAACCCCGGATCACGTGTACACGTTGCGTGAACGCGAAAGATCTCTTGGCAGTTAGAATGTGATATAAGAGTAGGCCGTAGTGTCGCTGTCCGGATAAAATTTCCCTCATTTGACACTGTATGGCGTATGTCCGTCTTCATTATCCCAGTTGGAGCAGAATAGTAGGACGTTAAACCCTATTTCATTTTATTTCTAGTCCCTAAGCGCTCACCCCGGTTGTACGTGACAAGGAGTCGGGTCGCCTGTCCAATCTCGTGGGTTTTCTCCGGGTCCTCCGATTTCCTCCCACTGCTAAAGACCCTTACGCGCAAGCGAATTATTGAAATAAAATGTGTTAGTGCCGAGATGACGTAGTTTGTGTCGAGTGAATGTTAAACTCTCTCTCTCTCTCTCTCTCGCGCTCTCTCTCTCTCTCTCCCTATGCGCTCGACTACCACAGACACAAAGTTTCCGCGTGAATATTTAAACACCCTGCATTGCATAACGAATCTCACAATCTCACAGTCACGTGATTACGCATTCAGCTGCATTCATAATTATATCAACATGATAGTGAATAGAATTTTAATGGGGTGGAACGACCTACTATTCTACAATAGTCAGGCTAATGAAGACAGACATACAACATGTGCTCTGAGGGAAATTGTGCCCGGCCAGCAGAATTTCCAGTTGACGTGGTCCACCCGTTACTAAAACGTTACACATACAGTCCAGTAGACCCCAGCCCCCCTCCTAAACTTCTACAATTTTTTTGCGACGTATCCGTTTTGAAGCATCTCTGCAATTTAAATCACCCTGCCCAGACCTCCTGTATACAGGTGTGTCATACTCACCTGTGAAACTATTGTTGATGAATATATTTCTTTAGAATACCAAAATCCCCTGGTACAATCCGTGGTAGACATATTGGATAACAGGATATGGTTACCTGTATAATTGACAATATCTTTCTCATCATACTGTTTACAGGGATCATCTGGTACCAATAACTCTAATAAAACATCATCGCTAACATTAGATATTTTACTACTAGAAATATTAACGTTTGAAATATCACAGTGGAATTTTGGCTCGGCACCGATAAACACCATATTTAACGCATGCCACGCAGACACGGATGAAAACAGACACAATAAAAAACATCGTATTTTCTGATATTTCCCAAACGGTCCTATTGTCTCGAGAACATCGTCAAACTTCATTATGTCTGCCCTGTATCAACAATAAGCGCATACTATTTATTTCGTTATGACTGGCCTATATCACAAAGTAGGCTACTTAAAACGATATAACACAATATGACCTCTACTAAACAAATATCTTCGTGCCACGTTCGAATAGGTAGGTCGCGTAACCTTTTTACACAACCTTAGGCGTTTTTGTGAACCGATTAGATTAGACCGATTAGGTATTATACGCATTTGTGAACCAAATGTTTAGGTGTTTAGGCGATTAGATTTGACGTTTTCAAAATGGCGGAATGTTCGACATCGTAAGTAATTTTTAATGCTTATTGTTGTTTTTCTCCATAAAAAATGTTTTTTTTAAAACGCATTTGATGTGTTTAAAGTAGCTAAGTCTCTAACTCAATATCATCCAAAATCTTCAACATTGAAAACACGATTTATTTGTCAAATTATATCAACATTCATGTTGTGATCTTAACGGGAAAAGATGGGCTTTTGATATCCAATATTTAAGACAAAATAAACATTTTACCATTGGTACACGAATCGTGTACCATAATGCGCTTCAGCCCTAGTTGTATCAAGAGACTCGAGGGACGAGGCTAGACACATTGCACCAAATCAAACGGCGTATGTAAACTGGAATAACCAGACGCTAGAAATTTGCATAACATAACGGATTTGAAATTGGAGTAAAAACGGAAACCATTGAATGTAAATCAGTTTATATACATTCATATTACAGTATTATATGCATTGCGACCCACTTTTGTCAATTCTAGGTCCCAAATGTTAGCGATTTAGCTCCTTTAATGTTAACTTTATAGTCCACAAGAATGTTAGATCACCTCTGGCTCTAAGCAATTTTAGGCCCCCTGGGTGCCAGCAGTGTCACTGTAATCTGTAGGTAACTTGGACTACACGTGAAACACACGCCCCCCTCGTCATGTTAGCAGAGACAATTTTTTTTCTGATCGGTGTCCGTGGTGGCAGCCATCTTACCAAATCGTAATTATCAAATTTCACATTTGTGGACCATAGCTAATCAAATCGAAATCATACCAAATCGTACTAGCAAATCAAAACCTAATCTAATCGACTCACAAAAACGCCTCTTATAAGCTATAACACCGTATACTTTAATGTTAATTCTCGAATCTTTGACCGGCTCTAACTCTTCTCCTATTTTCTACAACAGACAGGGCAACGTGTGGCAACTTCTTATTTAAAAGCATGTATCAGGTTCAATATGGGAATCGTGAGATATCGAAACTGAAAGTAGCATAGAAATAAACATGCAACTGTAACCAACCTATTAGGTCTCAGACTAGCAATTATTTGCCCATTGACTTCAATGTTAAATGGCTGTAACATCACAGGCTGTAGCTTTTTTCTCAACATTCCGTTGGTTCCAATCTTTATAGGCACAATGGGGACAACATTTGGCAATCTCCTCACCATAATTTTGTAGGGGGTTGACCGTTTAGATTTTTTGCTACACGGATTTGAAGTTGACTGGGGTGAAAATCTCACTTCCGACACAATGATTGCTCTGCAGAAAGACACTTTACACCCCCTATCCCTCCGCTGTAATATCATCAGTATTACCCAAAACTGCTATGAAATTGCAAATTTGATCCCTTTTCTCCAATTCTAGACCAAAAAGTCAACCCAAAAATGCAGGAAGAGGGGAGAAAAAAATTAAGGGAAAAATTGTCTATTTATAACTCGCACTACATTCGTAATAAGGGGAAATAATTACTAGTCTTAATCCATTAACGCGCGTATCCTTCAGCCTCAAAATCATAAATATTCACAAAAACCCGACAGAAAATTTATATGCAAACCTTTTTCTTCGATTTTAGGTCAAAAAGTCAACAAAAAAATTGACATGCAAAGGGGTGGGTGGAGAAGGGGGGGGGGGGTGTGTGTGGATAGACTATTAATAGTTTTTTCGTAACCCGCGAAGCAATTAATGGTGTTCGGTTTTCTCATATTCGCGATGAAGAGGGAATTCACGCGGATTTCACACCTCGTCGTTCGTATGGGGCGAAAAACCGAGTTCCCATGTACAGGTTGGCTAGATAGTAAAATAGCCCTTGACTGTTTGCTATCAATATCACACGGTATGGGAGAAAACAAATAAAATGGGTTTAACGTCAACTGGACACAAACTAGGTCATTTTGGGACGAACATATGGTGATGCATATGTTTCGTCATCTTTACTAAGTTTATATATATTCCATTCAGTCGCCACCAATTGAAATATTTTGAATTGAAAAAGAAATGAGGTTTACGTTCCACTTGATACAAACTAGGTAATTTTGGGACTAACATATAACACATGTTTATTTCAATAATTCACGCGCGCAAAGAGTGAATCCTTGAGATTGGATAGACAACACTAGACCATGTCACCTACAAGCTAGTAATGGAAACCACACCACTTAACTCTAAGACATGCCTTATGATCTAAACCACATGTGTTAGACCACTTTTAACTTACCGGTTTCCTCCCACTGCTAAAGAACCCTACGCGCAAGCGAATTATTGAAATAAAATTGAACCATATGTTAGTCCCGAAATGAGCCATAAACACGTGGTCAGCATGACTACACATGCTAAAATTGATTACCATTATATCTTTCAAATTAACAATGGATGGAGCGAGAGAGAGAGAGAGAGAGAGAGAGAGAGAGAGAGAGAGATGGGGTTTAACATCCACTCGACACAAACTAGGTCATTTCGCTACTAACATATGGTTCAATGTTATTTCACTAATTCGCTTGCGCGTAGGGGTCTTTAGCAGTGGGAGGCAACTCGAGGACCCAGAGAAAACCCACGAGGTTGTACAGGCGACCTTGCTCCTTGTCACGTACAACCGGGAAATCGAGACCAAACAATGGAATGTTAGAATTGCATATGTACACATGTATAAGGATGTTAAGTATGGCATTGTTTCACGTATGCGTCTGTCTTTAAATGACTTTTTCGTCCATGATTGTTTACTTGAACGTGCCAAAAAGGCTATGTTTGTCAAAAATATTTTAGGAATTTGTTAGAAGCCGATGAGTGTATAGAAACATTTGGAAGTTTTAATGGAGAGTGAGTTATTGCAAATCAGGAGACACCATATATACATTACATATTGAAATCTACTGAAGGAGAAGATGACATATTGACACAAAACATCATTACAAAAATGGGGTCCCAAAACTAAGAACATAGGAAGGCAGGTCAGAATCTAAGTAAGTGAACACGTCTGCTCGAACATAGGTATATGCCGGAGGTTGGCATGTGCAGTCAGAATTATCCTGGATTGTCTGGAGTGCCCTGAAACCTGTTGTGATCTATGTCATCTTCCCCTTCGGGCATTTCAATATGAAAAGCATGACGGTCTTCTAAACAAGGGCACTGCCAGATATTAAATGCCTCTCCATGAACTCTTAAAAATATTTTTTCTTGTGGTTCTTCTTACATGAGAATATGGATAATAGATATGTCAAGTTTATGATAGTCATGGCAGCCCATAAATCTATATGATGATCTGCTCCTAAATAACCATGGTCTAATCACTATATAATTATGCATGACTTATTATGACCTTCCCTTCGGCTATCCAGCTAGCGTGAAAGCCGGATTTTGATACGAAAACGTTCTGATTTTTGACCAAAATACCCAATTTAACAGGCATGTTCAAGTAACGAAACAATACCTGACCAATATCAAAATTTGAGGATCACAAGATTTCGAGTAGGAGCGTTTTGAGATTTGAGCAAACAAAATGGTCGAAATATGGCACATTTTGATCAAAAACAACAATTTCCAGTTATACCGGAAGTTGCCATTAAAATTTGTTTTCACTGCATCGCGTGATTTCTGTCGCCTAGGCGTCCCCAAAGACTATGTATGATTGAAAATTGCTGACCCCCAGGGTTATCGTTTTATTCAATTTTTGCAGACGCGTTCTTAAATAAAAGGAGCCATGGTGGCTAAGTGGGTAAGACGTTGGCTCGCTAGTCTGGAGGTTGCGGGTTCGCTCCCAGTGTTTGCCGAGAAAGTTCATCGTGATTTTCCGACGTGGTTTCCCCTTGTCAGTGGTCCTGGACCGCTGTCTAGTCGTTCGGATGGTACAAAAAACCTAGGTTCCGTGTACACATTGGCGTGCACGTAAAAATTCCTTGGTAGTTGGAAGAGTAGGCCATGGAGACGCTGCCGGGCAAAATTTCCCCCACAGCACACTGTATGGCGTATGCCAGTTTTCATGAGCTCAGTCGGAACAGAAAAGTAGGAAGTTAAACCCCATTAAATGAAAGCATATTTTTCCGTTGATATATCAGTGAGAATATATCTATTTTGTTTAGGTCAAAAGGTACCTGTAATATTCAAAGAATTATGTCGAAATGAGATCACGTTCAAGAAGACCGCGGTCTGGCAGTTCCCACTATAATAGTTAAAAACGAGATTATGTAAAAGGATTATGCTGGAAATTTCAGTCAAATTGCTTCACTCTAAGCCGAGAAAACCTTTATATAAAATGTGGAAACAAACTGTTGCATTATTTTTCCTGGTAAGACAAACGTCTTAACTACTGAGATAGTAAGAAGAAAATACACAACGTGAAAAGGGACTCAAGAAGAGAATTACAAATACTAGACGACCACAAGGCTATTAAGTTATGTAGTAAGAAAAGAGTTCATAAGTTATACGTAGGATGTGGCGCCCAGGGGTGCCGAAGGCCTGTTTTCCACGTCTTACAAAAGACCCATGGTGCTACAAATGTCTCGAATAACTCCCTAACGTGGGCTTCTTTATAAGGAACCAAAAGATATTGACAGTAAGATTCGACGCATTTCATGAATAATTGTACTACACCTAGTTTTTTTCCTGTTTTAATCAACACATTGCGACGTTTTATTATGGCTAGGCGGGCAACATAAATATTTATGAATAAATAATAATAATAATAATGAATTTGAATAGCGCCTCTCATCTAGAACTGTTCTACTCGATG